TTGCACACAGCCCGGGCCGTCGGCTTTGTTTGTTTTGGTTATTGGTCTTGATCCTGGCAATTTGTTGGAACCTCAACATACTAAAACTGCAAAACCCCCCCCCCCCCCCCCCCCCCCAAGATGCAGGCTGCCTGAAAATTCTTTGGCTTGAGGAGGTGATTGTCGGCTATAGCACCGCGGTGGCGTACCTGCACACCTATTTATGAGAGGACGAGGGTGGCTGGCGCTCCAAATTTCCTTTCCGCTCTGAAATTGCACCAAGTAACTCATAGACATGCTACAAAATTTGCGTCGTAGAGAGCGAGACGATCTAGAGCCTCGGCTCTACGAGGACTCGAAGTAGGAGGGGGCCAAAGTAAAACTCTACATAATGTATGGTGTAACGCGGGCTGTAAACATACCTACTTAGGTAGGTACCGCTCGGTGGTGAACTACTAAACTACAGTGCTTATATACTATATTGTCATCAAATTATTCGAGGACATCCGTATTCAGATATAAACCTCGATAACGGATCCGCTCACAGTTTAAAGAGCATTACCTACCAAGCTAATATATCATTACAAGAACGCAGTGAGAAATATTCGTCTTAAAAAAGATTAAGGCTTACCAGGTAGGTATGTTATGACACCTGTATCATCCTGATAGGAAGCCATCACCAACACATGTATGGGTGAGAGATGATAGGCTCAAAAGGAAGCACTGTAGGCACTATAATATACATAAGGCACCAACACAGCTCTTGGCTATCTTGTATCCAAGAAAGGAAGCTATACTAAACATCATATACCACTATTAAACGACATAAAGAAAAGCAATTTCTCCTTAAGAGATTAAGGGAAGGAAAATATGGTATATAGATTGTAAAAAGATTATAATTATTTAATATATTATCTTAACCCTATTTTAACATTATAATCTTTTTATTAACATATATTAGAATGGAATAATAAAATCCTATGTTTATATTAATATTTTATTTCTATTTTATATATTAATAATCTTATTAAATTACTTTATAATCCTAAAAGATATAGAATTTAATTTTTTAATCATTTAATAAAGAAATTATTCCAAAACAGGATTAAATAAGAATATCTTTTAAGATATTTTTTAACCTTTTTCACTAATATTATTAAATAAAAGAATTATAGATCTTAATAATTATTAATTAATTCTCTAAAATCTTCTTAAATTTGATATTATTATGAACAATACTATATTACCTTTATAAGAATAATAAATAATTATTAAAAACCTTCTTACCTAATTAATTAATTTATATAATTAAATATAAAAAATAATCTAAAAAATAATTATTATTATTTAAATATAATAATAATAATTAAAAGTTTTTAAAAATGCCTTAATTAACCTTTAATAATATTATAAATCCTTAATTAATATTATAAGAATCAAAATTATTAATAATTAAAACCTCATTATGGAGATAAAATAATTTAAGAATTAAATATATCAAGCCAATATTAATTTTGTCATTAAGGTTAATAAAGAAATTATTAAAATCTTTTAAGATATTATTTAAAAAAGTAAAACCATTAGCAAGATTGAATAAATATTTAAAAACCAAAATTAATTTTATAAAGAAATTATTAGGATTATGATTAACCTATATTTTTAATAAAATAACCTTCATTCCCAAAATTAAGTTATGGAAGAATAGAAAGGAATTATTAATATTATATTTTAAAAAATAATTAACTAAATAATCAACCATTATATTAAATTTGGAAAAATAATCTAAATTTAAATAGAAGAAATCCATTCCTTTATTATAAAAATAATTTAGATTATTTTTAAATAAAAAAAAGAGGAAAAGAATATTAATATAAAAAGAATCTTTTAAAAAATTGATTAAAGAGAAAAGGCCTGTTCTAATTTTTATAATATATTATAATCTAATATTAAATAAATTTTTATATTAATATCTATCCTAATTATTATCTTTAAAGAATTAATAATTTTATTTTTTAGGATATTAGGAATTTTTAATATCCCTAGAGAAACTTATAAAGTCTATTAAAATAGAGAAATGATTAATAATGATATTATTTTCCAAAAGAAAAGGTTCTGAAAATAATAAGATATTAGAAAAATTTAGGTTAAAATATAAAGATAATTATCTGTAACCTCTAGAACCCTAAATAATGATAATAATAATGATAATAATAATGATAATAAAAATGATAATAGAAATAATAATGGCCTGCCTAAAGGAAATTATAGATAAGGATTTTTATTACTTCCTTTCAAAAAATCCTAATAATAATAAGATCCTAAAGGATTAGATAATAATTTTATTAATATATTAATAAAAGCCTTATTAAAGAAATAAATATTAATAATAAATAAATCCATATTATTTAATAATAAGAAAATTGAAAGATTTAAATCTTAATAAATATTAATAGAAGTTTATCTAGATCTCTTTAAGAATATTTTTAATGATAACCAAACCAAAATAGCCTAGATTAGATCATTGTTTATAAAATATATCTTTAATTAATACCAGGTTAGGATAAGAATATTTAAGGAATTATATATTATAGATATATAAAAAGGATATTTTAAATTAATTATAAAAAGATTTTATAACTTAACTAAATTATTAAAGAATCTTTAATTTATTAAGATATTAAAATATATTAGAAATATTAATTAATATATTATCTAATTTTAAGATTTTAACATTTAAATTTAAATTAAAAGATCTGATTTATAGGAAATTATATTTTAAATCTTATTTAAAAATATCTTTTACCTAATTTATATACAAAATGGAGAAATCCTGACCATAGATGCTGAATTTATCTCTATTATTAAAGAAGTTGGAAAAATTTATAAAACTAAAAAAATAAATCTTACTGTATTAAAAAAAGATAAATCTAATTCCAAAGAATTAAAGAAATTGAATAAAATAAAGGTTTACAATTAAAAACAAACTAACAACCAAAAAATAAAGAACTAACCTATTGATAATATTAAATCCTTTCTTTAAATTAATATTTAAAAGATCCTTAAAAAAATTAAATAAGAAAATATTAATAAATTTAAAAAAATCAAAATATAATATATTTAATATAGAAAAAATAATTATAAAATATAAGATTATTATATATAAAAAAATATCGATAGAAAAGATCTACTATAAATATTAATAAAGATTATAATTATTAACATTAAGAAATAACATAAAGAAATGGATATTAAAATATTAGAAGAATCTAATATAAAAAAATTAAAAAATATGATTACTATAATAACTTTCATCCTATATCCCAGGGTTATCAAAATTAAAAATAATAAAAAATTTAAAGACTTAGTAGATTTTTAATAGGCTATTTTATAATATCAATTAGGGAGCCATGGTTAAATGGTATAAGAATCATAGAAATCAAAAGATTAAATAATAGACCAATCCTTTTAAAAAAAAAGTCTATAATTAATAATTAATTTATTATGGAAATAATAATCTTTAATAATAAATAAAAGATCTTTACCCATGTCCTAATAAACTTTGAAAATTTAGTACCCTTAATTAATCATAATTTCACCAAAAAATATAGGATCCCCATTATTTAATGAATTATTCCTATACAAATAAGAACTTTTAATAATAAAATAATAAAAAAAGCTAAATTCTTTTATATTAAGTTACTTATTCTTAAGTGGAAATCTTATTATAATTAATTATTATTTAAAATATCTTCTATTAATTCAGAATATAATATTATATTTCTATATTGATAATTTATCAAATATTAAGCATTAAATTTCTAAAATAATTAAAGAAAAGATGTTACATTTAAATCCACTTATTATAAAAAGAATTATATATAAGTAATCTTTAATAACATAATCTTTATATATATATAATTAAATCTATTAACTTTATTAAAAAAAAAAATCAATGTTAATAACAATTCCAAAAAAATTCCAATAATATATCAGAATTATAACTAAAGAATTAATAAATAAACTTCCCTTTTATTAACCTTATAACCACATTATAGACCTAATTAATGGAAAATAACTTCTATAAGATCCTATATATACCCTTAATAAAAAAGAATTAAAAACTTTAAAAATATAATTTAAAAAAATACTTAATATAGGAAAAATCTATTATTCTAAATCTTTAATAATATCCCTAATCTTATTTGTTCTTAAACTTTACAGAAAAGGATTAAAATTATATATTAATTATAAAAGCTTAAATTATATTATTAAACCAAATTAATATCCCCTTTTTCTTATTTATAAATTATAAGATTATATTAAAATAGTAAAATTTTTTATTAAACTAAACCTAAAAAATAGATTTTACCTCATCAGGATTAAAGAAGATAATAAATAGAAAATTACCTTTAAATATAAATATAGATTATTCAAATTCATTATTATGCCATTTGATTTTATTAATACATCCATTACCTTTTAAAATATAATAAATCATATCTTTAAAGATTTTCTTGATAAAGATATTATAATCTATATTAATAATATTTTTATATATAAAAAAAATATGAAAAAACATAATAAATTAATTAAAAAAATCTTATAAAGATTAATAAATAATAGATTATCAATTATACCTAATAAATACATTTAGCAAATTTAAAAAATAGATTTCTTAAAATACATCATCTCTCCAAACAGGGTCAAAATATCACAAAAAAAAATCCAAATAATTATAGAATAATAAGAACCTAAAAACCTCAAAGATACCCAATCCTTCATTAATTTCACAAACTTTTATTAATAATTTATCAAAGATTTCTCTAAGAAGATAAAATTATTAATAAATTCAACCAAAAAAAAAACCTAAGATTAGATTTAGACCCCAGATATAGCTAATTTATTTAAGATGTTTAAAAAGGCTTTTACTACCACATCTATATTAATATATCCAGATCTTTCAAAGAAATTCCAATTTAAAATTAATATATCTAACTATACATTAAGAATAATCCTATCTCAAATCAGAAATAATAAGAAACTATATCCTATAGCTTTCCATTCATGTAAATTCATTCCAATTAAGATTAATTATAAAATCTACAATAAAGAACTTTTAGCCATTATTAATAGTTTTAAACAATAATAATAACACCTAAAAGGAACATAATATATAATTTAAATCTATTCTAATCATCATAATCTTATCTATTTTATAACTATATAAATCCTAAACAAAAAACAAACAAGATAGGTATAAGAAATTACAAGAATAAACTTTATTATCCATTTCAGATCTAGAAAAAATAATACTAAACTAAACATATTATTTAGGTATCTAAAATATCACCTAAAAAAAAAAGAAATAAATATTAGCCTATTAAAATAATATTATAAGAAAAATATTTTATAAAATCATATAGATCTTTAATATTAATATTATTTTTAAAAATCCAAAACATTTCTCATATAGAATAGAACATATCTTTTCTAGAAAAAATCCAGAAGGTAATAAAAAAAGACAAATTATATCAAGAATAATTTAAATAACTTAAAGAATTTAATTATATTTTAAACCAAGGATTATTATATTATAAATATAGGTTATAAATATTTAATGATCTCAAATTAAAATATAATATTAAAATAATAGGATATATAGGCTAAGCCAAAACAATTAAATTTATATAATAAAATTTCTAATGGCTAAAAATAGATATTAAAATCAAATAATATATAAAAGATTATTCAAATTATTAAAGAAATAAAATATTAAAATATTTATCTTATAAAAAATTATAACCTTTAAAATTATCTTATATCTTATAATAATTAATTTCCATAGATTTTATTATAGACTTATCTATATTAAAAAACTATAATTAATTCTAAATAATAATAAACTATTTTATCAAGATGGCCTATTTTATTCCATTTAAATAAGGAAAACAAAAGGTTAAACATCTAATTTAAATCTTTATTAAAGAAATATAAAGAATATATAACTTATCTTTAAATATAGTCTTAAATAGAAATTTATGTTTCACATCTAATTTTTAAAACTTCCTTTTAAAATTATTAAGGATTAAACCCTAGATAAATATAATATTTTATCCTTAAACCAATAGATAAATTAAATAAATTAATTAAATTATTAAAATATACCTATATGTTTTTATTAACCAAAAAATAGATAATTAAATAAAATTATTATCAATAATTAAATTTGCCTATAATAATATATAATTCTTTTTATCCCAAATAATACCTTTTTATATTAATTATAAATACTATCTTATAATAAATAATCCCCTATAAAAAAGATACAAACATCCCACTAATAAATTATATACTCACTAGATAACCAAATTCTACAAAGAAACTTAAGTAATATTTAAAGAAGCTTAAAAAAAGATAAAAAAATACATAAATAAAAAACAAAAAAATATCCCCAAATTTAAAAAAGATTAACTTATAATATTAAATAAAAAGAACATCAAAACTAAAAAACCTACCAAAAAACTTGACCATAAGTTATTAAATCCTTTCCAAATTTCTAAAATAATATCACCTATTATTATAAAACTTAAACTCCTCATAAAATAATAAATCCATAATATATTTTATATCTTATTTATTAAATTATATTATTCCAGAGATCATTCTTTACCAGACTTTATAATAATCCTAAAGGAAATTAATAAAGCTAAAATAATAGATAAATATAATATAAATAAGATTATAGATTTAACCAAAATAAATAAAAAAATAAAATATCTTATTAAATAAAAAAGATAATCAAAAAAAAAAAATTAAACCTGGAAACCTTACAAATACTTTTATAAACCTATTTAAATATTTCTAAAAGAATTTCATAAATAATATCTTAATAAGCCTAAAAACCTATATATACCTTAAAAAAATCCAAGGCAGATCAAGAAGAAAAGGGAAACAATATTATAACACCTATATTATCCTAATAAGAAATTATTATTAACATATATATAAATGAGAAATAATAGGTTCAAAAGGAAGCATTATAAGTGTTATAATATACATAAGACACTAACATAGTTCTTGGCTATCTCATATCCAAAAAAGGAAGCTATATTAAATATCATATATCATTATTAAATAGTATAAAGAAGAGCAGCTTCTCCTTAAGAGATTAAGGGAAGGAAGATACGGCATGCAGATCGTAAAAAGATTATAGCTACTCAATATATTGCCTTAACCCCATTTTGACAAGGTATACCTGATAGAATTTTCTTCCTTTTGCTTACCATACTAGAATTTCTTGCTTTCTCCCAGATTATGCATGCTTGTCTCCCATCCAAACCAATCTCCTGATCGCCCTTTCGGTTTCCTATTACATATACGAGGCTGCCAAGAGTGATGTTGGTGCCCAACTATGCCCGGGCGCTCCGACGTTCTAGCTAGCCTACGGACATGACGTGCGTATTGGTGATAGAGTCCCGAATAGATTGCCAGGTACCATGGAACAGCACTTGTAAACATGCCTAGCCTTTTGGGGGGCTTTTTTTCAGAGCCCCATAGATGTAGATAAGTTTCTTAACAGGTAACACTTGCAGGCTCGCAGGATAGCCGCAGAGCTGCGCCCCCACTAATAACTAGCATCATGATACTCTACGCCAATATTTGGGGATGGACACATAATTTATTATTTACCCGTCTCTCACTCCGCCTGGAGCTGGGAAAGGTTACGCACCTGAGTCTACCTAGGTAATTAAGGCCATTGCATACCCACCTAGGTAGGTACCCAGGCGCGTACCGGTAATTAGCGAGAGCTGTGGTACACACCACGCTCATCCGGCGTACGGGGTGGGAGAGCTAAGCTGAACAAATACACTTCTACTAGCTCACCTAAGTACATAGTAGACCAGGTGAGGCTTTGACAATATTATGACTACACCTACCTCGATAATCAATTTAGTATATGCCTATATATAACTGCTCCCCGGGCATGTTGGGTCCTCGCCGCCAACACTTCAGCACTACTAAGTTTAAGGCCTTTGGCTTTTACGAATCATACCTATCTAGGTACCTACCTATTTAGGCCCCCAGGATAGACTTCTCAATTGCCTACCTAGTATACCTTCAAGGACTAAAGATGGATTCACAAGAGCAAATACCCACCTTACCACTTCAGAGCCCTGCCAAATCCTTACCAAGTTCACAGACGATTGAACATCCTCCTAAGTCTAGAGCCTCACTCCCCCTCGGACAATCGTTAGGGCTCGCTGGCGCCTTTAGCATCATAGGAGGATCGCTAGGGGCCCTTGGTGTCCTGTCGTTTCTTGGGATTATCTGGTTCGGTCACGGCGATGCGTCAGACGGTTCCCAGGCGAACCGGGCTTGGCGCTACATTGCAATCCGTGGCTGGATGACCCAGGCCATCACCTTGAGCGCCGTCTTACTTCGCTTCATAATATCTATTCAGACAACTATCTGCACCTCTATGATCGCGGCTCTTTTGCTTGAAAAGGACGGCGTCCGCCGATCCTTGGCAGCATGGTTTTCTGTTACGAGAAGCATGAATAGCGGCCCGCGGAGGCTGCTAGGTCTAATTATATCATCGAAAAATCGAACTGCTCTTCGACGAGTCGAAACCTGGCTAGTGATGATTATGGTCATTATCACACTAGCTCTTCAGTTTTCCTCCACCATACTGCTTTCAGACATGGGGAAGCTGGAAATAATCAGCGACACCTATAATAACAAAGTCCATAGTATCTTCGAATCCCGAGATAATAAGAACGAGGATATTAGGGAAACCTCGGGCCAATTCTTAATCGTACAACCCATATTCCCCACGTTTGGCGAGGCTCGGAGCCCGCTAGGCGCCAAACCAGAGTCGAACGGTCTTAGTGATACTGGCTTGATGCAGAGGGCATTTTTACCAATATCAGAAGCAAGTGACCGAACTTCCATCCGAGAGTTCGAAGGAAATGTCATTGTGCTGAATTCCCAAGTGGCCTGTATGCGACCTAAAATAACCGCCGAATATAGTTCCTATTCAGTCCTCAATGGCAACAGTAATGGCGCGATTAGAGGCCAACTCGATTATGATTTAACTTTCAGAAGTGCCCAAGTGAAACCGAAATCACTGTGCGGGACACAAAACTGTAGCCGCATCCCCTTTTCTTGCTGGACAGCGGGTGCAAAATTTGGCTGGCAATCCAAGTCTTGTCTTATTGATGGACTTACAACACAATTTACAAAGGGAACTGTAGCGCCTGAGTGGAACTTGTCTGATGGACCGTGGTCTCCAAATTCATCAGTGCAGCTGATATCCACGACTAATATGCAAATTCGCGACTGGAACAAAATTAGAAAGTGGAAACCCTTGCCCCAAGCAAATCCATATCAGGAATGGAACAGCCACGAAATCCTACCTGGAAAGTTCGTCAACATTACGTTGTGCTTCTCCGCCTTTAAGCTAGAGCGGCACTATGTCAATTTGACCGCATCTGGTACACTGAAAGAGCCACCACTAATTATCCCCGTAGGCTCATCTAATTACAGCTCTGCCGGTGTGCAGAGCTTACTGGGGGTTAGTATACCCCCCGGGAGCCATAAGGATAGGGGAATACTCAATATGGAAATCCTTGGGGCGCCTAATGACGGTCCACCCTCATCCCCAGCTAATTCGGTTAGTGATTTTGGCGCTTTTGGGAAACTCACCCTAGGGGAGTCAACTACAACTTCATTTATGATTTTACTGGCATTTCAGTTCGGCGAAGGTTTACCCCGGAATACTACCATAACGATGTGTAGATTCTGCGGGGGTACGACGAATTTGGTGCTGAATGATAAGCTCTCGGCCTTGATGAGCGACATCATCCAGCAGACAGGGCGAGCTGCAAACGCCATGCTAAGTCTTATCTCTACGACTTGGGCGAACTTATATTACACATACGTCGATTCAATGGCTATTCTCCAGCATGCACGAATGTCGAGAATAATGAAGGTTCAAGCCCCGGGTTCGTGCAAAAAAGGTTGTCCGGGGTTCATTACAGTCGCCACCCTTCTCGGTATCCACTTACTCTATGTGACTATAATCACGACACTTTATTTTCGTCAAGTCCGATACTCTAGACAGGCTAACATTTGGCATGCCATTTCTCAACTAGTTTCGGGAGACTTGAAAGAGACACTTGAAAATGCGAACGACGCAAGCGACGAAGATGTGTACAAGGCTGAAGAGAAGAAAGATACGGATTATCTAGTGAGGCTTGAAAGGTTAGAGGGAAGTGGAAGGATTGAATTCGTGAGAGTTTAGGCGGGAAAGAGCTCAGCTCAACTTTTGAACAGCTAAAAGGGGGGCAGGGATATCGTGGCAAGATTAGAGGGGAAGTGAGGACTTATCTAGACACTTCTGAGGCTCCTAAGGCTTGTAACTTTGCTTCTTTTTCATTAGTCGGAGTTTACCATTGTGCCTTAAAAGGCAAACGAAACCTATAACGGTCTTCGAAGAACAGGATGTACGATTTCAACGGCCAATACAAGTAATTCCACGTATCTTCAGTATATCGCGCAATCTAATCCGGTATGAGCACACACTCTTCACCCATACATCTCTCTTCGGTGCCACCATTTGCAGAAGCTTTTCAGGATCTAGGACTATCTCAGGATTTATATCGTTCCAGATCGATGGCCGCCGCGATCCTATTCTATCTGTGAAGCTCGTAAGCGGGGCTTGTTTGCGTAGTTCAGCTACCACTTCCTGTATAATAACTATGCTCTCGTAGTCTTCTATGCCAAAAACGCTATGCGCGGCGCAATAGTACGCTAGACATAACCTGAAAATTTCGTCGGAGTTCTTTATATCTGCCGTGGCTGAATGTTCGTGTTCTATTTCTCGAAATCCAATTTTTAATGCTTGTCGGAAGGCATAAGTAACCGACATCGTGTAATCGGGGTTGACTTCGGCCCTGCTCGAATCCTTTAAAATTCCTAGGAACCCGTATAACTTATCTCTTGGATCTGAACACTGAAACATGCCGAACTTAGGTACGATTTCGTGAACGAGGTCCGGAACAGTCGACTGGTAAGTCTCCGCTTTCATATAAGGCATTGTCAGACTCGTAGTCATTTCCTCAAGAGTCCCCACTGCTGTCCCCTGAGCCAGGGGGTCTCTTTTGAGCAAGTTAACCAATCGGGTTCTGTGGGTTGTGACTCTATCTGCCGGACTGCAATGCGTGTAAATTTCATTATTGACTGTTCGCAATCGCTCACGTTTAGAAGAAGTCGTATCGCGGAACGGAAGACTGTACTGTGGCGTCCCCACGAATAACGCGAGCGGGAATACGAAGTACCAACACCAAACCTCCATACTCGGCGCAAGAATCACTTCCTGAACAATCCAGATCCGACTCCAATATGGATGGAAACTCAGGTACTTAAACGCATCCCACTGATTCGATGTCCAACCCGCGCACCCCGTTCTATCTTTGATCTCGGCAAGTGATTGCACATCGTTTAATGTTCGTTGCGTGTTCGGTATTCCAAGCCATGCCACGACTTTATCTGCATTCCGGTACACGCGCGCCATCTCCCGAACCTGGAACAGCCTCTCTGCCTTATCGAGTTGGTTTATACATATCGCGTCCACGAAGAATAATCCGGTTTCGCCCTTCCCCGCAGCAATAGTAAGGAACTCGAAGAGGTTCTTCCGTATGAAAAATTGCTGTCCGTCCAATAAGATCTCGTGGAGGTCACTGATAACGTTTGCGCGACCCCAGGTATAAGACAGTGCTTTGTAGCGCGTTGAGGGGAGATCCGAGAGTTGGAATGTCTCTAGGGTGTATCGCATATCTGAAGGATTCCTGCGATTTGCAGGGAACCGCATTAACCGAACTTCTGTTTCTGCGTAGATAGCGGGATATATGAACCCCGCTTTGCGGTTCAGGATCTTGTCGAGGTCGTCGTCCATCGCGAAGGGAGCGCTTGAAAATAATGATATTTTGTCCGGTGTCGAAAAGGAAGGAAGAGGAATCCCTATTTGATATGGATGGTGGCAGCCTAAGGAGAAATTCGTTATACTGAGGCTATGCTACGTCAACGCATGATGTACGGTCATACTTGCATATCGTCCTCCTCCAATAGGAGAAGGGCTACCGAAACGGGACATAAGAAGTAGTAGTATCCAAACCTCTTGGGACTAGTAATAAACTAGTAACAATATTCCAATTATATGACAATAGTATGTCAACTGCTCTCTTGGATTTGGAGGCCATCTTGGGTATCTGTATACATCCCTCGTAACTAATCATACACTTTACAACCCATCGTAATAACATCTAACACGGTAGATATCTAACTGTAATGTTTCGATACAACTCTAGAGAAGAAGAAAGAACCGAATCTGCACGTTCGCACGCCGGGTACGTGTATATGCTATGCCGAATAAAGTGGCCAAAATCTCCTTCAATCATCGCGTTTGTTGTACTCAGGATTCTCATGATTGGGGATCCGTATGGCGGGGGATTTCTATTAATGGGTGAGGATAGATCCGAAGACCTTGAGGAAGCCTCAAAGCTGCTAGTAAAGAGCTTCTTAGGGGATTCGAATGGTTTGGGCAGATTGGCTTTGCTTTGACGGCGGGTTTATGCCGGGAATCAATTGTCTGGAGTATGGACGACAACAAAAGTTCCGACAGAGGTCGTCATGTGCATGGGCGAAGTGGTGATGAGGTCCTGGGCGCTTTCGGGATTGATAAGTTTCTACGACCTTAGAAACGTAGACTGCTATATCTACTTTGCTGAATCAACCATAATGTCAACTTCAAGCGCTGGTGCTGAAGTAGTAATTCTCCCATAGGTATTCGTAATCTTCCAATATGCCGGAGACAAGACTGGGCATACGACGGCGGACACCACCGATGAGGTTCTTTGTGAAGTGCTCGTAGAAAGCACCTCTCATGGTCCACCAGCCGGCTGCCCAATATCTCTTGCCCCATTCTTCGTTTTCTAAAGCAGTGTTGCGAAGGCCCCTATCGCGCAATTGTCGTGCGGCATACTCCATGCTCAAACCGATGATCCAGGGTGTCCAGGATTTCTTATTTTTGCTTCTTGATAATGCAATAGCATATACCAAAGGAGAAAGGATATGTAATATTTCGGCGGTTTGTCCGGAGCGCGTAAGTGTATTTAGGAGCTTCGCTGCCGGCTTAATATCGTCCGCTGTTAACACTCGGCTCATCAAATATGAGCTAATGTCCCCGGGGTTCGGTAAGCTCGGGAAATTGCAGCCGGTACGTGGCATCGTCCACTCTTTCTCGTGAGAGGGCCTGGCAGATCCATTCATGTCTACTGAAGACGTTTCTTCACCCATCAGTTCCTTCAGGGCATCGTCATCACTGGAATCCACGTCTGGCGGGATTGGGTCTCGTTCGGGTAGTGCGGGTGTAACGAGGGGTCTCGAGTTGGTGACTTGCATTAATAGTATGCGACAGACAGCTTTTATAACTTCTAGGAGAATGACGACGCGCCATCGCACCTTCTCGCCCTTACGTTTAGCTGCCATCTCCCATAATAGTTCAGTGTACTGCACAACCTGTAACAGAAGCGCTATTCTTCGATATAATCTGCTCTTAGCTGTCCAGAATCTAGTATAACGCGTATGTGGACTCGGTATCTTAGAGGCTAGGGCGGGTATCTTCGTAATAGCACCGCGTAGGACGGCATCGTGGTATAATGATAATAGTTGGACTCCCGAGTGTAGAGTTTCCGAGGCTATCTCGGCGTCACGAAAACGGCCCGGTATGATGTACGTCAGAGATCGTAAAGCACTCTCTATTTGAGAGACCTGATGGGAGTTCTTCGTGATAAAATCGCCGTACATATTCAGCCATTGCGGTGGCATGGAGAGTACACTCTGAATCGGATTCTTCTGCGGTTTGCCGGGTGGACGTGATGCGCTACTTCTGAAATAGTCCGCCATTATGAAATATTATCGAATTAAATCAAATTAAAAAAAGCAACAGGGAAGAAGAATCGGATAGAATTGGGAAAAAAAGGAACGTGTATCTTACGATTTCGCAATTGAAATCGATTGAATAATTTGATTTGATTGTGGGATATTAAAGAAAAGGAAAATGGAAAAAAAAAGTGGAAGAAGTGATGATGAGCTGTTCAACGAGATTGGAAGGTTCCATTCCCATTCGCGCGTCATTCTCACGCTCCTGCTCCTGTTGCTCCTGCCACTGCCGTTTGCTGCCTCGGCTCGGCTCAGCGAACCTTAACCTTGTTCTACTGGGACGCTTGGACCACACTCCTTCCCCTCATAGCTTAAGTAATTCCATCGGAGAATGTCCGAAAGTTGAATGATTACATAATAGTAAGCTGACATAATCTCGTCTCATTAAATCAAGACCAGTCCCTTATCTTTATCCGAAAACTTAACACTACATCATCATATGAAAGAAATATCATATCCGCAGTTCAATTAATACGCGCTCTGCTATATTAGCGACGGTAGAGGATATCCCTACGTTCCGTTTAGTAGCTATGGCACATACAGCTGCTCCAGATACTTTTTCCATCCATCGCTTTCTCCCACATAGCCAATGTACGTGTCGGGTCTCACCACAACCGCGAATCTATCTTCCCCGGTAACAATATCCGATGAAAACGTCTCTATTTTATTGTCAGATCCATTCTTGTGACCATTCGTTGCCATCTTCGCCACGTCACGAGAATAGAGAGCGAAGTATGTGCAGATATTCCGGAACGATGATGTCTGTACGTCCTGTTCGCCGAGGAAAAGCACCAGGTATTTTCCATACGGGATTATAGAGTATAAACGGATGGCCTCGTCATTTCCAATGCGATTAAGCCAGATATCTGGACACCGTTTGCCGGCTTTCCAGATACCTCGTTCAGATTCGGTGATCAGTTCAGATCCGACGCCATCATACGAGACACCCATTCCTACTCTGACATCAGTATATACTAGACGGATTATCATTCGACGAGGTTGTTCAATGTTCTTACCAGTGATATATCCGGCGTTCTTTTCTATCGTGGAAACATATTGCCTTGCTGTATGCGCTGTGTCTCGGACTAACGTCGCCGCAACATCAATGACTTCCTGTGCTACGGTGCGGCGTTCGGTATCATAGCTTCGGATTAACTTGGCCGCAGCATCAGGTGCTAGATTGGTATTCTTAGCAGCAGTTGCGACACGCCAGCTAAGGTTAAAGGCATCCGCAATTCCAGTATTCAGGCCTTGTCCTCCATTTACCGAATGGACATGAGCTGCATCGCCCGCTAATATAATGCGTCCATTCCCATGGTTCGATACAAATGTCGAAGCAATCCTTTCTTTGACTAAATGACGCAATACCAAGTCAAAGCAGTTCGATTAGAGAATAGGGGACGTGCGGATAGGGTGCAACAAGGTGCATGCTTACCATCAAAAGTGCTAAACCATTCCGTCTTAACGAAGTCGATACGATGCGGCGCCATGTGTTCCCTAATGGAGTCTTCCGCTCGTTTCTGAGTGATCTTTCCATCAAGAAGCACGTAAAATCTCGCCATTCCACGTTCTCTAGGAATCCACGATATCCGCGATTGGCCCTTGAGCTGAAATGTGATGATTTCTGGGCAAAGAGGGAAATCAGTGTCGATGAATGTGTCAAGAACCGCCCATACCATTTCTGGCTTCGTCCCAGTGAAGCTGATATTCAGCGCCCGTCGCACTGTTGAACGCGCCCCGTCCGCAGCGATGACATAATTACTCCTGACTTTTCGGCCTTGGTCCGTAATAAGTACGACATCATCATCTGTCTCTGTGATCGATATCGCCCTCTCCTGATAGCAAATAGGTACATCTAAATGATCCTTGAGTACTCGTTCCACCACCGGTTGCCCTATCATCAAAAAGTTGGGACGGAAACAGTGTTCAAGTGATGTCCACCAATGGCTCTGACGAGACTTGAATTCACCCTCCGAAAAGGTAGAACTTGCTGAACACGGTGAGTTATTGACGACCTTTGAGAGGGGTAATTGCTCACTATTGCATTTGATCCCGAAGGAAAGCAATTCATCAAGAATTCCTACAACCTCTAGATATTGTTGCGTGCGTGCATTCAAAGCGTCGGCTCGACCCACTTCCAAGGGACCAGGTTTAGCATCTAGAAGGGATCTTGTCAGCACCTTATTCAATTATCTGAGAACCACGATTTACCTATAATCCTTACGGAAAGGCCCAAGCGACTTGCAAGAAGCGCGGAAAGCAATCCTGTTGGACCGCCTTATCTCAACGTCAGCTTTCCATATAAAATTGCAAGATGGTATCAAAAACCGACCTCCAACAATTGCCAAGTCAACATGCTCCTCAGGCTCTTGAGGCCGGCTATTTTCGGCCATGGTCAAAATGCAAATTCGCCGATGATTTCTTGAAGGCCCCGTTCGCGTTCCGATGATCAAGAGTCCCTAAACTAAATAGCCTGTGACAAGAACTCGTTGATTAGATCATGTTTACAAATTCATTTGAAACTAACACATGTAGTGGGAAAACGTTGAAAATCCTTCAGGGTCCCGTTATGGCGTCAGCCTCTATTCAATCTGATAGCAATAAACTAACAATGCAATAGACTCGCCGATGAGATGAATATCTCCAGATTCCGGGGTCAAGCTGCGCTCACGAACTGGGGAGCCGGTATATCCGTCGCATATGCGGCAGGTTGTAGTGTTATGGGAAGGACACGAGACGGAACAACTTCGCACCCTGGTCTTCAACTTATTAAACTTCCTCTTTAGGGAAGAGGGAGTGCAGTTCGGTCACGTATTGGGGCTTCTAAGGTGAAGTCCAGGCCTATAACCTACCGCATGTGCATGGCGGGCGGCGGGAATCTATGAATAATGCGAAATCATCGCGCTGGTCACGCTATATTAAGCAAGACTTTCTTGAATCGTCCACCGGTTTAGCCGTGGTTCCGGAAACATGCACTATAGGGTTGCAGCGGCTATTGGCCTGGTATAAAGCTTGGTTCGTTAATTTGCAACCCTGCTGCCTCGCCAAGTCGGCTCTTTCTCGAACGGGCGTACCAGCTGAATGAAAGACCTGAGGGTATCGCCGGTGAATACCGATCGAGGTCTCCCACGTCAAGCCGCCATGTATCATATGTATCATGTAAAGGGCCCGCATTCTCCTGCAAATGTGCGCGCAAATTCATAGGTTCGACCACATCTAGTCACTATTGTGCTGTTGAGCTCTAATCTCAATATGCCGTCCGTCCTGAATTCTAGTACTGCTGATAGCTTGGCATCTCCAAAGTCTATGGCTGAGGGGGAGCTGGGGCAGCTGGACTCCTCTCGCCTTAAAACGGCGTCACATATCCTGAGCATCATATCAAGGTATAAGCTCACAAAGGGTGTCCCACTGGCAAAAACTAGTGATGGGGTCAATTTTCTCGCCCAGATCTACTCCAATGTCGCAGCTAATGAGGTTATCCTCATGTGCCTACCTGCGTTCCCTTTCAAGTCGCCGAATACAAGTACAAAGGTCCTTGGTCGCCTTCCCGACAAGGCAGAGGAATTCGCCCTCGCACACCTTAACGGTCTCTGCGCTGCGATAGGAGATATCTACGCTTCTGGTGCGAAACTGATGATCGTTTCGGATGGACTTGTATACAATGGTACCTGTTCCTTCGATTCGTTACATACCTAGTGCTATAGTATTAACACCAAAAAAGACCTTTTAGGTGTCCCAGATAGGGACGTATGGGCATATGGCGAGGCTCTGCGAGCTTTGAGAGCAAGAAAGGACTTCCGCCATATCGAATTCTGTCGACTTAAGGACATAGTACACATCGACGTGCCTAATGAACTAGACGAGATTAGATGTAAGCAAGTCTTTAGAATGTTCACGGAGCTCTACACGAGATCCAGAAGCGAGCCCTGATTTGATTCTACTACACTTAGTCCTTTTAGGCGAAGATATACTAACTTCGACTCCTCCTAGACGTCGCCAACGCCACCAATTTCCGCCATGCCCTTCTAAAGCAATTCGGTAACCCCGAATACAACGTCTCCCTCAGGATATCGGAGGATGAAGATACGTGCTTAACATATAGGGGCTACATCAAATTCCTAGAGACCGATCTCCAAAATGTATATCCAATAGGTGAAGGGCGGAGCAAGTCAAAGTACAAGAGGGGAGTCGAGTATATCGCGAAGCAGATGCTCATGAGAGGCGATGTGAGTCCTATCTGACTTCGGGTCCTTTTTAGCCGAAAAGAAATGAGAGACGAAAGCCGGCTAATTCTTATGACGTAGGCCTTCGCTCGAGCGGTTCGGGAAAGATTCCCCGATCGACTAAGACTTTCTATTCATGCGTCGACGGGAGAAAACAAAATTTCCGTCAACCTTCTACCAACAGATACGACATTCACAACACCTTGGCACTGTACTATTGCAATCCGTCTCGACGGTACTACCATCACAGGCCACCGATCCGAATTCGAGGCCGACGACAACTTCGAGCTCGTATATAAAGACGGCCGACCCAGTTACTTCCGAGAGAAGAGTGACCTATTGTCATGGGCTACCGAAAAGGGGGGTATTATCTGCGAACCCTTATATCCTGCCGGTCTTGTTATCTACCCTGCTGCAGGCCGAGGTTCCTTATCCATAAGGGACATAGATGCGGCCAAGGTCCGAGCACTTTCTCAGGTCAATTCTCCCATCATACTTCGTGGCTTCTCCAAGACAAGAAATCGAGATTTGTTTGTAGATAAGGCTAAGGAATTTGGTGTGCCGACACCATGGAAGTTTGGCCTAGTCCTCGAGGTCAAGGATCGTGGCACGGATACCCGCGGCTTAAATAATGTTCTGTCAGCCGAGTGGATGCCATTCCACTATGATGGTTTATTCAAGACGGAAAAGAGAGTGAGGGAAGACGGAACCGAAGAATTAGTGTCTACACCACCGCTGTATGTTTTCGCCCTTTATTTCCTCTCCTTATCACGCGCTTGGTGCTAAATCAGTTAATTAGGTTCCAATTCTTCACGGCCGTCACAGCATCACCAAAAGACACAGGGTTCACACTCTTTTCATCATCCACGCTATTATTTAAATATCTCCCGTCGAACCTACCACTCTCAACGCTCAGACACCTGACTTGGACCGTGTCCACGTCGTCCTTCAACTCCACAGTTATCCGCGGCTTACCCCTGGTTATCAATCACCCATCAACTGCACGTCCATGTCTACGCTTCCACGAACCGTGGCCACAATCCAAAACAAGGTTTGAAGCTACGAATGTCACTATTGACAATGACGCGACTCGCGGTGTGGATGGTCCAAGCGTATGCGACGCGCTTACTAGTTTGTTACACGACCGTCGCGTTGCGTATTACCACGCGTGGGAGAAGGGCGATCTACTAGTGAACGATAATATCTTAGCAATGCACACGCGCAGTGACTTCACGGCGGGATGTGATCGGGAACTCTGGAGAATACACTTTGATTAGGGTGTCTCGTAAGTTTGGATCGGACGAAAATGATGTAGTTAATTTTTAGTAGTCATAGTCATGCTTCAGGTTAGTAGACGGGGGATAATTACATAAGGAAGCTCTTAGGAGTTCTTGAGAGGTGTACGTTAATTAGGTAGTTTGCGCGATAACAGGATAGCTGATTTCTCTGTTATGTTATGATACCCCTATTTCTTTCTTGCTTAGTAATCAATGGTAAACAATAGGGGTGTGCAATGTGTTGTTCGTATTCTTGCCTATTCTATGACTGGCAAATAACGAACTATAACTGTGGTCGCGTCCTATCCTATCGCGTCCTAACAAATCCTGTCAAAATCGTGCAGACCAACCTACGCACGCGCCTAACGCCAAACTTAAGCCAAGACCCTACCAATCCTCCAAGCTGAGGAATCTATCTCCAACCATAAGATTCCTCAATGTCCCAATCACTTTCGCCGCCAGAGAATAACCAGTTGCCAAAGCTCAGACCATAAAAGCCCCTGACAGATCCCGTACACTTTTTCCGCTTTTTGACGATCTCGAAATGTTCCATCTGTGGAAAAAGGCGTGTCGGTAGTAATTGTTTGTCCTCAGAAGTAGAAACCCGAGAAAGTCCCTCAATCATCCACGCATCCAGGGCCTTGTAAACATTGAAGTCAGGGGGAAACGCTCCACAGTCATCGTAATCGTAAACCGATAGGCTGAGGGTTTTTAATTTAGGCAAGGTTTTGTTGAGGCCGTAGAATATATTCACCCATGCCTTGTCGTCGAGTTTTGCGCCGGAGTCAGTTCCCATAAGAAGAGAAGTTATAGAAACTTCCTTGATACGGTCGAAGAATCCGGGAATGGGTTGTCGTGACACAATGACGTCGCCTTTCTGTTGTGCCATATTGTAGCAATAGGCACCATCCCTTACCAACCAAGGTTCGTCGATTTTTGACCTTATGAAATTCCATCGCATCCACATTGAGCAGCCGTTGTCGTAGAGTAGGTTTTGGATCTCGTTGATTGAGAGTAGGTTTCCAATCACGAGCCTATCCATTTTAGGGTTGAATGGCAGCGAGTGTCGAAGGGGTTGTCCGTAGTTTTGGATGGCGATTGTTCGGAACGCCTTGCAGACACTGAAAAGGTTGATTGCTTTCCACGCGCGTGGGTAGGCGAATACCATGAGTAGTGGGTTCGAAAATTTTGGTCCTTCTTCTTTCGTGTAGATCGAAGCCTTTAAGTCGTGTGGGTCCATGCTCATCAATAGGATCTTTTCGAAAATTTCAACCGGCATATCAAGTAAGGATGGGCCTGATGAACCCTTTTGGCGGCGATGAGCCGGGCCAACGGCGGAGAGCTGAGCGTCTTTTGCTAACTCGGCTTGCAACGTGGTGTACTTGACTCGTCGGGCAGTTCGTGGGTCGGTGGTGTAGTGGTAGTGACCCGTGTTGCATCGGATGAATGGTTTAATATCCGCGATGATCTCCTTCCACTTATCGTCCTTCTCAGGGTTGGCGGCGAAAGTGAGTTTGGTTGGCTTCTCGCCAACTAGAACTTTCTCGCCCTCCATGTCTGATGGCGTAAATGTGACGTGTTTTGTTTGTTTACGCGTGCTACAAGACTGTTAGAAAGGTTCGGAGTGCTGCTGATGGAAATACACTTACATTTGGTATTGAGGGATGAGAGGTCAAACAATTGATGGTGTTGTTGAACAGTCGATGTGGTTTAGATGAAGGTGGAAGGTGGGAAGAAGATGGTGAATACCTAGATGTAAAAGGTAGAAGAGAAGAGATTTGAAAGATAGTAGAGAGGATGCAATAAATATGAGAAAAGGTAAAAACAAACACCACTACCACAGTATAAAAGAGCTACTTCCACCTGATGACATTCGCACTGAGCGCGGGTACCCACTTTGACGATGTAGGGAGATGGTATGTGCACCACGAAATACCCAGTGCGTATGTGCATATCAAGTGACTCCGGTACTTAGATAAGTAGTGTATACATATGTAGTACATATTCCTGTTTATTTTTGATTTATCATTCCAATTTCACCTGGATAATAACATGGTTGGTTGTCTAGTTGATATATTTAACGCTGAGGCAGGGGGTTGCTTTAGGAGTATACGATATGTAGAGATCCTAAATTATTTACTTTCAACTATTGAATGTATATATACAAATAAAGGATGTTTAATATTTAATAGTTTAATTCAGGGGCACATATCAAAGTATCTTAATTATTATCATTGACCTCTCTATATCAACCCATACCTACCTAATCCAACGCATATATATTTTGAGGTCATCTTTAAAGTAGGTTAACAAACTTTATTTTAGATTATTCATTTTTTCCAAGAGACGAGGTTAATTAAGCTATAGTGGTGAGGCCACTAAGGCCCTGCGTTCAGGCATGTTTGTGGGCACCTTGCCGTTGAATAAGAACATACACTGTCAAGATAGAGTACATTCTAGCTCGGGAAGTTTCCGAAGCTAGAACTACCGGAGGTTGTCGTACCAAACGCGGATCTTGAAGGTGCCTGAACAAACAAAGACGATGATGGTTGTTCATATCTCGAAGACGGACCACCACCGAATAACCCCCCCTGTGATGATTTTGAGCCCACCCCACCAAATAAACTTGATGTTTTCAAAGGCTCCTCAATTGGTTGCTTGGGCCAGTATCCATTTTCTCGTACCCGCATAAGAAGGTCGTAGGTCAGAGTGGGCAATTCCTTCAGAATACTTCGGCATTCTTTTTGATCCAAGAACTTTGGATTCTTATGAAGTGTTTCCAATATGACATCTCTTAGCCCAGTATCGACGTCTACGGTAGATGTGTAGACCTCTCGAGCAGCTTTAGCGAAATCAAGGCGCTGCTCGTCGCTCGAACTCGAAATGTTATCGACTATAGCTCTGAACTTTGTTAGGGCTGTGGCTTTGAGACCACCGATGAGATATTTCTCCGCTAGCGCGTAGACTCTAGCATGGACGACAAGGCTCGGAGTGGTCGTCTGCAATATGATGAGCCTAGACTCTTGAGTGACGTTTATACAAAGGATACCCCTACCTGAGATGTGGTATAATCTAGGTTATAGAGATAAAAGATCATTTTCTCAACAATCGCGGGATCATCTTCTGGGAGGTCAATCCTCCCATCGCGTGCCTCCTAAACCAGGTGTTAAACGATGAGGCATAATTATAAGACCTTTACTAACCTTGAAATTACCACGACAAGCCGTAGCAAAGAACTCGGATCGCGGGCAAACAACGGCCTTGTGTACTTTATACTGCTTCCCACGACAGGTAATAATAAGATCAGAGTATTCTTCGCTGCGATAAAGTCTGTTTACAGCTTGGTTAGACTTGTATCAAATAAAGTCTAATGGCTAAACACCTACTTTCTCAAGGAATCTGCCAGCTCTAGAGAGGGACTGTTGATACCAAAAAGCGACATTTTTCCTTTGGTATGGCTGGGTATCGGCCCAAATAATGTCGGGAAACGATTGTGGATGTGAAGGGAGCATACGCGGACGGGGCCTCTTCGATATAATATAGGTAAGGAAAGAGAATTCCTCACAAATTAGCCATAGCATCAGAAGACGATCAAGATGACCTGTTCATTTTCCAACTTCTAATTCTGATTAGACAAGATACTGATCACTTTTCGACCAGATGAAACCTTGCAATCGACCAAATCTAAAATGCCGTCTTACTCTCTGGTATGTTACCAAACCAAACCAAACCCGTCAGCAACGGCCACGTTATTGATTTTGATGGGATTAGGTAGCAATCGCAATCGTTAAAGATGCATCCGATTTGCCGCCCAAAAATGAGCCTAGTTATGCTGTGTTACTCGAAATGCCGATTAAGTAAGCAACAGTGCCAATATGGATTGGATTGTAACATGAATAAAAGCAAGTATACCTAGTAGTAATGTAAAGGGAGGAAATGAGTATATATATGCGGCCTATATCCAGCACTGGTTATATTTATAGAGTCTAGAATTTCGTGAGGACGAGTTGTCACGCTGTCGCGGGTTTGCCCCCGAGAAGGGCGGTTTGGTTGGTTGAGAAGCATGGTTACAGTGAATGACACACTTCTGGGCCTACTACCTAGGAGGTTCTAATTATCTTCTTGTCTCTAATTGATAGCGAACATGGTTTTTGACAATACTAAGACGGAGGCGTCATCATTGAAGGAAAGCGAGCTGAGTTCAGCTCAAAGCCGGATTGGTAGGAGTGCAAGAAGAGGTAAGTTGCCTAGATAGTTAAGATATATACAAACGGCGTCCTGGTGAATGATATACTGAAACAAATTGAAGAATAAGTGTTCGGTCGTTTTGTTTGAAATTTGATACTTTACGTTTTGCTTGCTGTGATGGTGAACTAGGTATGGAAACCTCGGGGATAGTCGGAATTACTCGCAGCAACGATCTCATCCGATACATACCTAATTGTTAAGCAAAGGAACATTACACAATACCTATTTCTCTGCGTCTATCCACGTCAGCGTCGCCAACGTCAGATAAGGGGTAATCTGATAAATGAAAGCGCCTCGGTTGACCAAATGTGGGTCCCGACCAGCTACGAGTCGTACATTACCTCGTAATAAGCTGGGACCCGGGGTGACTAGGATGTGGCTTGTATTATACAGAAATGATCGTCGGCGGATCTATCACGCACCTAATAGGCATTAGCGTCATCACTCTTGCGGAACAATTCTACTTTCGTCATTTTCTTAGATGCAAACGATCGTCCTAAACAATCTTTAGAGGGGCGATTCACGGAAATTTGTCAATCAGGAAAACGAACTTGATGATCCTTAGGATGAATGTTTCTTAAGGCAGACATATCTAGACAAATTCTGGTCATGATAGGAGATGAACCCAAACAACTAGCCAATCATAATGACAGGGAGCCTGGTAATCTTGAAACAGATTTTCTGCATGGTTCTTCGCCAAGGGCAAAAGCCCTGGGCTGATCGTGGATCGTCAATGGGTCCACGGTTGATCCGGCTTGATCCAGTTCTAGTTCTTCGCTTGCTCTCGCTCCAAGTCGCTCTAAATCCTGCCTCCGATTGGCGCCTTCATCCCACCCTCGCGCGTGTTTCGAAACAATGAGGAGGTGGCCTGGCATCGATTCGTTTCAGGTTGAGCCGACCATCGAATGGCCTCCAGTCCCTTTCTCTAGTGCTACGCATGCTCTGCCAAACTGCCTGGGGGAGTAGCAGGGCTCATTCGACTGATGAACGAAGGTAGTAGGCCTCTTCCCCAATTAGCAGGGAGCATGGGATGATGCCGGGGACCGCAGTCGCTAAGTATGACGGATTGTAAGGGGGGTTACTTGGGTTTATATTACAGAAAGGTTAGCTGGATACGCGGGTGTGACCTCCAGCCTGCCCAACGTAAACCTCTAGTTCTGTTGTTTTTCGAACGAAAACAACCTTCTCTTTCGATCTAGAATTGATCGCTTATTCCTTTGCGACACCACCTTCTACCGTAGCCTCATCTATCTCCTCATAATACATCGCCGATTTCAATTAGAAAAAAGACCAATGGATCATCCATCGAGGGTATTGGCGCAGGCGCGAGAGCAATTAGAAGCTCTCAAACAATCCGGTCTAACTCGCGATGCTCTACTTGCATTGCTAGATGAAGAAACGCCAGAGCAACGGCAAAATGCCATGGTAGCCGAAGGTACGAAATGCAATGAAGCGTGCATCGATTGCTTGACCGCTAATTCGCGTAACAATAGCATCAGCTATCCCAAATTTCAGCCACCGAGACATCAATTCATTTCCCCAGCCCCCTCGACAACGATCATCGATCTCGTCGTCCCGGTCGAGTTGTTCAAGTCGCGATAGCGTTTTTTCCTCCGCGTCCGCGAGAAGCTCAATATCATCAACGACAGCCCCGACGTCGGATGCGAAATTTTGGTGCACATCCTGCGATAAGACGTTCAAGCGAAAATTCGATTGGAAACGACACGAAGAGGAATTCCACGAGCGGTCGCGCAAATATCCCTGTCCGAACTGTAACCAGAGCTTTTGGGGACCCAATACGTTCAATCAACACCATAAATCGGCACATGGCTGCAAGACATGCCCACATGCCGATACTGTCGTCAAGCATTTGCCAAAGAGGAGAGCATGGGGATGTGGTTTCTGCGCTGCGATGCATGGCAAATTTGAGAAACACATTGACCACGTTGCCGGGCATTTTGAGGCCGGAAGCACAAAGATAGATTGGCTGCATTCGAACGTCATCTATGGTCTGCTGCACCAGCACCTGATCCACGAGGCATGGAAGGCACTAATTGCGAAGAAGCAAAGCAAGTTCAATGGGCACCAGCCTATGTTCAGCTGGAGCCCGGAGTCGACGGGGCGAGCTCAGGGTTTTGTTGAGGGCGAGAATCCCGGACAATTACAGGACCTCCTGGAGTTTTTCGACGGTACCAAGGAATCGGCTGAAAATATCGTAGAAATGGCCTATACTTGTGTCCACGTCGTGTTTCGACCGAGATCCACGTCCATCACCCAAGGAGCTCAATCACCACCTTCGACATCTCCCACCAACGCGCACAAGCACATTTCTGTTCTCCCGAGGACCGCGCCATCCGCGCCGCGACGCTCAGCATCTACATCCGCGATATCCAGCATGAACCGACAAAGTAGGCGAACACCATCCGCTGATTCCCGCCACACCACCGTTCCCTCCCAGATTCCGAATCTAAACTTAGCTATCCCGCAACAGCCAAACCAACAACCTCCGCCCATGATGAATGCCTACCAAAGCTTCCCTATGCAGCAGGCGCCTCAGCAGAGGTACGTGCCGCCTGTCACCACCGACAAGGCCCTACCGCCTGCGCCGTTAGCCCCATCACCTACTTCGCCGATGAACCTGGATTTCCCGCTCTTCAACACAGACGAGGGCATGCTGCCGCCACTTAACTTCCCTTCAGAGGATTGGAGCTTCACAAGCACACTCGTCGAAGAAGAGGCGCAATCGCATACTTTATCTGGCAATTTCCCCATGACATGGGATGATTTGTAGCAGTTCGAGAGGAATTCATGACAACGACGACGATGATGATGAAAATGTGGGACTCGATGCCTGTTGAAAAAAAAGCTCAGGAGCTAGTACTTATTGTAATATAGTAGTTATGCCCCGGGCCTCTAGTGCTCGGCTGGAATGCATAATGTAATGATAGCAGATGGACTGATGGCTGGATTGTATCATGCTTGACATGCGGGAATCCATCAAAAGAATTGTACTCATTGATTCATAATTGAACGATATTCATGACTTTTTGGTGTTTGTTGCTCAACTCATGATACCCCATGGCATTTCGCCATTAGCTAACAGAATTCTGATTTTCTTTTCCGTCCATGGTTTAGGCCCACATCGAGTCTCTAGAGGAAGGGCATCATCCTTGACGAAATCACAATGTACGACATCATAATTAAAATAAGCATAAATGCCACATGCGCTGAACTCTACTTAAGTACCTGCATGTGAAGCTAACGGGAACGGACCATAACAAAGAAACTTTAGACTATGATTTCTGTCCCGAGGAGAAGGGTAACCAATCAGATACTTTGCCCTGAACCTAAAGATGAACTTAGTTGGTGAGGTTTCCAGATCGGGCAATATCAGAAACTATAATGAGGTACGAGAAGATCGAACCAAAGCAAACCACGTCAAGGGCTTAAATACGATTTTATATTCAGCTATCAATATTTCCTATGCGATTATGAATCGAATTGTACCTTTAGCAATGAATACTTCTATCATTAGATAATGGAAAGGTTGCGTGTGGGCGGAAACGAAAATTATTACACTCCACTATGGTGGGGACTACCAGCAAAATGATACGAAAGAAAAAAAATTCATGAAAAAGTTCAACCATAAAAATATTAGCTTCACTCCGTTTCGATCGGAGGTCCTCCGGGTTATGAGCCCGGCGCGCTTCCACTGCGCCATGAAGCTCTAGCCTGACGGGTTGATGTTTTCGTATGTTCGTGGTCCATCTATTTTAACCTATAAGTTCCCGCCGACATAGGATATGACTCACAGTACCACTTTGGGCCCCATTGGACCAAATTTTGTCTTTGCACCTCGCAATCGTCCGGAAAATATCTCATCGTTTTTCTCTTTTATTGGCTTGATTTATCTTTGATCGTAAATGCCACTCGTAAAGTCCCTCATAACTACCTAATTCTTTGTCTTGGATGCAGTTCAAACCGGACCAAACCAACGATAGGACGATCATCAATCTGCTATCACTGAGCCAAAGGTTTTCCAAGCTACAGCTATTATAGGTGCCATAATTATAGAGCACAGGGCGTCAGTCGTAATGATGCAGATATTTAGGTATTTAGCAGATAAAACATCGCCATAATCCTGATCTGTATGTGATATTCTACTATAAATTATAGCGAATCCACTCGCGATTTCTTATATCAATATCCCCCTTATGCCTACGTAGTAGCATACGGATATCCATCAGTCCTGGGTACTGAGTACGTCCCGACTAGAATCATCTTGGAGATTCGTTTGTATACACCCAGCTACGAAAGCAAATTCTAATTATATTGTTTTCATGCCTTAGTAGCTATCCGGTCTCAGACTAGGAAATATTCTCTTTAGTTGTTTGACATTTGTTATAAGGCCAACCTTATGGGGGTGTTTAACAACTCTGTTGTCATGTAAAGGGTCGTGTAAAGGGAGCACAAATACTTTGCTACGGGGACTATCGTATGCATACACCACCTCTTTGTCCTCATACCGGCAATAAGGGATCCTCGCGATACTCTGCATGAAGTATCGCTTCGTACAGCTAGGTTACTGACAACATTTACCTATTATCTATTGAGAGCCGTTCTAATCTGGCTGGTGCTTGAGGCAAGGAGCGTGTGACAAATGTGATAGATGCTATTTAGGTACTGGTCTCACGACCTTAAGGCACTTATACAACTGGTAACGTGATGGGCTGAGCCTCATGTGGAACTGGTAGCATAATCAGTAAATCTTTTAATAACGTAAAAGGGGCATAAATTTCCTTAAGGCCTAATACGGAAGGTTGCGCGAGGAAACACCCGGTTCCTTGAGATACGTCTCACGCTCTCCTCTATTCTCATCTTTAAATTCTCGATGCTGAAATTTTATAGCTTTCAACTGTGGCATTGTTGGGTAGGATGGTGTAGTGTTCTACATCAATGCGCCTGGTCACCAGCGTATTAATTGGTATTGGTCGCGCCCGCGCCTACATCACGGCTGCTGCAAATCAATTTCGCGATCTCGGCGCTAGGACGTCATTATCGGGTCTATAGGTGCTTGTGATGGAGCATTTGTCACGCCCATAATGGATGAATGCTAACGGTACGATACTGAAGATCTGAATTTTGACCAATTTTTTCATGGCTTATAAGTTCTACTCCTATTCGCGTGTCCCTAACAGGACGACGATGCTCAAGGAGAGGATTAAAATGTAGAGCCATAACAGTATCCTTTTTGACTGGACCGTTAGCTGCATGAGGGTTCGGAAGCCGGGATTTAGCAGTATCTACGCCACCTACGCCATCTTCAATAAAACCTTCATTTTTGACTGTTACACATGCTGCATGTGTTGCAGCTCGCGCCCTCCTCCTGAATCTCCTCAGATGGCACCGGTTGGAGCAGCCGATAGGGTGCCTCAGCGCGGCTCAGGGGGCAGAAAACGTACCTAAGTACTCTTCTCTGGGAGACAATCCTGTCAACTGAACTTAGTGATGTTTCTGGCTTGCCGGCCACAATAGCCGCAATGAGATCATCAAATGTAATCAATGAAATCTCCAGCTAGAGAACGATGCGGTCAAAAGAGCCCCCCAATGGGTTTTCTGTCTACCTAACTGTGCGCATGCCTCAACGTCTCGATGGAAATCATTAGAATAATCTTATCTCAGCAATGTTGTCTCAGAAGAACACCTCCGTGCACTTCTATATCAAGCCGGGACGGAACGGTATCAACGAAGGCTACGCGGCCGCCCAGTGGAAGGAGAAGATCCTTCCGCTTCGAGAGAAGCATGAAGTGAAACTTGCATGCGCTAGTGACTTCAATGGTTCAAAGTGGCTGCAGAATTTTGTGTGCGCGCTGCCGAATAATGAAAAGCCGGACTATCTTAACTTGTGTTTTATACACTCTTCAGCAAAACTCCGCTAACCGAGAAATTGTGAACGCAGAGAAATACCCTATTGAAAATATCATACCTAGCTACCTATTATTGTGGGGGAAATCGGGGGCACAAGCCGCAGCGCATCTCGGGTACCTAGGAAGGCAAGTTTACAGAGAAAGGCTCCGAATAGCTGGAGGGTCAGGACTGGCTCATTGAGTACAGCTTCTTCAGAGTGTTACTAATGAGTTTGTGAGGAGTATACACTAACATCAACCTAAATTTGCTTTTATTCTGCTTTAACTTTAGGGGTCTACCGTAGGTACCTTCGATGGATTCAAAATAAATCGAGCAATTCGCTAGGTAATTTTTTCCTCTTTTACAACGCATTATATACCTAAGTAATTATGTACTTATCTTACTTCAATCGAATCAGACATTGTGGTCTGGTTTATTGTACGACCTTGCCGCCCCCGCGAATACTGAGACAAAGCATCTGCAACTTAGGAACATGTTTTCTCAGCGACCACTAGCGAATAGATTACCCGAAAGGGAAGTAGGTGCATTAAGTATACTGAACAGGAGATACGTACCTAGGTATAACTAGGTACGTAGGGATGATCTAAGATGTGATTGATTCTCCGAAGAAATCTTGATCACCCGCTCTTCCGGAGATTCTATCCAGCGAATAATACGCCAGTTGAAGCGAGCCTTAACACACAATTCCGATATTAATACCGGATCTCTGGCCTCGCTTAGCAATACCTAGGTACCGCAGCCCGCATTATCCAATAGCTTCGATATATTACTAAAACGGTACTCGATCCGAGGCGGAAGTAAGCGAGCTAAGGTTAAACAGATGCGATTTTAAAAAATCGCGTGCCTGTAGATCCAAAACCATGGGAATCTTGATGGAACCTTCAGGGTCCCAAGCTTTGGGGTCTTCCTCTCAGAACCGAGATCCACCGCCGAGAAGAGATGGGCACGGGAGCTAAACACGGCTAGACCACAACAATTAAGCTATAAGAGGCCCGAGCAGATTTAGATGGCTCTAGAGCTAGATGGCGTCCACGAATCACTATTCTATCGCTAAACCAATGCCATAGCTCTTCACACAGCCCTGGAGGTTAACTTCTACTAATCCCACTAGCATCGGCTTGTCCCCTCTAAGAAGGTTAGATGGTGAGCGATCATCTAGAATTAAGAAGGGAAACAGCTCTTAAACCGCCAATACAATATCGATGAATGAAATCACATACATTAATTCTTCTCACCACCACATAGCTACCTAGGTAGCTTAGGGTTTCATCCGAGATCTAACCTATCTGCCACATGGCTAACGCGGGACCCCTGGCCTTATGCGTGTCAGCACACCTACGCTCGACATGCCGGAAAATTTCGCCTTATTCTAGAAGTGAAAAATATCGTTCGATGTCGAGATCTGGCCTGAGATTTATCCAACCACGCATGAAAATGCCGTCATATCGTCCCATTTCTCCTTACCAATATCCTCAACTCGCGTGATTTTCTTTGTTGGAAAGTGATAAACAGTTGCAAGCAGTATCGCATAGGACCGGTAATATCCGAACGCGTGCGTATCTTGTTATACCATGCGCTAGGTAGAAATTTTCTCTCAACATTCAGCCTGTGTCTAACGGGTAACTCCACAAAACAGATCAAGATGCAAGGTATCACGAGCTCGAGGCGGTAAGTAAGGGCTTAAAACCTCTGGGGCCGAATATGATGTTTATGGGGTATGAAACCTGTCTGGTTTTAAGACCAGAGTTCGAACCCGTGCCTTGAGGACTTGAGGGATTAGACTAGCTAATATTTCATATCAAATCTCTCTGATTATCTTATCCATCGGGATACATATACGGAACGTTGTTGGCACCGTATCATTGCTTGCCTCACCCACATTGCACTGATATTTGATGATTCGGTTCATCCGCATTTAATTATACCGATAATCTTATCCCTCTTCGGAAAGCGCTGGGACGACAGGAGACCACAATATGGCACTGAACTACAAGGAAACAAAGTTGGTCAAGGATACGATCCCGGCTCTACGTCAACATGGAGAACACATAGCGACTGTCTTCTACAAGACTATGCTACGTGACCACCCCGAACTCCACAACTACTTTAACACTGTGAACATGCACACGGGAAAGCAGCCGCGAGCATTGACGAGTCTTATCTTAGCTTTCGCATCTAACATCGTAAATATCAGCGAGTTGACACCGAAATTGGAACGAGTAGCACAGAAACATGCGTCACTCAACATTCAACCAGAGCAATATGATATTGTTGGAAAGTATCTGCTCCGTGCGTTCTCGGCCGTCCTTGGCCCCGCCATGACCCCTGACGTCAAGATGGCTTGGACGAAGGCGTACAGTGTCATGGCAAAGATGTTAACGGGTCGCGAAGCCCACATCTACCGCGAGTTTGAGAACTGGAAGGGTTGGCGAAAATTTATGATTTACCAGAAAAAGAACGAGACATTGGAGGGAAATATCGTCTCTTTTACGCTAAAGCCCATCGACGGGCAGCCACTGCCGACTTTTATGCCGGGTCAATACATCACTCTGAGGATCACGGTACCTGGAATGAAGTACGCGCAACTTAGGCAATATTCTTTAAGCGACGCCCCTAGCTATGACCATTACCGAATCACCGTTAAGAGAGATCAGGGATCGAACTGGGATTACGCCGGAGGTCAAAATGATACCCTGACAGTATCATCCGCTGTCAGTAGTGCATCGGATAGCAGTGTAGGCAGCGTGCAACCCGGGCGGCCCGGCGTTGTCTCAAACTCTCTTATCGATGAATTCCATGAAGGCGACACTATCGAACTGACACACCCGTCGGGCTCTTTCTACTTGAACCCCACTATGGATAATTCGATGCCCCTAGTTCTCATCTCTGCCGGAGTATGCGTCGCGCCTCTTCTATCTATGCTCAATACAGTTGTAGAGAAGCGAATCAATAGGCCGATATCCTGGATCCAGGCTTCTCGACACGATGCGCCTTTCCAGGCGCACATTGAGAACATGACTAAGAGGCATCCGAACATGAAGACCAAGTTTTTCAAGTCGAGATTATCTGACAGCGACGTGTTGTCGTACACTTCGAGCTTTGACAACGACTTCCTCTCCCTTACGTCCGAGGACTTATACCTCAACAATGGCTCATCCGACTACTACATTTGCGGCCCTGAGAAGTTCATGATGCAGGCTTCCAGCCATCTACACAAGTACGGAGTGAAGCCGGAAAGAGTTCAATTTGAGATCTTCTCCGTTGGGAGCTTTGAGATGAGGATGGACTAATTGATCATCCAAATATTCGATTCAACCGGGCCGGCCTTGTACGATCGTTCTCGGAGTCATCAATCATTAAATTGCTCCGATCGCCCAAGTCCTATGAGGGTCGCTAGTGACTGCGCTATAGTGTGTGGCACAGAGACGAGTGAGGACGTCCGGCGCCGAGTTTGAAGGCAGATGGAGTCAGCTTCTTGCCTCAACTATCGGATTCCAATGAGTCCAAGAGAAAAGCGCGTTTAGCGGATCATAGTCGCAACCTTTATCTACCTAGGTAGGTAGAGGTCTGTTCAAACCAGTTAGAGGATCAAATTTGGGCGGTCCACTTCAATAAAGTGAGAACGGGGGCCCCAGGAGCGAAATTTCCCTTTGTCGATACCAAAATTTCGATGACGGGCTACCAATGTGCGCCGATTATTAATAGATTTCATGTGGTCGAGTTAACGCATTCTCGGGACGGGATAAGGGTACAAAGACGCATTGCGTTATACCTTTTAGAATTGTATTTGGAATAATATTAAACATCACAAACTCATTGTCTGGTCTCTTTGTTTGTTTCGCGTTGTGGATATCGTAAGACAGTATTCACACTGTCGGCACAGATCAACTTCATCAACAACAGTGCACTCCTTGCACCCTGCTATCCCCTAGCTTTCTCACTTTCAATAGCTTTTGCCTCCCGCTCTTTTAACTCATGTTGAAGTTGGTGCATTCCTGCTTGGTAATCTTCCTCCCCGCCAGCGTATCGAACCCACAAGTCCTCACACAGATCGACATACTTCCTCGCCGCCGACAACTCGCTCGCTTTCATATACGCTCTAGCGACGACACCATAATACACGAGCAATTGAGCTTCTAGACTCTCCTTCTGAACCAAATTTTCAATCTCTCCCGTGAGCTGTGTGATAGCGTCCGCAGTCATATTTGCCTTACCGGTCGCGACCTCGTTTAATTCATGATAGATATTTAAGAGTCGCTTTCTGTGGTAGTCCGAAGTGTCCCTGTGAGTCTTTGACGCCGCACACAAGGAACATTGGCAGGTAAATCCCCAGCTATTGAGTCCTTCCTTACGCTCGTTATGTGTAAGACCTAGTGGGACATCTGAATAGGGGAATTGTTAGGTTCTCTGAAGATAGTGGGGATCAATGAAAAAGGAGCAGACTCACAACTCTGTGTGATCTCTTCCCCCATCTCAATGTCCCGCATCGCGATGACTTCAACTGCCAAATTTCGTACCGAATATCGCCAGAAAGCGCTATGAACGCGTTAGGACCTACATATTGAGCGCAGGGTCCCTCCAGTTACTTACCTAGGTTTGCAATCATGGTTCATTCGCTATTTCGGTCAGTTACTACCTAGTCACAATCATGCGCCAACCATAACTCACCGAAGCAGTTTGGAACAGCCCTAGGTGCGGTATCTCCATGCCTAGCTCTACTCCAAAAATATTTGTTTTCAACGTATCTTCAATTGGCTCGCCGCCCGAGCTCCGTGCAAGGGACAATATTTCACCCTGTTGCTCCTCTGGTAGTTGACGCAACGCTCGTTCTAGAATATCCTGTCGCGTTTCGGGACCGACCACTTCAAACAATCCCATATGCGTAAGTATGACGGGGAAATCAACAAGAATAACATCCCATTTCCGGATATGCCGTTTCGCGATAAGACCCTTCCCTTTGCCCGGAATGTTCTCGACCGCGAAGGCAGGACTATCCCTGGCGTCTGGCGCAAGTGAGCTTGAAGGGTGATCCCTTAGCCTAGGGGGCACTACCGCATCATCTAACGCGTCGACTATAGTAGCTGCTAGCACAGGTGTGGTGACGACGCTAAAGCCATGACTCCCTCGGAAGGGCTCGAACGTATAGAGGCAGAACTGTGGCGCGGGTGCGTCGCTTTGAAGAGGCTCTATACAGTACGGACGCTTCTTCCATGGAGCCCAGACCCCCGTGTCGATCGCCGAGTCTTCATCTATTGGAAGCGAACATGTTGATAACCCATATTTACCGCTTACTATGGAACGAGGTAGATTCGAGGCGCATGTGTTTGGGTCTAAAAGCTGAGCGCCCGCTAGTTGAGGTACGACGACAGAAGCCCCGAGGAATACTACTGCCCAAATGAAATTGAAACTTAGAAGACGGAGAAAATTCATGATTAGCGTAGCTTTCTGCACAAAGGAAAGTCCAAGTTGTAGCACAAGTTGAGCCTGGTAAATAATGAAGTATCACGGCATAAATGTCTTAAATTCACTAAGAGTCCAGGATAATATATCGGCTATAGAAGATACATGTATACAACTAGAAACGATAAGGCAAGATCTGTAAATGTGTCCAAATCGGGTTGATACTGTGTCATTGTGGTCCATCGAAACGATTCCGGCTAAATGTATGTCAAAAGCCCTACCTCAACCTGGTACTCGCAAGTCTTAGGTAATCCTCGGACTTCCATTCACCTTTCCATTACGATACCATCCGGTACATATATCGTATATACCTAGTCATACTGTAAAACTAGAAGCTCCTAAGTCTATTAGTGACGCTAGCTACAACAAAGGGGAGAGGGGACCGGAGCCGCCTCCGCCAGACTAAGCATGCAAATAGATATGCCATTCCATTAGGCGATATACTTATTCAAAAGAATATACTATATGTACAATGCATGGTTAACTACCTGGATGGCTTTCGGTTTACATGCGCCCAGTTATAGATGTCGACAGGGACCATTGACGTAAGAGTGACGACAGAAAGTCAGGACGCGATAGAATTATCAAAAGATTATCATGCTCAAGGAACCATAGAAGTTTAACTACTATTTTGCTAGACTATTGTAGTCTCTCATTCCTTTTGCTCTGTTCACTCTCATCATTTAAATAGTAAAATAGGGGGGAACAGTAACAAAGAGAAAAGGACAATGTACCCACTTCCTAGGTCCCGCCAGGAGTTACTGCTCCTGATGAATGATATTGTAAATTTTGCAGGGAACCAAGAATATCACTCTTTGTTACCGCATTCGTCAGTTGATCAGCTAGCATAAAGCATTCAAAGGATACCCATCAACAGGCTCTTCGACGAACTCCTTGACTTCGAGTTCCAATCAGATTATGAAAGTAGCACCCACAAGAACCTTGGAAGAGACTGTAGTAACGAGACAACTCCTTTGAACTTGAACATAATTATTCATTTGAACTTTGGAGTTGAAAGATATAGTTTTAGTATGTTCGGCAATGGGTCATACAACAGATGAAGCTAATTAGGATTGGTCCTAGGAGGGTTGCCTATATAATCAGGCCAGCCAGACGAGTTAATTCGGGTTGGAACCTCAGCAGCCAGACAGACAACCGTAAAGCAGAGCTATTCATATCATCGATACACCATCAACCAATCAAGTGCACTATCTTGTACCATCGTTCTTACACGAAAATTATACCAGCCGTACTATCTATTCGCAATGCCTTCAGCACAACCAACCTGCGCTGCTCGGATCATCCGAAACAAATTCCTCCTATCTGGATGGGGGGCGACGCTGTCCACAGAGACAAACCAGCTTGTGCTTGATCTTAGAGCTGATGCAGCGGCAACATACCAGCTACAAGTCTTAAGGGACCGTCCCATCTCCTCAATCAGCCTTCGGTCGGCACTTTTTTGGGAGCATCATCATTTGGCTGAACAGCGAATCATTTCTACGCCCTCGATCGACGATGAACTCGAACTCGAGCTCTTCTCCGCAAGCGAATCTTTCGAGACTGGCTACGATAAGATTAAAAAAGAAGTTTCCGCCAATCACGATCAGGTGACGATGCATTCTCTATTTGGACCTATCCGCGACCGGGAGTTTACTGTTTGGACATTCCGGGTTAACGGTGTATGGGTGACGGTAATCCTACGCATCGAGCCGATGTTGTTTGCCCCTGCGGGCGAGCGCTTCTGCGACCGGACTGTAACTCGATTTTACATTGTCGATTCTCTTCCAACAGAGCGTGAGTCACGAGCGAGGCTCCTTGATTCCCGTCTCCCAGATATCCTAAAAGAGGGTGGCATCGATCTACAAATTAAGCACACTCCGATTTCTACGCCCAACGTCGACTACACCTGGGCAACCGGACATGTCGCGTATGCGTTCTCCAGAGAATTTATGCGTCGTTTGAAGATCCTTCTTTTCAGAAGACAGCGTGGAGAAACTCCTATGGAGTTCCTCTTTGAGCCTTTCGAGGAGCATTTCGATGTCGACTACTACCGAGAGCTTATGATTTCTGCTAGCGCTCACTACGCCATCGAGAAGTCGAACTACCAAGTACGGCTAGCACTCGAGGTTCCAAGCGAGAAGTCCAAATATGACTCGAAGGCTCTCAAACGCGTGAAAATCGACGCCGAAAAGGTCGAGGATGAGGTGTACATCAGGGACGCACATAACAATCGCCCTATCGTTGTATCTATCCCTAAGGGTACGTTTAAGCCATCTGAGGATGACTTGCAGCAGCCGTCTGCGGTACCTGACTGCGACGAGGAATTAGATGAGGCTGACTATGACGATTCAGACTACGAGCCAGACGAAAACAAATCCACCCCTCTGACACCAATCCCTTCCCCGCCTGCGGCGGAACCCGTAGCACCTGGTGCACCAATTAAACCAACCAACACTATGGTTAAAACTGGACCAGTCACGCAGATGCACGATGCGGGAGATACCGAAGCATCAGTCTCAGATACACCGACCCCCGTCAGCAAACAGGACCACGCCGTTCCTACTGACGCCAAGCATGAAGAGGACGTCCACAAGAGCCCCAAAGAGACAATCAAATACGACGACGACGACAGTAAGTCGTCAACTAAGCGTCGCCTTAGTGATTCCGACGCAGAGGAGTCATCGTCAAAGCGGCAGCTGAAAGAAGTCGCGGGACATGACGATATTTGATGGCTTTTAAAGCTAAGCAAACGATTAGCTTTACTAAGCTACTGCATGGCGTGTTTACTTGACAAGCACTTGTTTGGAGTCTTTTTGTTTTCTGTTTATCAAAAAGTGCGTAGTGTTTTAGTGTTTAGAATATAGAGGTAGGTAGGTATTAATCTGCCATATATTTGTATATAGACCATCAATAGTAGCACCATCCCCTAGGTATTTGATCCTTCCGTACGGCAGTATTCGAATCGGCGAACATACGAGTTACCCAGGTCCCCTGCACAGATCCCTCCGCCTCCTATTTGCAAGTAGCAACCGCGCCTCCGGGTGCGGAATAGGTCGTGGCATCGAATCCGTTATAGACGTTTGGGATATAGATGTTCTTATCTTCGGCATTATAGGCCCCAGGTAAAGAAATCGTAGGTGAGCATTTCGATCCGGACCCCGTTATCTTCAGTTGCATACAGCCAATGTAGAACTGAGCTCCGCCAACGGTTTGCGCACCATGGAGTGCTAGCATTTCCGAACGAAGCTGGTAGTAGCACCTAGTTAAGCAAATCTTATCCAAAGTACAGTGATATAGAAACTTACTAGGTAGTCACCGCTCTTCAGTTTGCTAGGCAACTTGAAAGTGTAGTTTCCACCATTGTCTTGTATGACTTCGTTCGCCCAGTGACCGTTCACATAATCACGCTCATCGATTTTGAACCAACCGGCCCCAACACCTGATGCCTTAGCTGCATCATCAACTGGGCCGTATAAGAAATGTGTGATAGGACCGGGATGGCCTGAGGGGTCCCATCCGACTGTGATCTTGTCGCCTTGTTTGGCAGAGATTGTCTTCACCCCTGAGGGTACCTTATCGCCGCCAACATTACATGCGATATCGTTACTTTTCACATCTGTCTAGTATAGTGTAAGCTTTATGCTCGGTCGCTTAGTAAAGGTCGGACATACCACCGGGTTGTTACTAGGAGCACGACGAATCCCAATCTCATAGCCAGGGGAGACGTCATTAACCCAGAACTGATGAAGGTTTTGATGGGCTGAGGCGGCCGCAAACAGCGACGCGACGGCGAATTGTTTAAGCATATTGGTGAAGGTATACCTCTTACTTCCGAAACGCTTTGCCGAATAGAATGAATGGTTCCGAGAGAAGAGAAAACCGGGCTAAGGGTTGAATTCTCGTCGAGTTTTAATAACCTGAAACTTACTTAGCTATATAGTAGCAACATATAGAATTGCTTGTCGGCGAGTCTTACGAAGCCTAGATGCAGGCATACGATGGCCATTTTAGGCTCAATCTGTATGAGCGGGAAGAATCACTGCAGTGGGACAACAACCCTAGACTAAAGCTCTAATGTAACTACAATCGGATGTAGTTCTATGATAGTTCTATTTTATTGATGGAACAATACGAATTCCATACCAGATTGGAATTCCTCGGTAGCGATGAGCCCGTATCTTGGTTGCCATCTATGCGAAAACCAAAGCCACGTAATTCATTATACCGGGAGCCCATTATAACCTCCTTATGTCGCAGCATCCAAAAATGATCATTAAGCTCATGTTCGTGAGACCATCACTTTATGGGAAGACGGGCCTCTATTTGTCTGGGTCTTCATATTTCCATTCGAGGTAGGTAGAGTGTAAATAGTGACGTTGGCATACGCTCGTGTGACGTCAGCGTCAACACAGAATGAGGACAAAGCTTAAGTAATATTATATGTTAAATAAAGGTTCTTCCCTATTCATGATATTAGGGACCGAAGGTGCACAGCGTGCTTGATCTGTAAATGATTCATTGCCATGGACAACCTCGAAGCCTTAAAAGCCTCGGCAGGCGAGCGTCATGCTCGAGATAAAGGTGCGATGTGTGGGCAACATTAAGCAATTGGCATACTGACCATAAATTTACCACAAGCGAATAATCTCCATTTACCTGGATCTGCGGTTCCGTCAGACTCGGCTGCCCAGAAGACTGACTCTGCCCTTGGCCATTATATCGCTGCCATAACAACTAATCAGGTTAGTTTATCGCCTCTATTCTTCTAAGACCTAGGTACAGATCTACCTTACATACCTCTTAGGACGTAGATCCCCCCGATCCGCAACGTATCAGTAAGACATACCAGGGTCAGTCAATACCCCTAGACTCAGAACCTACTCTATCATCGAACATCGAGAAGGAAGCCGAGGTAGAGAACAACCCAGCAGCAGCAAACCATTTTGCGAAGGCAGCTACAAGCCTTCAAGCAGCATATGGACAAGATAAGGAGTGGCTTTCAAAACATCCTGATATGGACCAAGGGAAGAGAGCATAATGTGTCGTAGGAGTAAATGATAGCGGAGATGCTATACAAAGTCAATACTCTCATAAACATACCTCGCCAAAGAGCGTATCGTTATTGTGTCAACTTCGGGAACCGTAGGGGGTGGAATTCTGGTGGCGCCAGAGATACAAGACCTTCGTGTAAAGTGGAACCATGAAATGGAGTATGCAATAGGCCTAAAGCGATGAAAATCGAATATATTACGTTCTAGACACGGATATGGCGCATATCTTGTTAGACCGCATTCGTGTTCTCTACGCCTTTGACTACCCAGGTAGTAGGTGCTTCTGAGCATGCCTCTCCAGGTAGATGGTAGATAAGGTTCTCTTATTAACTTGACCACCCCTCGAATATCTCAACACCCTCTTGGGATACTCAAACGCGTCATCACCTGGAAAGATCGGCAGTACGCGCATGGAGATAATTGCTCTGGTGGGTTTCCTTATTGCATCTCAACCCACTCACCCGGAAGTTAGGTGTTGGAATATTAACAACACATGACTATCATCAACCCTTCAAAAAGAGATAAAACTCCAAGTTAGAGAGAGCAACCAATGAGATTCCCCGTTCAAAGCCCAGGATGGTAACATCATATGACGGGCCTTACCGGTACTCCATATTTGGTAAAGGAGGTGGGTAGCCGTGCGGGTACTGGCATGAGCCAATAGTATGTTGAGCTATCGCGTATTCAGTAGGTGAGCTCATGTTAGTCCAAGGTTGCAATTGATTTCCGACCCTCCAATAATAGCTCATCTGACCCTACAACTGTCTCTTTTTAGTAGAGCCATGAATTATGGCGCCAATTATCGATGGTACGAAACTTCACTTCAACTACCTAGGAGGGCCTTGGGAGGCGTGCGCCACTCCGACTAAGTCGATTAAGCCAGCATAATTAGCTCCTGAGTAGATACGAAGTGATATCCACGGAGTGGGATAACTCCTCGGAATAGGCCGCTTGGATGTTATGGCGTTTTGTATTGAGGAGTTGGGTTGCCTTAGGATCATATCCCAAGGTTGTTGGTTGTAACAGGCATTCATTCGGCAGTCCCAACCCATCCATCAACGAATGCAAGAGTCGGGTTATATGACATGTGCCTGCAATTCTCCGTATAGTTTTCCGTGAGAATCTAGTGATGGATTTCATCGCATTCAGTACGGATTGCTATATTCGCAACTAGAATTTAGCCCCTGAATTGCGTGAAGCGACACCGCGAACCTCTGTTCTCTATGGCAAATAACCGACTGACGAGCCTAACGCAATTTTCGATTTTAATCCATATTTAACTTGTGAATTAATGAACTGCATCGATAATGAATCCATATGATTACTCCTTACTCCCCACGGACTCGGAGTTGATAGCACAGTTCCTCGTAATAGCACATGGTACCCACCTAGGTACTGAGACATCATAAATGCATTAAAGGATTAGAGTAGTGCTAATGTATTCCTGCTCGATCCGCGATTTCCTTCATCGACTAGACGTATTCGCTGGATGTTGAAATGTTCATGAAGTGGGTATCATCTTTCCGTCATATTCCTTCGTCATTACACTTCACTAGTATTCTGTGTTAGAGTAACTATATCCATGGTGTTTAAGGATAAGTTTCTTGAGCTTACCTCATTAATGCTCGCTGATAGTGGAAATAACTCAAAGGCACATCCTGTATGCCGAGTTGTAACTCCAACCGAACCATAGAAACATGGAAAATACCTCAACTTCATCAAGGAAAGTAGTTAGGAGATAATCGGCCGAAATGTATACGCGATAGAAAATTATTATATTATTGAGACCAGTAATAACCGTTGCGGTCCCTTCTTGTCGCTTGGTATGCTGTCCACTCGGGTCCCGTATCCGTCGCGACGTACGTCGGGACGACAGGTGGGGTTATCGATCGAGGGAATCTCCAGACTCTATCCGGATAAGCGATTTCGTCTGTCTCGTAAATAGTTTCAACCTCGTCGTCGTCTTCCTGATAAACGGAGTAAGGAGTACATCCACACCGTCTGGTGCAGCAACACCAAAGAAGTATACCGAGCACGACAGCCCCTAAGCAGCATCCCACAATGATGCCAATTTCTTGCTGTCCCAAACCGTCCGAAGAAGAAGTAGCACCGGCACTCCAGCTCGGAGCTGCAGATGTTGTCGTCGGGCCACCACGATCTAGGGTCACGACGGCCGTACTTGTCGAGTCAGGGTACGTGATAGTTTGCGTCAAAGTGACTTGCCGCCTGACGATGCTCGACTGCTCTTGACCCGCGGGAACTATTGATGTTGTAAAAGTAACAGTCATTTCCGCGGCATGGAGCTGGGTCTCAGGCGTGAATATCACGAATCAGGACCAGGAGCCACGGTCCGGTCCTAGCAAAGTGCCATCATCCCCTTGGGCTGGGTCTAACAAGGTGGGCGGATCGCCAGGTATTTTATCCACGACCCTGTCACACGGTTGGAAGCCCCGCGCAGACCACAGCTAGGCCCTGTCCATCCAGGACACGTTGGAAGGTTGAAACATCCCACACCCATCCACCTGCAGCCAATTCAGATGGCATCGTCATCTGACATTGGTCGAACTCAGATGACGATTCTTGCTGCCCTATCATGATAGGTGCCAGCCCACTTGTCGGTTGGGTTGCTAACGTCTCGGCAGGTATGCGGAACAGGCATTGCACCCATCTGGCGGGTGCGACAATGATTGCCGCTAATGCACTGTAGACTGTAGATAATGCGCTGCCCAATCTCTGAGATCCCTACTCGTTCTAGTCTTGGTAGGGTTGCATCTGGGGACCAACCCGCCCTTACATCAAGCCTATCACATGAGATGCCCTCGAATAACTTGCGGCGGACCTGGTTACTTCTTCTCAAACCATGACTATACACCGAAAATGCATCACTGCGACGGTATTACTCGCATATGTACGAAATTCTTCCCTCGACTAACAAGCTGTTTTCAGTTTCACACAATGTCTGCCGTTAACGAGGCGTCCGTTCGAACACCGCTATTTCGCTATTCGCTAAATATATATATATTTTTTTTAAATACAGGGCAGTGCGGGCTTACCCGTCCGCTAGAGCGGCCTATTATGTATGATCTACCTCGCTAATCAGGTCCCCGACGCAATTTTCGGGGTATTTTCAACGCCACCGACGCAACCACTTTGCGGCATCGCTGGATATGTCGGGGTTCAGGACACGGGGCTTTAAAATAAGGGAATAACCCCCGGAGAAATAACTCGTTAATTTACAAATAGGAACTCTCCAATTTCGAGCCTACCTATCAACCATCTCTCTCAATGTGCTGAGTTGTTACCTTTGCTTCTTCCATCTTATGAAGCGCGATCTCGTGAGCCTGCGAAGAAGATTGGCATTCGAATGTGGGGAAATCTCGAGTAGCCACTCGCTTTTTGAACAGTTCGTCTATTTCCTCCAAGGACCTGCCTTTCATGTCGGGCAAAAACATCCAGATGAAAACTAAGCAAATGTTAGTAGACCATCAATGTTACATTTTGAGGCTCTTACCAAATGTCAAGGCGTTGCTCGCGGCCCAGATCCAGCAATATTTCGCCCCCCAATTCAAGGCTGTCGGATTGAGAAAATATGGCGAGCAAAAGGAAATCAGCCCTGTGTCGTAAGTTAGCCTACCCAAATACGTTTCACTGAGGCTCGGTGTTCTTGACAATATTACACAACTCGGTTGCATCGCACCGAAGGGGATGCACTTACAAGCAAAGACATAGTCCACTCCAGTAGCAAAGGACAAGGTGACCACTCGCAAGCGCGAGCTCACAACTTCGGCTGATATGGGCCACGTCATCGAGCCTGCGAAACCGCAATACACGATAACATAAAAGAAAGTGAAAGCGAGAAATGCCTTTGCGGCCTCCGGTGTGTCCGGTGCGATCGTCGCTCCTAGGGCCGGTCCAGCCATGGATATTATTGCACCTCCTGTGCCTATCAAAAACATCGTTCGGCGCCCCCAGACTCTGTATGCACAATACAAACCCGCTACCACACCGACAAGTTGTACTGTCATCGTGTAAATTCCAACCTTAAAGACGTCATCTACGCCTGCCTGCTGGAAGAAATAAGTCTAATAGTAATGTTAGACAACTCAAGTGAGTAATACACCGAAAATTTAGGAGCTTACACCGTAAGACAGGAAGACCCATACACCTGATGCGGCGCGCGACACTACAATCGCCAAGCATAGCATTGTGCGACGTAGGTTAGTTCCTCTGAAAATGTCCAGAAAGCTTGATGAAGATGCATTGAGCTTTTCTTCCTCTACACCTCGGATGATCTCGACAAGCTCTTCTTGCAAATACTCGGGCTCGAGTGAGTTCCCACGTAGGAAAGCAAGGGATTGTTCAGCCTCTTTGCGGCGGTCGTGAAGCATAAGCCATCTAGGCGATTCCGGGATAAAGAAGATGAAAATGCTTAAGAACGCAGGAAAGATGAAGAGACAAGCCAGAGGTATCTGATATGAGAGCCTATTCATCATATGGGAAGTCTTTTCGTCGACAACTGCTCCGATTATGGTTCCGATATTGATTGTGATAGCGAACATAGCCGAGCAGACGGCACGCAGTTTAGGCGGTGCACATTCCACGATATACGCATTAGAAAATGTGATGAAGAAGGCATTCGATACCCCCATTAACGCTCGTCCAACACACAGACTTTGAATTGAATTTGCAGCAATCTGAGTGGCGCATCCCGCAAAAGATACTAGAGTTCCCATCCATATTCCGTGTCGGCGACCAAAGTAACGTCCGAAAGGTGTAATAAAGAGGACTCCAATAAGTGTGCCCACATTCAAGAACGATGCGATTAGTTGTTGATCCCTCGTCGAAATACCCCAACCTCCTTTCAGAGAGGGATCTTCATACCCAAAGGTCATTAGGAAGCCGGGCATCGTCTGGAAAGTTCCGACAATAGACACGTCGAAGCCATATTGTGTTGTCGCGATGGCCATGCCCAAGCAGATAAGGGCGCACTTCCAATTCTCCCTGATGCCATTGTTGCGCTGGCTACTGATACCCATGATGCCTCCTGTCGTATGCGACTTGACTAAAACCGCATGAAGTCTAGAAAAGACCTACGCGATCGCTCTTGATTTCACAGAAGATCATGGTTCTTATAGGTAAAGATGCGTGCTCCGAGCTACGATAATCACTTCAGGCGATTGGACGTATACCCATCCCCTTTCAATATCAATGTCACATCCATCACGTCCCTTATAATACCAATTGATACAACTCATATACAAGGTCATATATTACCAAGAGAACTAGCCCCTCATCTAAACTACTATCGGGACTTAAATCCCTTGGGGATAGATGTATTTTGCAATGCCGGTAGATCAATTGTAACGTCATGGGGGGATCGACCTTGAATATCCCCACGGGGTAAATTGCTGTCTTTGCTGCATGATGAACACACACATACCTAGGTAATCTAGAGCACCAAGCTTCTATCTAAGCTCACTTTACACCTAGATAACTAAATCAAGTTGCATTTAGGGGTGGTGTTACATTAATATTCTAGGCGGTGGAAAGAAAGGTGTTGTAATGGCTCACCCCCTACACATCAGTATGGCGACTTTCCGGTGGGATCCTCAGTCTCTGCAAGAAAGCCAATTCAACGAAACGGACAATATAGAATCATAACATTTGAATTCCTAAACACCAACGATCCCGAAATTACTACTTCATCTGCACCCTACTCCGGCTTCACAGTCGTAATCCTACCCTCCTTATCATAAAAGATCTCCTTCACCTTCACACTCCTCAAATGATTAACACCGCCACTCAACTCACAATCATGATGGAACAACCACCACCTCCCCTCAAACTCCACAATCGAATGATGCGTTGTCCATCCCAACACCGGTTCCAAAATCCGTCCACCATACGTAAACGGGCCCAGGGGACTCTTACTCGTCGCATAAGCCAAAAAATGCGTATCCCCAGTCGAATAACTAAAATAATAAATCCCATCCCGTTTATGCATCCAAGCAGCCTCAAAGAACCTTCTCTCATGATCATCCGCCTCAATCGGCGCCCCCGTCTCCGGGGCCAGGATAACTAAATCCCGAACCGGACCCTCGAACGACCGCATATCATCCGCCAACTTCGCAACTTTCGGAAAAAGCGCCTTCGCGCCGGGGCCCGAGGGTTCTTTAGGACCCAACCACGCAGCATCGAAATGTTCCGGTGCGTTGCCAGTCTGGTAACATTGCAATTGTCCACCCCATAACCCACCAAAGTACAAATACGCGCTTTCATCCACATCATCATCGACGAAGGACGCAGGATCAATACTAAAACTCCCAGGAATCGGCTCCGGATCCGGTACAAAAGGACCAACAGGTGAATCCCCCACCGCAACACCAATACGAAAAACCTCGCTCTTATCACGCGCGGGGAAGTATAAATAATACCTCCCCTTCCGCCTCGCCGCGTCCGGAGCCCAAAGCTGCCTACTAACCCACGGGACTTGTTCAGCACTCAGAACGACGCCGTGGTCTGTGACTTTCGGAGACTCGACGGATGACGATGAAGGTTCGTCCGCGTAGGCTTCTAGGGAGTCGAGGGAGAAGACGTGGTAGTCTACCATATCGTATTGGTCGCCATTATCGTTGAATTGGATATCGGTTTCCCGGTCGTGCGAGGGGTATATGTATACTTTGCCGTCGAAGACGTGGGCGGAGGGGTCCGCGGTGTAGACGTGTGTTATTAGAGGTGGTGACATGTTGATTCCGTTTTTATTGCCTTGTGACTTTTCTTCTTTTTGATATCAAGTTCAATCGCAATTTATTTTCGAAATGTCTAAATTTTGATCAGGGGTCGCTGCGTGGGGTTCTTATAGGGGGTGAGGGGATCGTGAAGTGGGGGATTATTGGTGTTGAGGGGGAGCTCTAAAGTAGAACTAAACAGCTATAAATTCGAAAACTACAGGGAACTTTTATCTTTTACTTTTAGTGCCAAATATTATTATTATCCCATGTTTTCCGAGGCTCTTTGCATCACGCGATTCATAATTCTCCAGCGGTACGTGTAACGGTTATGGAGTTGATCTTTCTACTCTCGTCCCGGCGGAATGGATGTCCGTTTCCTTCCAATTTATCCCTATTTAACCGCCCGCCCGCCTACCTTAGCTCCGCTCCACTTCTAGGCAAGATACGATCCTACTTGGGGGTACGCGTACTAGTGTCCTCTGGGGCATATAGAATTCGAAGTGTCGATTAGTTTTCTCGGCGAGATTTTATGGCCCTTGGTATGACTGAAAGAGATGTTAACGCATTGTTATTTTCACTAAGGACTTACAGATTTGGTGAGTTACCATTTTTGTATTCATATCATGTTTTTATACAGGTATCGTTTAATATTTACATAAACCACCATATATCTTCTCGAGGTAACAGCACGCCGCACCTGAAAGTCCGGTGCTATATCGAATATGTGCCTGTGAAACAAAGGGATTCAGGGTCGCAGCCGTTCCGACCATATCCTCATATATCTACTACGCCCAGCGTGAGTCGTCGAAGAGCGTCTTCGTACCTTCCAGGACTATGGTCCATCAACATACTAGAGCCGAACCGAACTTCTCTAAAGTGCGCTTCGACATCTCTAATGTATTTGAACACGACGCGGGTTGCAGGCCTTCCCACCTGACCCGTCCCGGCTTGAAGGAAAGCGTCTCTTCTCAAGGCTGGTGTGCTTTCAACCGAGAATACCTCTCCAGGAGGCATGAGCTTATTACTCATCATGCTGGCACGCAGGGTCTTAAGCGCTGCGTATGCCCACTTGTCCTCTTCCTCGTTTGAATGAGTCGGCCCATTATTGTACCATTTGTTAGCCAGTCCAGATTGTAGACCCTCCCAGATTCGCCGACGTACTTCCGCTTTCGCTTCGCAGTTATCCGTTTTGAAAGCGAGTGCGACAGCTTGGAAGTCGTGTAAGACGCCCAATGACAGATATGGAACAAGGTCATTTCCATGCACCGTGCTAGTTATTAATCCTCGCGTCGCCTTTTGTAGAGATGGCGACACAGTAGCAGGTGGGCCGTAGGCATATACGTGGATTGGCCTACCTGGCGGAAGGCAGATATGAGACGTAGTTCGGTGAGTTTGGCTGTCGGCAAGCAGTTTTTGGTGTGGTTCCGAAGAGGTGATAAATGCCGTCCCCGTGGAAGCGGGCTCGGCGAGCATAACTCCAAGTAACGCAGTAACCGCGCCACCTAGTGAATGCCCACAGAGCACCAGACCGTAATCCGGAAATTCCTCGAGAGCCTCTTTTAAAGTTGCCAATACTCTTCCATCCCCACCGTATAAGAGTCGCCGCGCAGATGCATGGATGCCCTTGTGGACCTTGTATTTTTCTCCTCGCCATAGTAAATCATCATACTCGCACATCATGTCAGCTAGGACATCTTCAAAACCTAACGTGCCACGGCAGGATAATACAACTGCTTTGGACTCCTCGTCGAGTGCAATGGTATGCACAAGAGGTATTCCTGTATCGGTTGATCCGGTTGAATCCGAACCACCTTGCGGGTCGACAAATGAGGATAAGAGAATGCTATCTGGAGGTAATTCCGTATGGTGCGCGAATGAACGCACATCTTGGTGGGTCTCGTCTAATGCTTTTAGAGCAGGCAGTTCTTTGGTAATCCCCATAAATTTCAAGAAGTTCGAGCCATACGCCGCAGAAGCGTACCGGCTATATCGAGTGATATTTCTAAGAATATGAAACTCCGGGAACATCCCGTCGACCATACCCGTTCGTCGTAGTGTATCCACGGCTTGCGAATCGCTATATGCGCTCTTTTGATGGAACGAAGCTAACGCTAAAGACATTTGAGAATCTCTAGTTTTGAGTGTATAAATGCTTGGACTATATAAACTGCGATTCTCTGATCGCGCCCTATTATGACCTCGCGCTGGTGAAGAGGGATGTCGCGTGTCAACATCATTCCCAGGTTCCGGATGTGGTACCCCAAGATGTGTCTTAGGCTCACTTCTTTGAAATGCTGGGGATGATGGCCGACTTTCAAAAGAATGTACAGAGAATGTGTCAGTCAACGATACAACAGAATTGCGGCGCCGATTATACAAGGGTCCGTACGGTCCTCGAGATGGCGAGTCGTGTACTATGGAAGGGCCTCCAACATCACCCAAGTCTCGCGATGTGAAATGGTTTGGACTTCCCCGACGTGGGGCTCTAGGAGCATCGCGATATGGCAATAAACTTGAAGCTCTATCCGGCACATCTCCCTTTCTATGCGTAATTGGTAATCTGCTTTGAGAGGGCTTGTTGCTACCCCATGGAGGTTTCGCAGCAGGCTTAGATTTTGAACTTGCTTGGAGATTCTCGGAGCTCGAATCTCGGTTCAATAAGACAGATCCCTTTTTAAGAACACCTCGAATCCCGCCCTTCTTTTCATTCACTTTGATTGTTGGCGGCGACTCAAGTTTTCTAGCAGTAGGCCTATTACTAGTAGGCGAAACAGGACCGGGGATAGGGCTTCGAGTGTTGTGTCGCGACTCTTCCAATGGCTTTCTGGTACGCTTTTGGTTTGCAGCATGTTCTGATATTTGCTTAGGAGAAGATGTTGGAGATGTTCGATCCTTGGAGTAATTCAAACCGGATCCGGCAGCACCGTTCGATATAGGCCTCATTTGATGAGTCGAAGAATCGTTTGCAGCATTTCCCTTTCCCTTGGCGGACGAAGCGAATGTTGGACGTGCAGCTTTTGGTGGAACAGGTGGAGGCTGATCAACATGCCGAGCGTCCAAGCCAGTTGGCGAATGCGGCTCATCATCTTCAACCGCTTCGACTCGGGATTGGGTATCTTCCTCGCCGTCGCTATTAATGGCAGTCCTTCTCACTTTATTTCGACTAATCTTATACACGACTCTGTAATTCGGGCCTTCTTGACCTTCCGGTGTGTTGTCTTCCGAATCGTTAATTTCACTCTTCACAAAATCAATGCCTGGGAGTGATAAGATCGGCATCAACGGTGTACCCCTAATATCAACTGTAACGGTCTTGGTCGTGGTAGTTGATGTCGTTATGGAGACTTGAGTATCTTTGGGAAGAGACTTCATAATATGTCGTTTAAGTTGGGCTTCAGGTAATTCATCCTCGTCACTACTATTCCATCTGGCACCGTGCTGCTCGATCGCTTCGATAAACTGGCTTTGGTTATCCGATTTGTTTTCTTGTTGCTCACCACCCGCATTATGCGGATCTTCATTATCGACATCCACCCGTTCGCCGTTAAGAACGACAACGTCCCATATAATCTCTTCTTGACAAAGACGGCGAGCTTCATCTTGTATCATTTTTCTACACCAATTCTGTAGATATGCAAGACCACACAGACCAAGCAGAAGGTCCATCACCCCAACCTTTTCTCCTTGTACGCCGGTTGCAGGATTCTGGAATTCTCGACGAATTAAAGTTATAATGCTTGCGATAGCTCTGGAGGAATCTGTGGAACCGAAGAATTGGTCTAGGACAGATAAGAATAGTTGAGAGATCTGGGACACTGTCGATACGGTGGTTCCAGTGATATGAAACCCGGTCGCAGTCCAAAATACAATTTGGGACATTGTCTGATGTAGACTCTCCAAACTCTTCTCCAAGATAGACTCAGCATCTGTTCTACCTAGCTCGGACTGAGCTCTTGACATCACATCTCTTCCTGCCCTACTCAATATTCCCTCTAGGATACCGCGGCCTAGCTCTAGACTAGAAAGCGTCGTGAACTTCGCAGCTCCCAAGCCATAACCACCAATGAAAGTACCGACGCGGAGGGCAAAGGACGTCGATCGTGCGGCAAGACTGACGGCGCTTGCTATGGGGCTGGGTAGAAGGGTTCGACCCGCGGCGGATGGCAAGAGGTCCTCGGATGAGGGTAAAAGGGCCTCGGTTGAAGTATTCTGGTCTTCATTGTGATCTGCTTCCGTGGCCTTTAACATTTCGACGACGATAGCGCAATAGACTTTCGAAATGAATAGACTGCATTGGTTGTACTGGACACCGCGGGAATCGTATATGTCAAAGTTAGACGTATGGCTGGTGATGGGTGTCAGTGGCTCGCGAAACGAATAGCAAGTTGGCGAGACAAATTTTGCAACAAAGACACCACATGTATGGTATATACATTTATTGCCGATCTAATGCGATATACAAGATTTGAAAAATTCGAACAATAAAGACCACAAGGTTTGAATTTATTGGAATTGATATATCATGATTTTTAGAGAATCGAAGATTGGCCACGCTGAAATGATTGTTAGGTAGTAAGATGCGTCGCAAAAGTTTAAAAGCACGCGGCGCACGGTACGAATAGAAAAAAACTGTTGACGTTTAGCAGTGTTAAGCTCGTTAGCGTAAACTTACATGTGATAGTAACGCGGGGATAATGGACCGGACGGAAAGCCTGTTCTACCGCTTGGGTCTAGATGTCATTGGCCACGTCCCACTGTCGTCACTAAACTAGCCTAGCTAGCGAAGTTTAGTTCCCTATAGTTTAGCGCTAATATAAAAGTAGTAGAGAACAACTGTTCCCAATTGATTTCTCCGATATGACGAAGACGCCGAGATGGACTCAACGATAAGAGCACATGGAAACGTGTCTGCATCTTAGACGATTTCCACGTTCACTTCTTCCGCCCATCAACCCGGTTGGTTCCCGAGGTCTGCGGCAACCAATGTAGGTACGCATCCTATCCTGGATACTTGGGAGAAAGGTGTGATGCAGGAACATCGAACCAGGGCAATGTCCACGTCATCTTAAAGGTAGCATTCACTAGCGAGTCAGGTTCAGTCATTTGCCTGTAATTAATCAGTAGTTTAATACAAATTGAATAAGTCACGAAATGCCGCTTCATTTGCATTCTACCACATATTGTTAGTGGTATGTCCACGGTCCAGAACCATGATGTTTAGTTGGGTGGAAGGTTGACGAGTCAATTGGGAAGAATGTAGGATTGAGGAAGAAATAATAATAATAATAATAATAATGGAGGGTTGCTGGGGTTAGAAAGAAGAAAGAAATGGACAATCCAAACAACGAGTATGATTTGTTGAATCGTTCTAGCCTCTCTTTTTACGTACTTAGGTACCAATTCAACTCAAAAAGCCTATGCAAGATTAAGTTCATAAGCCTCAAAGTCAATATGATGTCAGCTGCGAAAATGGTTGGAATTTTCATTGTCGAACCCAGTAACCAAACAGCCAAGGTACCGAGGCAAGTACCAAACAATACATCGAGAAGCTAAAATTCGTTAAAGTTCTATTCTTAGTTGCCTTCAAGCTTTTACGAAGTCCCGGCTGTTCAGCTCTATGCAGGCTATGCAGCAGCCCAGCCGGCTATCGTTGGGTGCTTGACAAGGGTCGGAACCAATCAATTGAGGCTAAGCACCTGAAAATTTAGGGATATACAGGGGATTACAAGGTACCTCATGGTAACCTTAAGGGTATCAGGGGTCCTAAGAGGGAATTTCCAAGGCTCAGCCCAGATCTCTAGCGATCCAATTTCTGATTCGAGCTCTTCTTCGTATTTTTACATGTTTCTTGTTTAACGACGATAATATTTCCAACAACCAATTTATAAGACTAGAAAAGGGATAGAGTGGTCATCTTTTGTGCTGCGACAGCTGACCTATCTCATTCTTCATTTATCATTCCTCATTCCGCTGACAGATCAATTCAACTATCATTATCTACCCTCTTCATTACCGATCTACTCTACTCTTAGGTGACCTAGACATATTACGCACTTCCGTGGAATTGGAATCGGAATTGGTTAAATTCGCTTTCCCCTAACTACGATTGATACGATACCTTCATTAATTTTGCATCATGTTAACACATATCCCAATGGCGGAACAAGGCCTCTTTTCGTCCGACCTCATCTCTCCTACTGTCGCGGCTGCTCTTCCAGAAGGCTACACCGCTCGCTCGCTACGATTGTCCGACTATGAAGCCGGTTTCCTCGATTGCCTACGTGTTTTAACGACCGTTGGTGAGATTAGCAAAGAGCAATTTGCCGAGAGATACAATTGGATGTCATCGCAAGAAACATCTTATGTACTTGTCATTGAAGACACGGCAACGGGAAAGATCGTAGGAACTGGAGCCCTGCTCGTAGAGAGGAAATTGTAAGAGATTCCCTTAAGAAAATGGCATTGGGAGCGAATCACACTGGATTCGAAACATTCTTCATGCGAGTCAGCGTCAACACGATGAGGAATATCATTGCTGACATAACGGCCCCCAAATAGCATCCATAATCTTGGCCTAGTCGGTCACATCGAAGATATCGCCGTCGCGAAAGATCAACAAGGCAAGAAACTCGGTCTCCGCCTTATCCAAGCCCTCGATTTCATTGCCGAGAAGGTCGGCTGCTACAAGACAATCCTCGACTGCAGCGAAGCGAACGAAGGGTTCTACGTAAAATGTGGATTCCGAAGAGCTGGGCTTGAAATGGCCCATTACTATAATAGCGATAAAAGTAAGGCCCAGTGAGAGGAGAGGGGAGGTTCACCATATAAAACACGCACATATACCTATGCACACGTGCTTTTCGGTACCTCGGCTGACCCCGGGAACTTGATAGAGCCGAAGATCTAGGTTAATGAAGTTGAGCTTCTCTGACAGAAGCCAAGGAGTCACGAAAGGGATGGGACATACACATTATATAATAGAGTTCGGGCATGAGTACTGACAGACGAATATTCTTACCTTGCGAGAGGACTGTTTGCTACGGGATATAGAGTATAGAGTCTAAAGTATCAGAAAGGCATGTGAAAGAAAACATGTGAAGATGGCCTCCAACAGCATACTTCGATTTCGTCACTTCATTACGAAGCTTAGTAGACGGGGATTTAACCGGACCACTTCGTACTAAGCTCCAATATTGCCTTCTATTTCGGGTTGGTAGGTGGTCCGGTAGTGAGCTGGTTGGACATTGTGACAACCCCTCGCATTGAGGAGTTCGGAGATGTGAAATACTCCTGGGCCAATCCGTACTAAGCTTGGCGTCTTACTGCGATGCATTCATTGCTTTCATACAAAGTAAGGCGAGGCTTACTCAGACATGACTGGCTGTAGGAATAACATCACAAGCCTACCCCTCAATATTCAGCTGCAATTAACGAAATTCATAGGTGGATATCCATTCCCGGGGTTTCTCTAATTGTCATACATTCGGCATAGCTATAACTCAAGACATACGAATATAAAACATCCCCGTCTCACTCCCGTTCTGAAGAGGACCAAGGTCTGAGACTTAGTATTAACAATACACTTCGCTATTCGCCCTTATTTGTACTACTAACATACGGTATACGACACTTGCATTACTAACTGTATACGAAACCGGCATTGGTTCTCATTAGATACTTAGCTATTTGGTTGGAACACGCGAGGACCGAGCTTGCATACGGACATCCCCAAACACGGACAGCTCGGTATTACGAAACATCGCGCCCACCTACCCCTCCCTATTCAAGAAATGGCTTACAAAAGCAACGCAAACGAGGCCGTTGATCAGGATCTCCGCAACGCCTTGATCAGAGCTAATATAGCATTGCTTCAGCGAGAGTAAGTATTTTTTTTATAATTGCGAAGTTGCCAAGAATAGCAAGTTGCAGTTATAAAGACCAATTGAGAGTGAGATAGTCTAACAAATAACAACAGAATCCGTGAGAAAAAAGACTGGTACACAACCCGCAGAGTCGTAGTCCGGAAGCGCAACGGCCGCATCCACCTCTCCCGCCTAGGCTCGCGCCAACAACAACCTCACCACCAAGACTACACCGCCATCGACTTCGACGACGACTCACAAACCAGCAACAGCTTCACGCTCATCGACGAGCCACTAACCACGCGATCCGCCAGCTCGAGTTTTAGCTCCACCACATCCTCCAACTTCGCCTAACCCCTCCCCAAAGATGGCCCCAGACGCCCGCCCCGCGCCCAAGCAATGGCAAATGGGCGTCTCAACATTCGAGCGCGTAATGCAACACCACGCCAGCATCCGCGCCCTCTGGGAAACCAAGTGGCGCGAACCATGTCGACGGTCCGTATACCCATTCCACGACGGCGCATTCACCGATTTCGAGCCCGTATTCCAGGATCTAATCGCAGGTGACATTAACGACGGGACATCAGCCGCGTACACACGCGCCTTCATCCCCGCCTCCCGCCAACTAGAAAAGCTCGGCGACGACGCGGTTGCGTTGGGGAGTGACAGTGGAAGAAACAAGGCTTCGGAGTTGTATTTACGCGCTGCTTGTCTGCTTAGGATTGCGCGGTTTCCGTATATTACGGCGTTTCCCCAGGTTAGCGATGGCCCGAAGTGGGAGGCTTGGGAGTTGCAGAAGAGTATATATGCCAAAGCTGGTGCGCTTTGGAAGCCGTCGCCGTTGGAGGAGGTTGATATCCCGCATACGTTTGCTAAGGGTCGCGATCGTACTTCTATTCCGACGTATGTGCGTGTTCCGCCCTCGAATGATGGGAGGAATGGCCAGGGGAAGTTTCCGGCTGTTATTTTGTTGACGGGGCTTGATGGGTATCGCCCTGATAATACCACGCGTAGTGATGAGTTTCTTGCGCGTGGGTGGGCTGCTATTATTTTTGAAATCCCCGGGACGGCGGATAGTCCGGCTGATCCGTTTGACCCGTCGTCCCCTGATCGCGTTCTTGATAGTGTGTTCGCTTGGATGGCGGCAGATGGCCGTTTTGATCTCGCGCGTGTCCTGTGTTGGGGGCTTAGCAGTGGTGGATACTACGCTGTGCGTGCAGCACATACACACCGAGAGAAATTACTAGGAGTTGTGGCGCATGGTGCGGGTACGCATCATTTCTTTGATAAGGAGTGGTTGGCGAAGGCCGATGGACATGAGTACCCTTTTCAATTGACCCCGGCGTTGGCGATGAAGCATGGGTATGGGACTGATGTAAAGACCTATCTTGAGGATGCGCAGAGGAGGTTTTCTTTGCTTGAAACGGGGATATTGGCGCAGCCGAGCACGAGGTTGCTCCTTGTGAATGTATGTTCCTACCCCTTTTCTTTTATACTGATAACATATACTGACAGCGAGTTCTATAGGGTACGCACGACGGCCTCATGCCAATCGAAGATTCGATGCTATTGTTTGAATACGGGTCACCAAAGGAGGCGAGGTTCTTTACGGGTGCATTGCATATGGGATATCCTATGGCGAATTCGTCTGTATACCCCTGGATGGAACAGGTTATGGCGTCTACGAAGTGATGTTTACATGTTTTAACGTATTACGTTGAATTGAGCTGGTTTGGTTTATTTGATTTATCTGTATTTATACCTCGTCTGAATCCCAAGCGACGATTATAGGTTTTCCACTAGGTACTCAAGAACACACGAAGTAGTTGGTCTCAATAGGCACAAGCTACCTTAAAGTCGTACAAATGCTCGTGTTTATAGTAAGCAGTTCCCATAGTTTGCGCCCACCAATCCATTGTTCCTTATTATTACTATTTTCCCCGGTTCAATTCTCCATTACCGGCCCATCCACCCACCATCAACAACCAACGTATGTCCGCTGACATAGTCACTCGCCTTGCTTGCTAGGAACACGGAGGTTCCCTTAAAATCATCGGGGTTCCCCCACCGTCCAGCCGGAATGCGCTCGCTTATACTTGCAGCTCTTGCCTCATCATTGATTAAAGCCGTGTTCATTTCCGTCGCAATATAACCCGGAGCGATAGCGTTCACATTGACACCTCTCTTAGCCCACGAGTTTGCAAAAGACTTGGTCAATTGGGTCACCGCGCCTTTACTTGCTGCATATGCGGGCACATTCAAACCTCCTTGGAACGATAGTAGACTCGCGAAATTGATTATGCTACCCCGACGACCCGTCGTTTCGGAGGGTTCGAGGGATAACATATGCGCTCCCGCTTCTCGACATAATGTAAATACAGCGTCCAAGTTCACATTTAGAACAGCTCGGAAATCGGCGCCAGGGAAGACTTCAGGTGCATGTCGTATCTGAATTCCGGCGCAATTTACTAGAATTCGTATCGTGTGTCCGTCTGCTAGGATTCGTGGCACCAAGCCTTCTACATCATCTTTATTGGAGAGATCTGCGGTGTAAACGTGTACATTTCGACCGAGAGCCTCGACAGCGTTTTTGGTTTCGACTGATGCTTCGGATCGCTATGTTCAGGTTTAATTCTACTCCTGGATACAAGTAATTCTCTTGTCATGAGCAGCATAGGGGTCATACCTGGATTAGTATTATATCGGCACCCGCTTCCGCTAATCCAACGGCTACAGCTTGACCAATGCCCCTCGTACCACCAGTTATCAGGGCTGTCTCGCCCTCGAGCGAGAATAACGGATTTGCCATATTTTCTTGGAGTTGATCGATCTTGATTATGTTGTAAGTCAGGGTGGAAGGTATAATTCCACTACTTCCTACTACGTATATCTTGCTACCGCTAGAGCTCGCGCCTAGTCAAAGCTCAAGCTTCACAATTAACTTAACTTACTTACCTGGGTGGCTTTCGGTGGCTTAATTACCCCTCTATCGCATCGTACAATTACGTCTTTCTCCATTCCGTATTCGGAGTAACATCTTCAACCTCCACCTACGTCAACACGGCTAGATATAACTTTAACAAGGCGTGGGGGGTAAAGTAAAAAATACGATAGACTTCGAAGGAACCTGTCAAAGACTTTGCTGCTAGTCCCATGATGCCTTAGTCGGTGATAACTCGGCCCCTAAGATTCCCCCCTCATAGCGTACATAGCGGGGTAAATGGAGACGGAATTTGGGGTAGGAATATTTACCCACGAACCAGATCGGCCATAAACAGCTATTTCTACCGAGTTTAGCATACTTCGCCGGATTTTACTACGAAAGCTTCCCCCACAGTGGACAGATGGCGCATATTGGTCGCTGTAAAAACTTACTATCTGCAGGTAATCTTAGGTAGTTCCAGCGTTAAGGAGTAACTATAGCACATGTGGAATCGGTTGGTGCCCGCAATTCAGGTAGGTACTGTACAATCCAGCGATGCATACGAGAATGCCGACACTAGGTTAACTGAAGCTCAGGTGAAGAACGAGGTAGTAATAAACGTTTACATAATTATTCCAATGCTGATACTACTTCCGAATGATTCACACTCATATTATTGCTGCTGAATGAGCTGACCTGGGTACTTCCAGTAATAATTGCACAAGACAGAAGACAACGCCGGAACCATCAACTGAAATCATCATGAGTGGCACTGAAGTGAAAGCATCCGTCCTTCATGGGGCTAGGGACCTCCAAGTTGTAAGTTGCCATAGTACGATGGATTTCTCTTTATTAACCACCTGTATAATCAAATAGGAGACACGGCAGCTATCCGATCCCGCCCCGGATGAAGTGCAAGTAGCCGTACAAATGACGGGTCTCTGCGGCTCCGACTTACATTACTTTCGGCATTTTCAGAATGGTCCGATCAAGGTGCGGGAACCGATAACCCTAGGTCACGAATCAGCCGGTGTCGTCGTTGCTACCGGTTCCTCATCATCACTTAAAGTTGGCGACCGCGTCGCACTTGAGGTTGGCTTACCCTGTGAGACATGTGAATTATGTCGTGAAGGCCGCTACAACATCTGCCGCGGTATGAGCTTCCGAAGTTCCGCAAAGGCCTTCCCACATGCGCAGGGTACGTTGCAGGAGAGGATAAATCACCCGGCTAGGTGGTGTCATAAGTTAGCAATTCTCCCATTCTACCTCGTTTTTATTCACTCGGGAATCTAATGAAGTGGGTGTAGGTTACCAGATACTCTATCCCTAGAGCATGGAGCTCTTGTAGAACCTCTATCAGTCGCAATGCACGCCCGGGATCGTGCAGGTCTGAAATCCGGATCCACGGTGTTGGTTCTCGGCGCCGGAGCAGTGGGTCTATTATGCGCAGCCGTAAGCAAGGTATCCGGTGCCAAGAATGTGATCATCGCGGATATTCTCGAGGATCGTGTTAAATTCGCTGTCGATAACGGATTTGCTGACGCCGGACTTACTGTTCCTATCGCCAACCCAAGACCGGAAACTGTCGAGGATAAACTAGCATACGCGCAGGACCTAGCCGAAAAACTAAAGGCATTAAAAGCGAAGAGTGGCGAGGTTATTGGTGAATCCGCCGTGACATTCGAGTGTACGGGTGTTGAATCCTGCATGCAGACAGCTATATATGTAACGACCCCCCTTTTCCATACTTACTCTTTATTTTTATTTTATTCTTTTCGCGCTTTCTGTCTTTTTAAGACACGACTGATAGAATAATAGGCCACACAACCAGGTGGAAAGATAATGATCATAGGTATGGGGATGCCGGTACAGACACTACCCGTTATGGCCGCATCTCTCAAGGAGGTCGATCTCGTCGGAGTTTTCCGATACGCCAACACATACCGCACTGCGATTGAGCTTCTTGCTAGCGGAAATCAATTACTACCCGACGTGCGAAAACTTGTTACCCATCGATTCCAAGGCCTCAACAATATACCACCCGCGTTTGATACGGCAGCCAAAGTTAAAGACGAAAAGGGAGACTTAGTCATCAAGGTCATGGTAGATATGGCAGAATAGTCACAATTCCCTTTGGGGGTAAATCCGAGAGCTGTTTGGTGGATTGTTATGTGAAAATAGGTATGTAACATATGAAGTCTATCGATTTATGAAAAATTGAATCTGTCTGGGCATGTTGGGTGTCCTAGTTCAAGGGATCGTGATCTCGACGTTTCCGTACCCCTTTCCTCCATCGCCATTTTGTGTGTCGTAGTCGTTAAGAATGGTGTAAACAAAAGAAATAAGAAGAAAAGAAAATAGCAGGATTAAAAAAACATATTCTAATGAATGACACATTCTTCGTCTAAGCCAATAACTCCCTTCGCTGCAACTCGGGAATCATTCCACCGCCAACGCCGTCGTAAGTGTCCAGGTAATCAATAAGAAATATCCTCAAAAGGTTTATTTCACCAAGGCTACCACGTATTTCTTCAATCTGTGGCTCATGTCGTTACAGGTCACACCCTTGGCTCCGCACTTCAGGCAGATATCGTAGTTATCACCACCGCACCTGCAACAATCTGCATCTAAGTTAGCTCATATCTCACATTATATCATGTGTATCCAGGAGAAGGAACTTACGCCAATAATGTTCACCATTCTCCATAAAATGACTACACTCATTACACATCAACGCCCTTATAGGAATACGACTACGTCTGCACCCCGAACTCGGTTTCTCAGGCTGCGTAGTAAGAGCCAGGAGCGTAGCCTCTGTCGCTTCATTCCCAACATGTTCTTCGAGAATCTGCGCTTGCACCATACCAGCGTGGTACGCGGTAGCATCACTCGCAGCAACAGTAGCAGCTACATCTGCCGCATTCCCACCCGATAGGTGCTCCGTGAGCTGATCAAATTGCCCACCAACACCTTCAAGCGCGGTCTTCGGATCGACAGTTAAACCTGTACTCTCATTCGCGCCGGACGGTAAATGCGAGCCCATAGCCTCTGTATTCGTAACCGCCTCCGTGAAATCACCAATCTCAGCCCCGACAACCGCGGCCGCTGCTCCAATCGTGTAGCCAATAGCGACGTCTTTCGCATCGATATCGTGGAGCCCGACGTTGCGGCGCGTGAGTTCCGCTTGGATGATATTGTGTTTTTGGTTGGAGACGTACATGCTTCGGGTCTTGTACCCGGATAGGAGTAGTGTAAGACCGCCCGTGAAGTAGGCACCGCCTACGCCGGCGCCGACCGCGACGCTGCCGGTTAGCATTTTGCGGGTTAGGGCGGTTTCGTCGTGTTGGAGTTTTGCGGTCGAGTAGCCCCTGACTTGTTGACGGTACTCGTCGGCGTCGAAGTCGAAGGTTTCTTTGATAGGCATTGTGAGATTTTGATTGATGAATGGTATAGTTGATAGGTGTGTAGGTATGTAGGTATGTGTATTGGGTAGTTAAGATAGGTGCTTATTGATGGGCAATAAACTCCTATACCATCTCTACGTCGCACATCTACATCTCATTTATATCAGATCGCATCCCATCGCCAAGCTTTATCGTACCCCATCGGGTCTCCTCACACCCCGACATCTCGCGTGGTCGTGTTACGTGGTTGCGGAAACTCAGCCCCGTTTGCATCATAATAGGTATATTCAGCCCTACTACAGGTGGATGGGCGGATTGGGGGCGGTCGGAGACAAAGCTTGTCTCTTTTTGCTAGAGATCGGGTCAGGCGGAGACGGACGGAACCCGATGAATCGAGGCTTCAGCTCTTGGCAGGTGTGTGTTTTCACATCTGACCCGTTGGAATTCTATAGGATCCCGGCTAGTGCTAACGATCTACGGATCCTCCAAGAAAATTTAAGTAACCCATAGAACGATTTGGAAATCCATTTCTATAGCCATGTCGCTTTTTTAAATAGCTCGAATAGGTAAATAGATGAATCTCGGATCCGCTGTTATTGCCGACGTACATCATCCACGTAGCTGCGTTGGCTGGGACCGTGACAAATACCGTGACGGAGTCCGGGGCAGCATTACATAGATGAGTCAAAACAACTAAATTTCATTCGTAGTTTAGTCCTAACAGTTGATACAGCCTTGGGCATATTTGAAATCGCCACTTAGTCGCTTTCGCAGTGGCGGGTCATTCAAAAGGAGCCGCAAGAGAGGAGGAGTATCTTCTATCCACACGCTTCGAGATCACCGTATATACCTACTTACTTAGGTATTAGTTAGAAAGAAACAATAAACTTTATCATCAATAGGAAATCAGTTCTAGTGTACAGCGGATTATCCATAATAGGATATACATACGCTTCGGTTTCGGATTCGGTCTATACGAAAATGGCCCCCAACACCAGGGGTGACAAAACCCATATACAACAAGTACCAAATCAATACGAATTCTTGAGTAGGCGCATTTGGCGCATTTGTTTTTAAATCGGGTACTAGAGCTCGGCTTACGATTATAGTTGGAGTATCCGGGAAGAGAAAAGAGACACGGCCAAGGGCTTTGCTATAGTCCTCGAGGTCATCTCGTAGAGTCGGAATGCCTAACCTTCAACGAACCGATAAACATATTCCCTGCCAAGAGATATTCTTGCAAATATTTTCTCTGCGCCTCTGATTATTCGGAATACGCGTTTTCCACTGAACAGCCACACTTCAGTCTACTTGAGTTCGACGAGGAGATAGACCTGAGTATCCAAGTGCACGCAAGTTCATCGAATCAATGTATAAGGAACTCCAGGCATTTTTAGTACTAGAATAACTACAGGTATATGAAGAGTACGCGCTAAACAGTTGGAACACATAGAATTTTTGGAATTCGTGTTCTTTTCATATGGTACCATTTCTATCATAGCCTCTATCGTGACACAGAAAATAGGGGCGATGCGATCACGGAATCGTACTGACAAAAGCTTCAACCGCCACAACAAAAATAATATCAATTAATTCACATTTTTCAATAAGCCGAGGGTTTATAGTACACTGTAGCATCATTTCAAATTCAAATGTAGTTTGAAGTTAGTATTACCCATGCTATCTCAGAATATCGGAAGCAATATCAAGGAGCTTTCGCATTGCATTGCATCGAATCCCAACGACAAACTCAGCATACGTGCGATCTAGAGAATCTTGAATAACCTTTCTCCTATTCGCCTCGTCTACGGCGCCGGTATGCCTATTAGGGCAATCATGTGCGATGTGACCAGCGCTGTTATAAGCGTGACAAATAATACCAGGTGCTACAGGGTTATCAAAAGTAGTATAGACACGCCTACTATGATCTCCATCCTCGCCAAAGGTCCAGTTCGCCACAGCGAGGTCGCACAGTTGTTGCCGTTTTTCGCTCGTTAGCATGTTTAGCATGCCTCGGAGTAGTAGTTACAGTCCCGATGACCACGTTGGTAACTTCTTGAGCCTCGTCGGCACTAGCTCCTGTATCTGCCGGAATGAGGCAGTGAAGAAACTCGTCCTGGTTATTACTATTTTCATTCCGGCCTGAGCTATGCACGCGGTCTCAACCCCTGCCGTCTTTAACGGAACCGTTGCTATGTTGGCGCCGGACTCTGTGTACATCCCGACAAGACTGCGCCCCCTTGGTCCTAAGAGCCGCCCGATGAAGTTGACATTTCCTTCAATCTTTGTCTGTCGAGCACCGCCTCCAAAGTAGTCCTATATGATACATGATAATTAGGTATGGTAGCGACAACATCGCGTGTCTAGCCGTTTCCCGGTGCCGTATTGGAGTTCGGGTGATGGTGACCTGTGGTACTGATTAGCTGGGACGGTATCGTCAATCCTGAGTTTTTAGGTAATTTATTCGATCCGTGGACATGTTTCATAGGTGCCTAACTATTTATTGAAGTGGCATGGTTGGTTAGCTTTGCGGTGATGCTTTCTGGCCCCCATCCGGTCACCCTCTGTTTTTGGGGGCGGAATTGCGCGAGCTTGGTGGTGTTTTTGGTGTGGAGATTGAAAAGAAAGCGAGAAAGGTTTCGAACGAAGGGGCAAGCGTCCTTAGATACCTAGGTACGTAGAATTTAATCATTTCTAGCTTAGGTCGAAAGTTTGTTATGTTGAGTCTCGGTCTTAAACCGTTCGGATTGCGCACTTCTCCCATTTACTCAACTTCCCTCCTTCATAACGAATGGCGGTTTAAAAACGAAGCAAGGGGGTGAAAGATAATAAATCTATTAAATTCATTCTTCTAATTCTCAAAAGGTAGGCATAGCTACCTCAACGCAATCCTCTCCCGAACCGCTCAAGAGCTTTCCGGCGTATACCCATTCGCAATACTCCTTCCAATGTTCCTATCCGGGAAGCCAAAGTTGATGCCAAACGGCGGGTATACATATCGCTGAGTCTTCCCCTCCTTAACCAAGGCGTCCGAGTATTCCTGTAGAATCTTGAGATCCTCTGCGTCGAGGTCGATGATTTCGAGGTTGGCTTTGATGCGTGATTCCGTGGTGGACTTGGCTAAGACGGTTGAGCCTCTGGCGACTATTATCGAAATTTGTTAGAACATTATTCAGTGCTTATACTAACTAAGGAAGAATAGAAAAAGAACTTACCATGATAACTCAAAAGCACAGTCCCGGGACTAACACCCTTCCTCTCCGCAACCTTAGTCACAGCATCCGCCTTCAGCAACGGTCCTCCCGTACTACCCAACGGACTATACGCAACGATATGAATACCCTTCTCTTTACAAAGATCCACAACCTCCTGCTGCGGCAGCGCAGGCGAATTCTCAATCTGATTAATCGCGGGCACAACATCCGACTTAGCAAGCAACTGCTCCAAATACGGTTTACTATAATTGCAAACACCAATGCCCCTAACCTTGCCCGTCTCTAGCAACTTCTCCAGCGATTTCCAAGTCGCCACATGATCATGTTCCCACACGATATCCCGACTTCCATCCGGTAACTTCGGGAACCGGTCATCGTTACCATTGGGATTCATACCGACAGGCCAGTGCACAAGAAACAAATCGATATACTCTAATCCCAATGCCTTGAGCGATTTCTCTAATCCGAGTTCGGCGCGGCTGCTGTATGTGTTCCAGAGCTTGGTCATGACAAATATGTCTTCGCGCTTGGCGTACCCGGCGTCGAAGGCGGCTTTTAAGCCTGCGCCTACTTCGTCTTCGTTGCCGTAGCAGTAGGCCGCGTCTATTAGCTTGTAGCCGAATTTAATGGCGTTTGTGACGGCTGTTGTGGTTGTGCCGGGGGCTGCTTGCCATGTTCCTATATTTTGGGGGATTGGGTGTTAGTAACTGTGTATTTGTATGGAAGATTATATGCGCATTCCATGAGTAATGCCGTTTTGTATTCCGATATAGTGCTTTGAGGGTTTATGATGTGGAAAGAAGTGTATTCATCGAAGTGTCGCATAGAAAGATGGAAAGGAAGATTGCGCTGGGAAGTATACGTACCAAAACCGACAGCGGGGATTTCCTGGCCGGTATTTAGCTTGAAGGAAGTGGGAGCCATCGTGAGTATCGTCCGCTAACAATCGTTCGAGTTTGTGTAGTAAGGCGAATTGCTCTCAGATTAGATCTGTATGTCTTAACTGAAGCGTTCTTGGATAAAGAAGAGAGGACCAAAGTGGTATTTCACGTCAGTTGAGAGATACTATTTATTGTGACACATCCGGCAAAATAGGTAGCGAGCTTGAATAGACTAATAAAGGGACTATATCGCAAGGTAACATGGATAGACCTATCTCTACCCACCTACTATGTACCTACCTCTATTAGTACCGGACTTCTTGGCTTGAAGATGTCTCTAGTACGTTGCTAGGATGGCACGCGGGAGCGGCTTGAGTATCGGAGTATTTACTGTATGTAGGAGAGAGCAGTACTACCACACACCTGCTGTAGAATGTGTGTTGAGGAAAAAGAGGTGGGGGAGACGATGGCGATAGCCGGGTAAAGGACTAGCTAGCGAATGTTATAGTTGTCTTTATTGCTTTTTATTCCCCTCCTGTACCTACAAGTTGTTACCGTCATCACCACAGTTAGAACAACTAGGTACACTTACAAGAGTATAAATCTATACGTCTATACATCCCTCCTCATGCACTTCAAGCTGAATACCATGGTAAAAGTGTCCTGATCTTACTAGAACACCCTGCACGCATAACCCCACCATACCTAGGTAGGTATTTAGTGAGTGATTAGTCGGGCACTCGGTCCCCGAGCCTCGTTAGTGGTGGAAATCTCGACGATTCTATTCGGGATGACGCGATTTCAGGTACATCAATTTCGCATGTGGACCACCGCCGTGGAATACCCCGCCATTCCGTATACCCATGGATGTTTCTACATTTAAATACAAACCTATACCAAATAGAATTGAGAGGGTGGCTATGGTTTCAAGGGATAGATGGATTGTGCTTTATTTTTTTTTATAATTGTCCTTTAGTTTTATTACATATGATTTTTTGTGGTAAGTTTCTAGGAGTTTTTTTTGTGAACGTTGTCCCTAAATTATAGGGGACTCGGTTCGATCTAAGACCGAGATACATGTACCTAGTAGCGGCTTTGTAGCGGATCTACGCCTACGCATATGCGCAGGAAATAGGTGGGATAGAATATCGTCCCTCAGTCAACAAGAAATAAATGCAAGAAAATAAACACTGAAGATATTTCCTGTATTTTCTAGACAATCAAATTGGTAAACTTGTTGATGTCTATCTAAGACTCCAAGACGTCAAACTACCAAGATTCTAGATCCAGCCATGAACCAAGTAACCAAAGCAATTTCCCATAACTAGGCAATTCAATACAAATGTCAATACACGATTGTGGCATGAGCCAAAATTATATCTCTTCTTAATTCGTGCGGTATACGTTATGCGAGGTCTTTTCCGCCAAGCCATGCATGCCATTACAAAATCTTATATGCGTGAAAGCCCCAACTACTAGAGGTCCCGTAACCAGAGGGGGCAAAGCAGGGTAATAATGTACAAAGTGAAGAATAGAGGGAATAGTAATTGTAGTAGTAGTACACCAGCGTCGCTACTATAGATTTCATCTCGTCGTTTGACCTCGTCGGTTTTAACCCGCGATCAGGACCCATAACCTATACAATGTTAGTCAAGTTGGCTTGTATAAGGGTAGGTGGAATGTGGAAAAGTGAAGGAGAAAGTGAACATACAAGAAGAATATCATTAGTACACCGAACATCTGGGCGATTAACCATCGGTTACTCGAAACTCTCGACCAATACTTCAGCAACTCGCGTTGGGCGCCTTGTACGTTATCGACCACATCCTCGGTGTTTGCGTCAATACGCTGAATCATCTCGCTCTGCTCTGATACCATCTGCGCCAATTGTCCAAAGATAGATCCTAACTCGCCAATGGTTTTCTCTATTGCCTCAATCGCCTCGCCTCGCTGTTGTATGTAGGAATTCTGTGGCGCCGCTTCCTCCATCATCAACATCTGCTGGTCACCCACCGGATTTAGCGATAATAAATCCGCGCCCGGCGATGGTGTACCTCGATTCGGTGTTCCATATAATGGGGATGCGGACTGTTGGAGTGTAGAAGTTGATGCATGTTGCGAGACGGAAGAAATGAAGTTTTCGGTGCGTGATCGCGATGCCTGGATGTTCTTGGTTCGTACTTCGAGTACGTCCTTGAAATTGGCACCCACATCGCTAAGCTTTCCTTGCAACATCAAGACAATATTCTTATTGTGTTCGCCCTCTTGATCCGCTTTCGGGTGTTGTTGTCGCGTCAATGTCTGTAAGCCGCCGATCTGTTGGTTTAGGGAAGAAAGATCCTGTTTTATTCTAAGAGGGAATCCACGTTAGCGACATAACTAAGAAGCCGTTTATATCTGGGGAGCCATACATGAAGGTAAGTTCGTTTATCTCGATCGGTCGGTCGTCAAATAGTGTCTTGCGCTTCGCTAACTGCGCCAACTTTTCCAATTTCCCCTATGAAGACGTGTTAGCAGCGATCATACGCGTATGCCCTGCTTAAACATAGTATATAAGATATAAAACCATACCATTGTGGCAGCAATCCCGCGCCCTATCTCAGCGGCGCGCCTAGCGAATTCCGATCTTCGATGTGGTTGCGCGTCGCCATTGGCAGCAGCCTTTTGCGAGTCCGTCAACAATGATCTTCTCTGAGCGCCAACTTTGGATGAAGCCTGTCGCCTTTGAACTTGTGTTAACACGGAACGGAACTCGGCCGTGCGGTCTTGTATCGAGGCGACGGCCATCTTGAAGGATTGCCTAGATGGCTTGGTAGGTATGATGACGTGGCACTCTTTTCTTTTCGAGTCTGTTTGCTATCGCGATCGAGTTGTCCGACAATATTTACACTGAATTCGTGGAATGGAGTACGGAGCGAGAACGAGGGGTTCGTTATTCTTCGGCGATTGTTGTAGTAGACAGATAGATCGGTGGATGATGAAACGGCAGCGATAGTGACAATTCGGGAAATCCGGATAAAGGAAAGTTTGGCGAGGATCGGAGATGTTCTAGACGAGAATTGACAATTGTTTCCTTATCTAGAACGGCCGGATTGTAAATTATAGGTACCTAGGTATGTTAAGGGTAAAACTGTAGGTATCTTAGATAGGCTGTAGTGGTAAAAGTAGTTGAAGTTAAAATGAGTGTCTTATCTCAGACCAAAAGGCGTTGGTGCAATTTGGTTAACAGTAAATACAGTTCAGCCTTAAAACTCCTGAGGCCAAGTTGTTTGTTCCTTGGAAATTACAGGGGGCCAAGACGACGTAGTGTTGTGGCTGTGCTTGTGTAAATCTTAAGTAATTTGTACCTAAGTATCATTCATATCAACTAGACTGAGAGTAGAGTAGCGTAGAAAAGTAATGTGGCTTACGTACTCATTACATGTGGCTCGGCAACTATTTCCGTCGCATTTTATTGCTACATTGAGATATGCCTCGGTATCTTTTTCACTCTTCACTCTTCACAATCAATATTTCAATGTATGTCAGCGTCACATCTTATACACAAAACTTCAACATCAGATCATTAATCTCATTACTAAAGTATGAAACACTGGCATAAGTCACAACTGTAAAATTGAAGATAGCACAAAGCAACCACAGAAAATCACGTACTATTATCTAGGGGCCATCTACTCCCAAAACTGATTTCACTACCTAATTCCTCGGCTACATACTGAGTAGACAATATTCAAGACATGTAAACATTTTTATATCGACACAAACATACAGGAAACTTTTTTTGGTAGATCCAACTCAGATAATAATAAACAGTTTCCGCCAAGAGGGTATGTAAGTAGGTATTGTAAAAAAGTTAAGATAGAAAAAAAAAAAAAAAGATAACAAAAACATATAGCATGATATAAGTAGGTAGGTGTGTATGTGTATATGTATCCCATCCCTTTCGCTGAACATGAGGGAGAAAACCTAACGGAAGAAAAAGTAATAAAAATTAAACAAATGGCTGGTTAAATGACGATGTCCAATACTGGATGTACTTGTTTTTCCAAGGTTCTCATCGTAATATCTAAAAAGATCCAATAGTCCCTATGTTAAGAGGGAACATATATCAGATTAATCCCAATCATTAAACTCCCCCGCCCCATAAGGATTCCACTCTTGTCCGGGGTACGACGTAGCCGTCATAACCGGTATACCATCATCATCATCATGCACCGCCGCCAATTCCACCGGCTGATCAACAAGAATCTTCTCTTCCGGCTCCGTGTTAATCGCAATCTTCTCCTGCGGCGGCGGCGTCGGATGCGCCTGTTCCGAGAGCGGAGAGTCGGAACTGCTGTCTACCGTTACGACTATACCGGCTCCGGTAGCTACGGCGGCGGCGCCGTTGACGAGGGGACGCCCGCGTTCGGAACCGGCATATTTGGTGTTGTCGGTGTCTTTGCGGGGCGTGGCGTCGTAGATGTCGCTTTCGCCGTCTGGTTTTACGTCGTTGGCCCGGTCGACGTTGATGTTTAGACTTGTGTTCGAGATTTGGTGGTATGGTGATGGACGAGATGGGTTCGGGGGCTCGGGACTCACGCTTGCGGCCCTGTTTGCGATGATGTCGGGGCTAAGCGATGCGTTCCTTGGCGGTTCGTTAAGGACGACGGCTGCTTTGCCCATTAGACGGTTAGGCCCGGCGGGCGGGGTTTGGTTCCGACTCTCGGGTTCTTGGATTGCGGAGGAGCTGTGGCTAGATGGTGTGTTGGATGGGAGGTGAGGCATTATGTTCACGGTGGGACTATCTTGCGATATAGGTCCGGGTTGGAGTGCCGGTGGATGATTGTTATTATTCAAAGCCGTGGCGATGTGCTGGCGTTGAGATTGTTGTATGTAGTTATCGCTTGGGGGCGAGACGTTGGTATCTAAAGGTCGGGGTTGCATCGGACCATCTGGTCTTCGCTGTGATTGTATGCTTCGAGAACTGTCTGGGGTACTGCCCCAGTTTGCACTGGATGGAGTGGGTATATCCAGGCTTCGAGATGGCTGGGAAACAGGAAGCGCGCCAATGGGTTGCTGGGACGGTTGACGTTCGAATCTGAAGTCTTCGTGTGACCGTCGGAGAGGTGGAGTAGGTGCCATATCCAAGAAAGTACCCTGATCAGATGGTGTGCTTGATTCAGATTCATTTTGTCTCTGGCTAGGCTGCGGTTGTATGCCTGGTTGCCCAGGAATTGGTATCATTCGAGGATCCCATTGCTGCAGCGGGACACCTGGTGGTGCAAAGGGCTGGTATTGTGGCTGTTGGTTTGGCGGAGGACTAGGACGTCCAACATCGTACGGCGAAGGAGCTATCATACCCGCATTGCCATACCCGTGAACAGCCTCGTAGCCACGAGGGATAGGAACCTGTGCATATTGTGGCTCAAAGCCTTGAGTAGATCTCCTACGTTGTTGTGTAATATTTGGTGGCTTCAAAGCCATTGGTTGAGGGGGTTGCCCACGACCTCCTTGTATATGCACCTGGAACGGCGGCCCACCTCGTCCAGCTCCTCCACTCATCATTGGAACCATCTGCATCTGGACATAGCCCGGAGGTGGCCCGCCCCTACCTCGGCCAATTATAGCGCCAGGTGGAAGGCCAGTCATAGGGCCTAGGGAACCTGCCGGAGCCGGCCCGCTAATCGGCGGCCGTGTCATCATCGCTTGTTGCGAAAGGGATGCGCCGGACTGCTGGGCGCGTAGCACGTGCGGAGGAACCTGGTTCATACCCACGGGCCTTTGCTGAGGCGACTGGTTAGGATCAGATTGTTTACTGCTCCGTTTAAATGCACTAAGAAGCCTTGAAGCAGCGCTCTTTTCCTTCGACTCCTTAGCTGGCGGGGGTTGAACAACCCGTCCCTGCTGAGGACCGAGTCCAAAGAATTTCGAAATAGTCTTGTCTTGATCCGGGGGTATAGCAGGATTCCCCAATGGCCTCCCCGGTAGATCTTGCGAATTCGGGTGATGCGGCGATCCTGAAGTGGGTGGGTTAGCAAAGGAAACACTAGGTCCCCAAGGTTGGGGTTCCTGTCGTAAAGGATGTTGATGTTGATGTTGATGTTGAGAATTAGGTCCGGCTACAGAAGAAATAAAATTAGTCGGGCCCTGATGTAATTGAGTCATGCCAAATTGTCCATGAGGATTTTCAGGTGGCTGGCCTGTCGATAATTGTTGGTCTTGTGGGGGCATCGGCCGTGCAGTTCCCACAGTTGATGAGAAGTTCACCTGACCGGGTTGTGATAGTTGAGGGGATTGTCCAGGGGGTGTGAGAGACGTCTGTCGCACGTGTCCTAACTTACCAAGGGTTGGGCTTTGCTGACCAGACGGCAAATGGCTGGATGGTTTATTTTCGTCCTCATCGAGGTCGGAATCGGGTGACGTATCGCCAGGTCTCGCTGGTGGTGGCGTAGATCTTTGTATCGGAGATGGGATATTCGGTTCTCCGCTCAGTTTTTGGAAACCGGAACCGACAGGCTTTCTACTAGGAGCAGCACGGGCTGCGAACGCTGATTCGGAGGAACCGACTTGATCCAGAGACGGTCGATGTCGAGGCGAGTCTCTTCCAAGTGCACCTGATACCGAAAAGTCGTCGTCTCCTCCGAGGGGTTTAGATACATTTCTATTATTAACACCTTGCGCGGTTGCCGGTCGTGGTTGCGCAGGTGGGAACTGATGTCGTTGAGCCGGTGTTAGTGGCGTGCCACCTGGTTGACTCTGGGAAGAAACGGTTATTTCGGAAGGTCGTCGCATCATTACTGCTTGAGCAGTTCCAAGGAATTGGGGCGATGTAGGCGATAGTATGTTATCTGGAGCATTTAGCTGGCCGGGTTGGCCAGGTTGACCGGGCACCATTGGTTGCCGCAAACCAGGTTGACCTGGAGGACCTTGAGGTTGACCGGGATACATCGGATGCGGAGCGAATCCTTGTCCGGGAGGAGGCATCTGACCGGGTCGGAATTGCTGACCGACAGCCATAGGAAACTGCTGCGGCGGCCGTTGACCCGGTGGCGGTGTCTGTTGATTCGGCTGTTTTGGCTCTGTCGACTTGGATCCTTGCTTATTAAAGAGACCGCCCAAAAATCCTCCATGCTTCTTTTCATCGTCACCTTGGGCGTGTTGCGTATCAAAAGGTCGAGGCCCACTGCTACTCCTAGCCCGCGTCCCGAGCGGAGATGGCCCTATCGGTCCAGGTGGTGAAAGAGGTCCGAGTCCTCCCGTCTGCGATCGCATCGGACCCGATATCGACGGTCTCGAAGCGTACGCAGAGCTCGGCTTCACAGGTTGGTCATCCTTCGCGGCCCCATCCTTTGCGTTTCCAACTCCCTTAATCATACCCGTAAGTTCCGATAACCGTTTCCTCATAGACACAGGTTCCGGGCTCTCATCATGCTCGAATGCCGAAGTTTTAGAGTTACTAAGATTAGATTTCTGTTTCGGCTGGGTCTTGTTGTGACTGGCCACACCACCGAAGAAAGAGGGTTTGTCCTCTGGATTCTGCTGGGATCCTTCATTACGGCGACCCGTCAAACCGAAGAATCCTGAACCTCGCCTGCCCTTATTAGGCTGCTCCTCGCTTGTAACACTCGATACTGAGTGCTCGTCAACATGAACTATTAAGCAATCATATTAGATATCAATTCAACATTTACTTCAGACTTACTTACCATCCGGCTCTTTGCTAGGACCAGCATCTCGGTTTCTCCCTTCAGCTTGATTTAAAACGTCATTAGTCCGGCCTCGGATAAGAGGGTGACCAGTATTCGACTGTGGAAAGTCTTGGGATTGCTCAGGTGCATGAGGAGCAAAGATATTATGCTTACGAAATCGCTCTGCTGAGACCGGAGGTATGCTATTGCTATTATTCCTCGGCCGTGACTGTGATGAACCCTGTCCTTTTGCTGGCGGCAATGGATCTTCCGTTTCCTTATCGTATGCGTTATAGCCCGCCGGCTGCTGCTGCTGCTGCTGTTGTTGCTGTTGTTGCTGTTGTTGCAGCGAGGGGCTACTTGAGCCTAGACGGTTTTTGTGTTGAATGAGAGGTTCCGAGAGGTGAGACTCTTCCAACTTCCATTGACCGCCTGGAGGAAATTTGTGAATGGGGTTACCGCCCATTTGAGAGATGAACGGTTGACCTGGACTTTTATGCGTAGGAAATGCGCCAGGCTGCCCCTGAATTGGGCCAAATTGACCCATTGGTCCTGCAGGACCACCTCGTCCCATTAACATCGGTTGCTGAAATCCATTAAGCTGAGGGGCGCCTCTGCCAGGCACAAATCCATTTGGAATTTGAGGCGCACCATTAGCAAATGCGGGGTGCTGTTGCTGAGGTGGTGGTTGAGAGAAATTGTGAGATTGATTCAGCTGAAAATTTGCGCCATTGCTCTGTTGCGCCTGGCTGGGTGTGTACCCATTGCCATTTTGAAGATTGGCGCCGTTTTCCATGGAAGGCTTGGGCGGCACGGGCGGTAGGTCGTTATCTGACCCAACGGGCGACGGGCCACTGTCTTCTTCGTCTCCGGTAAGCTTCTTCCTGGATAACAGATCAAAAGTTGATGTCCGGCGAATAGGTGGCAGCGGAGTAAAACCGGAAGCAGGTTTGTTTTCTTGTGGATTGGAATCATTCAAAGCTGGCGGAGTTGCCCTGTTAGCAGCCATGGGAACGGTCATAGTCTGACGCTGACGCGAGCGGCGGTCAATTGGGACTGGTAGGGTTTAGACCTGATAATTCCCGGGATGTCACTTAGGTTGCATTCATTCAATCTACTATTGGTTATTAAATGCGCGACATTATGTTTAGCAGTGCTTGATTCGGGTGCTGAATGCAGAGCCCGCTGCAATGCTGCCGTTCCGGCCTTGTCGTCCGGCTTACGTTAAAACAATCAATCTCCTTCCTCTAAGAGCGGAGTATTAGGCGAATGAGTGGAGGTGCTGTTTGGTATAGGCGCTGCTGGTTCGTGGAATGAACGAATAGTGAGTAGATAAAAATTCGTCGCAGAAATTCTCAGATGCGAATATGAAGCGCGAAACGACAAAGCGTTGTCTCGGAGATGAGCGAGACCAGGTCCAGGATGATCAAGACGACGCGAAAGACGAGGATTAAAAAAGTACCTCAGCAGGTAGAGAAGATCGTATTTCCAGAGTGAGAATTGATTATTGATTACTGTAAGAATGCCCGAGGACTCGTCGTGGCAGATGCGAGCGGTGGACTAGCAACGACGACGACACGATGAGAGGAGAAGTGGTAAAGATGAAGTCGAAGCACGAGCGATAGTATAATGAAAGACGACGTGTTCGCGTCTCAACCAAGAAGACGAAATCTGAAAATGAAATTGCCAGGATGCCTGAAAAGGCTGGGATGAGTGAGCTAGATGGCGGATGGGACGGGGACGGGGGGTGTTAATGGACCATATGGGTTGGTTGGCAGGATCCAATTTTTATTAACTGGTACCTGGAGCTGAAGCTGGATGGACCTGGTTGGTCAGGCTCTCTTGGGTCCCTCTTGGCTTGTCTAGGGCTCTCTGATGATGATAATCCCGGGTCGCCTCCTGTCCCCAGGGCTTTCTTGATTGGCAGGACAAGGACCACCCAGGTCATATATTGGGACAAGTTCAGTCCCCTGCTGCTCCAGTGGACTCCAGTAGTCTCCAGTGGGAGTGGAAGTAATGTTGTAGGGCTGGGAGTAAGCTCCTCCGGGTGTAACAGATGACAATTGACTTGAGCAATGATAATGGCAAATCTGTTGAAGCAGCGAAAAGGGTGATAGTACAAGGTAGTTAGCTCCCTTTACATATGTAGTGAGAGGGGGGGGCTGAAAAAAAGATCTTATATCTTTGAACCAGCTAGGAAAACTGTTGCAGGTTGGGGGCGTAATAATAAATTCTGTTGTATGATTGTGGAGAATCTCAATGCTGCTTTTTGCTGTTGTGCGGCTGGGATGGCTTAGGTGTGTTTAACTGGATTCGAAATAGCTCTTGTTCTTTTTCTTCTACCTCGTCCTCTTCGACCTAATGAGGCGGGCAATACAACATAAAACTTATGACAGTGAAGAAGATCGTTAACGCGATGGATGGTTTCCCCTGTTCGCACGTGTGGACGCGGTCAACGTCGTTGCGGGTCTAACATTGAATATACTAGTAATGATCAATGTTCCTAGAGGAATCTCCTGAATGATGGTATATATTCCTTTAATCTCCTTTTTATGTCGTGTCTTCGAAGGCTGTCGTGGCCTGTTACAATGCCGACATTGTTCAACGAAGGGGAGGAAAATAATGATGAAATGCGATCGTTGAAACATGTAAATTCAAATCAATGTAGATAAATATCGGTGAGTTCTTCTAGAACCGACAAGATTCTATTAATATCTTACAACATTCCCAGGTTTCTATACCAACAGTCCATCGAGTCTCCGCGTATGTAGGTAAGGTAGTAGTGCTAAGTAAGCGGAATGAATACGGAGCAACGAGCGGGGGCGATAGCAAGATGCATCTATAGTGTGGTATAGTATACATACCAGTAGGAATAGTGGAATGTCTACCTAGGTGGGCTTACGGAGCCAAGGTGATGACAAACGGAATAGTAGGATCTATACTGTGTACTGACAATGAATCTCGTACCACTATTTTCATCGTCATTACTATCTCAACAAATTTCACAACACACCTAAGCATCTAAATAATAATATCTACATGTTCAGAGAGATACCAAGATATTTGAGCAACGACCAAGACATGTTACACGAGTCAGCCACCCGATCCCGGCTATTAATCTGTTTAGGGAAATACGTGCAGCGTACATAAGCCTGTTTGATAGATCACCATGAAATTTCGACGAGTTTGGAGGCTTTTATCATGACATCTTTAATGAATATGATTGGTCAGTTCAGTTTACGCTGGGATTCATCGCGATCTACAAACGAAGCCGCCAACAATGAAGAATAAAAAATCATCAAAAAGTAAAATGATCAATTATTTTAAATCGAATTATTTCCACCTATGGTTGATTAACCCATACTCAATAATTCATACATCCCAACCCCCACCGCCTGCTTCCTTTTTGTTCAACCCGAATTGCAACGCGTATGCCCTCAAAAATGGATTGGTACAGTACATGGGAGAACTAGCCCAAGTACATAATGTAGCCATGACCTAGAAAAAGTGCGAAAACCTGCAAAATTAAAAGCTCGAATCTTCCATCTGCTAGCTAATTAATCTCTCAATTAAAAATATCCATCGGGAGATATCATCCTAGAGCAAATGCATTGTCGCCATCTTATGCCACCTTCCCCAGCCAATACGTAGAAAAAAACATGGAACAGAATAGAAGTGAAGTATTAGAAAAAGGCTTTATCACCACGAAGCTTATTCTTTCCCTTATTGAATAGCTTCATACCGGATTTCATACCCTTGTTGCCAAACGCTCCAGCAGCTTGAAGGAATTCTTTACTCTTGGCTCCAACTTGGTTACTTGAACCGAAACTACTCGTAGGTTGTCCTGTAAACATGTGCTGCAAGTTGCCAGTAGATGACCTTCCAGGTTGCGCTGGTTGCACGGCAGGACTGCTAGCATTGAGGTATTGCTGGTAGTATGGTTGTTGAGTTGATGATTGAACACCAGGTTGAGATGCTTGCCCCTGAGCCAGCACAGGCTGTCCGTCTATAGGTATAGCCGCACCCCCATGCTCGGGTTGGTTCTTCATGTATGCAATCCAATTCGATAGGCCCGATTCCATCGAGTAGAATTGGGTTCGTGTTTCATCGAACTTCTGGATTCTCTGTTCAATCGATACGATGTTGAGTATATCTCTGAAGGCCATGACTTTTGCCTGTGATCCTGGTCGGCCTGTTGGAATAGGTTGTGTAGTAGGCGATGGAGCAGGCAGCATTTCTATGGGGTTGGCCAAAGCAGGATGCTCAGTTGTTGTATCAGGTGATGACTGAATGAGTACTTTTTCCTTCTCGTCTGCAAAGGACAAACGTGACACCTCGCGAGTCGCCGTCGGAGACCTGGGGCTTCTATCTGAGATTAACGAAGCGGGAGATATAGGATCAGGCATGGTCAACGGCTGGGCTCCAGGAACTTGGTTACTCTCGGGCTGGGGCTGTAAACCGCTAGGAATAGTTGCCGCAGCGGGCGCGTTCGTAGTGTCGTGAGGTGGCGTTGATGGATTTTGTTTAATTTGGGTAGCACCTTGTTTACCTTTCTCGGGACCGGCCTCCCACGAAAATCGCTTCGGCAGGTGCGCACTCTCCTGCTTTGGACTTCTGTGTGGGCTCAACGGAGCGATGTCAGGGAAAGAGTTTTCTTCGGCGATAGGACCAGATGAAGTCTCAGCTTCGCCAGTCCCGTAAACAGGCACTGTAGGTCCTTTCTTGAGGATTTGGCCTGTTTCTTGAAGAGACTTTTCCTCTATAGGTGTCAAGTAATCGTCGTAAACACCTGATAAGTATGTGCTTTCTCTAGTTAACGCGCCTGGTGTTGGATCACTGCTAGCGTTGGATGTACCCAGGATGACACTCGCGTCGGGCGTTGTGGATGGGCTTGCACTTAAAGACTTGATTATCTCCTCTCTCAACTTGTCGCTCTCCTTTTCTGGCGATGCCGTATCCACTGTGCTCATCGTAGACTTCCGTTCTTGTACCACCGGTGTTGTGAGATCTGCGGGAGCGGCGATGGATCGACGTGGATTTAAGGGTGCCGTAGGGGTGAAGCCCGACCCCGTAGTTACCGCGCTCTGTTGAGTAAATGATAATTGGGATGGGGAATCTTTGAAGTTCGAGGACGGTGGTGCCATATCGGTTCCGTCAGGTGGTTGTTCGTGTTTTTGCGCGGCATTCGAAGCAGCAAGAGGATTGTCGGTCTTCAGAGGCGGAAGAGATTGTCGCGTCGGGTGATAGCCAGGTCCGGCAGCAATCACTTTCGAAGCTACTGTGTCGTCATGCTTCCCAGTAGGGCTGTTGAACCCATTTTCGTCCGATTTACGCGCGTCTTCCTTCGCCGCCGCTTCTGAGTTGCCGTGAATCGACGGCAGTTGTTTAACGGTAGTGGTTGGCTCAAGATCAGCGGGCTCCGCGTGTCTCTTGTTTATTGGAGACACATCAGTGTTTCCAGTGCTGCCCAAAGAGGCCGATTCGGGCCCCTCGACCTTTCCTGCAGCCGTTGGACCTTCGGAATCGGCATTAACAGTTTCTGATACCCAAGTCCCAGGAAGTTGGGGCCTGGTTTGTGTGGGTTGCTGAGATGTACCTGCAGCATCTTCTTTCTTCGGATCTAGATCATCACCCACCGGTGGCATAATAATTCTAGGGTTAGGTTCGAGTTTTGGTCCTTCCAACGTGCTAGAAGGTTGTTTCCCCCCAGAAAACCCTATAGAGCCACGCGGGCCACCGCCCGACCCAGCTAACGAACCAGGTCTCGCGCCCGCGTCACCAGCCCGTTGGCTATCCAAAACCGAAGATAGGCCAGATCGCGCGGGGGGGCCATTCCCTCCCGGTGGAGAAAAGAAATCATCACCAAATCCAGACATACGTGCTAGATCGGGCAATTTCGGACTAGTTGATAGGCGAGACTGGTTCGCACGTCCTTGACCTAACTCAGTTCCACCAAGAGCCGCATTCTGGGTGCTTGATTGTTCGTTTTTTCGTTGTTCGACCGGAGCACCGCCTTCCACACTAGGTCTACCCAGCTCTGTCGATCTTCGATCTTTTTCTCTTTCCTCTCCTATTCGACTGTAGATATCCGCCGGCCTAACGAAACCCGCCGGCTTAGTAGGGGAAGCCGCTCTTTGTGCCGGCCACGTCTGAGAGCTTGGACCGGATCCTAACCGCGGATTCGAACCAGGCGCGCCAGTATCACTAGGTCCAAAAGTGCCCTGGCGGGTTGCGCTGCTCTCACGGGGAGGAAAGCGAGATTGGCTCGGCATGGACGATGTAGCACTAGGTAAACGAGATTTTGAGTCCCCTCCAGTTTGTATATGCAACGATGGTGGGCCGCTGGGACTTCTCATTCCGGACGGACCGGCCTGATTGGACTCAGGAATGGTTGAAGGCTGAGAGAAAGCTCTTGACTGTTGAGAGGGAATCGCCTGTTGTCGTAACGCAGCAACTCTCGACGGTTGCGGTTCGGGCTCGGGCTCGGGCTCTTCGTAGTCGTACTCGTCCTCATACTCATTTCCCCAATCATCGCCATCGTAATTTTGGACCTTAGCCTCAACCCATTTTCTTGTCTTGGTTCGGTTTACGTTCGCCTTGTAGGTGCCCGGGGTAGAAGGTGTCCTGTAGAAATGCTTGTTAGAAAAGTCGCATGTTCCGTAAGTATTAAACGGTAGAAAGGGAGGCTAACATTGGAGAGAACGGGCTATTGCTCCGAACAACATTATTATATGTCCCTTCATTCATGGTAGCAAATCGGGAAGTATCTTGAGTTCTATTGCGACATCTAATAGGAACTACTCGAGTCGGGGAAATCGATTTCGAAATTCGACAAAAGGCGGGAGGGGAATCTATTGAGTCAAGGACGACACAATTAAGAATAGGTATTGAATGCGATTAGGTATCGGCGTGTGTATCGACTTCGGGGGTCCGCGGATGTAAATGATGTATAGAAGGATTATCACGAGAATTGGCAGGTGATTAGCGACCTGATGCGGGCGAAGCGAATCGCTGTCATAAATTGATAAACTGAAAACGCGCGGGAGCGGCAAAAGGGTATAAGAGGGGGCCAGTATAGGTACCGTGCCAGGATATTGCGTAATGGATCGATACTCGATATATTCGATGTTACAACACGGTAATACGGTAAAAATAAAAATGTATGTACGAGAGAGAAAAGAAGTTTAACGAATTCTTTGCGACGAGGAGGTAAAAATCGAAATAATGTTTGTTAAAATCTTAAAAAGATAAGAGAGATACAGAAAACTAACAATGCAGTCTAATTCCAGTCGGTCGGGATAACGATTGCCTGTATTGCCTGGATAATTGGCATAATACCTGCATCTATAGTGGAAATATTGGGTTTACTCGTACATACCGCCGTAGTGCAGGTTACATAACGATCAACCATCACGCCTGACTCTTCATTGTTCTAGCGTACCTGCCCTAGATATCCTAGATACCCACCTGCAGTTAGGTACCTACATATGTACCTACGCAATCCCGCAGTGGATTAACAAACAAACCCAACGGCGACTAGGACCCCTACAACGAACGCCAGGCTTTGAACTATTAGTGCTCTATTCGTATTGAATCAGAACCCACCTACGCACATTGCAGACTCAGCCACAGCCAACTAATTACGACGACCCGCTAAAGACGGCTAAAGAATCCGCTAAAAGCAAGCTCCTAAATAACGGGACCGAGGCAATTCCTTCATTCTAACAACCCCTGGATTCTAACAGTAAACAACAATCTCAACAGTATACTATTCCTGATATAAACCCATCCAATATTATATATCTTAAAATAAATAATCCAAGTTCGTCTTGTAATATACTTGAGCTTTCCAAGATCAATCCCACTTCATTCCACTCGGGTGGACACGAAAGCTCACACAGCATCATGCAAGCCACCATGCCCGCATCAAGCATCTCGTATGTCTATCCACTAGGTCCCTAACTAGGGAGCTTTCTAGGTACTCAGATCACCTTCAAACCCATCCAAACCCATAGGATGTTTAGATAAAAGGCGTCTCATCTCGTCTTTGGCCCTGTCAGCATATTAGCTTAGCTACAGTACACGCGACCTAACTCCATGATGAGTTGATGGTTGACTACCCACGTTGTTAGCAATGGTGCCCACTGCGGCCACATTCCCGCCACGCATATGTTATTGCGTCTTCCAAACATTAGTTTTCTGTCTTGCGACACGGGAATGGCGCCGGACTTACATCGCATATAAGTCGTGACGATCATAAAAGTCCTGTTGGGGCTCCGAAGGTCCAACTTCATTTTTATACAAGTCTATGAAATCCATTCCCAGAGCATAACGAGGATCGCCCATACATTGGAGGTCCACTATAATCCACATTAGCCAGTTCAAATAGGATGTCAATTCCAATGGCACTCACTTTCATTATGTCCATAAAAGCAGCACGAATCGAACATGATCGGCTGCTTCGTCTCGACGTCGATCTGGATATTACCATCCCAAAGGTCGCCATGACATAACGCCGGCTTGATACTTCTACCGCCGGTCTGCAATGGTCTTAGTAGCCTTGGAATCACCTTTTCGATGAAATCCTCGGCCAGGCTCTGCAGTTCGGGATCTTCGCCCCGTTCCCGCTGCGCGTATTCCAAATTAGCCCAAAATTGTCGTATGAAGTATTCCTCCCAGTTATCAGTCCAATCGTTGATCATCGGCGGAGGGCCATAGTATGTTGTAACATGAAAGCCGAACTTTCCAGTAGGTGACACGGACGATCGGTGCAGTTTCTCGATGACCGACAGAAATTGCGGGATAGAAAGAGAGCAGGCTTCTAGGTGGCGGAATCGGGTAACGAAAAAGGATTTGGAAACATCGTCTTCAAGAAACACCCAAGCAATCGGAGTTATAACATTATCGGGAATATAAGTCGCTAGAGCCTTTTGTCCCTCATATTCTGCTTCGGACATACCAACGAATCGTTCCTCTTCGACGACCTTTGGCGTATGTTACTGATAATAGCCGACGCACCCTATCTCACATCTATCTTACCTTCACGAAGTATTCTTGCTTTTTGTCGTTTATTTTAACAGCCACTTTAAGCCCAGTTGACCACTAGATCATCATATTAGCCCCGCTCTACAAGCAAGATAAAAAGACATCTATTAAATCAGAAGCGAATTCTCGCGTTATTCTTTTTCCATAAGCATCTATAGTCGCAACGAGATCAAATTAATTCTACGGCAACATACGTGCGTCTTGCCATGCCGACTGACCGACAATATCTGGCATCCCGGTGGTAGAGCTGGTGGGATTGTTAGTTTTGTTGCCAGATACAATCTTCATGGTGCCTTACTCGCCCCTTAATATGGCCCGATCCAAATCGATGGTGTCCGTCGTCATTTAGTAGACAATACGATAATAAGAGATTCAGGCAGCAAAATCGCAGGTAGAGAGCATATGAGGAGGTGACAGCCGCATACCAGCTAAGCGCCGAGGCATTGCTGAGACGTATTGCTACCCGATTGGCTAGGTATTGGCGGTCTGTTGGAACGCTTAAGGCAGATCGGCGTTACATCTCACAAATCCGCCCTGACCTGACAACTACCATCTTAAGTGATAGCTCTATGAAATCCCTCATATTTGATCAAATGAGTAGGAGAAATGAGTGTAGAGTTTATCCTACTATACCACTGATGTTTCACATTGGTAGGTAGACTCTTTCGACGTGCGCGAACACTTATTCCTAGATGTGTTCTGTCTGATCACAGTGGGCAATGAGCGGAACGCCACGTCCTTCGCAAGGCTTGACGGAGAACTCGCCTACAACATCAAGAATTCTGCCATTGCCGGATAACTTAGTAGCGGATACTTCTTCGTCTAGAAGTACCGTACCATCTAAAAGATTTTCTATTAGAGAACGATTCGTTGGTTCACGAATAAAAGCGCGCACGGACGAAGATGATCAAGACGGTATCAGAGGTCCTATGGGACTTAGGCTTGTGCATTCCTCCCCCGAGCCTCTCATAGATCTGATATTCGTACACGGCCTGCGCGGAGGGTCTATTAAAACATGGCGACAAGGCAATGACCCTAGAATGTTCTGGCCACAATTTTGGCTACCCAAGGAACCCGGCCTTCGCAATGTCAGCGTCCATAGCTTTGGGTATGATTCGGATTGGGCTAGTATAAAACCGAGTATTTTGAATGTCCACGATTTTGGCCAGTCGTTGCTAGAGGAGATGAGGAATTCACCACATCTAAGAAAGAACCCTAGCGTAAGGCGCCATGATTAGACTGGCATCTCAGGGCTTACAATGGATAGGGACCTATCATACTCCTTGGGCATTCAATGGGAGGCCTAGTGATCAAGAAGGTAGGATGCTACAATGTTACAGTCTGGTAAACTCAGAAGACTAATTCATCGGATAGGCGTACTATTTAGCAAGAGACGTGCCGGATCTTGGAGATCGTATCAAATGCATTTTCTTCCTTGCCACTCCGCATAGGGGCTCTGATTATGCGGCGCTTCTCAATAACATCCTAGCTGCAACAGGTGTAATGTCATCTCGTCATTATATCACCGACCTTACAATTGGCTCAACTTCCGCGGAACAAATCAACAAGGACTTCAGAAAACATGCGAAAACGTTACCTATCTTCTCATTTTACGAAACACTTCGGATGAATTTAGGGTTTACTTCTGGTTTAATTGTGGAAAGGTCTTCGGCTATTCTTGGTAACACAACCCCCCAAGCTTCAAAGCAAGGGCTCTAACTAATGACCATGAAATGCAAGGCCCCAGCTTTGAAAATGAACGAGTCCAATATATAAATGCAAATCATCGAGAGATATGCAAGTTTGATAGCATGGATGATCCCAGTTATATTACCATCAAGAATGCATTATCTAGCGCAGTCGAGGATCTTTTGAAAGATGGTTAGTGATAAATGATGCCCTTCTTCGCCTCGTCGAGGTTACCAAAGTGCTGAAGGAAGGCTAATCAAATACAGCTTCAAATAACGCCATGATAAAATCAAAGGAACAGACGAAGATTTTAAAATCATATTTGGGTATATCGGATCGACCGGACGTCCAGTTTTCAGCCGTCAATGGCACATGCCAATGGATTCATGCCCGACAAGATTTTCAGGATTGGAGGGATCTCATCGCAGAGCTCTCCGAAGATGAAGGGGAATTGAGGAAGCCTTCGATATTCTGGGTACATGCTAACCCCGGGATGGGCAAGACGTACCTAGCGGCACATGTCGTCTCCAAACTTCAAAACTTCCAATTTGAGTGTGCCTATTATCATTTTCACGTTGGTAGTAAATCATCGCGTTCTTTAGCAGAATTCCTCAGATCCATGGCATACCAGATGGCGTCGTCAAATGCCTCGATCCGCCAGAAATTAATCTCGATGCAAGATGAAGGCCTATCGTTTGATCCGGAGGATGTCCATTCAATATGGACCAAACTTTTCAAAAGAGGAGTATTCCAGGTATTTGAACGTTCCTAATGAGTAGTGTGTCGGCTAACCATTATTTAGTCGGATATCCGAACGCCTCAGTACTGGGTGGTCGACGCTCTCGATGAGTGCAGCAAATATCAAGAGCTTTTCGCGGCGATTAAGGGAGAGAAGCTAAGTTTTCCCCTTCGGATTTTTATTACCAGTCGAAATATTCCGGATATACGAAGACTATGTCATCTCTCAGAGCCTTCCGCAACTATAACAAGTATTGAAATACCAGTCGAAGATAGTATGGATGATATAAGGTGCTACGTACAAAGCCGCATTGAGGACCTACAGCCCGATATCATTGATAACAAGGAAGATCTCATGAATAGAATCGTTGAGAGGTCTAACGCCTCCTTTTTATGGGTTCGGCTGGTATTGGATGAGCTAGGACAGGTATACTCGAAAGAGGGCATTCTGGAAGTACTTCAAAGCATCCCAGAGGGGATGATACCTTATTATCAAAGAATCGTTGGTGTGATGGCGGAGAAGAAGTCGGAGAAAAGCATTTCTAAGGCCATACTACTCTGGACAGTGACAACATACCGGAGCCTGACAATCTCAGAGCTCTCACAGGCACTAAACCTAGACATCGGCGTCAATCTTCCTAACGCGAAGAGTGTCGTGGAAGGACTGTGCGGCCAGCTGGTGTCCGTCGACACTATTTCCGGAACAGTTAACCTTGTTCATCCGATAGCTCGTGAATTTCTTCTATCGGAAGCTGCAGGGGAATTTTCGATTTCGGCCTCCTTGGCGCACGAAAGGATTGCGTTGGCATGCTTACAATTATTGTGCAGTAACGAGTTGCAGCCACCTCGGAACCGGCGATTATTAGGCACGAGTGCGCATCAAAAAGAGCACTCGTCTCTTCTCGACTACGCGATAACAGAGTTCTCTGAGCATATATGCCATGCGTCGGTCGAAAATGATGAATTACTACTCCTGCTGGATCGTCTTTTTAGAATGAACGTATTATCTTGGATCGAAAAAGTCTCTCAAAAGGGCGATCTCTACTGTCTAATTAGAGCTTCAAGGAATTTGAAAGCTTACTTGGGCAGAAGAATCAATCGCCAATCCTCTCTTTCAAGTCAAGTGAAGAATATTGACGAATGGTCGACAGATTTGAGTAGGATAGTGGCAAGGTTCGGCGTTGCTCTCTTGGGGGATCCTTCATCGATTTATTTCGTTATCCCACCTCTCTGCCCTTCTAACTCTATTACTCACCAGCGTTTTGGAAAACGTCCCGATGGTCTGGAGATTGTAGGATTCAAGCAAAGTACATGGGATGAGTGCGTTGCCTTAACCAGTCTTAGTGAAGATACCATACCCGCAACGGTCTTCTGTGGAGAGAGACATATCGCTGTCGGAATGGAATCCGGCGACGTATGTCTTTACGAACAACACGGCTTCAAGAAGGTTGGAGTGATCAACTACACATACCCAATTGACTTGGTGCATGTTATAGGCAAATATGTGGCGGTATGCACCATTCGGTCTGTGGCTGTGAAGGGCCTAGAGGGTAATGTAATATGGGAAAAGCGACTCAAGTTCCGTTGCATACTTCTTACGTCTTTTGATAACTCTCTTATTGGTGTAACCCAACACGGACATCTACTGAAGTGGGACTTATCCAGTGGGGCACCCCTTGAGGATCAAGTATTCACTTATAAAACTCATAGCGGCGGACCTGAGCAAGCTATATTTGGTGGTAAGGCACCGGCACTAGCATCTATATCTCCCGACATGGAGATTCTTGCCCTCGCATATGCAGATGGTACGGTCTGCATCTGGGATATTCCAACTGGCGAGCTGATCGGATGGGCCGCGGATGAAGAAAATAAATCCCCCTCTGTTTTGATGTTCAATCCCAATTCAAACATACCCCTCCTTCTTGCCATATATGCAAACCATGACATGTCACTTTATGATACTTGGTCTATGGGGTTGGTTAATAGCTACAAGACGGCTGAGGCCATGGGAATACTATCTGCGTCTTGTTCCCCAGATGGAAGAACGCTTGCAACCGCCGACACACGTTGGAATTTACAAATATGGGACTTTGAATCGTTATCGCAATTGCACCACATTCTATCACCTGCAGAGTCCTTTAGACTACTAGGTTTTACTTCGGATAGCTCGAGCGTGGTTGATGTCACAGACTCCAACATGCGTATCTGGTCTCCTACGGCTCTGATTCGGAAACATACTGAGTACGAAAGTAGTGATAGCACTATTACGCCTGTAGTTACTAAAGGTCATTACGATGCATTGAGGATATCGAGAATTACAGCTGTTTGTGCTCATCATTCCCTCCCCATTGTATTCGCGGGAAAATTTACGGGCCAGATTATTGCTTTCGACACGCAGACAGGGCAGCAAGTCTCAACACTGTATTCCCATTCCCCTGAGGCCTGTGTCAAGGAAATAATAGCGAGCGAGGGGAATATTATCGCTTCAGTCGACGCCAATGACGTTGTCCAAGTTTGGAGACTCGCGACAGACCAACATGGGGCGATAGTTTGCGAGTCACAGTTGCTACAAGTATCCCTAAGTGCTTGGGTGAAACAACTATGCTTTAGTACCAACAGTAACTATCTTTTAGCTGCAAAATCTCACGAAGATCTAGTGTATTCCATGAAGGATGGCTCTTGCGTAGGCACACTACCTTTTAATCCCTATGAAAGGCGAGTTTGGCGATGGGTTCGGGAATTTGAACGAGGCGGCGAGGAACAATTTTTATTGTTAAGCAATCACACCCTTCAGCGATATAGTGCGGACGCTTTCCCATTGGTTATCAACAACTCAGAGATTCATCTCGAATATCAACTACCTATCAAGGATTCCGAGACAACGATTCATTCGGCGTCAATACATGATGAAACACAGACCTTGATACTTGAAATCCATTTTCACTTGGAATACGTTTACTCATCAACTGTGCTTCTCTTTAATCTCGGGAGTGTACCCGATGACAAGGAGGAAGGCATAATATCTCTGAACGCCGTTCCACTTCATCACCTCAAACATTTTATTGGATTCGGGCGGGAAGCGAATAACTTTGTGTTTCTGCATAGGGACTCATGGTTATGCAGCACCGATATCGACAGCATTACGACGAAGCAGCTTTGTCGACACTTCTTAATCCCGAATGAGTATATACCATCGGATCGTCAAATACTAGCGGTTAGGGGCTCGGACGATAGCATAGTATTTTGTTTGCATGGGGAATTATCTATTTTTAAGAATGGGCTTAGATTTCGAGAAATCCAAACAATAGAATAGGGCCATTTTATTAGTCAGCATACACCCTATCGTGTAAGTTATTGCATCAATGATTTTCACCTGCTGTGAGTATGGGCATTGATAAACATGTTGGTAGCGACGTGCATTAGGACTAGAGCACGTTGCTCGAATTTGATAGCAAGGGTATATAGAATGTCACATTGAAATGTGACAGCGGTTACATCTACGAGATGATTGGTGTTGGTGTTCGTTCTCGTGGGCCTACATAACTACTACAAGCAACTCTCGATATCTGTTCAACTTGCGACTTTCTTCACTATTTTCAGCCAGCTAAGACATGGCATCACTACAAAAACACGCCCAAATCTCCAATCATAGCGAGAATGGAAAATTAGGAGAGACCGACCTTACGAATCTCGAAAAGCTAAGCGATGCCACTATAGCAGAAACAGTTCCTATACAAGACGCACCTTATTCTGTATTTTCTACCGGGCAAGAGAAATGGATCATCTTCATCGCGGCTCTGGCTGGATGGTTCTCAACCGCCAGTAGTTTTATCTATTTTCCAGCCATCCCATTCTTAGCCAGAGACACGAATGTCCCAGTTGAGAATATCAATCTCACGGTGACGTCCTACCTAATAGCCTCCGGAATCTTCCCATCGATTACTGGCGATGCCGCCGATAGATATGGTCGTCGTCCTGTCTTCGTCGTATGCTTATGTGTATATGCAGTCGTTAATGTCGGTCTGGCCTGCCAACGATCATTCGCAGCTCTCTTCGTTCTACGAATGATACAAAGCGCTGCGATATCTGGTATGATCATCAGGATCATTTTTCACTCCAAAACTAAAATTCCTAGGAACATTTTCAATCGCATACGGGATAATCGGTGATTTGACTACACCTGCTAACAGAGGAGGCTACACTGGATTTGTTTCTATATTGTACGTGACGTCCACTGGCCTTTACATGCCGGCGACTAACCAAATCACAAGTCTAAACACTCCACCTAGTGTCGCGCCCCTGATCAGCGGACTGCTTCTTATTAGATGGACGTGGCCCTCCATCTTTTGGTTTTTAGTGATCGCCTCGACAACAGTGTTTCTAACTATCATTACTTTCTTACCAGAAACATGTAGAAGCATCGTAGGCAATGGTAGCCAGCGCCCGCCTTTAATCAACCGCCCTCTTATGCCTCTGCTCCACCCTCCATACCAGGAAGACGGGACTGAGGGGCCAGAACAGAAAATATCAAGGGGACTGCCTAATCCTCTTACAGTCCTCTCTCTATTGAGGAATCGCGCAACCCTGGCAGCCGTGGTTTGTTATGGAATATACTATACGATATACTCTTGCTTGCAAGCTTCACTGTCAACAGTATTCGTTGAAACTTATAATGTTTCCGGATTGGTAGCAGGTTTATCGTATATTCCTTTCGGTGTGGCGTGCATGACTTCGGCATTCATTGCAGGTAATGGACTTCCCCGAAAAGAAAAAAAACCTATGGCTAAATAATGATAGGCAAAGTAATAGACAGAGATTATCGGAAAACCGCAGAATCTCGCGGGATGACGATCGATCAATTTCGCGGGGATGATATATCGAAGGTGCCGATTGAATATGCGCGTCTTCGTACGAATAAATATTATATCGTGCTCTGTGCGCCTCTTGTCGCCGCATACGGTTGGATTCTTCAGTTGAAAGTGGTATGATATTTCCAATAAATAATAGATTATGGGCCGAACTAATCATCATAGAATATGGCTGTCCCGCTCGTGATGCAATTCCTCATCGGATTCACGATGCAACCCCTTTTCACGGTATGCACCTCTCCTAGCTTCGTCAATTGGGCTGGCCTAACTGCAAGAATTTTAGTCACTTAACACTCTTCTCGTGGATTTCCATCCCGATAAATCATCTTCTGTCCAAGCTGCGAATAACCTTGTTCGGTGCGAACTTGCTGCCGCTGGTCTAGCAGTACTAGACATCATGATTCGACGACTGGGTCCAGGTTGGTGTTTTGTTATATTCGCTTGTATTCATAGCTTGACCCTTCCGACACTTTGGATATTAGGGAAGCAAGGACCAAAATGGCGTCGCTGAGAATTCAATGACCTTCTAGAGGCGCTATAAATCGTACCTAGACAATTGGCTCCTAAGCTTGTCAGGGGCCCACTAGGGGTAGACAACCCCTCTATTCAACGAATGTGCGCTGTGAATGGCGCTGGATTTAGTTGCAATTATAGCGGTTTATCGTGCTTGTCGCTCGGGATGAATAGCGGTTGAGGCAACTACCTACCTAGGTACCTAGGTAGGTATTTGCCTTCACTAAATACCTGGTAAACAGCGCCCGTAGCGGCTAACAATCCCTGTTGTCGTAGGGAACTATAGGCACATACGCCTAGAAAAGTAAGCGCCGTAGCGCACTATCGCTATAAAAGTGTTTAGGGGCTGCAATGCCTGTATTTATAGCACACTCCAATTGAAAAGGGGGTGGGGCATCATAAGCCGCTATAGTTATAGGGGTTCTCAGGCTTCACAAACATTCCATATTAACTTGGCGGACGACTCGTTAATTCAGCCATATCTCCCTCCTCAGAGACACTATTAACATGGGATTTAGTGCTATATAACCGGTATTTACAGCGTATCATCACCTAAAAGTGACTGTATTTACACGCATAAAAAACAACAGTGGAGTATCTATCTGAATAATTGCACCTACGTTCACAACTTTCTGAGTATGCTCTCAATAGCCTCATCCACTTGCGAACTCGACCATCTCGCACGAGGATTCGGATCAACCATCGCCTTTGCCAGCGAAACCACTTCCTCCACAACATCAGCGGGATGTTCCTCATTTTCTAGACTTTCTTCAATACTCAACGGTAAGCAACCCTTTTGTAGCCGCTTCAGCATATCTACCCGCTCCATGGCTGTGCCGCATGAGCATAGCATCTCAACGAACACCACACCGAGAGCGAATATGTCGATTTTCTCGTCATTAGCACCTGTGGAAGATGGTGGTCGGTAGTATGCGGTGCCGACGGGTTTACCTGATGACGCCGAACTAGCGTCATCCACATATGGTAATTCCCCTTGTGCCAGTTGAGCGACAAGACCGAAATCGCCAATGCGCGGATTAAGCCATCGTGGTGGAATATCCGCCTTGTTTCTTCGGCAAGAACCACATGCGAGGCTGCAGTATCCACCTTGTGACTCTCCTTCAGGCGAGGATAAGAAGATATTTCCCGGTTTAATATCACGATGTATGAAACCCTTTGCGTGAATGTATCGCAGCCCCGCGTGTATGGCACGAAGGAGCTGAAGGCTAGGAACGAGATGAAAACAGTGTTTCGGAGTATTGTGGCCATCCGAAAGTGATAGGTATTGTGCTAATGTCATAGGGTATAATGACATTTGGATGTACAACGTATGACCGGTCGCATCGAATCTATCATGCACTTGGTGCAGATTCATTGAATGGCTTTTGCCGTCCGTGAAAATATCACTTGTATTTGAGACGGAAGACATTCTGTCAAGACCATGGGTTGAACTGGGTTCTTCGAACCACTGTCGCCCGCTAGGCTCATGGTTTTTAGCGCCCTCTTCAGCGATGGATGGGGTGTCTTCAGCGAAAATTACCCCGCCACTTAGCGATGGTTCAGGCCTGTTTGCAGCGTCATCCTCTGAGAAGGGGTGGCTATCCAGTAGTAATTGTTGGCGATGGCCTGAACCTGGTCTACTGTCGGAATCTAATCCTACAAGTTAGCGATTATTATTCATCCAGTGACTTCGAGCCCCCATGCATTCAGGATTGTGTGAGAGAATATTATTTATAATGTCTTTTTGGAATTTAACCATTGATGCTATATGATCTTGAACGACTGGTGCAACTGTGGATTTTATATAAAGCCGTTGCTAGAGTAATCTCTAGGGCCTCTTTTACCGTAGTGGCCCTAAATTAAGAGCTTGTTGCAGGAATGAATGAGAAATTTATAGGGGAAAGGCTTACCTTGGGTACCTAAGATTTCAGGTGTTTGGCGGGGTTCCTCCAGCCATGTGGCGTGATAGCGGACAATATTGGGGTGGTCCAAGGTAGCTAAAGCCTGTACTTCGCGCAAGATATGCTGCAGCTCCTCTAGCCTCCCATCGCGAAACCTCTTCCCAAGCTTCGGAGATAGCTGAATCTTCTTAACCGCATACGTCCTTTGGTCCAGAGGATTAAAGCATTGGTAAACCCTTCCGAACCCACCTTTTCCCAAAAGAGCGAGCTCTTGAAATGAGGACTGGTAGTGGCTTTGGACTCTGGAGGATTGAAGAGTCAACTGCAGGTCATTGGCCGGATGAGGAACAAGAGCTAGTTGAGACGTTTGGGAGATGAGATCGCGCATCGGATTGAGAATATTCACATTCGGTGCCTGAGAGGTAGCGACTAAACTATCCAATGCGGACAGGTATTGACGGCGGGACCCCCTTACGGTATCGGAAGCTGAAAAGTCGGAGAGTACGCCGTTTGATGCAAGTGTTCGGCTTGCATCCCCAAAGAGCTTTCGAGCTAGGGGCTGGACCTCCGGGGATTGCCTGGTGTAATTCTTACCCGGGTTGGCAGCATTGAGGAACTCGGTAGCACGGGTACGATAGTAATCCTCCAACAAGCTGGCAAGCATCATATTTCGGTGTTCTTCCACTTCATCCCTATTATGGGAAACATCCCGAGATTCGGAAACGGGTATCAATCTAGCCCCGGACGAAACACTAATGCTTTGGGTGTCACCATCGTCGGTCTTAGCATCGGAACCAGTCGACAGCCCATGCCTAGAGACTTCCTCTTCTGAATCCATCTTCATAAATCAAAACAAAAACCCTTGGCCAACTAGAATCCAGATCCGCATCAATATCGGAGGGAGCTATCTTATGGAATAGCGGCATATCGAAATTAAGTTAAGGAGCGATATGAAAATAGAAGCCGTCCGAAGACGCTGAAAAGGTAAGATGGGAGCAGATCATGAGCTGTTCACACGTGGTTTCCCAGGTAATCGTCGGTGTGTGATGATGTCCGATGTCATAAGTGACAACACGCCCTTGTTGCCTGGTTGTCGTTTTTGAGATGTAGATTTAATAGATAATTTGCCACGTCATTCCATTTCTTTCTTGAGGAGGTCAGTGCTTATTACAACTCGGCAGTAGCTTGGAAACAACGGATGACCAAATCTAGCAACAGCAAGCCAGTCAGGTGTTGATTCCGTAGGGGGTCAGTTTCAACCCTGATGATGAGAAGAGAGGAAAGTTCGAAATGGCCACTTTTTCATAAAATGTACCAATGGTCAATGTCCTTACGTAACCTCTTATAAACGTATTAGGCGTGGTTGTAAACCGTTTAGAGAAAAATACAATCCTTCTATCCGTCAATCTATCTCTATTAACTGCAATTCACTCTAAGAGCATAAACAATCTTTCTGTTTTTCTGTTCTACATAAATTTCCTGAAATTTTATCCTAAACGTCTTCACAACAACATTATAAGGTCACAACCCAAGATCATTATAGACAATAAATATGCTCAAGTCTTGGCGCTTATCCTTCTAGAATGTTCCTGGCGAGGGTACCTGGTAATTTTAAGGGTCCACATTCCTCAGCCCTCACCATCATTGTTATAGTAATCTAGTTAAGACTTATACGATCATCACCAACGAGATATTTTGAGTCCCTCTTCATTACTACATGTCTATACCAAGTTGACCTATCCGTAGCTAATATCAAAATAGATGAAATAATACATCCTAAACAAAAAGCCAATGATCTAATGCGCATTACTCCCCGCTTCTATGACCTTATCCTTTCCTTTTCTCCCACCACAAAGTCCATCATCTTCACAGCATAGCAACAGCAGCCATGAAAACACCCCCTACTAATCCAATAGGTGCAGTCCAACCCGACGCAGCTCCATCCGAGGGCTTCGGATTCGCACCACCAGAACTCGTCGGGTTCGCCGTCGAGCTACCAGAACCCTGACCGGCAGCCGCCGTAGTAGCCAGGGGTTTTCCATCCAATCTCGTCACGTAATTCGTACCACTAGCCTTAATACTAGCATCAGCGCTCGAAACCAATTCCGAGTAACTAGGCCCGTCGGTGATGATAGTCGCGCATGAGAACGGCGGTTGACTCCACGTCGTCGTCGGTGAGGATTTGCAGATCGGCCACCCGTCGCAGACTGATTGGTAGGGCGGTTCTACGGTGCCGCCTACGCAGCATCCCGTGGCTTGGGGGTGCTCGCTCCATGCGCCAGCGAACCGGACGCCGTCGCAGTTCTCTGTGTCTCGTTTAACTGTTTTGGTGCTGACTTCTACGGCGGGCTCGGCGGCGAGGGCGCTGGCCATGAGCAGAGAACTCAGGAGGGTTTTAACGAAGGAAGGCATGGTTACTGAGGCTTTTGGCTATAGGTGAGTTGAAGTTGTTTCGAATCGACGAGTTTCGTGTCTTTTTCTCCAGTAGTGAATGGTATGCGGATGGTAAATACTGAACTTTCCGATTTCGAGACGCTTTCACTTATATATTCATTTCTTCACCACAGACTCTTTTACCCATATCTTAATTCGGGGTCAATCTTGCGACTCAGCCTAGCCGTCCTACTGCCGAATGCATTCATTAAGGTTAGTCTCATTATATTGGATGTTGTATGAGCGGCTGAGCTGGCTGAGGGCTTATCAGCCGCTATACCCAGGCTGAGTCGCATCATCACGACTTATTGGGATGGTCCATATGTATAGTGGATTCCAATACTAGTCCTTGTCCTCCTCAACGACTAGGGACCTGAAATTATTGGTCTAGGACAACCTTCTAATTTAATCCATTCGTCTAGGATATACTTACCTAATAGACGATATTCGAAATGTCGTTGCCTCGGAGAGTATAGCGTAGCGTATTACTGCTATGCTATAATATTCCTGGATCCTTTGAGATGATTAAGGTAACCGGGGTGTTACCTCATCGCATGATATAGCATACCTTTATCATCCACCTAGGCACCTCTACCGCCAAACATCGCTCAGATAGGAAATCCGATTCACATCAAGCTAAGTTAGACTACCAAGTTTGAGACGCAGTGCTGGATGGTAATACGACAAGAAATCCACTTATGTGGTTTGCAATTTAACACCATGGACAACGCAATGATCACATACCAGACGAAACCAATATCACATCATGTCGTCCTACGAGAGGCATTGACTCAGTAGGAAAAATATCAATATATTCGATAACAATTCCACCATTGGGTTGAGGTCTCTAGACTTAGTCCCTCACCTAGGTACTCAATAAATCATTCGGGGATCCAGACACATTTGGTACTAATCGCATGAGAACTATGTAGGTTACACGGCTGAAGCATCACGAGAGTATTATAAATTCACCGCTAAATATCTGCCTACACAATATTCTTACCTCACTTCGTGTCAGCTTATTATCATATACCTAGGTACTTCTAAAAGATCACCTCTACCTGCGTCCTTACCTATGTAGCTGTACCTTATCTTTGAGCTTGGTTGCACCACGTTATACAGCCGACTCCACCGCGTACGAGACCCAAATGCCCCTTTCTGTCCAAGGCAGCTGTCGGCAAGGAATATTCTGCTACTGGGCACGGATTGATCATAGAAGATGAGTCCTAGACGTCCCTCCATGGTCGTATATGGCGAAATGAGCGATTCAGTAGTTCCTCAACGACTCTGCAAGTAATTCTTGGCAAGAGTATGTTCCAGTGCAGGCTTCGTTCACTTCTATGCCTCTCTAAACCCCTTTTCTCGGAAGCACCGGTATGATCCCCAGTAGCCCAAGCATCGGGGAATATCAACTTTGCTCCCATGAGCTGAGCCCTACACTAGAACAAGTCAAGTTTCCAGAGATGTTTTTTTTTATTTATTCATATCTATGGAGACTCGGACGCTTCATTACGACGAGGGCGATAGTCAACTTTATAACCACCTAGGTATTATCCTAGCTGGTTAATCAACTCTTACCATCCACTCGCAGGCGCACATATAGCGGGTAGAACTATCACCATTCTCCCAGCACACCTAGTAACCCCCTAGTTCTCGGTCTCATTAGAAACCTTGACCTCTTCCACGTCCTCCTCTGCCTCTGCCTCTGCCTCCGCGACCTCCGCGACCACCTCCACGACCGCCCCTATTTCCATTTCCAGGATTATTATCACCAGGGCGGCCGGGGAAGAAGTTCCAATACAGGCGCACGTTCTTCGGGTATTTATACTTATTCTGTTCAGCATAAATCGAGTCCTCCCTACTCAACTTCAACTCCTTATCTTTGAAATACCGCTGCAAGAGCGCGACTTCCCGCGGCCATCCCCATTTCGAGTACCCCCGTTCCATGCTCAGGTGCACGGTGTTACGTAGCACCCGCGTGAAGGTCTGGGGGTCGGGCACTTTGTGCAGACCCATTTCCCGCAGGAAGGATGGGAAATCGTTGATTTTATGCAGGCGGCGAACGGTGGATGATAGTTCTTGCGCTGCGTTATGGGGTGGTGCGCCGTGCCGCTCGAAAAGTTCGTCGCGGACTTGGGTTAGGGGTTTTGTGTGGGAGGGTCGTGCTGTGCGGCGGAATAGTTCGGAGAACATGAGGAGACGGTAGGAGGTGCGTGAGCCCTCGAATGTCTTGTTAAGACGGTATCTTGATATCGGCTCCGACTCCATGAAGGAGAGTTCGGGCATGTTCGCTCCTTTTGCGTCGAATAGCCAGACGACGTTTCGTGTGATTGCCTCGGTGATGATTAATTGCATCAGTCTTTCGGTGACTTCGACGTCGGATATTAATAAGGCGATGAGAAGATGTCCTAGGTTGGGACAGTCTGTCTTCGATTGCTTTCCGTTTATGAAGTTCCCAAGTAGGGAATTTGCTTGCTCGACCAAGGAGGGGTCCTCGACGGCGTAGCATACGAGGAGATGGAAGAGGTGGAAGTACGAATCGATGGCCTTCTCTGAAGCATGGCGAAGATTGCTCTTGTGGGATTGCTCACCACGAGGTTCTAGTACCTGGTTGAGTCGAACAACCACATCGTTCATGAAGGTAAATAGCGCTTCGGCCTTACCGAAATGCTCAGTATTTTTCAGGTATGGTTTTAAGTCGTCTAGGGATTTTGCACATTCATTTTTAACTTGCCCCCAGTGCTTGTGAGAGATCGGCAGGGGGAGCCAATGATTAAATGGGATATTGTTGACTGACTTGCGTATTCTTAGATCACTAAAGGCTTCTTGGGAGATAAGGTCAAACTCCGACGCAATATGGCCGCGAGAAAAAGATATGCCCACACCAAGCTTGAGGGTATGGTAGTTTTGTTTGAGACAGAAACACTGGAGCTCGCGCTGTCTCACAACATCGAAGTCCCTAATAACACCGCTAATCCTTGGCCAGGACGTAGCAAATGTTGTCAGTTGCTCGAAATCTTCCAGATGCTCGAGAATGAGTAGTAATACTTCGTTTGGCAGTTGGTCTATATAACACATTTCGGGTATCTCGATTTCGTTTGCCTGCGCCTCGGCCTCGGGCTGTTTAGGCGGTGATGCCGTATCGCCTCCGATGGTAGGCCACTGCACTGGATCGCTGTCGACACGTGCATCATAAGAACGACGACGCGTTAATCTAAGTCGAGGGGCGGGCTTCGTAGCTTGGGGGAACTTGCACCGGCGGCAGTGAAAATCGTCGAGCAAGGCCTCATCCTGAGCTCTGTATTGATCCAACTTCTGCGTAGAGCCGTGTTCTTGCTCAAGGGAATCGCTAGAAAAAAAGCTGAGAAGCTGAATCGCTATTCCTTTGAGAGTATACGCGGGTGTGTGCTCATCGGTTTTCCTTAAAATAGTCGCGCAAATCCAACCACCATAAACGTTTGGGTGAGTGACGCTTGAATCCATATGAATACCCGGTGGGTCCAAGGGATAGTTGTTAGAGAAGTTTACCGTGAGATGTAGAGGCTTATAGTTGGCGGGTGTGAGGACTAGGCAGGCTTTTAGAAGATTTTGTTCGTCCGGATAAAAAATGATGTTTGGATATGGCTTCTCTACCATTTCTCTGATATCTGAAAGAAGTCGGCGGTGTAAAACGGTCCGGGCAGCATCGTCATAAGCCATGGTGGGAAACATTATGGTAGTATTAAGTGGTGTAGTCTTAAAGGTGAGGATGTTTAGTCTAAGAAGTTCGTGTATCGATTTTGGTGTAATGAAAAGTCGTGGAATGATGTATCAACTAGAGCTGCTCCTGCTCTAGTATGATAGACAACTGGGAAGGAAAATCGATGTAAATGGAAAGGCAAGATGAAGAGGCTTAAATATAATATCTTGGTTGATGAATGGTACTCAGCAAGGTGCTTGCTTCATCGTACTAGGAATTAAAAAAAATTAAGGCATCAATATTACACCTTAGGTAATTGCACCTTTCTAGGCCTATTCTCATGTTTTACTTCGGCTTTGACTCATCACGGCCACCTTTGTGGAGGATTCTCGCCCTGTGCTTTAACTGTTTTCAGCTCGCCGCAAGAATTATTGTGGCGGTGTACCTTCTAACCCTTCTAACTTCCAACCATCAATGGGTCACCCCGTAACAACGACGAACCGTGCTTGATTAATCCTCCATTTGTTTGGTTCAACTTACTCATTCGCACAAACTTTGAAAGAACATGAGGCGCAAACACTCAATGCGTGTAATGGTGGAAGGGACCTCGTGTTCTCGCGTGACGTGACTAAGTTGTAACACAGACCATTATGCGAACTCGACCACCTACCCCTACGACAATAATGAAAGCTAAGATCTCAACCTTGCTCTTGCTTTTCTTTCTTCAGTTGATCGACTAGAATGGGTTGCTGCTTCACTTTGGTGGATTCGGGATCTTTCCTCCTATTTCGCTTTGTAGCTGATGCGCGACTCACTAGTAATGGAACCTACCTATTGGGCAACACAAATTTTCGTAATTCCGACCGGTGGGTGAGTTAGAGAAAGAAAGACCGTACCACCTAATTCGATGAATAGATAACCAAGATTCCGGTCGCTTCTAGTTGCACCCTCGAGATTGTCGTGGAGAGGACGGAGTTGTAGCCAGTGAGTTATCCCCAGCCGACATTCATAGATGGCTAGAAGCTTTTCCTCAATTTAGAACTTCTTGACTTGGAGAAACACCAGGAAAGCACAGAATAGTAGAACGGGATACGATGAAGATTCCTGCTCCGTCTATTGTCTTTGTCTGAATGTTAGCTGACGTATTGAACCTACTCATAACCATTCGTGACAATCTCCCTCTCATTCGGGCAAGCGAGGTACCAAAGCGAAATTAGCCTACACCTTTTCGCGAGGGTTTTGACACTCGAACTTCCAACTCCCTCTCCGAATATAATCATCGCAGTTCTGGAGCCATGTCCAGAATCGACTGCACAGTATCCTTAACCGATTTCGCCAGACTTACATACTCGAGACCCAGGACCCTTCTAGACTTGCTGATATCAATCCCAAACACATCTTTAGGCAAATCATCAGGTCCATCTGGAAGCCTTTCCGCTAGTTCCGGGAACGATCGCCGTATCTCGTCCGCGATGCGCTTATTCGAAAAGTAACCTCCAACGATGTAGAAACGGTTACCACCAGCCTCTGGTACGATCGCAGCCTTAAGATGCGACTGCGCCACATCGCGCACATCAACGAAGGTGCAAACCGGCACAGTAGGTGGTAGACCATCTTTCAATTTGCCTTGGACCAAGTCGCGGATAAGATGGTTAGATGTGTTCATCGCATCTAGGTTTGGAAGGTTTCGTTGCACTGGGCCGTATGTAAAAGTGCAATTAATGGTAGCGAGGTCGAAGTTCGGCCTCTCGGTCTCCATAAACTCCCAAGCGGCTTGCTCGGATAGTTTCTACATCTGTGTTAACCGACAGCCTGTTATTCAATTTTAGTTATGTGGGTGGGAGTACCTTGCTAGCCGTGTAAGCGGTTCCGGGGACTAGAGCATCTTCCCGTGTCCAAGGCGCCCAGTGTGTCTCGTCATACACTTTCGCATGCTTGAGTGGGTTGATTACCGCAGCTGAGGACGAAGTGATTACCACACGTTTGACAGTAGGGGCATTTGTTTTGACCGACTTCAGCAGGCCCGTGGTCCCCTTAATTGCTGGTTCGAGGAAATCCTTTACGGGATCTTGCACATTATGATGATAAGGCGATGCGGTATGTACCACGATGTCGAAGCCCGGTTCGTTTTGAAATACCTACAGGGAAGGATTAGAAAGTGGCGTTTTTCAATTTTCAAGGGGTTACACCGATGGCCTACAGAATCAAAGGCTCCGTCCTCCGAAATGTCTCGCACAATGGCATATGAGACCCTCTCTCGCAAACTAGGCTTTGCGGATTCCACTATACCTTGACCTTTCTCGTCGGACCTCACAGTTGTCACGATTTCAAATCTATCAAATGCATAAGCCTATACGTCACTTTGTGGAATCATGAGAAGATACCCCTCGTCTAGGAAAACGTCGATAACATGAGAAGCGATGAACCCACTTCCACCTACGTCAGAGGCGTTAGTATAGTATAGAAACTTGATAGGTTTGTTTGTCCGCCTACCCGTTACTAGAACTCTGCCTTTGGACGGTGTGATTTCTTCCCCCATTCTTTTAGATTTTAAGCAGAGACGGGACAGTTTTCGAGTATGACAGAATAAACCCCTATACAAGTGGGATGTGAGGTTATAAAGAGAAGTCGACGCAGTACCCCTAGTAAGTAACCTCCAAATATCGAGATGGCGCGCTGTCTAACCCCCCATCTCTGGAGTTTCGGTACTCCGAAGCGCGCAGTAACAACGAAGGTGGCTTTCCCCAACTTGCTCCGGATGTGAAACCTGCATATTCACCTAATCCAATCAAATATCTTAACGGCTCACCGATGACTCGCTACGTACCAAGATTTGTAGCTACCTACACTTGGTAGGACAATACGTCGTGTATTGTTACCCGTCGAATATCGCTATCGGAAGAAGCCGAGTCCCCCCCCATGATGTCCCAACGCTTTTATCTTCAATGATCGTGTGCCTGTTCTACGCAGAGACATTTTAATATATTTTGCGTTGAAGATCAAAACAGCCCTACAATGTCGTCGAGTAAAAGCAATCGCATCCAAATCGCCATCATTGGGGGAGGCATCACGGGTGTCATACTCGCCCTCGGCTTACAGAAACGCGGCGTCGATTTTACCCTATACGAACGTGCCCCGGCCTTTACCGAGCTCGGGGCTGGCATCGGTTTCAGTCCCAATGCGGAACGCGCGTTGAAGATCGTTGATCCTGAGGTTTACCGAGTGTACAAAGAAGTCACGCCACCGACTAACGGAGTAGAATATTTCCAATTTGTTGACGGTTACGAAACCAACGAACTCGTCGCAAAGCTGCTGATAGGCGCCGATGCTTTTCAAGGGGGACGACGTTCGGATTTCTTGGAGGCATGGTCGAAATTGATACCGAAGGATAGGGTTAGGTTTGGCAAAGAATTGGTATCGACTACTGATAGAGAGGATGGAAGGGTATTGCTTCAGTTCAAGGACGGATCCACGGGGGAAGCTGACGTTGGTAATGAATCCCAAAGAACGTTCGAGTCCAAGTCAGAAAAACTAACTGACGATCGCAAGTTATTGGTTGCGACGGAATTCATTCACGATGCCGCCGACTCATTCTAGGAGAAGAAAACCCAGCCTGTTGCGCTTCCTACACGAATAAGTATTGCTTCCGGGCTCTAATACCTATGGAACGAGCCCGACCAGTGCTAGGAGAGGAGAGAACGTCAGGTGGAAGTAGGACATTGAACAGGTATATGTTCATTGGCCCCGATGCACATTGCATCATATACCCTGTTGCGAAGGGACAGATCATGAATGTGCTATTGGTCATAAGTGATCCTAACCCCTGGCATACTGAAGACGGCAAGCAAACGGCTCCCGGAGAAAGGGCAGAAGCTACTCAAACGTATAAAGAATGGCACCCCTTCGTGAAGAGTCTTATAGAACTTCTACCCGAAAAGCTGCAAAAATGGGCTATTTTCGACATGTTTAACAACCCAGCACCATACTACTATCGTGGTAATATGGCAATTGCCGGGGATGCGGCCCACGCGACAGGTCCTCATCTAGGATCGGGCGCCGGCTTTGGCATAGAAGACGGCTTAGTCCTGGCGAGTTTGTTCCAAGCCGCCAACGCGAAACTCGATGGCCAGGACCAAGAATCTAGGGTGAAGCTATGCCGCGCTGCTTTAGCTACTTACAATAACGTACGATACGATCGCACTCAGTGGCTCGTAGGCGCTACGCGAGAAGCATGCGCATTGTTCCATCGACAAAACAAGGCGGCCGCTCATGATCCTGAGATTTTTCTGCAGGATATTAGCAAGCTATTCCATACTATATGGGATAATAATATTGAGGAGATGGTCCAGGAAGCGATCGGGGAGTTTGACGTGTTAGGCAGTGCAAGTCAGTGAACAGTCACCTGCGATTCAGCACTGGAATTACTGTCAAATAAATTCAATAAATTAACTACTTTTTTTATCCTGTGCTTACTCTCCAACTCCTTAGGCCGTGTTCATGTCTCATGCGACGGAAAAGACTTGGGTATCTCAAGAAAAGAAAAAGGAACCCCGACGTAAAAATTCGGAGAAATCATATCCTGCCTGCCCCCCATAAACCATATGTCCAATGCGATATTCAGATATATACAATCGCTATTGCATCGTGTTTTAAGTAGAAGGATTGGTTCGATAATATCGGTAACAAGCGGGACGCTGTCGCTCATAGCTGGCTGTGGTGGTCAACGCTCGTCGGTGAGAATTGGTTAGGTAGGTGACCAAGCTTCTCAATCTTCGTGAAGAGGTTGATAGCTCAGTGGGACTCGATAATCAACGACGGTATTGACGTCGGGCTCGGTTGGCATTCGAGGGCGAAGTAGTAATGTAGTAATCCTTGTGGGGCTAGAGGATCGCACGCGCCTCAATATAATGCGGACGGTCTTCCACTCTTTAGATTCAGAAGCGGTAGTCAATTAAGCTAATGGTCCCTCCCGGCTGTCGCAATACTGCATTTACGGACCGTTGGCCCTGGGTTGATATTCGTATAATAGTGGACCTCATACACAAGTAGCACTAACTCATCTTGCGTATGGGATCGGGGATAGTGAGCGAGTACGCGATACGGGACCAATGTTGTCGTAAGATGCTATAGGAGGGAGTGGGGCTGTGAGGACACCTCGGGCTTCTAGTTCAGTCGGCGTAAGAGCAATTTCTTCGTCCATCTTTAACCACGAATCTCTTTCCGGGCGCGACGGTCGTCCTAATTCGCCTCCGGCATGGCCTGGCGCACTTTGCTGGCCAGAACACTTTTTCCGTCGCACAACTCTTAGAGACCCATATATCGTCGGCGCATTCGCTACGAAGGTAGAAACGAACATTTGTACTGATGCCCAAAGACTGCGCGTGGTTTGGGAAGAGTTTTCGGTGAAGATGAGGACCAGCCGAATTATTGTGATGACGATACAGAATGTCCCTAGCGCGAATAGACTATACAGGGAAACGTATTCGGATACGCTTCGTTTCCTCAAACATATTAGAGGGTAAGCGATGGAGAGGAGTAAAAGGTCGATCACAATGTTCGCGACACCTTGGATAAGTAGTTGGACATAGGCGCGTACGCAATATCCCGGGTCGGGATCAACCTGCCAGTACAGATCAATCGGACGGCACTCGAGGAAGGTTGCCAAGACGATGGCAATAAAGGTGAGGACTACAGCGGCCCATGAAATCTTTGTAAGTCGGTCTGCCCAGGTTATTCCGGCTGTGATTCGAGAGTAAAATAGGAGTAGTAGACAAATTTGAAGCCAGAGAGCGGCGGTAAGAAGTACCCTAGCCAGGAGAACTAAGATACTGCCAGTTTTCAAGCGGTTCGTGTCGCTGTGATCGGTTGATTGGGCATGGTGTAGAACGTCGTTCGCGGTTCCGAATTTCAGGTAAAAGTTATTGGTGATAATTCTACCAATGATTACCACCATCGACAACACCACAAGGAATAAACTCCAGTCGAGAGGCTCGCGACGCCATCGAGAGATGATCAACCGAGAAAGTAGAATGACGACCGATAGTGCCGCGCAGGCATACCCGACGTGCTGGGCCTCTTGAGAATCGTAAACCATCTTGGGCAGGCTCTAATAAGCATATGTCAAGCAACCCGATGGTGAGACATGCTTCCCTTCGGCGAACCCGCGGGGTAGTACGTTCCTATGCCAAGATCAAGAAAACATGAGGAAGATACTCGTCGGGAGGAAGGCGAAGAACTAAGTTACGGAAATCTGGGGGTTGGATGAAAAAAATAGGATACACTACTTCATGGCGACTAAGCTTCTCCGCATGAACACAGATGGAGACGAGTTATTAACGGCATTAAATTGGTGTCGTTTCGACAAAATTCGAACAGGCACGAACAGGCGGGCAACTCCACTGCAAGAGAGCCGGTCTCGCGACTAACATGTTAGTCTTATTAGTATATAATGGCGCCGTTGGGCGTGAACAAGATGGGATAAGTTCCCCTTGTCCGACCCATAGCGTCGGGGCCCCGGGGGCGAAAAGGATTCTATTCCGTGCTCCGCCTTGTAAGCTAGATCGTACCTAAGATTCGAAGCTCGGTCTGGGAACATGAAGGAATCCTTCAACCCACCCGGGGTATTGATTCACGCCAGCCTTCATCGCTGATGGTGTCCTATCGTAGACGCTGATTGGGACACGACACATCCAACTGCATGAGGCGGTCTGTGGGCTAAGTTCACGTCAGCAATAAATGCAGAAGAAGAGGAAAGAAAAGAATTTGGCTATCTATATACAAATCACATGGTGAGCAAGAGTTGGCGGCAGGCTGTAAGAAAAAGAAGAAAAAAAAGCAAATGCAACGCTAACTCCCCAGACCCAGGTACCTTAGGTAGGTAGAGGTGGTACATACCTAGGTACTGTCACGATCGCTGCACATCATCCACTAAATTATACCTAGGTACCCTTACAACGCCCCCTGCACTCCATACCCGGGGATGGGTAGCCAAAGCTTTGTCAAATCTAGGCGTCACGTATGCTGGTATTTACCTACCTAGGTAAACAAAGCTTTGTTACACGGCGATATAGAAATAAGTTCGACTTATTAATCTACTAAACACCTCAGTATCGATTATCTCAACCCTTAAAATAAATTCGTTATTCATACCCAGAGTTGACCTATAGAAGTAGAAGCCTTAGCATTTACCGGTTTATTTAGCGAGTAAGCTAATAGCCAGCTAGCGCCGCTTAGCCTCAGCCCTCTCATACCTAAAGACCCGTTTTAATGCCTAAGCAGCTCGAATTCAAAACCTGATACTTTAGGCTCTACGTCGTCAGGGATTATATTATAGAACGGCGGACTCGGCTTTTTGTATTTGAAAAATGATGAGACTCAAATTGAATTTATTTGGGATGATGAGAATGTATTTCTCGCAACGTCACATAAATGTGAGCTTTCAAGGGATTTGATTTCGCCTTCGGCTCACATCAACGGTGCTTCTGCGTAATATCAGCCATAATGTCATAGTTACCTACCTCGAAATTATGAGGGTAGTAGCTCATTGGTTGGTATCGCAGGGGAGAGAAAGTGTATGGTATGTGTCCCGTGCTAGTCCTAATTAGCTACCTGAGTCTTCCACTGCTTCCTCTAAGAGCCTTGTGACAGCCTCAATCCCCCAGCACTAAGTCACATAAGAGGCCGAATTAAGAAGAAATACTTCGAGTGAGTAGCACGTCCTTCCAGTCATTGATGGGGCCCCAAGGTATCCTGGGAAATGCTTCGTAGACCTTAACAAATGAGCCTTGAGGTACATCCCAATCGATCCTCGTGATGAATACCCCTTGTAGACAGGATTGCGCACCCAATACCGTCCACGATGTATCATAGGGCAAATTCATAGGCCCAATACTCTTAGTTTGACATCGAGTTCAGAAGGTTCCATGACCGGAGAAACCTGTGATTGAACCAACCAAACTAAGATAGAAATGCTCGACCAGTAGTGCCGAGTAAGTAGGTGACACACACGTAACCGCGATGATACTGTCTGTATACCTCAGTTAACCAATCAATGCTGCTGTGTGATGGTAGATAAGAACTCAGTTCTCCCCCTAAAGTCTGCTGGACGGGATGCCAGATTTTCGACTTCGACTTCGACTTCAACTTCAATTTCAATTTCAAGCATTTTACACAAAGAACTCACAGTTTCTCAAAACCAAGGCCTAATAGAACAGCATAAAAGTACGCCATTTACGCCATTGGAAAGACCGTGGCTAACCGTGCATAGGATGCCTGTCCAGCTTGCTCAGCCGTGGAAGAAATGGTACCAGCCAAATAACAATTATCAGAAGCCGACTCATTTCGTCGTGCCTATTATGGCCGCTGGCAATACCGCACCTCTGAAGCTCTCCGGAGGAAACAGCAACTTAGGCCAGCCGAAGCCTAAGCCAGAGAGAAGTGAGCATGAGATGAAGGATGAGAATTAGATGGTGTGTAGGTTGGGGTGGCGGATAAGCTCAATCACGCAATGCGGCGTGGGGGTGGTATTAATCACGGTCGCAAACAGGATGTGGCCGGTGGCGATCACAGGCTTTTACTTTTTATTAGTATAACTGCCGAATGATTCCCAACTATTTTCAACCGGGAGTTGATAGTAAGGGAAGAGAAACAGTCAATTTTGAGTAGTCGTCTTATGCGATATCCCGAGCTATGAGCCTTCACTGATAGTGATATTTGAACACTCTTTTCGGTTCACATCTTTAATACTTGCACTTTGGACCTGAAAATTCCTTATAACCCATGTGCCACCTAAATAAGTACATATGGCCCGTAACTAGACAAATATCCCGCCATACTTACCCAAGTACCTAGATATATGTATAGCTCAAGTGAGCTATAGTCTCATTGCAGAGGCGCATATCAGAGTAATGAAATAAAACAACTAAACAGGGCATGTTAATGAATGAGTCTTGATACTTATGTATTGGCGACGAGAACTTACACCGGTACAAATAAAAGGCAAGCCTTTCCATGGATCTTGTAATCCAATACCGACGCCAAGTAAATTCTGAATTAGTGGCTCTCCTATTAGCATGCCAATTTGTTCGATAAGAAATACGGCGCTGTAAAGGGTACCCGTGCGCTTGGAGTCGATCCATGATGTGATAAGTGACAGAAGCGTCGAGCGGGCACCGAATCCGAGAGCGTAAATCATCGTTGCTAATTACGGTGAGAAAAGCTAAGCAAATGACAAAACGACATAAAACCGACCTGTAATTAAAAAGGCTGAGGTTGTGGCAAAACCAAGGAGTAGCGACCCGGTAAAAAGCAATGATAAACTGATCTCAACAATCCTCAGATTCAGAATTTGATTTGTAAGTGTCAAGTGTCTGCTGATCATGCTAACGAGGGCAGGCATAATGATAAAGAAAATAATTAGGTTGACAAATGCGACTTCACTGATGAGACCGTTTGTCTGTGGTAAAAATTAGGATGAAGATCAAAATGCATGAGGCACCAACTTGCCCTTGAAAGCTTCCAACCGAATCGGGCGGATGCATATTGCGTCAGAGCGCGTAGAGAGATGCCCCTAAGTGTGCCAATAAGGAAGATCGCTACCGCCAATCGCATATTACGGCTTGAGAAGATGAATATGAGAAGTCGATATTGGTCGATAGAGGCCCACAGAATCGTGCGAAGGACGTCAGCTTGTTCTGGCAGGGAATCGACATTCGAAGTCCGCTCGGAATAGATAGGCGCGGGTGTTGGCTCTGAAGTTGAACGGCTCTCTGGCATAATGGCAAGGATAGGAAAAGCCAGCAATAGTAACGAATAGTTTATAATAAAAGGAAGCCAGAGTGAGATGTCGGCAGTAACGGAAGCAATCGGGGGCCCTATAAGCTCACTGAAAATAAAACAGGAATAAAAATGGTACAGGCCTCGAGTTCTGTGAAAACGAGCTCGATAAGAATTCACTCGGTTAGATATATGTTGTTCCTGGGGCATACCTGGTCTCTTCATTGCACGCTTTTGCGATCATGGTCGCAAGTAGCATTTCAGCAGCATATCTACCTCCCCCTACGAGTAGGAAGATGGAGGACGCCCATACTAGCTTTACAGGAAGTACAGGGTTTGTTACTGTAGCATTTTCATTTAACTTCCTAGAAAACGAATAGGTTCAGAGTTCTTACCGACAACCAACGTCCACGATAGACTCATTAACATGCCCACTATAATAAACATGAATACTCTTCGCTGATCCCGATAGTCAGCGATACGCCCTATGGGTAACGCGACAAGAATGGCTATCGATGCATCAGCATGAACTTTGAACGTGGGCCAATAAGCTATACCAGCAATCGTCTCGAAAGATGCCATCCATCCTCGGACTTCAGCTAATATCTTTTGAACAGGTGGTATCTTGCAAAGATCGGATTGCGGAATGTTTCCTCCGTAGTATTCGAAGCACACAGCATTCTCTAAAACCGACACCATAGGCACAGTCGTAATCATCACAGCCAGCTCGCATATAAGCTCAAGCGCAATGCAATACTTAAAGCCTGGAGAAAAGCCTAACCAAATGTTCGCAATCTGGTACAATCTCCGATCGTTTCGGACCCCAACGGTAGTCGGCGGTACTGAATCGAGGAGCGGTTCATTTTCCTGCTCCATTACTGAGTCGTAGCGTTAGCATACTGTTAGGTGATGAACTTGGAGGGATCGTGAGCAAAGTCGGTACCTTCTTCGAACACTGTGCCGCTGCGATCGCCTTCAAGAGGAGCGATGGCTGGAGGCATTCTAGTATTGCTATGCCTTAGCTTATCAGATAGATCACATCACAAATGACAGTTTAAGGAGTTGAAAGTTCTAGGTTGCTTTTTTCGTGTCAGTAATGTACCCAAGCCCGCGTGAGCATTCCAAGTTCGCCTGGCATAGCCCCGCGTCGGACATAAAGTAAAGCAAACTCCCGCTGTATTTCTGCATTTTCATCATCTCAAACTACATACTAGTACCTAACCCTATGTACTTGCTGACTGGAAGTACTGGACGAGTCGGGCAAAAACAACACCAGCTGCCTGTCATTAATCGCCACAAATCCCACGCGATTCTAGAATTCTCATTTATACGTTGAAGGGATAAGCCTCGATGACTGGATGCCTTGTTCATTTACGTTCGGCGCCAAGCCACCCGGCGCGTCTGCCCGGTCGACTCCCAACTCCCCTATACAAGTTAACGGGGCTGCCCAGGACATAGCCTTCGTCCGTTTGCCCGCTACGTATAATTCCAATTCTTGTTGATACTACCACGAAGAATGAATTCCCAGATCACGGCCCCCTTTCCAGCCTCGTCCGGTGACCCGTCTCGACGATTACCTTATGTAGACTATATTCGGTCGTGCTATCGGAATGACCCGGAGGCGTTTAGCTACTATGAAGAACTTGTCGATTATATCGAGAAAATCACGAAGAAATCTTCCAATTTGTGTGAGGAAAGGCCAAGGGTATTCGAAGCCCAGTCGGTTATGTCTCCCATATCATATCCGGCTCTGTTTCCATTCGATCCCTTGGAATGGTCCGCTCACTCGGAGAAACCGCGCATAGTGATGTTAGAGGGATTTCCATCCCCCGATGCTGTTCTGCAGCTGGCTTATAGATGGAACCTGCGCCCAGAATTCTTCATAGGGCACATCTTTGGCAGCCAAAACAGCCAACGTGGGTTCTACAGCATCCCGACTTTGCCCTCGAGACAAGAGAACATCATACGCATCCACTTCAGCAGTTTGGTTAAATCCTTGGCCGAAGGGACCGGCCTAGCTTCGTACCTGGAGAAGAAGTCGGAGGTGGAAGAAGCCTGTCGGCAGTATGAAAAACGACTCCTTAGCGGGGATCGATACGGCGTGACTAGATATCGGGAAATTCATCAGCATGATACATACTACTGTAGCGTAGAACATATCACATCCTTCACGGTCGTTGTGAACAAATCGTCATGGGTCGGTGAGTACAGCCTCTCGACAAATGGAAATTCCATAGTCACACTGACGACGTGTCCCCCTTTCAGCAGTTTATCTCACGGATCAGGGCAAATCCCTCCTCGAAGACGTCCCCCTCCCTTGGTCAACATATCACGGTGGCGCCGCCTCACTCAAAAGTGGAACCGCAGTCGGTACTGTTCCAATCGTCCCATACAACGCCCCCATCACCCCCAAACCCTTCGAGTACCACCACGCGGCCCGAAATACGTCCCCCTCATCCTCCCCCTCTCTCCCCCCAGAAAACACCAATAACCACAACCGAAGTGGTTGCTCCTCCTCAGCCGCATCTTTCGGGCAGCTTCATCCACCACGGAATATCGTCGTCCACGACGAAATCGACATGCGTCTCCTATCCGAAGACCCCTTTTACTTGCTGGCTTGCCTATTCACAACTTCTGCGCTTTCTTTCGTTCAGCTCCTCAACTATCTTTCCGTAAGCGTCTCCGAGTGTCGCAGTACCGAAATTTCCCTCCTGAACGTCAAACTCGAGCGCCTGCGCCACTGCGTCAGAATCATCCATCGTGTTGAGTCTGCCCTCGATGAGAACATGCACTGGATAATTCAAGGCGGCTGTGCCTCGTGGCCTCGAGTGCGCCCCGGAACGGATACTGCTGCACGAAAAGCGGCTCTACAGACGAGGCTGCGAACTGACCACGAGGCGCTACATCAACGGTGCATTATAATGAGGCAGGAGTGCGATTCTGCGATGTTGTTCCTTGTGGACTACTCGCAGTTGCTCTGTGGAGAAAGAGGCATCGCGCAGGAGGGCGAGGTCCATGGATTGAATAAGCTAGCCTCGTTTTTCGTGCCGTTAGCATTTGTCGCGACGTTGTTTGGTATGAATGTGAAAGAACTGCAGGGGAATTCCGTATCGTTATGGACGTTTGTAACAGTAGCGGTTGTGGTTTCGGCGGCAACGTATGCTACCATATTTTGGCCTACGGTACGGCATTGGTTGAGCATGACGCGGAGAAAAATGGGGTTGAAAGGGAAGAGGGCTCCGCAGACAAGAGATGTTGATGCTTAACGACCGTCATTTGGGTAATACACTGCCTACTATGGAAGTAAGCCGTGTCGTTTATCGTCTCGCCTTTAGAGGCTTCTTTATTTCATCCCGTTTCTGATCTAGGAATATACGCTTTCTCGAATAAGACGTCTCAGATCACTACGCAGAATTTAGTTGTACCATGTCCACTTGGGCATGGAGTGACTAAGTCACTGCGGTGAAATTCTTCATGGATCTTTTGGATTGCCCTTCTTTTAGATTCATACGTTGTGGGGCTGTCGATGGTTGTTGACCCGACATTCCTTGAATTATTAGCAAGGGGGTACATGTAGCGACCAGTCTGGATGCTTGTGGGCCACGAGGCCTTCTTAAACGCTTCGGTTGCGAGTTTGATCAACATTAGATCACTCCCTATATACCTTCTAGTTAATCGTAATTCCGTAGTTTTCTCCGCGTTATATTCGTACCTTTCGCCCCAATCATCGTGCTGGCTATAGGCCGGACTTCATCCCTTCCACTAATTCTAGAGTTGTATGGCATCTGAGCAACTAGGCATGCATTAGTCCTGCTGCAGCCGAGAATTGAGAGCACATGCGACCTACATGGTAGTACGAGTTGAGGAGCGTGTAGAATGGGTGATATGAATTTTTCTGCGATCGTAGGGAAAGTCCCAGCCGGTCTAAGGCCAATGTCAGAGTAGAAGCCAAAGCGAACTAGATTCATCTTACGGGTTTAGGTCGTCGCGGTACTCCGGGTCGGGTTCTCCGTAGGGCATAATAAGAATGGCACTGGAAAGAGTTTTCGGATCCGGCCCCATGAAATTCTCACTGAACCAATTTCGGAAGACTTCGAGTTCTTTCAGGTAAGTCTCGTACTCTTCGAAAGTGACTTGTTCTCCAACACCCCTAATTCATTCATCAATAATAACACTGATAGCACAGCAAGACACAGCGCACTGACCATCGGAAACGCACAACAGGGCTAATGAATGCATCCTTGCCAAACTTTGCTTTATAATGGTCGCGAAACTGGTCAAAACCATGATAATAATCATAACATAATGCCCAAAACGCGCTCTATTTTCATTTAGCAACGTAAAAGCAAAGTATGGGGGAACTTGCCTTTTCGGTATATTTTAACAACGGCACGCCCTGGACTACATTCGGAGGATTCCTGTTCCACTCTTCCACAAAACTAAAAGGAGTGCGTTGAATACCCAAGAAGTTCTCAAGGATACTAACGAATTCTTCTGTGAGGGCTTGTTGCTTTGGGTTAGCAAGGGGATAAAATTCGCGAGGGTAAAGTATCTTAGAAGGAAATCCGGAGAATGTCTGATGGATATTCTCGAATGTATGTAGCGCGATGTAGTAAAGATCGTCTAGATTGCGACCGAATTGGCCCACGGTATCAAACATCCTATTCCAATTGTCAATTAAGAGTTTCTAAGCAATTTGAAGAACCACGCACGGCGAATTAGCCGGTATTCCCTTCATCGATGTACTCCCGAAGCTAGGGCGCAAAGAAAAGAGCCCACTACAGGGCGCAGGTGCCCGCACACTTCCAGCAGCTGTGCCATAAGATATTTAGTACGGATGTAGGGTAAGATAGGTTTAAGGCACGGTCATACAGTCACCGGCAATGGAGAAATCTAGCCATTCATAGCCAGCTAGAGAAGTACCAGCGCCCGTGGAGCTACTCGAGGGACTTTGATAGCGATCTCCACGCGGGTTGACAGGGCAATGAAAGTCAATCCATTGGCTCGTAGGCTCTTCCGGCGATGCGAAAGATGTCATCTTAGTCTTCCCCACAATCACTGCTCCGAGTCTAATAAGCTTCTGAGTATATTCGGCACTCTCATCATCTGGATCGTACAACTCGGTCCAAGGTCTGCTCATCATAGTTAATTGAGTGCCTTCAAGGCGGAATATGTCCTTTATTCCCATCCGTGATCCTGCAAGAGGTTTTTCTGAGCTTGGCTTGGCATAAAGGCGACTTGGAACGGCGATATATCTCCAGAGTCCGCTCGGGCTGACTAAGGGGAGCACGAGGTACCTAAGATAGTTAGAGCAAATACAAGATGAGCAGGGGAGCATAATAACTTCTTTGGATTCAAAACGTTCTCAGGTACTACACTAAAAATGAAGCTATCCAGTTCATCTTCGTACAAGCGGTATGCCTGGCAGATACAGCCCTGGGAAAGGAAGTACGGCCCCGGAGGAAGAACATCTTGCAAGGAGCATGGGGTTGTATGGTATACAGCAGAGAAGCGCCCGGAAGTTTTGAAATGAGCAAGGAGTTTAGATGAAATGCTGTTTATAGTGCTCTGCAAAATAATGGTGTTTCCGAAGGACTGTGTGTAGACATCATCCACAGTAGCAAAGCGATTGATGAGAGCAGACACCTCGTCAACTGAAGATATAGCATCACTAGTGATAACTACAGCGGGAATCAAGTGGGAGTACGGTAATAACTTGGTGATTTTGGCCTTTTTTTATTGCGGAGATTAGTTATAACCCCGCGTAAGTTCCCCGTGGGCAGATATAGTAAACTCACCAGGGGCTGCGGATGGACCAGGTAGGGGATATTGTCTATGATCGGAAATGAGAAAGTATTAGAAGTCATGATGGGATTCTTGCAAGTTAACATTGCTATAGAGATCCATATTAACATCTTCAGTGACATCTAGATTGGGGCATTACGAAGTATATGTACCTAGTATACCTACATGGGTACTTAGGTACATACCTGAAACTCCGTGGGTGTGAAACATTTAAACCGGTGAGCGATGGCTTGCAGTATAACTAGAAATGAGAAATGATACCCCCGCGTGGGGCGGGACAGATAATCAGGTAAGGGGTGACAATGTGTCCCCTCCTATCTGATTAAAAAGACACTTTTGATATTCGCTTTTGCACGTTATAGAGTGACAGGCGAATCGATGCTCATACTCCTTTAGCCTACCGACGTCCATTTGGTTTATAGTTGTTCAGCTGATCAACTTTCAAAATGATGTTGTATTGCGACTGTAAGACGATCCCAACGGTAAAAGAAGGCCAAATGCCACATAGGAAGCGAAGAGCGTGGTTGGATTTTTAAGACTCGGAGAAAAATTACAGAGTACTCTAGAAAAGCTCATAGGCGCCCTTGTCTAACAACTATCAATACCGGACATGACTCCCCTGCCAGTCGTCTATGATGGAGTCCAACAACCAGCGTTAGAGTAAGAACTTATACAGATAAATGTAATTCCTCAAATACTGAATACTATACACTGTAGCATTGTTTCCATACCGGCGCTCCCGACGTTAGCACCACAATATAAGCCAAGGGTCCACAACCAATGGCTTCGTCAAGTTCTCAGCCATCAGATCCCGCATGCGCGGATTATGGCATTTCAGTATGGGCTTACTAGAGAGGAAAGCGACGGTAAAGACGGTATATCGTCGTGGAAGATGCTGTTGGAACATGCAATAGCCTTGCTATTGGGTCTTACAATGCGGCGAGAAGGCGTTGAGCAGAGGCCGATTATCTTTGTCTGCCATAGTTTCGGTGCTTTCATTCTCAAAAAGGTATGCATCACTTTTATAGTTAGCAGCTCGTGTAATTTGACAGCCCGGACAGGCTCTTCTCGTTGCAAAAGAACAGTACCAGTTCCGTTACATCCTAGAAAGTACGGGCGGCGTCGTCTTTCTTGGCTGCCTTCACGATGAGAGTAACCCGCACTTCGAAGACCTCTGTATTAAATGCGCGGCCGTCGAATTTGGAACGATTAAGAAAACGGAACTATTGAAGAAGTCAAATGATTGGTATGCTATGAAAGAGGTCATGGAGCAGTTCCGGACCTTAAGCGCACCGTTTCAAGTTCGTGGCTTCTTCGAACTCAGGCCGACCATGTATCAGGCTGGCCGGTTTTCCGTCGTGAGAAAGTCCGAATGCGTCAGTACCTAAGCTACTCTTTCAATCTTAATTATTCCACATACTGACCCTGTACTACCCCTTCAGCTGTGCCCGAGACATGTCTCATCATTAGGTTGGGAAAATGAGGAAATAATTGGGGTCGAGGCGAACCATGAACAAATCATAACTTACCCCCATAGGAGTGATGAGCAGTTCTTTGATATCTTCATGTCCACACTCGAGGATTTGGTTGATAGTATCTGCCCGGCCTCCACCCGACGTACCTTTCCCAGCTCCGAAGAACCTTCCGAGCTTTCCACGCCTTGGGAAGTGTTCCATAGTGTTTCCCCAAGCGCCTCCCATCTGAGCATCCTTTCAGGTTAGTATTTCTATCCGATAGTCGTCAACATAAGTTCTAACGGACTTTATAGACGCCCAAGTTCGAGAGTCGTTATTAGGCCTTAGCATCAAAAGCCAGACCGTGCCGGGGGCGATTATTCCTTGTTTTGTTACAACTCCTTATGAGAAGAACCCAGAGTTTGTCGGTAGAGATGATATTCTTGAAAAGATCCACCACGCACTTGCACCAACCGACGACGCTACACATAGACTCAACACGTTCGTCTTAGCAGGTCTCGGCGGTTTAGGCAAGACCCAAATTGCCATCGAATATGCATTTCGCTACCGCGACATCTATCCTGTTGTTCTATTGGCACACGCCGACGGAGAGGCTAAATTGGCTGAGAGCTATTCTCACTTTGCCCAAGAACTCGGACTCGCTAGTGATAAGAAGCTAAGCCCGGAGGCTACGAAACAGGCTGTGAAAGAATGCCTGGCTACTCTCGGTAAATAAAGCCCATTCTACAATAATACACCTAGGTAGATATTAACTTACCAAAATTAGACGTCGATTGGCTCATGATTATCGACAATGCCGATGGAGAGGACAAGGAAGCCCTATTCAAGGAGTATCTTCCCGAAGGCGACCGCGGAGCCGTTCTTATTACCACTCGCGATCTTCGCCTAATTGCGCAGAAGGGTGGCATTGAGCTTAAAGTATTAGATAAAGAAAGTGCTGTTAACCTTCTAATAGCTATGTCGCGTTTCAATGGCGACAAGCTGGACGATGACGAACGAATCGAAGAGCTCGACGCTGCAGTTAACATTGTTAGGCGGATCGATTATTTACCATTAGCCATCATGCACGCTGCAAATCTAATTATTTCGGATTCCTGTACATTTTCAGAATTTTCTGAGGCGTATAACAACCGTGAATTGATCCAGGACTGTGAAGAAGTTCGCTTGATCAATCAGTCCAACGGTTCAACATATCGTTACTCACTTCGAACCGTCTGGAACATGAACTTTGACCGCCTAGAAGCTGGACCCCGAAGCTTGATAAAGATGTTGTCTTACATGGACCCTGATCGAGTCCAACTACGTCATCTGACTGAAGGCGTAGAGAAAGCGAAAGATCCAGTACTAGATTTTATGGACAGTGCTTATAAAAGAAACAAGTTGAAAACGCACCTCTTGCGAAGCTCACTTGTAACCCAGAGCGAGAAACACAAGGAACTTCGGATGCATCGACTAGTACAAGCATCGTGCCACCTACGAATGGACCTTGCCGAGCGTCGTCAGAGCTTTCAAAATGCAATCACGATTATCAAATACTGCTGGCCAGTCCCTCCGAGGTCAGCCATTTACGACCCATCACTATGGGATGCGCAGCAAGCTCTTTTACCACATGTGCAGTCTTTATGCGCGCATTACGTCGCATCTTGTAAGGAAGGGAACCCTCTCATTCCTCAAGAAGCGGCGAACTGGGATTTTGCGGCAATTCTGTATGAAGCTGGATGGTAGGACTCTAAAAAGCCTGGTTTGGGTTCTATGCTAATCTACTGAAGGTACTGCTACGAAAGGGCGCTTCTTGGTTCTATCAATGGGCTCCTATTGCCTGCCGAAGAGTATTGTCTCCTCCACCTTGACGAAGGCGGCGGCTACCGTATTCTAGCTGATGTCTACGGTGGCCTTGGGTCGCTTCATACCGAGTCGAACATGTTCTACGAAGCCCATAATAGCTTCCGCAAAGAATGGGGCTACCTCGAACGTGCGTTTGAAACCGGCGAGCTCGAACGACCAAGTATATGGGAAGTCTTTGGTCTCGCACGTCTTGCCAATGGTCTTCATGGATTGAACCGATATAAAGAAGCAGAAGAATATTACTGCCGAGCACTAAAAGCATGGGATGGCTTACCTGGAGATCGCACGGTGTACACGACAAATCTGGGGACGTGTTTGTGGCTACAGGGTCGGTTGGATGATGCCGAGAAGAGGCTCCGACCGCTGGTTAAGGATAAAGATGATGCAACAAACTTCAGGTATAGCCGTTAACAACTTTCTAAAAGATATACAAAGAGCTGACAGTCCACAGAACCGGATATGCGCTTCTGGCCCTAGGGAATGTCCAAATTAGCCAGGCAATCGCTCTGACCGAAGAGGGCAAGAAGAAAGAGTCTGAGGCTAAATATGAAGAGGCTATGGAGACGCACTTGCAGTCCCTCAAGCTGTATACTCTCACAATTGGGCCTAAACACCACCGGACGGCAGACACCTACCATAAGGTTGGCTGGCATTTCCATCGTCGCAACAACTACGATGCAGCATTGTGAGTACCTACCTAAGGAGCACCGTTTGATCACCCCGCTAATAGTCGAGAAGATCAATGCTTGAGAAAGCATTGGAGATTTACATGATGAATCCCGAGCATCTAAAGAACGAAATAGCTCGGACAAGGTACAAGAGGGGATGCTTATACCAAGACATGGGAGAACGTCAACGAGGCACTGAGGAGATCCGCGAAGCAGAAAAGATGAGAAGAGAAATTATTGGGCCCGAGAATTGGAAACCTGCAGGGGGAGAAGAGGATTTCGACGCGATAGTACAGTTTTGGAGTAGATGAATTCCTGGTGCTATGTTTTCATATGTATTTAATGACTGTATCCCTTATGACTGATTAGAAATGATTTATGTCTTCAAATTCGCCCGATTATTCTGGTACTGTCGCATCCACTTCGTATGGTTCTCCGCCCGGTCGAAACGCCACCACTCGAAGCTCAAGACTATGTCTGGGATAGGGAGTTTCCATATTAGTGTCGAAAGCCGCGTGGAAAGCAGCTGCTCGAGCATGTCAGCCAGTTTATCAGCGTTAATTAATACAGGAAGAAAATTACCCGGGCGCTGATCCTTAGAGGACATGTTCCGAAAGACGATCAAATCGTCAATGCCTTGTCGGCTAAGATAATACCATTTATGCTTAGGGTTCTTAAACAAGAGAGTATTTTCTCCAACAGACTGCTCGTGAATTACGTCGCACTCGATGGTATCTTCCTTCATATCGATGCTCTCATAGTCACAAACAGCCAAAGGCCAGTCATTGTTTGGTCCTCGAAGGACCCGCCAGACGCTAGATACGCTGGGTTAGATCGCCTCAGGATTACAGTATCGAAGCGGCTCATACTTAATCAAATCAAAATCTCTATTTTCAAAATATTTTTTCTGTCCTGGAAAGAACTGCTCCATAGCTAGGAATCCACCATGCCTACTAAAATCAGAGTGCGGTAAAGCGGCTGGTTGGGCAGCAGCTGTTATCGAACCTGGTTTCTTTGGAAATGATTCGTCTCGTATACGAACCTGTGTGGTGAGTTGTGAGTTAGATATCCAAATAGAAGAAGCTTACCAGGTGATCTAGGTAGTCGATGCGTTCATATCCGGGCAAAGCCTTGTGCAATATCCTTTCTATTTCTGGGAAGTAAACTTCTTTTATATACTCGTCGTCATCTGCAGTATTAGGAGTAACGGAAGTTGTGCCTTGAAGGAAGCAGAAACCGTGTCTGTCAAGGTTGAAGTTCCTCCGACTACTCTGGGCATCTGTGATAAGGAGATTCTGATAGTCGAAGCGGTGGTTGCTCTCGTCTGCACCGGGAATATGACCAACAGCGAAGTCGGTGTTGTAAGGCTTCTCAGTAAGATAGAGATCATCCTTCTTCAGATACGGCAGGCATATAGGGACATCCATAACATCGGTCTCGTTTACTTCAAAAGGCAGATTTCGTTGCGGTACGAAATTTGACAAGGGATGGGTTATCCTCCTTGTCAGCTTGCAAGCAGGTATCGTAACGCGATCAATGGTAAAATAATCATGCACTACTTGATCATCGGTCGCTTGGTGGCGACGTCGATCCAATTCTCATTGCACAGATATGGAGGTAGTATTTTTGCATGTCATCGTGTGGGGGGTACGTCCACTTCATCTGGTATCTAAGAGCTTCATATTTATAGGAATTGACTCGCGCCAATCAATGTGAGGAAGCCGTTAGTAATTGAGCATACCTAGGCGCCCGATAGCATAGGTGGTTAGGTACCTAAGCCAACAACAATGCGTTATAATTACAGGCACCACAGGGCTTGTACATGTACCTAGGTAGTGCCTCGGTACCAGTACCATTCACGGCGCATGGGACGGTAATAACTCCCCCAGTTATAGCAGCGGAATTCGCCTATCGCCCAAACCCGACGATAGTTACACTGCTTACCTACCTACCTAGGTACCTGTATTTCGCTCTACTTCTCAGCAGGTAATGAGGCCAGGAAAGGCTATAGATCAGCTCGGTAAGATAATATACGCGCTCAATGCGCCTTAATTCTTCGCGACGGACTTCCCGATGCTTCTAGGATCGTCCGACAATCCGAATTCTCAATCATCACCCCTCATAGCCTCACAAAAGCACCCCCGGCCGTAATCGAAGTCGAGTGTTCGATAAATTATCCCTCCGGTACCTACCTAGGTACGTATTGATTAATATTTATAATAGACGCCCATAGATCGTATCGTGCGTCTAGGGTTTCCCATGACGTATCAATCAATCGAGCGATGGTACTTCGATAGACAATGAGCCTCGTGTGTGCCTAGGTAGGTATACATGGGACAGAGATTAATCCAGGAGGAAAGCCTGATGAGGTTATGCACGGACGCTGTCATCTCTGCGATGTTATGGCTGATCGGGATTGGTCCGTCATGAGGGGCTTTGCCTGTTTTTCAACTCATGTTTAAGATCTATGCCAAATTCTAACACAAGACCCTTAATGAATTAAATCTTTAATCGTGCTCCGGCTTCTAGTTCTGTTAGGCTACCGAAACATGTTCGCACGAGTAGACGTCGACAACTCACTAGGAGTGGCCGATTGGGCCGATTTGTGTGTCTGCGAAAAAATTCGAAAATGGGGCAGCATCACCAAATACGCACACTTCCAAAACGCGGCGAGGAATTCATGTCGTCTTTGCGATGTATGCGAGAGGATTATCCTAGCTGTCGTAGACGGATGTCTGCCAACAGCATTTCGAGGAGCTCGAGATGAAACTGAACGCACGAGGATACTTAACGAATTGGAAGCTGGGCCATGGTGGAATCCTGGAAAAGATGATGGCCAAGTACTAATATTACGCATCATGGATCAAGAACTGGTCATCGAGCTATTCAGAGATGCGGAAGAACAACCCGAATTTAGTGTTCAAGGCGTCAAGTTTGATAAAATGACTCTATATGAACCGGGAACCAACTCAGATAGGGCATTCAAAACGGCTAAAGGATGGCTTCGTGAATGTCTTGAGCAACACCGTTGCGGAGGACTAGGTTCCACTCCATATCCTAAGAGATTGCTAGATCTTCGCGAAGGTCAAATTCGATTGATTGATTGAGACCAGCCGTATCAATAGCAACGAGGCTTTGTACGTTTGCTTAAGCCATCGTTGGGGCGATCCTCAATGTAGATGATTCATGACGACGACGAGAACAATCGAAAGCCACATGCAAGGGATCGCACGGGATGACCTTCCAAAGACGTTTCAAGATGCCGTAGCCATTTGTCAACGTATGTCAATAAACTATCTATGGATTGATTCATTGTGCATTCTACAAGAATTTGGTGGCATGTCAGACGAAGAGACACAGAAAACAAAGGCGGATTTCGTAGAAGGGAACTCAGCCATGGCAACCATTTACAGGAATTCACATTTCACGATCTTTGCGAGCATATCTACTAGTATGTCTAGTGGGATATTCTCTACAGAAAAGAATATAACCCACCGGATAAATGTCATCGACGATAACGGAAATAAAGCCATTTTATGTATCAGGAAGCCAAATACGCATTCTAATCCACCAACGGATATGGAGAGGAGGGGTTGGACATATCAGGAATACCTACTGCCTCCGAGGGTCTTGGATTTTAGGTCTTTTGATATCTCATGGAGATGTAAGGAAAGACATACTTGCGAGTGTGGAAGCATCCCCGCTAAATTGGATTGGCATGCACGACTCGCTGAGCAAGGACGGACACCACATAGTGCAACGGAAGCTGAGAAGTGGTGGCCGGAGGTAGTTAAGCATTACACTGCGCGAAGCCTAACACACGAACAAGATAAATTACCAGCTCTTTCTGGATTGGCACAGATCTACCATGAGGCGACGGGTGATACTTATCTAGCAGGCCTTTGGAAAGCTTCTCTCCCCGGTAGTCTTTTATGGTACAATACTGAAGAAGCCGGTTTTCTTGGTATAAGTATTGGTATTGGTATTGGTCGTAGGCCTCGGGCGTTCCGTGCCCCTTCTTGGTCTTGGGCTTCTCTCGACAGCTTAGGCAACGCCGAAAGTAGCTCCTTTCAGCCAGGAGTAGCGTTCGTTTCTATGTGGCCACCCCTTGTGCGGCGAACGGTTTGTACGATACATAATGTTGACTGCCAATTGAAAACGGATGATGTATTTGGGGAGGTTCTCGACGGGTCTATCACACTCGGGGCAATCTGCATTGCCGCGAAAATTGGCAGGAAACCCCAAGGAGGCGACGCCTGGACGTTGAGCTATGTTGAAGACGGCACGGATGTGCTGGCTTGCCTGCCTGATTGCAAGCTAGAAGATGACGGCTTGAGTTTAGGCGATACAGTCTATTGCGTGCCGATACTTGAAAAATTGTCCGGATGGGATTCGCACAGGAACTGTTTAGTGTTGAAGCAATTGCCAGGAGGGCAGTACCAGCGAGTAGGCTTCTGCATCCTAAGGAAACGGAATCGTACCCCGACACGATATCGGTCCCGCATGCGTTTTTGGCTAGGCCCGATAGCTAAGGAAAGGATAGAAAATATTCAGAATTTTGCTCTGCAATACAATCCAGATGCAGAAACTCGTATCACAATTATATAATAATGCATCGAGGCATCTTCTTTCTTGGGAAGTTTTTAGGGCAGCACATTGTAAATCGTTGTTTCGCCAGCTTTCTTGTTTCATGTTTAGCGCCTTACAATACCTACCCTTACCATCGCGCTGTGCGCATAAAATACCTAAACCTTTCCACGCTCGTGGGACTAGAACGCACTAGAATTATGGTAAGTTATAGCGCATACTTTCTTTTATAACTACCTACCTCCTAGGTAGGTACCTAGGTAGGTACTCAATATGGTAATATAGTGGGAGTAGCATGTTAGACTTACTGAATTAATCGTCGTCGTATCACCCAGAGACTCACCTATGATTACGGCGGTTTATAGCGAACACTCTTCCGCTTGCATTTCATGCATCTGTGGCTCTACTCGAGGCAAATATTAGCTATCGAATAGCTAGAGATCAGCATATAAAATGGGGATTCAACGTATTGCTATAGGCACTCAATATGGTAGAATGTATCTAGGTACCCATCTAGATATAAGCCCTTCTTTAGGGGTAAACGCGTCGCAACTAAAGTCGATATGGCGGCTCTAGACGCTATAGCTCCCTATAATTGTAGCAGAACCAAGCGCTATAGCTGTCTAAGTAGGTGCTTTACGTTAGGTACCCCCAGGGTTCCTTCTAGTATCACCGAACGCTTAATTCCCCCAATGCCTTGCTTCGCTGCCCTGTGTCTAGCAGCAAAGCTTTCTTCTCTATCCCTAAACAGTGAGTTATACAGCGATGGGCGCGATACCAGTTTTCGATCTGTCGGGTATTGGAGGAAACATACCTATACTTCGTATTTCCGTATTAGTCCAAATCAACCTATCATCTTGAGACATGATTGGCCACTACATTGTGTGAATAGGCTTTTAGTTTAAGTTAGCTTTAGACTACCCAACTTTAAAATCCTGAAGCTATTTAAATAAATGGGTGTATAGGTAGAATATCAAGCGTCGGTGTTGCTTAATGATTTTTGAAAATATGGAAAGTTGAGTCTAGGTTAGAGGATTATAGAGGGGTACGTACCAAGCGTAAGCGGGGTAGCGTAGCTTTGGGGGCGCTGTTGTACGCCTTAAAGTATCTAAATCATGCCTCATGGAAGGGATAAAAATAATAACAAATTGCGGATTGGAGCTGTATTGAGCCTTACCTGCGACGGAACGAAACAAATAGCTACATGCGCCCTACCTAGTTGAAAAGCGTGAGGTGGTTAGATTAGTTTGGTGCTGAGGACGAATTGCCTAGTCGTATAAACATACCTAGGTATGGAACGAGAGCACTCACTACCAATTCACCACCAGAAAGATTCGATGTCCCCGTGGATACAATGGTTATAGGCTTATAGCCAAACGCTGGCCGACTAACGATGACAACCCGACCATCACCATCAGCGGCGTTGCATATATTCTATCAATGATATTTCTCGCGCTACGATTTTATATCCGCATCTTCACTTGTCAGGGATAGAAATGGGATGACTGGTTGATACTAATAGCTATGATCACAACATCGGGGAGCTACCCTGTCCAGATCTTTGAGAACGTGGATCCCAACTATGAAGACACCGTACAAAGTGACTTTCACCAAAAATATCCTTTATTATGTTGGCACTCTACTTCACAATCGCCGGTGCGACTAAGTTAGGTATCCTATGTATGTATTATTGCGCCTTTCGCTACCAACTATTCGTATCGAGTGTGCTAGTGATCGTGTGGTGCTGCGATTGTCGTGGCAGAGAAAGCTCGGTATTTCTGGTATTTTCTTACTCGACGCACTGTATGTTTAACATGCTTTACCTTACGATGATTATTTCAATTACTGACTGTTTTCTTCTAGCGTAATTGTTATTGGACGGGCTAAAGTCATTATCGGCTTCGCGCCAGGAAGTCGAACCATATCTTGGGACAACAGTGATATATGGACGCCAATTCATACTGGAATAGCCCTTATCTGTTCTAACTTACCTGTACTAAATCTTCTTCTGGACCGCATCCGGAAGTTATCTCTTATTAATAACGTCGTCTTATTTTCAGTTCGAAAAGGTCCTAAGCGCATTTCACCATACTCAGTTATTGAAGAAGGGGGAAATGGGAGAGAACATTCTGACTCGCAACCATCTTTCACAATCAATGGAGGGAAGAAACCGGCATTCATATCGATGAAGCAGATGAAAAGAACAGATACTACAGAAATTGAATTATCGAACTACCTAACTGGCATTCAATACGGAGTTTCACAAGAACATAAGGACGATACCCGAGCATCACGTCAAGATGCAGCAAGTCATTTCTGAAGTCCTAGTTGACCGAGCTTCTTAGGTTTAAATGGGCGAAGTAAGTCAGTTTCAACGGTATGAGAACTCGATGATGACTTCGTACGCCGACCAGCCCCAACCACTCTCTTGTACGATCCCTCCAACCCTGCAAGGAAGAACCAACCCTCTAATAAGGCTGAATCATATTCCTCCTGATAATCTTCCCAGAATCATGGTCCCGCGTGCCCTGGACGACATCCCTAATAAACTGACCGCCTATATATGGTTCCAGAGCACCCATCTAATCGCTACGAGTTAGCTTCTTCAACCTTGCGGATATCAAGAGCATACGATACAGCAACGCACCAAATACCCCGATCGAACAGAAGAAACGAGACAACTCACCTGCCTAAGCCTATCCGCCCCAGCCCCCGTCAACCCCGTAGCAAGAAACCCCGGCGAAATCGCCCAAACCTTAACCCCATCATTCTTCAAAATCCGCGCCCACTCCCGCATCAACATATTCAACCCGGTCTTCGCAGACCTATACCCAGTAAGCGCAAGTTTAAACGCTTCCTTCGGCCAGCCAGCTGCCGGACTAGCATTAATACGCAACAAATTCGCATTCGCCACGCTCTCCGACTCCGTCATAGAACTAGTACCACTAGTAATAAACATAAGCCGGGGATCCGAAGACTTCAGAAGCAAGGGGACTGAAAGCGTGGTTAGTACGTGGGTACCGGTAACATTAGTATCCCACGTCGCGTTAAACCCCTCGCGCAGCGACATCCGACCTTCCGCGATTTCGGTATCGAAGCTACCGCCGCCGTTATTAATCAAAACATCTAGACGGCCGTATTTCGCCGTAAGCGTCTCTACGGCTTTCTCAAGTGATTCATCGGAGTTAAGATCAACCGGCAGGGTACTGAGCGACGAAGGCGATTGCGGGGTTTCCTTCTTAAGCGCCTCGATAGCAGTCTCGCCCTTCGATACGGTTCGGCAACCGATGATGATCTCATATGGAATATCGGTCTGGTACAGAGCCTTAACGGCTTCGTAACCTAGCCCGGTGTTACCTATAGTACGCGTCATTAAACAAATCCGTCAAACCCGAGTTAGGTCGATCCGTACCACCGGTGATCAGAATAATCTTCTTATCCGAGGCCATTGTTAAAACCGAGGGGAACTTTACGTATAGTTGGTTTAGTTAGAATGGATGAGAAGTGAGGATGACAAGGTTCGTAGTAATGATGACGGCCGTCTTTTATATTCGGGGCGGCATTTACACAAGCCGGATTCCACGGCTTCCCTTCATCACATATGTAGCATGGAATGGATATCCAAAACGTATCCCCGGCCAATAGTCCTTGCTGCTTTTACTAGATCGCGACCGGTTCTTTAGGTTCGGACATAATTACGATATGACCATGCCTCTATCTCCGAAGAGCGAGCCCCGACTACGACGATAGACTATATATACATCTCTAAACCATGGGTAGCCGTAAAAATGATTACTGACAACTTCCCGTTTTCCAATGGTCATACAGGTTGGGAGTGATGCATTAAATATTGAGATGCCTAAGTAGTAATTATCTCCGAATATACTACGTAAACTCCGTAACATCCTTAGAAGCTATTGGTAATCATCGTCATAACATGATTTCGATCTAGGTAGGTAGATCTGGGCGCCTAGTGCATGGATGCCTAATACTGGGATATTTTACTATGGTTTTTTAAACATGTCGCTGAGGAAAACGTACCTCACAAGACCTTAGTTAGATAAGATAGGGATACTTTTACACGTCTACTTCGATCAATAAAAAAACAATCTCATTCAACAGTTGTACCTCTGCTAATACTCTAACGACAACATAACGGCGATGGTGCCCTTCCATTGACCAATCCGTCCAAGAACATTCAAGACAAAAGAGTACCATGTAGCGTGAGAATTTGGCCGGGTAAAGACCTGACAACTGGTGAGGGATTCGCGTCTCTTATAGCTGGAATCTTGCACCCCGCAAGTTTTCTACCAACTCCTTATTTTTCCATTGACGGGCTCGCAAACTTTGTTACACTCTCATCCGAGTAGTTTAGCGATGCTTGAAATACTCCTATTCTCCTAACTCCAGAATGATTCCGTGAAAAAAGTAGTGGCGGGTATGCTGGCACAATTTCAACGCAATGAATGCAATCGTAGTCCCAAGTATGGTAGATTGGTGCAGAATGAGGCCCTGTGAATAGAGGCGAATTAAAAGACATGCAAAGGAAAATGAGAGAATCGTAAGCGTCGTAAGGATCCATGACTGGTCTTCGTAGCGGAAAGATAGGGAGACAGTTTAAATGGTATAGTAAGCGATTGACCGGGGAAGAAAAGCGCAACCATTCCGAGGCGTTCTGTTACCACGATTATTTATATTCGATTCCATAATCATGCGCGAGTCCGTGTGGTACTTCCAGGTGTAGGCGTGGTCGATTGTCCAGGATGTGTGTGCGAGTGAGAATGCGAGTGCATATTAGGGATACGACCACGTTTAGTATGGGGTAAAGTCCCAACATCGTGTTTTCCTGTATTCAAGTCAGTATATATGATTGTATAGAGAGCCGCGGTTTAGCTTACCATCACAACAGGCTCTAACGTTCTCGAGCCTGTCAGCCGCCCGATCTTGTTGTTCGATTATTTGTCTTAAGTCCTCAGCACTATCGGGCACTTCACTAGCTTCGTAAATGGCGCTGTCTTGAGGAATATGGGTCCTGCTCCTCAAGCTGCTGAATGTACTGTTGATCGTGCTCGATTTCCAGTAACCACTTATTCTACCTAGAGTACCGCTACGAGTAGCTTCCCTTTCACGAGTCGGTGTCAATGTTGGGATGCTCATAGATATTTCCACATTGGGCGAATCGTTGCGCGTCGTTCGGGAGTTGTAAGAGGATAAGGATGGTGGTGCTCGCGAGCGGTTACCGTTCACTGGCCGTCGGCTAATTGAAGGATTGAACTCGTCGATGTCCTCTTGGGTAATTTGACCGGCCACTTCTTCAGTATCATTTTGGGTCTCATCGCCCGTTCGAAGCAAGAGGTATGAAAGCGCATTGAACCAAGTCTCATGCCTCTGTCCAGTAGTGCAAGTGAACTTGACGGTTCGGCCTGGGGAAACAATGACAAGACTCTTTCGGTGAAGCCCAGGAGGCATAGGGTTGTCATCGGCGACAATGCGAACCGCTTCGATTGGAATGCTCTTGGTCTTCATCTCGGATTTCCCACCGGCAGATGGGTCACGATCACTCCAGTATAACGTTCTCGTGTAAGGGTGCACCCAGAAGTATCGCCTATGCCTGTTCTCGGACATTTCTCCGCGGCCGGTCTTGCGTGTGTATTTCCACAGATACTCACCGATCATGGTCTGCGTAATGGCCTGAATCATGCGAGGATCAGTGTTGGGACCGAAGGCTGAAGCATCCATTCCCATTCCGCCACGGATGTTGAACCTCGTATCAATTTCCGAAACGAAGGACGACACGGAAGATTGTCTGCTGCGAAGGGGGATTCTTGAAGGCGAGTGCACATGAGCATAACCGGGCATCGATGTCCTGTCGGCTCGAGGAGTCGGTGTGCCTCTAACTGACACTGGCGATATCGGCCGTCTGTTGTTTGGAGTTTCCGGTCTTGAGATTGGGGGTTTAAAAGCCGACGCCGGGAGTGATGGAGGTCCCATTGTTCCCTTTCCGCCGCTAGACGAGTCTATGCGCGCAGCTTCGATAACTTCTCGGTGGTTGGGAGGCAAAGGAGGTCTATTGCTTCTGGCACTGGCTGAGCTACCGGGTCGTCGTGGAGGTATCGGCTCAGCCGCGGAAACAGCGCTAGATTCACCCGCCTTCTGCCGTGCTCGCGTTTCATCGAAGGGCGTGACAGTGACCTCACCTCGGGAAGTGGTGATCGTGACCGAGTCCTGTGACGTCTGGTTTTGTTGCTTAAGTATTCGATCAAGCCCGTCCGAAGTTAACATTGTTTGAGAGCTTTGGTCGGCAGAGTGGTGTGTTGACTTTTGCGATGGACGAATATTCGTATTTGTCGAAATCTCCTTAAATGGGCGTTGCGATTCTGGCGTCTCTGGTCCAGGGGTAACGTTTGGAGATTGACGAGTTTCGTCTTCGGCAATCTCTGGCGTAAAGGACCTTTCACCCTTTCGTCTAGGGAATCCAATGGCGGATAGAGGTGCTTGAGGTAGGTGGTCTTCACGTGGGATGATAAACGCGTCCCGTTTCGGAGTTCTGGGCTCGGACTGTTCAATTGGCTCGGTTCCGGTTGAGTTCACCGAAGAGAAACCAAGAGCAGGTGTCGAAACCTCCAAAGATTTCCTAAGAGCCTCGAGCTCCGCAGCATGGTCAGCTATGAGCTTCTCTTTCTCTGCGGCACTGTCTTGTTCGTAAGACTCAAGAATGCTCGCATGGTGGGCCTGGAGAGCTTCTAGTTCACTAACGAGCGCCGCATCGGCTTCACTCTTGAACTGAGCTAACTCTTGAGCATGGCTAGCATGAAGGTTGTCCAAAGCTTCCTGCTGAGCGACGTCGCGGTGCTTGCTAAACTCTTCGAGTTCCCTAGTATGGTTGTTCTTAAGAGACTCCAAGGCACTGTTAAGAGTGGATTGATGTGCAACACGCTGGTTCTCGAATTCTTCGATATGCGCAGCCTTCAGCTCATCTAACTCTTGTATGTGTGCAGCCGTACTCTCGCTCTTTAGTGTCTCTAGCTCCTTCGCATGGGTCGCTACCAAAGCCTCGATCTCCCTCGCTTTCGTGCTTTCGCTTTCGTTGAGTTTTTCTAGCTCGCGTGCGTGGTTATCTTCTAGCTCTTGTAACTTCTGAGACTGTGCGTCACCATATTGAGTTCTGAAACTGTCAAGCTCGCTAGCGTGGCGTGTCGCCAAGTCTGCCAAAGCACTGGACTTGGCGTTGTCGCTTTCCTGGCGCAGACTTTCCAATTCGCGTCCATGAGCATCCGTCAATTCTTGAATCCTCTGGGCTAGAGTCGCCTCATGGTCGGCTTTGAGACTTTCCAACACCTGTGTTTGGGTTCCTATCAACTCTTGCAGTTTTTGTGATTCTGTTGCGTTATGTTCAGCCTTAAGAGTATCTAGATCCTTTGCGTGGGTGGTGGTTAGCGCAGCTATTTCGGAGGCTTTGGACGATTCAAAGGTTTGGCGAGTGTCTTCAAGCTCCCGTGAATGAGATTGGCTAAGTTCTTCTACGAGTTTAGCCTTTGCGGACTCGTGCTCGGCACCCAAAGCTGCCAGTTCCTTGAGATGGGACTGGCGAATCTCTTCCAATTCCTGCGAATGAGCTGCTTTGAGGCCTTCAAGTGCCTGAGTGGCCGAGGATTCGTGTTCTTGCCTCAAAGCTTCCAACTCCTTCAGATGGTTAGAGGCGATATCGTCCAACTCTCTTGACCTTGCAGCGGCATTTTCACTCTTCAAGGCTTCAATGCTCCTTTCATGTGCAGCCTTCAATGATTCCAGGGCTTGTGACTGTGATTGCTCACTGTCACGCTTTTGGGCTTCCAAGACCTCTGCGTGGGCAGCGTTGAGTGCTTCGATCTGCTGAGTGTGGGCAACGTTACCCTCGGATTTAGAAGATTCGACCTGTTTATCAATAGCCGCCTTAAATGCCTCGAGTTCTTGAGAGCGGGTAGCAGCGTGCTGGCTATTTAAGGCGTCGATCTCTTGAGCATGAGCTTCCTTCATGGCAGCCAATTCCTTTGATAGCGTCGCTTGACTTTCAGCCTTAACGGAATCGATTTCTCTGCCATGAGATGCGATGAGTGCGGCGATCTCCGCGGCTCGCTGGGCGTTGGCATCACTATTAAGCTTCTCGAGCTCTTCGGCATGAATCGCTCTAATCGAATCCAACTCTTCAGCGTGCGCTGCTACCAAAGAATTCTTGAGGTCTCCGAGTTGCTGCGAGTGGGTGGCCTTCATGGATTCAAGCTCTTCTAAGTGGGCAGCATCGGATTGTTGCCTCACCTTGCTCAGTTCCTCTGCGTACTCGGTTTGGAGGGTCTGAACTTCCTTGGCATGAGCGTTGAATAATTCCGTCTTCACCTGGTCGATTTGACTAGAATGAGCTACGTTCAGGGCAGCAATTTCGGCAGCATGTTGGGCATCACTATCCTTCTTCGCATTGATTAATTCGTCGCCGTGCTTCGCTTTCAGATTTTCCAACTCCGTAGCATGTGTTGCCTTGATTTCCGATTCCCTCATCGAGATTTGCTCTACGTGTGATGATTTAAGTGCTTCCAATTCAGCATCGTAAGTATCCTTTCTTTCTAACTCCTTCTGGGATAGCTGTTCGTTGAAGGAAGTTTTCAAATCATCCAGTTCTTGAGCACGGGCTACTTGCGCCTCAGCAGCTGCCTTGGAGGATTGGTCGGCATAGCTTGATCGGAGTTCTTCGAGTTCTTGTCCGTGAGCCACACGTAGCTCAGCAAGAGCTTTACCAATCTCTTCGGCGTGGCTTGATTTGAGAGCCTCTAATTCTCGCACGTGATCATTCTGGAGGTCAGACATGAATTTACCAATTTCGGCATCGTGGCTGGACTTGAGGGCTTCCAGTTGCTCCGCATGGGCTGCATTCGTTTCAGCAATGGTCCTGTCAATCGCTTCAGAGTGAGATGACTTGAGTGCTTCGAGTTCACCCTCGTAAGCATTCCGAGTATCAGCAACGGCCCTATCAAGATCATCTGCATAACTTGATTGTAATGACTTGAGCTCCTGGATGTGAGCGTCCTGGACTTCGGCGATGGACTTGTTGATCTCGTCGGTATGGCTCGCCGCTAGGGCTTCAAGCTCTTGTGCATGAGCCAAGTCAGCTTCAGACTGTACTTGACTCAGCTGTTCAGCATGCTGATTCCTAAGCTCTTCCAAAGCAACCGCGTATGTAGCTGCCTTTTCGGCGCTGAATTCTCTGAGAGCCACTTCATGTTGCGATTGTAAAGCCGCAAGCTCAGCCGCGTGAGCATCTGGCGCGGGCAAAGGCTCGACTCCTTGAGAATGGACAGTTGAAAACTCTAGCGGTGGGCCAAACTCGAAATCCTTAGGCGGTGACATAGGAGGCGAAGGGAACTTGGAAACACCCGCATCTATCTTGTCATCGGGTCCTGGGAATTCATCTGTCATGGTACCGGAATCGATCATGATAACCCTAGGTAGAGGTGGAACGGGCGGCGGAGGCGACACGGTTCGACCTCTAATAGACCTCCTACTGGGAGTTGCAGAGAGGGTTGATTCCACGTCACTACCATCGAAATCACCCAACTCAGCTGCCAGGCTTTGAATCTGTTGAGGTGTGCCCGTACTACTCGCAATACTTGGGGGGCTGCTGGGAAACGCGGGCTCCTCACTAGCTTGCCTTGATCGGCGGAAAGCACCGCGTGCCACACGAAGTGGGAATCTCTGTTGGAGAGGTGGTAGCATAGTGGGTGTTCTTGTCTGGTCGAATGGATATTCGTCATCTTCAGTTGACGCCGTACTATGCATGGACCCGCTGCGTTGCAAGCCGGCGAAGCTCGGTCTATTTCTAGGCGTACGACGCTTCGAGGGACTTTCCGTCTCGGTTTCGGCGTCATCGTCATCGTCACTCGAGAATTCTTCTGCGCCTGTATGGAAATCATCCGTCTCAGTAACGGGCTCGTTCGCTGTTTCGAATGCGGCATCACTTGTCTCGTTGGCGGTGTCGAAGCGGTCGATAGGTTCTTCAGCAACGGACTCGAACTTGCTAGATCCTCGTGAGGCTAATGAAGAACGAGTTGGGCTCGTAGAATCTGGCTGGTCTTCCCAGTTTGAATCCTCTGAAAAGACCTCACTTCGAACAGTCCGCAAGCCACCAAGCAATCGCGAGGGCTTCTTAAGTTCCTTGGGATCGGGTTTACGGGAACGTTTGTTTGCCGCCAGAGGATCGCTGCGCATCTTCTCTAATTCATCACGAGCCTCCTGGAGCATACGTTTTAGTTCGAGTTTCTCCGTCTTTTCACGGTGAACGTTATTCCTCAATCCTTGAATTGTACGTTGAGCATGTCCCAAGGAGGTCTTAAGCGTTTCCGATTCAAGCATAGAATGTCGCGGAGTCCCCTTCACTGGCGAAGGAGGAGGCGAGTGTTCTGGTGTTGTCTTGTCATGGGCTGTCTCGAAATCCTCATCACTCATGCCCAAGATTGATTCGCGTTCTATTATCCGTGCTCTCTGCGACGCCGAGACAGCTTTGGCGAGCTCTTGGTTCTGCCCAGTTAAGTCTTCAATCTTCCGACGCATGGATGTACGCTCGGTATCGGCCTGAAAGATATTGCGCTTCGCCGTGCCAAGTTCAATATCGTGATGCTTCATAGCCGCCGCGAAATCTTCACTCAGCTTGGAGTGGCTTAACTTAACCTCGTCCAACTCCCTTTGCGTCGAGGTTTTCTCGGCCTGCAGTAGGTTAAGAGCTTGGTTCAATTTCTTCTCGCGATCTTGAGCCTCTCTTTCTCGGGCCAAAAGGTCATGGACCTGAGTCTCGAGACTCCAGTTCTCATCCTTGTAACGATGCTCGCTTTCGTCCAGGGTCTTCACTCGTTGTTGAAAACCTTCGGCTTCATATTCGAGTTTCGCCTTCTCGTTTTTGATCTCCTTCAACTCCTCCTCCTTTTCAGCTAGTAGACCTTGTAAATTGCGTACCTGGGCAATTAACGAGGTACTGATCTCAGCAGCGAATTCGATATCGTGTATTCGGTTCGCCGGTTGATTTCGGAGTTTTCGGTTAGGGACGCTAAACTTGGTTGGAGACCCAGTCGCCTGAGCTTCGAACTTCGATGGGCTTACGGAACGCTGCACGAGAATGCAATTAGCAAACCAACTTGTTAGGGTTTCTAAAGAGACTTACCCTGCCGCTTTTGCCTTCAGGTACGAAGGGAGATCCAGCTACCTCATTGCTGGGAACTCTCTGCTTTGGTAAAAATGCCCGTGCACTTTCTCTAGCGACATCATTATAATCCTTCTCAATCTCAACTAGTCTTAACCGCAAATCATCTGATAATTCTCCTTCAGTCTGTGATTTTTCCACTTCTCTCAATCGATCAGTTAACTCTTTGCGTTGCTGAAGCAATGCAGTTCCTAATTTTCCAGCTTCTTCCATCCTTCGGTCGGTTTCGGCGAGATGGGCTTCCAAGGCTCGTTTTGCCTGCCCCGGGGAAGATTGAGGACCGAGTGCAAAGACTTGTGCGTCAAAATTAGAGAATCGGTGATGGCTGGAGCCACTAGGGGGAGACGCGACCGACACGAAGGGGTCATGTCGAGGATCGATGGCAGGCGCAGGCGCAGGGGATGAACCCTCGCCACTGGCACCAAAGGAAGCCATAGTGGCAACTAATTGAGGATTAACTCCAAGGAGAAGGCAATTTCCCCCTGGATTAATGTTGCGGCATGCAGCCTGATAAAAGGACGCGAAGGTCGCAAAGGTCGCAGTTGCAAGTTACAGTTACAGTTGAAGTACGGAAAAATTCGTCAGCCCTGCAATTTTGACGTGGCCGGAGCTAGTGAGCGCTGCCCCTGGACCAACAGCCAAATGAGAGATTGCCTAGTCGGTCGCGAGTGAGCGAGTGGCAGAACGCAGGCCCAGCATGCAAAGCACACACCCAATTACGACGTGAATGGTGTGGTGTGGATTTGACAATGCCCAACGCTGACGTCGGATGAGCTGGATGATGGCGAAAAAAAAAAAAAAAAAGATTGAAAATGAACAACTAATGGCCAGATGTTCGATGTTTTGCTGTCAACCGGAATTGAAAATTCTCGGGGCGTGACGATTAATCCTCTCCTCGATCAGGCGTCTCAGGGCAACTCGAAAGCACTGGAATTCCTAGAGCCTATCGAATGTAAATTTGCGACTGGTGCAATTCTAACCTCCAACTGCAGGACGCGCTAAAGGGAGAAAAAGGTTGGCAGATTTGATAGGTTTGATAGCTGATAGGCGGAATAGGCAGCGAAGCAAGGCACGCTACGTACAGTGCGTAGACCGAGGAAGTTTGCTGCGGCAACGGTGTACAACGCGAAGGAAGAGTCTAAACAAATTGTCGCACGGGAAAAACGCGACCAAGCCAAACCAATCCGGTAGAGGGAAAAAAAAATTATTAACACGGCCTAAAAAGTAAACTAAAATCGAGTTCGGCGCAACGAAACGAGCTAAAAGAAGCTAGAGAGGTCGAATATCGAATATTGAATAAAGCGCGCCAAGGAAGAAAAATGTTCGAGTTTTGTTCGATTCGTTGACGTATCAGTTTTGTTCCGTTCCGTTGAGACAGCAAGATTAGACGATATAAAAAAAATATAATGGAGTAGTAGGTGTATTATTAACAATTAGACAAAACAAAAGCGTCGTTCCTTGCGAGAAAAGGAAAATGGAAGTGTTCAGGTTTTGTTGCTAGTAGTTTTGTCTTACTTTTTTAGGGGAACAAGACAGAAAAAACAAAGCAATACCGCCGCAATGGTTAGAAAGGTTCAATAGTGAATAGTGAAAGTTGAAAGAATGGGCAACCGAAAAAAGGGGACCAAATGAGTGTGTTGGTTTAAGAAATGCAGGCCGGCAACTTCGCGAACATGCGGTTGACCGGTACCCGTGTTGTAGTGTATACAACGACGCGTCCTGCTCAAGAAGAAACAATGAGACCCTTCGGGAATCTGGATCCAGAGAATTTGGAGACTTGGGTACGGCTTATAGGGGAAAAAAATAACAAAAGGTGCCGGATTCCTGAATTGGCTGGAATGTCTCACAAATAATAGGAAACGGGGTCTTAGCGACGGGAAGAAACAAGAGAGGGAGGGAGGGGTCGGGAAAGGGAGGACGGGAAGGATGTTGATGTTGAAGATAGAAGAACCTTAGTTAGGGATGGTAATTTGGTATTAAACAATTGAAAGAGAATTCAATGGGAAGAGGAAGCGCGCGGGTGCGGTGACGAAACGGGGTGGAAAGTGGGTAGTGGGTACATATGTACAAGTGAGCTGAGCCAGGGATTAACAACATTTGAATGTAATGTCCCGAAGACTGTATGTTAATAGTATTGGCACGTTATCATGCTATTGATATTAGGTTGGATGATGCAGTATTGACAGTGCGGGGAACACATAATGGTGAGACACCGATACTGGGAAATCAATACAATACTATCGATATTATGGGACCCTTGATCTAGATACATCTAATATGTACCCCAACCTACCTGCGAAGTAAATACTTACGAACATTGAAAGTAAACAAGATATAACAATACGTGCATTCGTCCATTAGGTGTTTCTTCATACACAATTCCTATTGTTTGTTACAAAACAATATCAATTGAAGCTTCTAGTAGAATCCAAAAGAGATTGATTAATATTGTTTGTTAAACGCATCCAAAAATAATCTGACAAGTCGAAACGGTCAATCATTAGATCATTGGCAGGTGGGATATTACGATGTTACGCGTGTTACGCATGAAGCACTAAACAAAGATCAATTTTAGAGCTCCCCACTGCCATTGAGGGGTTCCCTGGATTCCCTGTCAATTTTAACTCCCGCTAGGGGAAACACGCTGCAACACAAGGCTGAGGAGCCGAAAGAGCAAGATTTGGGTACACCACGGTCGCACTGTACCATGTACGGACAGACCTTAAAAATGCATGTGGCTTGGACTTAAAGAGACTAGCGCCCAAAGTTTTGAACCAATACATTTCGGTTAGACAACTCAAGTTTCGAGGCCATTCCGCTATACCTAATTGGGCTATAATATTATTAGTCATATTACTCTTTTATGCCATATGATTTCTAGAATATTTCGATTAGAAACATTAGTAAACCTTCATGACGCAGTTTTCTGAACCCTTTCATAAACAAATACGATCCACCCATAATTCGACATCACAACTTCCCTGTAATAATAACGAACATAATGACAGAAGAGAATACTTCAAGCAGTGCGACAGCAGCCGAAGCTCCAATCGCTCCAGTTGCTATCTTCAAGAAACGAGGCGCAAAGGGAAAAGCCAATATCAGAAAACGTCCGGCAACGCCACCGCCAGCTAATAGCGACAGCGATGATGATTACACATCATCTGAAGATGAAGCAGGGCAACGAGTTAAACGACGCAAGAAGAATGCCGTCGTCACAGCCTCGTCTAAAAACAACATAACACATACCAATCAAAATCATAACGCCACCATCTTCGAAGCGGATCGCAGCGTACCCATCACAAGTACAAATGACGCTACGAAACAAACCAATTGGTTCGACGAAGACACGAATCTGCTAGGGAAAACACGGCCATTACCAAAATCCAAAGAATCAGAAGATGTTTCGACACAGCCAGATGGAACCTACAAAGGTCTCGCAAACCAGACGAAATTCATACGAAGAAATCCCGACGCGCCCAACCGGACTGTCGGTCCTATTAAAGCAGCCACCAACATCCGAACCATCACAGTTACCGATTTCGCGCCTGATGTGTGTAAAGATTACAAGCAGACCGGTTTCTGTGGTTTCGGAGATAACTGCAAGTTCCTACACGCTCGTGAGGATTACAAACAAGGGTGGCAACTAGACAGGGAATGGGAAAACGTAACCAAGGGAAAGAAGAACATAGGTGGAAAAGTAGTCGCGAGCGCCAACCGCGGCGCCAATGCCGACGACGACGATATTGATGCGGCCGAAGAAGCTTTACTAGAAAAAATACCTTTCGCCTGTATCATCTGCAAAGGACCATATAAGGAGCCCATTGTAACAAGGTGTCAGCATTATTTCTGCCTACCCTGCGCATTACAGAGATACAGGAAAGATCCCAGTTGTGCGGCTTGCGGTGCGGGTACGGGAGGTGTTTTCAATACCGCAAAGACGCTTAGCAAATTACTGGAAAAGAAGAAAGCACGACAGGCCAAGAAGCGGCAGAAAGCGATTGAGGCCGGAGAAGAAATACCCGAAGAGGAAGAAGAGCTCGGAAAATAATAGCTTAACGGAGTTATGATGATGGAATTTGGTACAATTATTTTCCGCACTGCCTAATTCTGGGGTGTGCTAGGGAGTCTCAATATCGCAGCATTCAAGATGTGAGACCATCGGGTCTGAGTCGCACCACGCTTGCGTGAGGCAGTGCTGCTCAGTCAGCTGAGGCTATTGCTGGGCTCGAACATTGAATGCCTTATAGCCCAACAGGTGGCGTCGTCAGGCGTTAACACGTGGATTAATAGTGCATACATACTCAGGTAGATATATTAGAACTACTGATATGTGTAAATAAAAAAGAGACAGATCACCTTGAAACATATACAATATCAATCAGCCTCAAGTCTACACCTCGGAGTTCATTTCCACCCCCTTTAAGATGTCTTAGCCCATTTCAACGGTCAGGTTATCTGTTACATACAATCGCGAAACGATTTTTTGTTCGGTATATGTTCCGCCGCATATAGGCAAGTGTCAGATATCACAATTCCCCGTTTGCAGAGCCCATAAACGACTCCAATCAGAGAGATCAAACATAATTTCGCAAAGTACAGTGACAGTGTTGGTACTGTCTAATTGAACAAGCCACCACAATAAGGGCGTCAATAGTGAAGGTCTAAGTACCCACGTCTTTACGATCCCTTAGAACTCCTCGCGATCCTTGGATATTCATTAAAGGATTGAACCAGCCTAGTCATCTCGGTTCTCACAATCAATCTCTCCAATTTCTGGTCCAAATCATCCTCAATATTCACGTTTCGCATGCTTCTTCTGCGCCGCTCTATCGCTATTAGAGTGCTATAAAATTTAATAACTCATATGTTTATAAACGAGTACAAGCGTATTTCGTAACCTTATAATCAAGACTTCTCAACGCGAGGTACAACAGAATTCATGATATAGCATGATCCAATGATACCAAAAAGGAGCTACATCAGACAAACACTACCTAGGGTACACGTCAACACCTAGGTACTTATCATAGTAGACATATGTCTACGACCGTACATTTATCAATAAAATGCCTATAATGCACATTGTAAATGAGCCCTTATAGTGGAAAACATAGCCATTGCCCTGTATTGTGACGTACTATGTTTACTTCCTCCGATTTGGTACTGCTAGCAAATGTCCAAATCCTCGACTTGCGGGCATATCAAATATTTATAATGCGTTGATATAAAGTCTGCTATATATTCTCAACTACTTCAATAGGGATTCTTAAAAACACAACGTATGCGATTTATTAAAAAATCATACCTACTTTACGGTTACTCGTTGTCCGGAATGTTGACTTCTATCGGGCCACTCAATGTACAATTCCAAGTTCCCCTGCGGGAACTCGATGGGCTTCAATCCTTTCGGGGTACACCAAGGCATTTCTAAGTACCTAGATGAGAATCTATTTACGAAGATAGCCTCGGAGTTTAATATTGGATAAATATAGAGTATTATCTTCCGATTGGGAATATTACCGGCTTATTAGTAGCAACACCCGCACATAGGATTATGACGTGATGCCATTTCAAGATTTGGCTGAACCGGGTACCCGGGACCGACACGGCGCATCGAAAGAGTGCATACGGACTTTTCGAATCAACGCCGATTCCGTATGAGGGTCACCGGGTCCGGTTTCGTTGCAATTGCTCGATATCATATGCGCTTCGGCTAGAATGCATCCCTCCTTCTAGAACCTCGGAAAGCTGAGATCGGATTTGATGCATATTTTCTGTGGAGTGGTGGTGGCGGGGGCTATCGCAAAGTTCCCCTGACAATGAACAAGCCAAAAGACTAACATAGCCACAATAAGACCAATCATAATTACTTACTCAAGCCATTAGGGACGGGAAGATTGTTATCGAGTTCAATTGGATCGGCATTTGCTTTTTCTGTTAGGCATTTTTCCGTCATATAGCGAGTTTCGGCCTATAAAGCGAATCTCGGCTGTGTTGGCCGGCGGAGACAACGGAAAACAAGGCGCTGCCGGATGACCTAGTTAAGCGAAGAGGAATAGAGAGGCAGTGCGTAGAATGAAATGCGAAAAGCGAGCTTCGGAACTTTTGACGAGAAATTGCTTATTTGCTATTGGCAGTGAATGTGCAATTTGACTAGAATGTGGATGGAAGAAGACTGTTGCGCCCCTTTTATAAAAGAGGAATAAGTAGCGGACCATATCCATATTCAGATCCGTCATTATCTTACATCCTACTCGTTCATCTCAACTAATCATCGCTTTTTGGAAAAACTTACCTTTAATTATTTAATAAAAACAATCATATTATCAAAATGCCAATTGCAATTGACGAACACACCAGCAATGTCGACGCATCAATACCGTTGTGTCACATTGTGACCCCGGTTGGCATGCTTGGCTATGGTCTTAAGGAGGATGAGACCATAGCCGCATTGAAGCCTTTCGTCGCGAGTGGCGTTCCGACCGCCATTATCTTGGATTCTGGATCGACAGATAGTGGGCCGGACAGACTTGCCCAAGGCATAATGGGATGCCCACGGACCGCATACGTTCGAGATCTTAGGAAATTATTGAAGCTCGTCCACGAATATCATGTCCCGTTAATTTTCAGCTCAGCGGGCGGTGACGGTACTGATGAGCACGTTCGAGAAATTGTAGGCGTCGTTGAGCAAATCGCAGCCGAAGAAGGAAATGACGGATACTCATTCAAAACTGTCGCTATATTCGCCGGAATTAAGAAGGAACTTATTCGAGAACGTCTAAGAGCTGGAGCAATTAGCGGGTGCGGAGCATGCGTTCCGCCGCTGACGGAAGAGGATATCGATGCATCGCCCCGAGTCGTTGCACAGATGGGTCCAGAGCCATTTATCGATGCGATGCACGCGAATCCTGATTTCGACGTTATCGTAGGTGGTCGCGCATATGATCCTGCTCCATATGTCGCTTACTGCGCGTACCTATCCGGATTGGACCTAAACGACTATAATTCGCCGATAGTTCAGCGTCAATTCGGCGGATTCACGCATATGGGCAAGATTTTAGAATGTGGAGGGACTTGCGCTGAACCAAAATCTCACGGCGCCATCTCTACCGTCTTCAAGGATGGCAGTTTTACGATCTCTCCCTTAACACCAACAGCACATTGCACACCTGTAACAGTCGCTGCGCATACCATGTACGAGAAATCGCGACCGGATATATTGCACGGACCGGGAGGATATTTAGACTTAAATTCCGCAACATATGAACAACTCGAGGACCAAAGGACGATCAAAGTGCGCGATGGTGTATTCAATTTCTTAAAAGGACGAGGCCTTCCATACCAAGTGAAGCTGGAAGCGGGTTGCGTTGTCGGTTACCGTTCAATGTTTATGGGTAGCGTTCGAGACCGTAAGATTCCAATACCCTCGACAGAATCTAGCACATAACCAAATACTAACGATGAAGCAGCAATTTTAATTAAACAATTCGACGCATTAACTGATCTCATCAAGAAATATGTCGCTGACCAACATAGCGACGTTACCGAGAAATGGGAGCTTGACTTTCATCTCTACGGAAAACCAGAAGACAATCCACAGTCGTCGGAGATATTTATCATCGGCGAGGCGCTAGGAGCTACACAGGAATTGGCAACCAGCGTCGCAGCGACAGCTAGAATTGGTGTCATTGTAAGTCTTATAACGCAGAATATTATCTAAATCGTAGCTCAAATATTAACTCTTCATAGCATGGAAGTTATCCGGGGCAGAAGGCCACTTCAGGGAACTTCGCATTCGGTATTGGTGGAAAGACTGTCATCGAGTTAGGGCCGTGCACGCAATTTTCCATGTATCATCTTATGGACCTGAACGAAGGCGAGGAGGGCCTATCTTTAGATAACGAAGCAGAAGAGCCTGTCAAGAACGGTGTAAACGGGAATGGAACTCACAAGCAAAGAACCCGACTTTTTACCCAATCCGTTTCATTGATTGGAAAGGGAGATAGGTCTTTGCAGAAGTCCCCTGCGCTCCTCACCAATGGACATGCCGACACCGTTAAGTTAATTACGGAGAAGAGCTCTGCCACCACCCAAGCGAGTAGTACGTCGACCTCTAATGGACACGCCAAAGCTAGTACCCTGGGGGATTTGGCTAAAGTTGTCAGGTCGAAGAATGCCGGGCCATTTGAAATCACCTTCGACCTCATATTCGAATCCAGGGACACCTACCTAAAAGTGAAGGATTCCGGTCTATTATCCCCCAAGACAATAGCAGAAGCTTATAAGTTAGCTGAGAGCGATATTGTCTGGTGCGGATTTTTCGACCCGGCGCAAGCATTCAAAGCCACTATTCCGCGAGTGAGGCGGGGCAAGCGTGCTGCCGGTGGAGGTTTCATGGAGAATGATGTCCACGGATCCCAACAGCATCTTGAACTTGTGAACTTGAAACTACCAGAGGAGCTGTTGGCAAGTCTAGCCTAGGTGTGATTTGGGCGTTTAGGTGGATGGTCGGGGCTCTCATGTAACTTATATGTACTTGGTATCGTCTAGTCGTTTCTCTCACTGATGTTTCCGTCTACTATATACAATGATTCTTTATTAAATGCCCTTAGCCCAGATGAAAATGTTGTGCCTCGGCGGTAATGCTATACATGTCCCATGAAGGATCACCCCAGAACATATTTGCGAAAGCGATATCTGACTGCCAAGGTTCTACCATCTGAGAATTGGTATCAAAAACATCTTCGGCGGGGATGCTACTCGGTCCCGGCAGGCTCGCTGATGTGGTGGGAACTTCAGATTCCTGTATCTCGACGGTCCGACCGCGTAGTTTGTTGGCCGTGTCAATCGCGTCTAGTAATATGTACACTCCCATCCTATCCGTGAGGTTTGATTTGACATCGGCGGAGACTGGTGTCTGCTTGCATAATACTTCAAAGAGATTCGCGACCCTATCAAATTCGTCCCGAGGTTGCAGCGTCAATGTTCTAAACATCGTATGTGACATAATCACATGGTTTGCTGCTAGTTGTTGTTCTTCATGGTTGCTAGCATTGTTGTTGAGACTAAAGTATCTGAGGAGGAAGATTGTCGCAAATGCTAGGCCTCTGAAGTAATCCTTGGGCAGTAATCTTTCGCGGTCTCCTATGGACATGCTTTGGGGCTTATCTGACCTCTCATGAAACCGCGAATTCGCTAGGTTTATGATGCGGAGGGCAGCGGCAAGACCTAACTTGAGTAGGATATCTCTCGAACTAGTAGTAGAGCGAGATCGTATGATCACAAGTGTATAAACGTGCATTTTGACGGCCATAACGAAATGGTCAATCATAGTCGTCCATCCATCCGGATATACGATTTTAAGCGTATCGAGCTCGCCATCGAGAAGCTGGGTGACGGAAGTATCAACCACACCGTCGTTTGAATTATGTGTAAGGACATTGGTAAATCCCGCCATGACGAGTAGCACTCTAATCTGGAGTGAAAACTCGCGCGGAAGACTATGTTCGCTGAGTATCGAACGGATCGTAGCGATATCGGACGGTGTATTGATCATCGGAGGGAGACCAAGATGCATACTCAGACTGTATCACCTTCAGCTAAAGCTAGACGCATGGGATATCACAATGACTTACGATGTGCTAACATGGAAACAACCTAACCACGTGTTTATTCTTTCGTATGGACTTCCGGATATGACACCGACACTGCGTACCGAGGGAGTAGACCCGGCCCTCGGGTTGGACCGGTGAAGCCCCATGTAAAGAGCTGCGTTCACAGCAACCCCGCAGTATAACCAACTCGGATCTTCCGGTTGATGCGGCACTGGTAATGGCCATGTGCATAGGAATAAAAGAGCTTGGATTTTGCTTAGGGATATTGGCGCCTGCAAAGCTTCTGCTTGAAGCATCTGCGTGTATGGCTCGCGGAGCCGAGTGAATACGGTTTCATCAGAGGATAATGGTAAGCGACATGTAACGACGGCAATGATTGTCCAAAATAGAAAAGTGTGAGAATGATAGAGGGTCTTGAGCGATACAGGACCTATTATCGGAAGATGCGGATGGAGGAAGGTTGTGAATCTTGTACAGAAGGACGCTTGTTAGCTTAGGGGAAGGAGGTTCAGTAGCGGTATGCGCACTCACAACTCGAATGCCTCCATGACTGATTGCTTGCTAACGATAACGCCGCCAATCTCAAACGACTCTAACCCTAAAAGCTCAAAATCTTCTAATAGAATAGCAACTGTTGGTTGCGGCGGGTTGCCGGATGAATCTTGTGAACGGGCAGAGTCTGGATCTGGACTCGTAGTAGAACCTGCGCGAGAGTTCGCTAATCTCTGATCACGAAGTTCCCGTAGCTCTTTTGACATAGCTTCAAGTCGCCTATTTACTGCGATTAGTCGCAAGACATGCGCGAAACCCCCTGCAGCGAAACGATCACATCAGGGGAACCTGGAGACGCACTTTCGAGCCGGCGTCCTTCGAAAGGACGGGTCAACTGTACATGTTAAATGTCTCGCCTGACATCTAGAGCAGGGGTTCGGAAACATGTCTTTAGAGTCGCATCGAAGCTATCAAGTTGTTAGTAAAACTAGTCATATCAAGCCAGGAAGGGGATGTGCACCTTCGACTGTTTGCATTCCGTGCATGTCTTTACGGGTCGCGCCCCCGGCCATACAGTGGATGCCATGGCAAATTCGCATGTGATCCTATTCAGAAATAATATGTACCAAGTAACGTTTGCTTATTTGAAATCAAGTCATGCCCAATTCTAGGTCTTTTCTCATATGTCGGCTTAATTGTGCATAAATGTATTAGGTAGCCACAGGAAGTTGAAGATACTTAGGCAATCGGCGGTTGATAGAAAGATTATAAAACGATGCGATCTTCCAAAGATATGTTGTAGACGATTTGCCAAGTGTGGATCGCATCGAATCTGATTCGTTGAATACCGAATAGATGTCCCAATTTCATTCTACTTAAACATCACAGGCAGGTCTTCCAAGTTCAATAGTCCCAGATTACCAACCTTGGGCAACATTGGTATAGCTGACGAATTAAGTAGGTCAGTATAGTGACGAGCTCATTAGCTACTTAATAATACCACGCGGCGTTGTGCAGAGGCATTGCGCTATTCCGGCATATAACTAGGGGAGAGCCTAGTCCCCGCAAACGGCATAGGTCGACAATACGACGGCTTGAGGCGGAGTACATTGGAATCAGGGGTTGTTTGCATAAGCGCAACCTCGTGTAGAACGAAGAATTAAATGGGTGAACCCGAAAACTCCGTCTTTAACACCGCTCAGCCTTACGAAGTGAAGACTAGTCCGTAGTGTGCCTAATTACTAACCCATTTATTTATTTTCGAGTTAACAACGCGCGTCGTTTTCGGTAATGGAGCGGGACTTCTGACGGCTGTGCCTCTCTTAAGTGTTATATATTTAACCCCTGAACCCCTTAACTCAACGTATTATAATGGTCTTTTGAGGGGGTGTCGGTCCGCCAAGATAGAACATTTTTATAGATTGAAATGAAAAGGCTATAGATGAATTTATTCCTCCTAAGATGAGGGTTTTATAATTGATATTAAATGACGCTTAGAACGCCCAGTATATGTACTTCTACCCATTGGGTAAGTCCGCGGTACGCACAGACAAGCCACCTAGGAAGCTAACGCGATTCCAGGGGTCTAAATCGTAGATCAAGTGGCTGTGGACGAATGATAGCTGCCCAACACGTCTTTTATTGCCCACCACATTGGCTAGAATCTGCATCTTCCCGCTCTATATCGAGCTTCTAAGTGGGTGGCTTTCGGACCTCCGTATCTCTAAATTGCTTTCAAATCGGCGAAAATGTTATGTTCCGTCTGTATTAATTTTGACGTGAGAGCTCTCCTTTTGAAGGCCGAAGGTCAAACACCCAGACGTTACAACACTCCTACAACGGGAGACGCGTTTGAGTCTCTTCGACCAGCGATTCCTCACTTCTTCAAACAACATCCAAATCTACTGTCGCTTCGGACCTCGGCTGCCGAGTGCGACCTCTGCAATCACATATGGCAGGCTTATGTCAGGATTTCTCAGCCAATTGAACTCACTGATGAATACCTGTGCCAAGGCACCAACGCAAGTCAGATATTCATAGGGACTCAGACTTGGGACGCCACACTTCACGGCTTACCTCATCTTGCCGCCATTCAGAACGGAGAAAAGGGGGTGGCGCGTATATTAGCCCTTTTCGAGGTATGCGCGTTGAGAGGTAAGTTATGTCATATTCAATTACCTTGGTCATATGTCAATAAGTTTATAGGTCGCAAACCATCGGATCACCCGAATCTTCTTGCCAGATCCATTTATAACAATTCTGGGTCCGATGAATGCCTAAAATTAGCTGGCAAACTGCTTGCCAACTGTTTTAATAAGCATAAATCATGTACTTCTCGGTATCCCATATCAGCGGAACTTCCAACGAGGATCATCGACACCGAAAGCGCGAACCCTAAGCTGGTTGATGGTAAAGGGCGATGTGGGACCTTCGTCGCGCTTTCGTACTGCTGGGGCGGTGATTCCGACTTCAAGCTCACAGCAGCATCAGAACAGTCATTTCGCGAAGGCCGACCTCTTGGCGAATTTCCTGCTACGTTACGCGATGCTATCCATGTTGCTAAGGCGCTTGGCGTCCGCTACATTTGGATTGACGCGTTATGTATTATCCAAGACTCCGCCGAAGACTGGGCCCAGGAGGCTAGTCGGATGCGTGAGGTTTACAAAGGGGCAGCCCTCACGATAGCGGCGGCGTGCGCATCTAAAACGAGCGAAGGGATCTTTCGGGAGCGGTCCATACCGCCAAATGATTCCAGATGCTGGCTCGACTGGAGAAATGGAAACGAGATCCCGACGAAAGTATTCCTGCGACCTGGGTCCGAACTATGGGACGAAAGGATGCATCAAAGTGTCCTGAACACTAGAAGCTGGGTCCTACAAGAAACTCTTCTGGCGCCCCGGACTCTGTGGTTCGGTCAACAGCAACTATGTTTTGAGTGCCCGAAGGGAAGCGTAGATGAAGCGGGGCGAACCATCAGGATAACAGAAATATACCGCAGCAAAGAGTTTATGCAACTTCTCCGCCAAGAAGTCTTGCCAGATTGGAAAAGGCGACTACTCACCTATCTACGAGAGCGAGACCTTCGTCTCGCGATCATATATCCGGAACCTTCATTGTCAAATATCCTGCGGGCTAGGGACTTGTGGACCCTGCTCAATAGGTCCTTCGTTTGGAGGCCATTCACATTGCAAGGTTACTTCAAAGCTCCGGCGGACCCTATGGGAATGTCACATTTCGGTTTTTGGGTTAAGGTAATAGAAAACTATTCGGCCCGACAACTCACCAATCAGGGCGATACTCTTCCGGCGTTATCTGGGCTTGCTGGAGAATTCTATACAGCCACAGGCGATACTTACGTCGCTGGACTCTGGAAGTTGGACTTAATACAAGGTCTAAGCTGGGTAAGTGATTTTTATCAGCGATCATGCCTTTTGACATTTCTCATGATTCCTTCGAGGCAATTAATTCACCAACCCATCACACTTGCGCTAATATCTGGGTTTTAGACAAGGTTGCCCCTTAAAAAACAACTTCCGAATAAATTTGCGGACGACAAGAAATATCTAGCACCATCATGGAGCTGGGCATGCCTCCCCGGGCGCAAGGTTCTTTTTATGGATCTCACGCAATACGATCATGTCAAACGTTTTGCCAAGCTCATAGACATGAACATTCAGCTCTCCACTCACGATCCCTTCGGCGCTGTTAAAGGCGGCTACATAACTCTCCAAGGCCCGTTTCTCGAATTGGATTCACCTGATCTTCTCAGCGATTCCCAGCCAGCTTTACCTTTTCCGAAGTTGTTGAATTGGATCTACCGCAGGTTGAAATATGGCGGGAATAATGAGTATCAACAGAAACATAAAAGTTATCCCGGACAAAAATTTGCACTTTTGAAACTGATCCAAGGACGAAGAGTCATGATAAAGACTGCCGAAAACCTATGTTTCCTTGTTCTAGAGAGTGTTGAAGGCACTGATAGCTGGAGGCGGGTAGAACGTCTCATTTTCACGGTTGCGGAAAATAGGGCTAACGAGGGCGCGGAATTGGTTGAAGCGCTGGAAGTTTTAGCAGAATTCAGGGATGCCTTAAAAACAAATGCCGTGAAAATCATTTAAGATAGATGTGGCTATTTAGAAGAAACATTGATACGAGATGGGCGATGTTAATTGTTTTGGCAGCGTTTGACTAAGAGCTTCAGCGACCCCTATATGTTTATTTGTCTCTACTGGGTTGACTCAAGCATTTCACGGAGTCAATGTAGTTGAGGGGGAGATCTTGATCATTGTTCATAGTACAGTGATATGCACTGTTATCACCCTGTCCAACACAACCCTTAAAATGCCCAAATATCCCTTATAACAATCTTCCATAATCAGTTTCTCATCATGGTGACTCCATATCCAACTTTTATAACACGCGAGTATAGCCTTTCAGGGACTATGGTTACAGTGTAACCACCTAGAGTCTAGTGTTTCTGTACGAGAAAGCGTGGCGAACTGAGAGAGTTTCGTCTCCGTCAGTCGTGCCCTATTAAAGATTAGCCAAGTCTGAACCCCTATCCTAGCCGTTATAGACCTACATTATTAGTAGCGAATGTTCTAGGGTAGTATCTTGTATACAGAGCGCAATATTGCCCAGCCGGCCGTCCATTCCGATTAATGAGATAAGTTGTGAAGAATCGGCATATCTGCGGCTCACCCCTCGCGGGAGGATGAGCTAAATTGTCTATGTAAGTTATTGTTAGCTGTAACCCCCCATTAAATGTTGGTGAGCGTTGATTGACGCCGTAATGCCTGATACGGGTAGAAAAAGTGAAAGAACAATGGGGATCTTACTCCTATTCTGCGCATCACAAGCGGCGGCACAGAGAGCAGGATCGAAGAAAGTAATCGTAAAAATTCTGGAGCCGATATAAGTCCCTCTCCCATTGCCAGGGTTTGCTGTCGATGTAGGAGTAGTCGTTGTTATAGTTGTAGTCGTTCCGTCTACCGTTGTGGTGACGGTTGTAGTAACAGTAGGATCTCCGGTCGTGTCGCCATCCGGTGCGTCAATCGTGTTGTTTCCTGTGGCCTCTCCATCATAACCCGGCACTGTAGGAACAGCATTCCGCATATACCCATTAGATCCTGATATAACTATGTGAAAACCTTGCTGGTTCTCTCCAACGTAGCTCGCAGTGTCCGTTGCGACGTCACCGCCCCAGAAAATGCATTTGATATTAGTCGTTGAAGGCGGGTTCGCACAGCCGGGCGCTGGTATAAGAGATGGGTCTCTTTCAAAGAAGATGTTAAACCCTTGACAGCCGTCAAAGATTGTATCGCACTGGGTTGCGCAACCTTGGGTGTCGTAAGAATTAAGTGTATCAAAGCCGAGATATCCGTAGGCTTGGCTCCTAGCATGTAAGTTTACGAAGGTCCTGTTGTATCCTGAAGGGGTAGGAGCTTGACTGGCGATTGTTGCGAAAGCGGCGAACCTAAGGAAATTACTGTCATTATCAGGAGATGGTACCGGACCGGCCCCAGTAGGGTTAGGTTGACAGGCCGTCTGTCGGGCAGCGACGCTCCGACGAGAGATCGGTTCAGTTCCCACAGGTAAGGGGCTTGCCGTAGCGGATTCGGTAGCTTCAGTTAGATTATAGGTAGTGGTATCGGCGCTAGGTCCAACTGGCACGGAGACCGAGGTTGGCGTTGGCGCTGAATCGACAAGCGAAGTATCGATTCCTTGTCGGGGTTCAAGAGGCGAAGCTATGATCATAGCCATAAGAGCCTGACCTAATGCTGCGAATAACCTCATTATTTTCGAAGTAGCTGAGCTGATATCTCTAAAGAGGTGCGTGTGTAGATGAAAAGAAGAGAAGTGTTGGTAGTTTTAGTGAGAACATTCCAAAGATTGTTATAAGGCTACGAGAACTCTCCCATTCTCTTCTATTTTTGCTAACTATTTCAACTATCCTAGGCGGTACGGTTTAGTAGTCATTCATTACTTCATAATTGCGAAGAATCAATCTTTCATTCCGTCCTCCATCACATTTAGCACGGCCTTACATCACAATTTCTGTGGTTGCCAGCCGACGAACTTCTATGAGTCAGTTCGGAACCCACACCAACACTTTATAGACCAAAATGTTAATTGATTTACCTATTGGGTATCAATGAAGAGCTGCGTTCCGACGCCACCAGACTGCTTCAAGCCTTCCAATTGCAGGAGAGAGAGCAGCTTTAAATCACCGAGGCCTTGATAAAAGTCAAATTGAGACTTGCAAGTGCTTGTAGTTAAGCTAGTACTCTTAAAAGCTTCCATACCTTATCGCTTCTATCAATTGCCCCATATTACTGAGGGATATAACGACCCTTGGATGTAAAAAAAGTGTCCATGTAGGTATTTTATATTGTGGTGTGCCTCTTATCATCCCATTTTCCCTGAATCCAGCTGAGGGCCGTTCTACATATTGGATAGGAAGGCTATTAAACGGCTCTTGCCGCTCTGAAATCGTCGATTTTAAAACTTTTCCCTCAATGCTGTTGTATGTAATACTTAGCAGTTGGTTAGGGAGGTAGGCATGGAGCATTGTGGTTGGTTGATTCATCCAAGCGTCTTGACTCAAATGAGCTACCACATGTATAGTCGATGGCAACTAAACTCTAAATTAAAGATGAGACCCTGGCATTGTCCTAGCTTCGCGCGACGACACTGTCACGTTTGGACCCCTACGCAAAGACAAGGGTTGAATAGCAACTCCTAACATGTTCTGCCAAGAGGTTCGAGACTATCACATGTTGGAACTTCCGATAACGGTTACTCCAACTTTCACTTCAGATGGTGCTGGTATTCTGGCTTGACGTGGTGTGTAATGAGCTGGGGGAGAGATATGACTGATAATAGGGATGTCATATGACGGTACGTGATGTCATCCTCAAACCTTGGGAGTCTGCTAGGCCTCCCCATAAAACGTAGTGCCCCGCTAGCGAGTGCTGCAAGGGCCAGCCCTGAAGCCCTTCATTTAATTATGAATTTGCTCCACGTGCGTGGAAGTTCCAGGACCCCTATTTGCAGATATCCGGGTACACAGCCGATGTGGGGCCGTCGGCGAACAGGTTCGGAAGGCAACAACGGACCTGGCGGGGAAACTCTCCAAGGTATAGCGGTAGTAACGGTGGGGTTGACGGCCGGCTACTTTGCCGTAAAGGAATGGAATCAATGAATTGTTAGGAGGTAATGAAAAAATTGAAAACGAAGAATGCGTCTTTGTCTTACCTCATTGGAAGTTACCCGTGCTCTCTTTGACTCCTCCCCTAACGTCCCGGTTGGTTGGTCCGTCTGAAAATTCACCGTATGACTAACTGCGTATTTTTGAAGGCATCTATGATTCCGAATAAGATGGGTCAAATGCGATAAGTCGATGTTTGCCGTCTAAGCTACCAAGTTTAGCATTGAATATTCTGGGCCGGTTCCCTTGTGACACATCAGAGAGCAGGGGGAACCAAGAAAAAAAAAGGAACAATTGCACTTGCTTAATTATTTATTGGAAGTAATTATTAAAGTACCTACCTGGTAAGTTGGGGCGACGAAACGGGGCAAAATAGTTTGAAGTGTCTCTCGGGTGAAGACAATCGTGTTCCTTCTATCCCAAACCCAACACGAAACATCTAAATTAATTTCCTCTTCCACCCAATCGACAATAAAGAAACTTCCCAAACTTACGAAGTACCTATTTAGATAATTATCGATTGGGCACCCGAGACGAGACAGCGACTATGCCGAAGCGAAAGAAAAAAACACATTCAGCCAAAGCTGAACAAAGAGCTGCCGCTAAGAGTAAACCGACGTCGCGCAAGCATCGGAACCATGAACGCGCCCGCGAAATCCCCCACGACGGAGGTGATCCCCCTCCGGGTACGCTTGGTCATTATTTCTACTCCCTGAACCAAGAACTGCGCGATGAGATCTTCGCCTGGCTGCTTGTACGGCCTGTGAGATGGGATCGAGAGCACAAGCCGTCCTGTCCCGCAACCAGCAGGTCATTAACCCACCCAAAGTTCCAGATGAACCTCAGCAACGTCTCTCCGGGTGTGTGCGCGGAAATGTACGGGAGTGCCACCGAATGGCGCCATCGCGATGACGAAGAAGACCCTATCTCTGAGAACATCTGGCGCAGTCGTTGGGCACCTCCCAAAGGAAATCCTTACCTATGTGGTTGGTGCGAACCCGAATTTCGCCAAAAACCGCATCCCGTCTCATACGACATGCCCTGCGACTGTGCGCGTCGCGACAACTTAGAAACTCTTCTTGTATGCCGCCGATGGTATGAGGAAGCTGGTCGAGTTTTCTACACTCGCAACACCCTAGCTTTCGCAGACGTTCCCGGGGTGAGTAAATAATTTTGATTTACCCTATTTGTTAAACACATGTCTTAAAACATCGTCGTTGCCTATATCTTTTCCTATGTATACTGCATGATTTCCTTTTCTCGGGTACGAATGATCGCTAATATTCAACGTCAGAGTATTGACTTCTTCGAGAACCTACCTGCTCGCTGGAAGCCTTTGATCAGCAAAGTTAGTCTACAATATGGACGTTTTGGACGTAGTTCCAAGATCAAATTTGAGGATCAGGAGATTCCGATTAGGGGACGCGGACTTGCGCATTTGTGGAGGATATTAGCAAGCTTACCGGCTCTAAGCGAGTTAGAACTCGACGCGATCATGCTGACGCGACTTCCTTGTGTCAAGGTCTTCAACGGACCCAAACTTCAAAACCTACGTCGAATTACTTTTACGCAGACCGATCCGAATTATATAATCGAGGCATCGCGCCGTTTCGTATGGCCCGGACGCGCTCTTCGACGCGAGATAAACGACAGCGAGTTTGCCGAACAGGTTGCCAGGCGGATCAAAGGCCAGCGTTACGGTTGGAAGAGGGGTGAGAAGCGCGGCGATGTAGACGCCAAGGCTGTTGAGGAAGAGAAACGGAGGTATCGCAAGCGCAACAAGGACGTATATGTTCCTCTAAAAGACGAGGAGAGTGACGAGGATGAAAACTAGGATGAGAAATAGCAGAGCATGCGGGGTAGTATGAAAAGCAAAGGTGACGATCGCGATCATTTCCCGGTGGAACGTGCGTGCACTGGGGCAATATTACGCCGACCAGGCTACAAGGGAAGCCCAAATGCCCGCCTTCTTGCTGATCAGATCATCAATTCGGGCTGTAAATAGCCTCAATCAATTTGTAAAATGTAAAAACCAAATAAACCATGTTTACTTCATTCAATATAGCATCGCTTAATTGACCCGCTAGTACTACCAACAACCCCCTTACATCTACGTAGATTGTTCACATTATTGGCCGGCACCTAGCCGCCTTTTTCCGCCCGCCCACTCGGCCCGATCATTCAATTTGAGGCATCATTGGATCGATCTGCTCGTCTAGCAATATGCGTGGCGCAGTGTTAATGAGTGAAACAGGAGGCCTCGGGTTGCTTCGCCACGTACTCCCGATCCGGTCAAGTACTCCGTCTAGCACAGATTAACAACCACCTTCTCGCTCGCCAGTCTCAATGGGCCGAAGGTGAAAATCCATTGTCCGGTTCGAATATTCGGTCGCTATATTCAATGTTACCTAGACACGCGCCGAGCTAGGTTAGCCTCCATCTATTTTACGACCATGTCGCAAGCTCGAGGTGTAAGGCTGGTTCAAAATGACTACGACACCTGGAGACGGCGGATATATGCGAGGGAGGCGATGAATCCTAAACCAAAGCCAAGAGTATACGACCCCGTTTTCGACGTCGAGATCAGCTACGCACTTCACAATGAAGCCGAGAGAGAGAAATTCAGGAAACCTTCAATGATTTGTGCCAAATGCCAAAACATGTTCAATGGGTACTTCAAGATGGAGATATGTTTTCCACGGTACTATGAGAGCTACGCCGCTCTGAAAGCAGCTGCTGAAAAGGGCTGTGGAGCATGTGTACAGGCGCTTGAGTCCATTGATCTTGACGACTTGCACTTCCAGGAAGCAGGTACAGTGGATATAACTTACAGTGGGGCCGAACCCGGACGGATCTACTTAACGATTCCATTCACGAAAGCTGAAATGGTTGATTTTGGGTGTCTAAGTCTCGAGGAAGCCAAGAAAAGAGATGATAAGGAGATGGAACTGCTGATTACACTGCAGTTTCGACCTACACGGTGGGGAGGTATGTATTCCGGGGGCCACCACTTTCCAAAAAGAGAATCATCGGATTCAAAACTGTTTCTAACATGAGATGATATGCAGCCATAGATTATGATGGTCCTCAACCGAGTACACGGGATGCTCTTGGGCTATGTAAGACCTGGCTAGAGAAATGTTGTACTTCTCATGACTGCCTTCCATCCAACCGCCCTCGTCACTTGCCTACACGCCTTATTACTATCGACAGCCAGCCGAGGATAGTTCTCTCAGAAGAATTAGGAACAAAATTGGGGGTTAGATTCGCAGCATTGAGCCACTGTTGGGGAGGCCAAGAATTTACGACTCTCAGGAGGGAGAATATTGAAGAATTTCGACGACGTATTCCAACTGAAACACTGCCAAAGACATTTCGGGATGCTATTGAGATCTGTCGATATGTGGGTTTGCCGTACCTTTGGATTGACTCATTGTGCATTATCCAACGCGATAAAGAAGATTGGGATCGCGAATCGCATCTTATGACTGCCGTCTACGGCAATTGTGATCTGAATATTTCAGCGGCATCTGCTAAAAACGGAAGCGTTGGCTGCTTTTTTGAACGAAAGAAGAGCTGGAGATGTCAAGCCTACGCCAAACAAGATCGCCCGACCGAGTTGTACGACGTCTTCGACCCCAAAAGGGTGGCTACAAAACGCGATGTACTAGAAGAGCGTGCCTGGGTTATTCAGGAGAGGTACTTATCTCGAAGAATTCTCCATTTCACTAGACACCAAGTCTTCTGGGAATGCATCACACGAAGCCACAGCGAGATATTTCCTGTTGAGTTCCCGGTAAAAATTCGATGTAGGGAGAAAAATCGCTATGCCATAAGTCGCAGGAACTTGACACAAGTTCTTTGGCCATCGATTGTGGGAAACTACTCGCAGGCACATCTAACAAGATCCAGCGATAAATTGGCTGCCATTGCAGGACTGGCACGGGTTATATACGAAAGACAAATAAAAGGAATATATAGACGCGACGACGCAAGCGGAAACAGTGGTTATTTTGAAGTGGCCAAAGGGAGTACATGGGTCCGTGATAGGTATATCACGGGTTTATGGCTAAGTCATGTTCCAAAAAAGTTTCTTTGGACCCGAAAACAACACTCGGAACTTCGAAGGAGGCTTTCTGGATTCACATGTCCAACTTGGTCGTGGATTCCCATCGATGGCCCAGTTTTATTTGAAGAACTGGCTTGCAAAGGAATTGATTTACATTACCTGGAAGTCGACTACGTTGATCCTAACAATCCATTTGGTGATGTCAAGAATGCTGTGCTCCGACTACGTTGCGATAGCCTCTGGCCGGGGACGATCTACTCTCCTTCTTTTGAATATATGCAACGTATTATCTGGGATTGTAATAGTTTTCAACGGGACGTGGTGGGCATCAATTGGGATTCCTTAGATTTCCTCGAAAACGAGGTTCGGTTATCGCAACCTTTACGAGTATTCTTCATGCCCATAGAAACAATCCCAGTACATACGTGTGGCCTGGTACTCAAAGAGACGCAGACAAGGAATGGGGAATATGTACGAGTTGGTAGTTTCTGTTTTGATGTATATGAAAGACCATTCCTATTGTGTTCGGACCCCGACCCGATATACTTTTCTGGGGAAGTAGAAGATAAGAATTCTGGTAGAAGACTTATCCTGGATTTGGTATGAGTACTTACATAGATAGACTAGAACGCGTGCTAAGATGGACGGCATTGACTACTCATGGAAAAAATACTTCGAAGAATAGGAATAATCCTCCGTAACATCTACAATCGAGCAGAGCAATATCTGGGTATGTATAGGTGTATCTCACCAGAACTTACGGGTCGTTCACGCACTGGCTTCTAAACACAAGGTCATTGGGCTTAATAGTACCATTCCTGAGTACCTACCTAGGTATGTAACTACGTATATTCTACTACTTGGCTACGTCTATGCTAAATGGGGGATATTTGCGTATTTCGACCAAGAGACTGAGCAAATGGCGAACATTTGTAACGAGAGTGGAATTGTAGCTTCTAATCTAGCGGCAACGATGGAAATAACAAGACAAATTTCGGTAAAGACAGAATTCCCACGACACCCTCAACCCCAAATCAAACGAGTAGTTCCTACAAAACAAACATCGAAGCCCAACAAAAACAACCATTCTATGGCATGGAGAGTATAGCCTTGTCCTGCCTGCAGAACCTTATTATACAGAGAGTAAAGTCTTCATCTGAGTAACCTTCAGTTATCTTGATCTGAAAATTTACTATGAATCAAAACGTCAGTATCTCTTCAAGAATACTTGGATAAAATTAATATGGCATACCTAAGCAAATCTTCCCCATTGCATACAGTGTTGGCAGTAGCCGTTGACGACATATTGTTGCACAATATTCTGCGGTGCTGGTCTCCCGCAAAATCCAGTTCTCATCGATGCTGTTTGAGTGTCGCCACATTTGTATGGGTGCTGTGTATACGCGTGTCCGCATGTAGTGTAGAAGACGTACCATCCGCAGGCACATCTCTAGGGGTTCCTGGGGTGGTGAACAAGTACATTGTTTACTTTTCGTGCGATTTCCCCGGCTCTGATGAGTTGTGGCATCTTGGGTGCTGGAAGATTATACAAGAGTAGATAATAATGTTGCTTAAGAAAGAAATAGGCACAAAGTGTTTAAAATAAATTTCTCTTCTATATCTCTAGGTGAATATGGATGGGTGAATGGAGTTGTTGCCTACATGATCTCCATGGTTAGAGGGACGTTACTACCTTTGTAAGTTCCTTTTTCATAAACAATTTCACCACCCTCTGCCTGCTTAGCGGCTATCCTAGACGTGGAAACGGCCTCTGGTTTAGAGCCGGATGTTGGCAGCCGTGTTTTTCTCTTTTGGGCTTGAAACTTATGCGTTGGTCTATCAATACAAAGCTATTGGCATACAGGCGTTCTTGATAGCTATTCTACTTATTTTTGAAAGATTTGCCGACGACATTATTAACATGGCCTAGGAATTGATTGATGAGTTAAACGCTTGGTACAGTTATTGGAAACAGTTCTTAACATATTTGACTTATCTACCAAGATCGGCCCATAAGAAAATAATATATGGGTGTCTCGGCCCGGAGTGTTTCTGAGGCTATATCGGACCGTGTTGATGAGTGCGGGAGACCCAGGGGGCTACGAGCAATATTATTGGTGGATGAACCGCCCGTCACAGCGCTTCGTGGCTCATCCATCACGAACCTTCACCTAACCACCTTTTATTCGTGTGTTGGGAGGCTATGTAGTCTATTGAGGCAATTCAATTTTAGGGATGACGGCCAAATTATACAAATATAAGGTTGTCCTTCATCACGACCGTTCCCCTCCTTTGTTGTCTTAACCCCCCCATACGCATTGATTATAATCTTACGCACCTCCTCTGTATTCTCTTTTATATCATTTTAGGCAACCGACGTCGACATGATTGACGAAAGCTTGAGATATTGGGCTCCCGGTGGGTCGATTATGCCCGGGGGGCCGAGTACCTGGCATATAGTCGATTGGGATCAACGACGTACTATTGCTGTCACCATGGATGAAGAACAGGAAGATGAATCGATCTCAATAGAACACTCAAAGAAGTACATCAACAATCTTGGACCCGATGTATATGCCATCCATTTATCACCAGATGGCAGTTTGGTTTCCACTTCAACTGATCCCAAAGACGACGCCACATTTTCCATGTATTATCCTCCTTTTGAGAAAGTCCGCTGGCCTATAAAAACGAGTGGTGTGTTACGCTCGGAATTGTTGGAATTAAAACGACTTGGTGCGAATGTCGATCTGGTTTCATACACGCCGAAGTCAAAAAAAGGCTCCCCACCGGCGAGCCCGAAGAAAGTTGTGTTCAAATACTACTTTCATAGTCAATTTACATATGGGTTTTGGAACGAGATGAACCTGTGGATGCGACTTTCAGGGGACAGGAATATTGTCCCATTTGACAATATTGTGTTAGATGAAATAAAACGGGGGGTCGTCAGGTTCACGAGCACATTCATCCCTGGCGACACGGTCCAAACGAATATGTCCAGGGGATTCAAGTTGGAATGGCTACGTCAACTAACTAGGGTCGTCGATGATTTGCACTTTAAATTTGGGATTATATATTAGGATATTGCTGCGCGGAATCTTCTTGTTCATCCCAAAACTGATAATCTTCTTCTATTCGACTTCAACTTTTCGGGGCGGCTTGGTGAATTTGATGGCATGAAAGCTGAAAACGATATTAAAGGAGTTGTATTTACATTGTACGAGATAATCACCTGTGACTACAAGCCCCGGGAGGTTCCACCTCAAGAACAAGACCCAGAAGTATTACAGAGGCTCGACGAATGGGTTAAGCACCCGGATGTAACCCTCGACCATCCCGTCTCGGAATATCGCTCAGTCCTGAATGAATGGGCCAAGAAAAGGCAAGAAAGGAAACAGATTGCTAGATTTGATGAAGCATCGGACCCAATTTCAAGGCCAAAAATTCCCGACCCACCCCCAACTGAAGCAAATTCTGTTGGCTCTTCACAGATGGAGCGCGTATGGACCAATTCGCGTTATGGTAGGGGTACAGATCCCAAGGTTATAGACTGGGAACGGCCGCTATGGGTTAAACTAGAACCTGAGAGTCGGGTCTTCGCAAATGGGGAAGTCAAAATTGCGTCTGATTTGCAGTTAGATGAGCAGCAGCTATCTGAGTGCATCGGGCATCCTTAGAAGAATGAGCAATGTTTAGAATAGTTAGAAACATTATGGCACAATTATGAGAAATACCTGACTGATAGGCCGAAAGTATTACACGGAAGGTATCTAGGTAGCTTTCGCATGCTGGATTTCTCCATTGATTTCTTCGGAATAGACTAGATTCAATTGATGGCCAGCTAAGAATATCAATTGGCTTGCTACATGATTCTAAAGCATCTCCTTCCATGTTTCTTTTGTAACGATAGAGCCGGCGCCGACACCTCGTGGCTATTACCTCATAGACTACCACCGATCCCGTTCTTTAAATTGTGGTAGTGGGAGGGACCTGTATAGTAGCAGCACCTATGTTTCGACCAAGAGACTGAGCAAACGGTGAACATTTACGTATAGAGGGACCCTTGAAGTAGATAACGAATGTTGCGGCGACGAAGAGCAAGCTGATACCAGCAAGTATCGAATTGGCTGTTTGAAGACCATGTTCGAACGAGAACGAATTGTAGTACGGCGCCGCAGCCCACGTTAACATCCCAGCGAGGAAGTCCCGAGCGAAACCGTTCCCACCAGTTGCAGAAGCCGAATAGGGACCATAGGCAGCTACCATGTAGTCGATGGTAGTCATGTAGATGGTATAGTTAGCAACGCCGATGAATATACAGCCGATCATCGGGGCAATCCAATGTACCGCGGGCGTGCTCGTCCAGGCGAAGATCAACAATCCGACAGGTAGGCATGGCGCAGTATATAGTAGCCACCAAAGCCGAGACTCGTATTGAGCATGCTCACTAAGCGGATTGTTTAGCCTGAGCGCTCGGTTACGATGGATTACCGGGATGAAGAGCAGATATCCAAGCACATAGGCGAGACCAATTGGAATGAAAGCCTAGAGACATAAGTTAGCAACTAGAAATTTAAGGTCTCGGGTTATGTGTTATTGGTCGCTTACAAGTCCTACTTCGATGTTAGAAAATCCCCATACTCCAAAGACGCGACCGAACGACTGGATTTGCATAAATATCAAGGCGTCGCTGAAGCCCGAGAGAGTTGACAGCACCAGGACGATCATTTCCTTGACAAACATCTGGAAAGGGCGCGTCCATAAAGACCACAATTCCTTAGGAACTAGGTACTCTCTCCAAGTCTTGGCTTCATTAGGCCCGAAGACGTTCGGCTTCTCCTGGGACGCTTGGGATTCTTGGGTCTCGCCCAACGTCGATTCACGCGTGGCCTTGGCGTGCCGGTCGAGTAGCACACTGGAGCGGGTTTCATTAACAAGGAAGTAGTGTAACAACTGAACAAAAACTCCAAAGATCAGTTGAATCCAAATTGTCCAGGTCCAATCCAAATACTCCTCGATGAATCCGCCAATGATAGGCCCGATAATAGAACCACCAACCGAAGACAGAACAATAAACGCGAGTGGATGTTCTTGGTGGTCTAAAGCAAACATATCGGCAACTATCCCTAACGTGACGCTTCCACCCGCGGAAAAGAGCCCACCAAAGGCACGCCCGATAAGGATAGCCGGGAAATTTCGAGTTCGCTTGGCAAGGGCGACAGGGATACAACATATATTGACAAGGAGAAGTGATCCCTGTAGCACAGGCCTTCTCCCAAATTCTTCGGACCACGGTGCCCAACTATGAAGTGTGTTAGCTTATGGTGGTATGAGGTTGGGGTTGGTACAGTTAGAAGTCATACAGCTCACATCCAAACGCATATAACACAAGAAATATGGCCGCTCCACTGACCGCGGCCTGCGGGCTCACGCCAAAGTCCCTGATGATACCGTTCTGCCCATCCGCATATAAGGAGGCATTGAGGTTCACTAGATGAGACGCGCATTAGATTAGGCGAAACGAAATAGGGGTGATATGTATGTCAAACTAGAAAGGGAACACGTACTAGAGAGTTGGACAAGAAATACGATTGTTAGAGTCATCCATTTCTTCCAGTTTGGCCAGGCTGACGCGAGAATTTCAGGACAATCACGTTCGGTTAGGATAATGATGGACCTATTCCCTTGTACCAACACTACTTCATCGTGCGACTCTTGTGATGTGATTTGCTTAGTTTCGCTTCGTGAAGTTGAAGAATGTGTTGTCACCGTTATCTCTACGGTGGTGCCCTGTACTGGGGATATTGACTCGTCAGCTTGCGAAGAAGCTTCTTCTCTTTGGACCTGAACGGAAGCCATGTTATCCGTTGAGAGTATAGGTAGGTGTTGTAAAGGGTACCTGATACTGGGGTGTAAGAACGATAGATGATATACAAAAACTTGGGGAATAGTAACGGAAGTTGTTAGGTACCTAGGTATGTTAGAAGAGGATTATAAGAGGATGGTATAGGGAGAGTGGTGAAGATGTGAGTTGTATGTGAGTCAGGGGATGATGGAGTGGAAGATGTCCAAGAAGTCTGGTTGATTCGATGTGAGATGAAAAGGATGGGGGCCACGCACGTATTTATCTTTCTCCCAACACCATGGTCCCTTCTGCTTCAAACACCACGATCGTCAATCTCGTCTCATTTAAGATTTACTTTACTGCGGTGTTCCGGCATAAGGCCATAGTAACCCGCCACTTAGGACCTGGGCCGGAGCTTATCTTGGTCGCGTGAGCTGTACAAACCTTATAGCCATGTTACACGTTTCTTTCCAAGACAGCAGAAGTTAAAGTCTAATCAGTGTTATTTGTATTTCTTAGGAGACTGGAGTAGCTTGTGATATGGTACGAGGATAACACGGTACATATATCGGTTGCCACCATCTTTCCCAACTCGGACATTAGTTGAGGGGGAAACAGTCGGTGGTTTGATAATTAAGTTCATATTCTAGTAAAGCTGAAGGAGCTGATCGGCCACATGAAAGGTAGATGTGAGATCATTTCCTGTAGCTATATACTTTAATACGTAAAGAAAGTGGAGGATGCTCTGATAACCATAGTGTTGGTATTGGTATGGTGACTACCATCATAATGAGCTGAGAGTTAAACAACACGTGGATAGAACTTATTGAGTTTCTATATTGTTCTGTTCCTAACAAAGACACGATAAAGTCGAAGATGAGGATTACCTAAGTAATAGGAGTAATGAAATGAGTCCGAGTTCTCGTGGTGTAATTTTAAGGGGCAGAGAGGTAGAGGGGTAAAGGGGTAGAGGCGTAAAGGGTAAAGGGGCTGGGACGGAAGCTTCGGCGTCAAACCCAAATACTAATGGAGAACCCCGTGGGGTAAGGACTTTCTTAGTCAGTATTTATGTAATCTACATAACATTATTAATCAACACTCATATCCAAATTTATCTCATTATGTAAGCTCAAGGCACCAGCCACAACTGACGTAAGGAAGCCTGGTCCCACTTATATCCTGTTAACTGGGCTGGGCTATCTCAAATTTCCAAGGTTCTAATCCACTATTATCTGCTATCTATTATTTGTATTTGCTGCGACTCACGACAATCTCATCATCTTTCAATCCATCACCCGCCACATTAGATCACCAAACATGCCACCCCAAATAAAGCAAGATCTGAATCGCTCAGGATGGGAGTCAACAGACTTCCCATCCGTATGCGAAAATTGCTTGCCGCCTAATCCTTACGTAAAGATGCTCAAAGAAGATTATGGTGCCGAATGCAAGATCTGTACGCGCCCTTACACCGTATTCTCTTGGGCTGCCGACCGCGCACATGGCCGTAAGAAGCGCACCAACGTCTGCCTCACTTGCGCCCGCATGAAGAACTGCTGCCAATGTTGCATGCTCGATTTACAGTTCGGTCTACCTATCCAACTACGAGACGCCGCGCTTAAAATGGTCGCCCCCGGTCCTCAGAGCGAGGTCAACCGCGAGTACTTTGCCCAAAACAACGAAAAAGCTATTGAAGAAGGGAGAGGTACTGAGGAGTACGAAAAGACGGATGAGAAGGCGCGCGAGCTACTACGACGACTTGCGACGAGTAAACCCTACTTTAGAAAGGGACGAGCAATAGAGGATGGAAGCGCAAATGATTCCAAACCTAGTGGAAGTTTAGTAGGAGGAAGCCCCGTGGTTGGTGCTGGTGTCGGTGGACCGGGCCCGATACGAACGCGTGACTCTAGAGCAGCTGCGGCGGCGCGTGCTGGTGCAAAGTCTGGAAGAGGAGGAAGACCATTCCCGAGCACATCACAACTACCTCCCGGTCCCAAAGATTGGTTACCACCCGCCGACAAATCTATCATGAGCCTTTTTGTTACCGGTGTTGAGGACGACCTACCTGAATACAAGGTCCGAGATTTCTTCAAGGAACACGGCAAAATCAAGTCCCTAATCTGCAGTCACATGTCACACTGCGCATTCATCAACTACGAAACCAGAGAGGCCGCCGAGCGAGCTGCTGAGGCCTGCCAGGGTCGCGCTGTGATTGCGGGCTGTCCCCTACGAGTACGATGGAGCTTACCTCGAGCTATTGGAACGATGAATAAGGAGGAAAGAGCAACAATGGCTAGAGATGGAAGATCGGCGTTCCCTAACCAACGACGCGCGCAGGGAGGACCGAAGGCGATTGGAGCGGCACCATCTCAAGGAGGATCGGGACAAGGCGGTGCGCCGGGACAAGATGTTGATAATATGTCCTTGGTCGCAGCACCACCCGGGGCAGAAGATGTCAACTATGCCAGTTTGGCTGGAGACTAAGGTAGAAAAGAGGAGAGACATTATATTGCATGGGCGGCGTTTAGGCATTGCGATTATAAAAGGTATCGGCGGAATCTATGATCTTCATGCGTAGCCACTAGGAAGTGGACATTGTGTTTGTTGGTACACGGATGGTATCACATAATAATACAAGGCTTCGTGGACTTCACTTTTTTAGCCCATGTCACCTATTAGAACACGTTTTCCCATCAATCTTGACCGTCTTGCCACCCGGGAATTTGACTGTATCGTTGTCGCCGCGTTCCGTATCTTCGTGTATCCTTAATCCTAAGAACCTAGTTAGACAAACGCTGTCCATGCGTAGGTTGTTCAAGTCCGGAACGTACTGTATATTTCACCATCTCTTTTGCCTTGTACTATGTTTTGTCGAAGTATAGCGGCAACTTCTTCGGCGTGTTTGATCGCATTTGGTAATTCAGGACTTGTGGACTCGAGCGAAGCATTCCGGCGGAAGTTATCTCGTATCGTCGCTCGCGCAGCAGTTAATACTCTCTCGTCTCCTAAAATCTGTGTCAGTGCGAAGTTACCTAGGTATGTATGTATTCGTCGAGTTTGGTTTGGTTATTCGCACCTTGAAAAGCTAGTCGTGCTGCTCGGAGCAGGTTTCTATATGCAGGCAGAGCCATTATCATATTGCGTCTTTATATGGGTATCTAATCGAGTCAAATGTAAATCGGGTCGAGCCAGTCAACTCGTTTCAAGGCTTTAAGAATCGCTATCGTCAAATTTATTTTTAAAGCTTCAAGATCTTGAAAAATTAGTGGATTTCTTTAGTGGGTGTAGGTACCTGAATACTTTCATGTGCACTGTGGCTGAAATTGTTGCACAGCGCTGTACCTATATTATGTAACACGTTACCATATTACGTAATATGTAGGACCCCACCACCCCACGCCGAGTTTTGTGGACCTAATCGTTAATCGCTGCTGTCAGAAAAAAAAAAGTTTCTTAAATAATTCAACCATTTTCATAATACCACACAACGCGGTTGTCCACAACATCAATGGCTGCCGCTACGACAATATCCCGGCCATTACCTGCCCTCCCAGAGGGTTGGTCGGCTGAAAAGGATTTCAACCCGATTGGATCCATCACTGCTTCAACTCAGCGTACTATTGAGCCCGTTGGACCTCACTTCCTCGCCCATGCCCGTCGTGCCCGTCATAAGCGAACCTTCTCCGAAGATGACCGTATCCAAGCCCAAGAGAAGGCAAAGAACATCGAGAAAGATGATGAGAGTGATGTTAGCGAGCCCGAGGACCCTATGATGCTTCAGCGTGAAGCCAAGGACTGGAAGGTAAGAAATCAATCAGACAATTAGCTCATGCATATGGCATCCTGACAAATGTGTTTGTTTAGTCACAAGATCACTACCAAGTTCTCGGTCTGTCTAAGTACCGCTGGAAAGCAACGGAAGACCAGATCAAGCGCGCCCACCGCAAGAAGGTCCTAAAGCATCACCCCGACAAGAAGGCTGCTCAAGGCAGTACCGAGGACGACAACTTCTTCAAGTGTATCCAAAAAGCTACCGAAGTTTTACTCGATCCAGTCAAGCGCCGACAATTCGACTCTGTTGATGAGAAGGCCGACGTCGACCCACCTACCAAGAAGGAGCAAGCCAAGGGTAACTTCTACAAGCTCTGGGGCCGTGTCTTCAAGTCCGAGGCTCGTTTCTCCAAGCAGCAGCCCGTGCCTACCTTCGGTGACGAGAACTCTACCAAAGAAGATGTCGAGAACTTCTACAACTTCTGGTATAACTTCGACTCGTGGCGATCGTTCGAATATTTGGATGAGGACGTTCCCGACGACAACGAGAACCGTGACCAGAAGCGTCACATGGAGCGTAAGAACGCCAACGCCCGCAAGAAGAAGAAGGCTGAGGACAACGCCCGTCTACGCAAGCTTCTAGACGACTGCTCCGCCAGCGATGAGCGTATCAAGAAGTTCCGCCAAGAAGCCAACGCTGCCAAGAACAAGAAGCGTCTCGACAAGGAGGCTGCGGAAAAGAAGGCGAAGGAAGATGCTCGTCTAAAGAAGGAAGCCGAAGAAAAGGCCGCCAAGGAGGCCGAGGAGAAGGCTAAGACAGAACGCGAGGCCAACAAGAAGGCTAAGGAGGCAGCCAAGAACGCCGTCAAGAAGAATAAGCGTGTACTCAAGGGTTCCGTGAAAGACGCCAACTATTTTGCTAGCGGCGGTGACGCGACCCCGGCACAGATTGACTCTGTACTAAATGACGTAGAATTGGTACAGGGCAAGATCGACGCCGATGAGATCGCAGCCCTAGCAGGCAAGTTAAACGGTCTTAAGGTCGCAGATGAGATCAAGGGCGTGTGGGGAGAAGAGGTCAAGCGTCTCGTTGCTGCCGGAAAACTAAAGGAGGGCGATGCCAAATCATTGGTATAGACGATTTTGATACTTTCACTCCAAAATGCGTAGCAGCGTAACGGGTAGCTATTAGACTAAAGGGCTAAAGGCTTATTACAGGTAACCCACGAAAGACTAATACACAATATGAAGCACCATCACAATTAACTGCTAGTTTCAATCGTCTCAGTGAAGGTCAAATCAGGACACAGAAGACTTCATTTTCGTCCCATCTCAAATTCAAAATATAGGGTTAATTCAACCACCAGTAGGTCCATCGGATGTCCTATTATTTCCCCCAGCATCCATCGCCCCCCCGTATATCTCCCAGATTCGCGGCGGGTATTGCGTGGGCCCTGTGCTCGAGTAGGCCATCCAAGCCTCGTCAGACATCGGCCTGTACCAAGCGCGCTTAAACTTGGTCGAGTACATCTCCGGTCCCTTTCCGTTCCAAAGCTCCCCCGCTGAATTTGTTGGGCATCCCCTCTCCAGCGCACCCCGCATCACGGTGTTCTCTTCCTCCGTAACTTCCAAACAGGTCACCGAGAAAACGCCTTTGGCGACTTCATCGTCTCGTTCCGATAACTCGCATACGAAGGACACCTTTCTATCCGAGATATCATCGTCATCGGGACAGTATCGCATGGGAGGCATCCAACGAGAAAAGACACGGAGCACCCTAAGTGGGGACGGTTGGCCTGGAGAGCGGTCACGAAGTTCCCTGAAGAACTTCGCTACACCCGAGAATGTCACCAAGGAGAACGGGAGTGTCGCGTACGCTGGGAGGGAAAGGGAAAGGGTGTAATAAAGCGACAAACTGCGCAACTTCGGAAATCGCGCTAGGGTATGCAACACAACGTCTAGATGCCTCTCTACCCCTGACAGGTTGATGGAGAGCTCCTCAAGGTTAGGACAATGATCTAAGGTGAGGGACAGTTCTTTGCTATCCATGGAATGCAGCGAGATCCGTGGTGACATATTTCGACTCCAATACTCGCCCTTTAGCTCGTAGACGTGAAGTATGCGAAGCTTGCTTCCATGTTTTCGCAAACCCTCCGATCCAAGAAGATATATATCCCACACCTTAATAGCTTCTAGGGCAAATGGTATCCGCTGTAGGAACGCACGTGCATTTCATACATCCCTAGCAGTACTGAAGTCTACTTCCTTGAGCGATGTTAACTCTTGCAGCGACGTTGAGAACATCGTTGGGTCGCTGGTAAATAGTCGCTTCAACTGCGACCAGTCGAAACATCGGTCCCAGTAATCCTGTTCGCGGCACCGTAAAGTGTAACCAGGATTCCATCCATCAGGAGTTCCGAACGGATACTTGACGATATCAAATGTTTCAAGCGCGGGAGGCCGCTCTCCATCGACGAATCCAAGGCCATGGTAGGGTTTCCCAAAATTCGTCATCCCGATATCGAGCTTCAAGTGGCGGATATTAGGACAAGTGAGAAGGAGCTCCTTTAGGACCCGCATCATCTTCTGGCAGCCCTCAATGGGCCCATACTTGTGCTTCATACTTATCGAATGAAGACTAGTGTTTCCTTGGAAGACATCAAGCATTTTTTGCGCCCCATATAAGCCTTGTCAGAATCGATGTGCAGATGTAAGCGAACCCTACGCTGGTTTCGAAGTACTTCGAGTAGATATTTCAGGTCCGTCGGGACAGAGTGACACTCGAGCTCCACATCTCGTAACCCCGTCATTTCGGAAAAGGCGAATTTGTATTTGTGTATGGAAGAGGCCTTGACTTTGACGTGCTTGATTTTCTTCCATAAATCATGGTGGTCGATATGTGCAATAACCTCTTCCCGTGCCCGCCGGCCGAAATCTAGGATGCGAAATCGATTACCCCTTACTAATTCGGCGAAGGTGTGATTTACCAAAGAGAGGGAGTTCGTCGTCTTTGGACTGGACTCGTTGACGATGTCCGCTATTTGAGCAAGAACCTCGACTGGTAAATCCATGAGTGAAGGCATCTTGGAACTATGGGATCGAGATGCTCTAGTTGGTGGTAGTGATGTATATATATAATTACCCGTAATGCTTGGTATCACGGGCTTGAGGAGATAGAATATCGATGGCAGATCAAATGTGTAAGGTCAAAGCACTCCAAAATTTAGAATATATGGATAGTGATGGATATGTATAACTAGATCCGTAAGCAGTTGGAAGTCGGTAAGGAAGTAGATGGATGACTGGGAAGAAATCAAGTTTGTGTCTTTCAGGGCGAGAGCCCACCTCCATTTTATATACCAGGCACTTGCCAATCCTACGTTTTAAGTATTATGGTTCGATAGGCGCGTGTAATAAGCATCAATAGTAAGTATTTTGCTTTGCGTTTAAGTATGGCTATTGAAGTTATATATTCAACTAAATGGGTACACATGCGCGAATAGGGGGGCAGGCGCCGAATATACCCACAACACGAGGAACATCAAACCGTTAGTGGTTATAGTAACTTTTGATAGACAGAATCATAATGAATAAGATGAAATATATACCTAGCTTAGTAAGTTAGGGATGTAACTTTGCTGTCACGGCACGAGACCAGCGGAGATAGAGCAAACTTATCTAAAAATATAATATAAATGTAAGTAGCTTCTTGTATGGCTATGGAAGGTAATAATGCCTAGTTACGCTATGGTCCCTTCCATTATTCCTTATCCCAAATTTCCACCATTGTAGGATATGTTCAAGTTTCGCCCTCATATCATGCTTCTTGAAAATTGTCACGAGCAGATCTCAAACTTTATATTTCTGATTTCTCAAGCTCCGCCTTGACAATATTTTGGGGTCACTGAACCCTCAAAGCCGAGTTTCTCGGGGATGCTTTTTGTCTGCAAGAGCCTCGCGCTCGTAATTCAGCGTCATCCTGCCTTTTTCGGGTCCCGTTTTTCTGCCGTGATAATAAATATACTTAAGTGTCCAGGCCTTTCATTTGAACCGGCGTGTTCATATCAACCTTTCTTGAGTTATCCTAGTTATAAGTCTCTATGGCCCGGCTTCCGCATAACTGAAATATAGCTTTTGGTATTTGGGAATGACCTTGTACAGACGGGATCACGAGTCCGGAACGGCCTTGTCCATATATGAGCAATCAAGAAGATTCCAAGCAAATTTAGCAAAATAGAATGGTTCGAGCCCAGAATTCACCCGAATGGAGGCTGATGTCCTGTGCAAGCCCTGATCAACTCAGACCATTTTTTGATCGCCTTCACTTACACCTTGGATATACTAGTTGGCCAACGCGCAGCCGAGTGTAGCGTCGTGCATACCTTAACAATCATAATTGCCACGATATGGCAGTTCGATGGGGCAATTGTTAGGAATTGTGTGATATTTTAGTTAACTTTAGGTACTTGATTTAGTATCCGAGAAATGATCCAATTCCTATCAGCGCTGCCTGGCGGTTTCTTCAGGTATCGATTCGACCGTCCCATTTCTCCATTGCACCATAATAACAAAAAAGGAGAACATACAATAATGTACAGTTACAATCCTAGCCTTCAGTCGGGTCACTATACCCTACACTCTCACCTGGAGTCAGTGCAGTCGCACACGACAAAGTCCCACTCTTCACTTGCGCCGTCGCGATTTTCACGATTCTTGGGTGTTGTGGATAGCGACCTCGGTTCTTCCGTCCGCAAATACACGGGCTCCAGGTTTGATTTTGCTTTGCATCGGTCTTTCCCATTTGATGATTTTACCATCCCCTTGTTTGTCGCGTCGCATTCCATTTGTTGTGTCTTTCTCCATCTCCGGCCAAGTAATGTATTCGGGTGCTTGCTTGAAATGAGTAATTTGTTTTCCTTCCCTTCTCCCCTTCACCCAATTATTCAGCAATGAACGGTAGTCCGAGACGGGATGGTCGAGTGTTACATCTGGATGTTTAACCCATTCATCCAACGCCTCTACGTCGGCGCTATCTTGCTGGTCATGTGGAACACACCGAAAGTGATCGTCTCGTGTAATGATTTCGTATAACGTAAATATAACGCCTTTGACGTCATTGCGATCCTCTGAATAATTGAATTCTCCAATACGCCCAGAATAGTTGAAGTCAAATAACTTCAGATCGTCCGCATCGATCAGGAGGTTCCGCGGGGAAATGTCTTGGTGCGCGATGCCGTGTTTGAGATTCAACTCGTCAACAACCTCTGTCAACTGTTTGAGCCACGTGAGCTTGAATCCACGAGAAATGTTCTCTTTCACGGTACCGCCTTTGATGAATTCATTTGTGAAACCAAGAACTCTGCCTCCTGGTTCATCAACCACAAGCCGGTCGAACTTGGCGACATACTTCATTTTTCTCGGGAGGCGCATCCATAGATTCATCTCATTCCATAACTTGTAGATCCACGACCACGTAAAATAGTACTTGAAAATAACCTGATTGGGGCTTGGGTCGGATTCCGGAATATATGAAACATGGTCGACACCCATAGAGATCCGATCTATCTCTAGTAATTCCGAGCGCAGAACTTCTTTCAGCCCGTGACATTTCCTTGTAATTTCCTTCTCGGGAGGATAAGGTATATACCAGGTTTGATCATCCATTGGATCAGTCGAAGTTGATATAATGTCGCCGTCTGGTGATAAATGGACGTGAAAGACGTCCGGTCCCAAAGTATCGAGATGTTTTTTAAGGTGTTGGATAGCGGTGTCTTCATCTTCCTGTTCTTCATCCATAGTAACAGAAATAATGCGCCGCTGGTCAACGTCGCAAATGTGCCATTGACTTGGACCTCCGGGAGTAATACACCCACTGGGAGCATAAAATCTCATATGATCTAGTTCAATCATATTGATACTTATCGCTCGAAGATAAAATGTCAAGAATGATGGTTTCTGAATTGGAACATGCGCAGGTATGTGCAATCCGATTTTAAACAGTTGGAAGCTTTACTTGTTGGTTGATCTGACCTGTTAGTTGGCTTGTTGGTTGGCTTGTCGGGGGTGTGTCGCCAACCCAAGCGCTGGAAGGTTACGCACACTAGGCCAGGCGGTTCATTTTCCAATGCTATTGGGCGGTGGCATGGGTGACCCGACAAAGCCACAACGTCACTTCGGCCCGGTAGCATTTTATCGGGCCGAAGTTTTCGGGTTTACACCGGATTGGTCCTTGTAATTCTGAACCAGACCAGTGCCGCAAAGCGCGTAATTTACAGACCAACTAACAAGAGGGCATCCGTTATCATATCACAAACCTCACCGGCGATAGTGCGAACAGTTAGTAGGCTGAAAAAGCATACCGACGGTTTGGATTAACAAGCCAACATCGGGTTTCAGGTCTACGGTCTCGACCGTCGGCGTTTAACGGGCATAATGGCTATTTACAGCACAATAAGGGTCAACTCATTGACCGTCAAGCAATTGTAGAGAAAAAGAAAGCATATAAGATTGATCAAATTCGCCCTGATTATAGAGATAGTAATTAGTATAATCAATCCGTTTCCACCAGAGTCATTTAAACATAGAGAAAGCCTCTCCTATATTACACACATCACCACCAACACAGGATTTTAAGAACTTCTCATTTTCAAAATGCAAAACATACCCGAAGCCATTCAGCCTCATGAGATTTCTTCTAAAGCAAGAGAGAATCCCATATACCACCCACAGAACCCTAATAACTGCCCGTGTGGATGGTATTCCTTCTACGCTGCTTGTAACCATCTATATCAACAATGGCCACTGAAATGTGGTAGAACTACGACAAGAGCTCTGCAAAGTGGTTTCTGTAAAACCCCAGCGCCACAGAATGTCATGACCGGGTATTACGTCGCAGAATTTTGCAGCCATTGCGCGCGATTCAATCAACATTGAGAGTGAGTGGGATATGGTTTCCTATTACTTACATACGGATGCTAATCTGCTCAAGGCCTACCTCACCTAATTAACTGAAGTAACTTCGGGTTAAGCATAAAAATACTCAACTCCGGGACTGTTTCCGTTTGTGCAAGTCATGCAGGCAGACTTGTATATCTTGTTAGTGTTATATGGTATTGTTATTCGGCTTGAGGCTAAATATCGGGTGGGAATTGGTTTTTACTAGAACTGAACTTGTACTACTACAATCACCATCGTTTACATTGAATTTTCAATCGGCATTAGCACCCCTATGAATATATCTTCAGGAGTGACTCAGCCACCTCTCAGCCACACAGCATTGTGTCCATGCTCTACATGCACTGCCCCCTAAACCAGGATTGGCATCCTTCGCTTAAGAAGTTGGTGATAATGACTTGGTAATTTAATAGGCCTTGATACAGTAAATTATTTCAATGCCTATATGAACTGTTCTCGTCGTCCTTGCGTCAACACATTGAATGGCGAAGCTACTAGAGCCGGAGGCTAGTCCCCTAAAGCAATGTTCCGACGAGGAGCAGAATGGTAAGAATGCCATGACACCTCTCCGAATTATGACGCTTACACTCCAGGCGGGCTAGAAGCACCCCAGAAAGTTGAATTAGGAACAAGAGCTAGAAAGGGTTTTAGAGGTAGGCCATCCACGTTGCTGTCGAGTTCTAACCGTATTGACGCGACATAGATATTTTTCGGGAAAATCGGAGCAACATCTTAGCACTTGCGCAAGGTCCCTTTATCGTGGTCAGGGCGGTTCTTCTATGCAGGAATTTCGATGGATGGGAAAATGCAACTACGAGGGATAAGGTCAACATTATTGTTCATGTTATTATGGCGGTGCTATACCCCATCCTAGTAATTCTACTTTTTGGCCTATTCTTACATCAAAAGTACTTTAAAGGAAGGAGATACTAGTATGCTTTGCCATATTTCAATTCATGACAATCAAAATACTAGAAGCTGAGTAAGGTGTTTGTTGCCGGGTGTATAATAATTTTAAGGGGCTGCCCCATTGAATCTACCGTTGATATGTGTAACATTCAACTTCATCTCCAGAAATAATGAAAACTATAGCTATGGCGATAGTAGGTATAGACCTCGATTCTGTTAGCCATATTCAATTAGATTTTTATATGTTGAGAAACGTACCATATGGTATGTCATTGTGAGTATAGCTGATGACGTTCTTTAACTGGCTTCGTTCCCATAATTGACTCTTGTCCTTATCGTCATACTTATGGCTATAAGCCACCAGGACTCTCTCTCCTTTACGCAGATGTACGCCTTCAAATGATATTTCTCTTATAGGGGTAAGATATTGGACATGCTTTCCACCATCCGCGTCCCACTCGCCCTTCACAGACCAATCTTCATGACTAAGCGCTTCGTATTCGAGTTGCGAATTCGCATTTTTGAGGACGTTCAAAATAAATTCCTTATTAATACCACCAGGATCGTTGTATGCAGCAAGAACTCTCTTCTCATCCTTACAACCATCCAAGCCAATTATCATCTTTGCGTCAGGTTGTTCGTTCATATTGTTTCCTTTTTGTCGTAAAACCTTGGCCCATTTCTCTAGAAATTTGCTTGCATCCGCACGTGTGAAGCTTCCCATGGTTGATCCAAGGGAAAGAACACATTTTGATCTCGTAACGTTGGTATCCCGACCAAGCCAAGCCATGCCATCCTCATAGGCCCCTAATAGCCCATGGCAATGGACGTGTCTAAACCGACTCGGATTGAGCTCTTGGAGAGCACGAACTAGCTCTTTTGGGTCTAGATCAAGTGCGTAATAGTCCACTTTCTTGCCTAAGGCCTCGAGGGCCTGCAATAAGATGTTCACTTTTCGTAGACAGCCGCTGCCTAACTCCAAGAGGATCGTACCCGGTTTAATGCCACATGCGATTTGATGACCGTGTGCTTCAAGTAAACTGATCTCGGCGTTTGTCAAGTAGTATTCCGGTATATGTGTTATTTGCTCGAAATATTTCAAACCTTGTTCGTCCCAAAGTAGAAGTGAGGGGAAAGACCGGAGGCCATCACTATTCAACTCTTGGAAACTGGATCTTATCGAACTCTTTAAGTCGAGAGGTTGGCCACCAGCACGAATGTCGATTATATCTGGATAGATACTCTGTGTTTTATTAGACTGAAAATCCCAAGACTTAGGAGTATTTTCTTCGGCGAAACCCGGATGAGAGGGATGGAGGACTTCGACGTCTATGGTCATGACTTCACGTACGATAAAAACATATATTAATCGTCTGGCGCAAGGTCACTTCATATTCTTATTATATACACTTCAAAATCCAATCACATCACTTCTTGCGTCTTTTTCACCTCATTATCCGTGATGTAGCACTACTTACTTTTTAGGTTTACTACGCTCGACGGGCTTAGTATAGATGACAATAAGACTTTGAGTCCATACAGATACGATGGGAATGTCCGAAGCTTTATTGGTTTAGAAAGCTTGGGCAGTGGGTAGTATTTGTACCGTTATTTTTACGTCACCGGCATCGGCCCCTGGGGATCTGGGTGTCATCCGATCGGATTACCTCCAAAATCCCCTCATGTTCCCAGATAGGTCTATGTCGATTATTGACCCTATTCCTATATTTAGTTTTAGACGTGTATATTGTCCTAGCTTGCTGGGAGTAAATTTCTAATGGACTCCCTTGTTGACCTGTTGATTGTTGGTGCTGGTCCGGCTGGATTAATGCTAGCCTTATGGGCGAGTAAATTCAATATGAGGACGAGGATTATCGACGAAAAGAATGGTAGGGTGTCTACTGGTCATGCTGATGCCCTGCATTCGAGGACGCTTGAGATATTTCACAGTTTCGGCATCGTGCAAGATTTCATGTCCCGTGCATATCACATCAACGAGATTTGCTCTTGGGTAGGTCGCCTTGTCCAGGGTTGGACACGTAGTTCTTACGTCACAGCTGCCTAACTCTAGTTTTGGTATAGAATCCCGACCCTAGTAATGGGGAAGAAATAAGGCGGACGCAAAGAGTGGTGGCACAACCATCCCATTTGAGCCGGTTCCCTCAGTCAAGTCTGAGTCAGGGGACGACCGAGCAAATTCTAGAATCCGGAATCAGGTCCGAAGGAAAAGTCGAAGTTGAGAGGAACACTGTTCCGATAACGCTTCGCCTCGAAGAGAAAGAAGGGTACCCAATCCTTGTTACCCTACGTAAAATTGGCGAAAATGAGTCAGCACGAACGACCAACAGTAAGATACCAATCGAACGATTCAACTTTAGACATCAATCTAACAAAAGTGAAGCTTCGAGCAGAAAAGACGATGAGATTATCAGGGCAAAGTACTTAGTTGGATGCGATGGCAGCCATAGTTGGGTTCGAGATCAGGTTAATATGCCTATGGAAGGACAAAGGACCGATACTCATTTTGGGGTCATGGACATAATACCCCTGACCAACTTTCGTGAACATTCTCGTTATCCCTCCCACCTATACTCATAGAACTGCTAACTTTTAAAAGCTGATATTCGGAAGTCATCCGTGATACACTCTAAGAATGGAAGTGTCATGACAGTGCCCCGAGAGAACCGTCTCGTCCGTCTGTATGTACAACTAGGCGAGACTGCCCAGGGGAGTCGCCTAGTTAACCCAAAAGACGTTACCCCTGAGATGATTCTTACTTATGCCCAGAGGATATTCAAGCCGTACCAACTGGACTTCAGGGTATGCGACTGGCACTCTGTTTATACTGTAAGCTGTCTAGCTATAATCCATTCCGCAACTTATATTGACCCCCTAGGTCGGGCAACGGTTAGCACCAAGATTCGACTATAAGAATAGGTCGGTCTTTCTACCTAGGTACTTAACCCACATTCATAATCTCATACGTATTTAGAATATTCCTGGCCGGCGATGCCGTGCATACGCACTCTCCTACTCTTGGCCAAGGCATGAATGTTTCAATGCAAGATACGTTTAACCTTGGCTGGAAACTCGGATCGGTAATAACTGGGGTTGCTAGCCCCAAGATCCTTAGCACGTACAACGACGAAAGGCATCACGTAGCCAAGACATTGATTGATTTAGATAAAGAGATGACCGGGTTTTACTCTAACGGCCCTAGCAAGGAGTCTGAGGACTACCAATCATTCAGGGACTGCTTCTCCCGCTTTCTTAGTGGTGTCGCCATAAGTTATGGTCCGAATGCGCTCATCGCTGACAGGAGTGAACAGGGCCTAACAGAAGAAGTTAGGCTCGGTCAACGCCTACCTTCTCATAAGGTTGTTGTAAGTTGAGGCGATTGTCTCTTCGTACCAGTTAATATGCTACTATTAGCTAATTATCAATTCAGTGCAATGCAGAAGGCAATCTTGTACATTTATCGGACTTCTTCCCTAGTAATGGCGCCTGGAGGATCCTTATTTTTGCCGGTGACGTTGGATCACAGTCTCAGTTCGACATAGTACAAAAAATAGGGGCTAGCCTTGAGAAATTTGTCAACCAGTTTTCATCCTTCAACAACCCCATCATTGAAGTATTCCTCATCCATGCTGGTACGAGGGATTTCAACATACTTGACCTTCATCCGGTATACCACCCCTGGAATGACAAGTTGGGATGGGATTACTGGAAGGTATTTTCGGACGACGTGGGGGATTTTGAGCCGTGTCGATCACCCTATGAAATGTACGGCGTTGACAAGCAACGGGGATGCATGGTAGTTCTGCGCCCGGACCAACACGTTTCGTTTATCGGTCCACTGGCAGATTTCGATAACATCCAGCGATTTCTCAGTAACGTTCTGATCTTCAGGAGAGAATGATCTATTAGAAAGGGATCGGCTACCTGGGTGGGATTAGAGTCGTGAAAGATATTTGTTAGGCCCAGTTTCTCAGCCTCTTACCAACCAGGAGGGCGTCAATGAAAATGCTACTGTGCGTAGTCTCATGAAACGTACAGTACAAATACTGTACTTTCTGATCTATGACACCCTTCTGCTATGCCGATTCCGTATCTAGGCTTCTGTTTAACTGTTTAGTTACTTAGGTAGAGACCTATTCAATCTTCATAGCCTTGATATTAATCGAGCGAATATACCATCATTTTATTGCATATTCAACAATGTAACTCAAAGAAGATTTATTTTATTTTATTCCAACTATCAAACACGTCGCGTGGTCGAAAAGGCGAGCTGATTGAATAAAGATCGCTGGACCCATCGCATTCAATTCCTACATGTATTAGGCATTCCGGGTACATCTGTACGGTGGGATGCATGTAGCTTGAAACTATTTTATGTACCTGTAAGTACTGTCAAGTTGTACTAGGCTGGTTTGATGATTTTGTAGTGGGCCGTCGCCACTGAGCCTGACGAAGCTAGGTCTAAGTTGCTTGGCGGAGACTTCTAGGTACATAAAATGATCCCAAGCTGAATGCATCACATTATACGTACCTATATGTACCGAGATAGGTACTCAAGTATATGTTATTAGCTATCCAGCAACCTAATAATGAATCCTTCCTTCGTTGGTGGCGGTGCCGCAGAAGCGGGGAGAATAGCAGAGTCATGGCTCGCTACCCCAATCGATATCGTGAAGAAGCAACACGCCGATGAAGTTCGAGGTTATATAATGAATATCTAGGCATCGGTATGTAACCTTCTTGCGCACTTGGTGGCCAATTCGTCAGCTGTTCATTCTACTCTATACGAGGTTTTACGAGTTACCTATTGCTTTTTCTCTAGGTAATTCTCAGCCTGTAGCTCTCTAATTGTGTTGCTTCTTGAGCAAGTCCTTGCTGTATGTCTCAATCTGACCAATGATTTTCGCCACACGGTTTTTATCGTCTGCCGGGCTTCGGGTTCCCATACTCCTTTGTATCAGGCGATATTGTATAGAACTAGTATCTTCGAGGTTCATAACAAGTGGTACGCTGCGATAAGGATTTAGCCTTGCTTTACCACGCCAAGCTATTCTGAAACAAAATCGCTTTGGGGCTTACCTTTTCCCCTTCTCTCCTTTATTGCTGCTTTCGGGTGGCCCTGAAGCCATCAGGAAACTACCCAAGATGGATACTGTTGTTGCAGTTGTGGAAGTCACGTCTTCTGTGTTCGAGTCTAAGCTACACCGAATCGCTGTATTTTGCTCTAGAACTTCCTTACCACAAGCAGCCAAGCTCAAGTCAGAACATCCATCCGTAACAGGCACCATGGTCATATATACAGGACATTGTCGAGTAACTTCGAGATTCACGATTGACGTCTTCCAAGTAAGGACTGACATGTCTGCAGATAGAGAGGTCCACTATACTAGGTGAATTCAAATGAGATTAAACCTAGGGAAGTTTTCCTTGGGCTCAGTTGCGTTCATTGATCATGGAAAATAATTCTAAGTCAAGATCGAAAACCTGCCCAGAACTAAATTATTATCAACTTGGATGGTTTTTGCTCAATTTCCTCCTCGGATATCGAGGGGGTTAAACATTTTGAGTACCTAAGCCTTAGATGTTGCAAAGTCACAGGCCCTCTTTTCCCAAATACGACCCTGGGCTAAACCAGCAACAGCACAGTAAACATACGGTAGAAAGAGCCTCATTCTTGTATGATCCCATAGACACTTTGGCAAGTAAATAGCCCCTGCTACGCCCTTTTCGAATAAATCGAACTACGAGTTTGAATATAGATCAAGCGGCTAGTCTCCATTCTAATATTGTTAATACCCAGGAAAAAAGAACTCGGGAATATTCAACTTGAAACTACGTCGCACAAGCCAACCAAAGAAGAAGCCGCAAGTGCCGTGTCGCACTCCTTCAGCCAGCCACATAAAGGTTGTCACGAATCACATAAGATGTGGCGTGGCCGGAATCGGCTTGGCCCTAGGTAAAGTACCTATATCAACGATGTGAGCTCTAACAAGGGGCGGAAGAGGTTGGTAGCATTGGTATCACTCAGCCCGAGTATGCGCGGGTCGATTCTGCATGTTCTTCCTAGTCAAATCGACCTCAGGACTTTTTCCCTGGGCCAATCACAGTGCCTGTTCCGTCAGCGTACGTCGCGCCCGAATATAGAAATGCCTCCACCACAGCCTCTCACGGTCGGCTTTGTGCACACGATATCATCCGCACCTCTACTAATACACCAATTCACACCTACCTAGGTGGGTAAGTAGGCATCCAGAAGGCAAAAACACCCGCAACATACCTAGGTACCCAATCAAAAATATCGCTAATTTATTGATTCCGTAGGTGCTGAAAAACCGAAGAGAAACATGACTCGGTCAACCGATAGCCTTGGTGGCAATCGTCGGATTCCTGATGACCTTTATTCGACAGAAAGTATATCAAACTCGGGATCATACGACACAACTTTTACACGAAATCGCCATTTAACCTGCCATTCCCCAGACCATACTACGCCATCACATTCACGCCCTTCAAGCCCATTTTCATGCCCGCCAAATACGATCGACTGGGATCTCTACGGCATTGGAGGGCTTGACGAGACCCTTAGGAGCCTTACTACGCTCCGGGACCCTTCCGACCACTTCCAGTTACCCCAGTCAACCATCATGGCTAATTTTCATGCCGGCGATAGCTTCATGAATGCTTCTGTCTTACCAGAAGCATCACAGCGTGATAAGACAATCATGACTGCAGCTCAGCATGGTAGCTCGATAGCCACCCCAAGAAAAACATGGCCCATAGCAAAGAGCCCAAGTACCAATAGTACCAACCAAGATCCGTTTACTCCAGATATATCTAATTACCACGAAGATACGAGTGGCTCGGACACTATTTCGGAAGACGGAGACCTAGACCTAGAGAAGTCAGCCGACGACGCTCTATCACAATGGTTTGGTATTAGCCTTCATAGGCTAATTCGTCCCGCACAAATTATATATGCCTTCGAACTGTGCAAAAGGCAATGTGCTGGTATTTTAGAAGATGAAGGGCATAACATACCAGATGCGCAGGATAATGACGAGAACCAAGATATTCAGATGGATCCATGCGACGCCGGAGAGGGTAGTAGATCTGCTGGTGGCAGCGGAACTCCCCTTAGCAACACCGGTAGCCCTCCATTCAACGACAAGAAACACCTACGTGGCAATACGCTCGAGCAAGGTTCCTCGCCAGATAGTTGTGTTGCAACCAAGAGAAAGTATAAGAAACGCCGAGTACCAGGACAGTTCAGCTGCCCGTACAGAAAACGTAATCCTATTCGCTTCAACGTTCATGGGCACGAAAAGTGCGCGAACAAATCTTATCCGGATATGTCCGAGTTAAAGTAAGCTACTTTTCACTTCCCCTTCATGGCTTTACTATTAAGTGTCAAATACTTAGGTTTTGAGCACGAATATTCCCGCCTCAAGAAAACAAAAATTAAGTCTTCATAAGCTAATCTCCGACAGAAAGCATTTAACAAGTGATCACTTCAAAGAATCCCATATATGTGCTAGGTGTCATGAACAATTCCCTCCACGTTACAATATGTTATTGCATTATGCACAGTGCCCTTTTCCCCCACAGCCGCAAACGAACCCCCAACCCACAGATCCCGAAGACGGGTTCGATAGGGTAATCGACGAGCGCTTAAAGAGTAGAGGAAAAGGAAAAGTTGATGATTGGTCAGAATTATACCGAATATTATTTCCATATGATAAGGTCATACCCGACTCTCGTAAGGTTGCCATTCCCTCGCGACGGGATCTTACGTCGCAGCTAATTGAATAATAGATTTTATTCCCGTCGTTGAAGATCATGAAGTATTCTACGAATACGAGCGCAGCAAGGATACGCTATTCCAGCGCCTCAGCGAGCTCATATCCCAGCAGTATCATCACTCAGTAAATGACCAAGACCGTATTGTAAGAGATATTATGGATTTATCCCAAGATCACATCAAAACCGTTCTCAAGCGACCTATGACTATTCCCCAAGCCTTACAGAGCCCACAAATCCAAGTTCCTCTCGAGCCACAGAGATCTCAGTGCCTAGAAAACGACTTCTTTGATATCACAATGGAAAGAGGCGAAACAGTCGATGGATCGACGGCCTTAGATCAATTAGTCGAAACACTTGGCACCCCACAGTACCTATCACCGGAAGATAGCCATGTTCAGATGCAGGAAGAGCCGTTACAATATTATGATAGCTCCCAGGACTTGGACTTCCCTATTAATTACTACAATCAACAGATAACGGAGGCATTTGAACACCCCCCGGGGTCTGAGAATATCCAACGCCAGGTTCAGCCCCGACCTAACGAGAATTGCGATGCTAGGGCTCCTGGCTTATATAGAAATATTAGTACAGCAGGCACGGAAACAAACTTCTGGCCAGGTGCGTACCAAAACTACGGTCAAGGCCCCGTACCGCTTACAGAGTCAACGCTATCAACACTTGGTATGCATCTGCCGACCATGCGTGGTACGCCGAATCTTGAAGACCTATGGATGTCCAATAGCAACTACGGACTGCAAGAGGGTGGCCACGAGGACATGGCTGCTAATCCAATATTCTTTCGAGATCCTAGTATACGCTGAAGCCTGTTGATACTTCCTAACAAGAATCCACAGAGCTGGATTCAGTATCCTCATAGCACTCGGCACGGAAAGACCTGACAGTTTCCATTATTTTTTATCTTCATTTGATGTATTTTTAGGCGCAAGGCCACCCAAATAGGTCTTAGTGTACTATGAGATTAATACACACCTTACAACATTTTATTCCAGCGATCTCCTGGTATTGACTCAGTACGAAGCTGCGTAGCATCTACCCAGTCACGAAAAAATCAACCTCCAGGTACGTTAGAGGATATCGGTACAAGGTACCAACAAAGAAAAACACATTTGGGTCGCTAGGACAAACACTGAGGCATGATAATTAAGTCTAACAAGTGACGAGGGGAGGATATATTGAATACAGGGCCAATAAGAAATTCCGGATGGAATTAGGGTTGAAATCACTGATCCTTGACACATATGCTGGTAGTTACCTAATCAGCTAGGTAACTACGCATGTACCTAATTAATTCAGATCAAAAACCTACAAATCAATTGGTACTTACCTAATATGTTACTGGTACCTAGGTGGGCTGCACCTTCCATGTTAAAAAAAAATAAGTTTGGCAGCTGTCTAGGTGGGAAATTGCGTGTAAAAAGGCAGGTCCCGCTCCATCCAAAAAGGGGAAAATAGAGGTTATCGACGGGTTTTGTGGGTCCTAAACAGTGGTAAAAAATTCAAGATCAGTATCATTACCACAAATAGCATTAAAAATACAATTACAAAGTTAGATAAAAAAAATACCAAAATCAGGGTCAAGGACCCGCTTCTACAATCAGTCTCTTGGATCAACCAGGTGAAGAACGTATCTATATATACGGGCAGTTCTTCCCATTTTCTTCCCACCTTTCCATCTTCCCACCACATCTTCAACTCTTCAACTTTTTTTCCTACTTTCTACTTACGACAACAATGGCTGCTTCTATTAATTAAAGTAAGTCTCAAGCATTGGACCTCATTGTAATTTTTTTTTTATTTTTTTCTCAGCATGTACAATGACCCCTCTAAGTCCTCGGTTCCAGGCCCAATATTCTTCCCTCTCATCCCCATCCATCTGTTGGAATCACACTCTTTTGAAATAATTGTTGTGCGATCTCCTTCAGACTGAAAATTGTACTTCTTTTCCTATTGATACGCCCTTTCGCCTACTCTTCACTTCAAACACTGCCTTTGTATTTTATCTCCCATTTTGACTTCACTTGTTAATCAACTTCCACCTCTTCAATTGTTTTTCATTCTTTATTTATTCTCGACTAGAACTCTACCAACTTCCGTCAGCAAAGCTACCAGAGCCGTCCGTTATGGCCTCGCCATTTATGATGTACTTCACCTCATCATTTTCTTTCCTTTCACCCTACCTTCGTTCCTCTACTTCACACAATTTAATCACATCACATATCATCATCACAAACCCCTCGTTCCATTTTCCCTCCCCATCCAATATAACACATATTACTTTCCCTCGAGACCATCTTCCTTCTATATTCTTTCACCGCTGCCTTCCCTTCCCAAGCCTTTCATACTGACTCTATCTCTAGATGGAGCAGATTCCGATAGTCCTGTCCGGGCGGCATGCCCGAAACAGCGGCCTTGCTTTTATCTGCTACGTGCCGCCTTGCCGCCTGTACCTTTCTCCTATTAGGACATCGAAGCCTCAACCTCAGGGGAAGATCCCTTTTCACAACACCCCGGTTAACGCCAACCCCTCTCGCTCTAATCATACCCGCCCAGTCAGCCATCGCGCTCCGGGCATGCTGCGATTCGCCGTGTCCGGAATGCGGGCGACTGGCTGTGGTCCCTGGACCTTCGGAGGAGAAAGCCGAAGAGATAGGAGCAGAGAAGTACAACTTTTTTAAGTACCATGCCTCGTGTCGTCCGGCTAGCGCTAAAGGGAATTCGTCTGCTTTCGGAGAGTGCCGTTAGATGATGTTTTCTCAGCCCGAGGGAGTCCCGGCGGTGTCCCGGCGGTGTCCCCGTGGAAGTTTGGAGGGGATACTGACCTACGTTACACACCCACTCCCATTGCCGCGGCAACTTGTTGGTGCCACTTATTTTTCTAGGTGAGTGGTGGCAAGTCGATAGCCAACAAGCGCTGGGGAGATAAGCCCTAGGTGATAGTATATCCTAGTTAAGAGGATGCTATCATGCCGCGTAGATGTTGAGCCTTTCATGGTAATAAAGGTCAGGTATTGGAGGTGGCCCAATAGGATTGGTGTCCATAGTCAAGTCATCTCTGGGTTGCACTGAGGTTGAGGAGTGTATGTATGGCCCCCTAGCACATTCCGTCACTACACTCTTTTCTTTTGTCTTACATAACTTGTATGGTGGTGGTACTGCTGATAACAGGTCATCATTTATGCTGCCTTGGTAGCCAGTGGTATTAGTTCCTTTTCTGAACTGTACCCAATTTTTGGAACTTCTCAGCTCTGCTGATTCACACCTTTTTTTTTTCATTGCTATCTTTGGCTAGACCAAAGTTGTGAAGAAGAAAATTGACGTTCTGTGAGGTTTATTTACTTTCCCTTTTAGGCAAGTGTATATCGGCTCGGGTGGGTTCGCCAAGCAACGGCTTAATCTAGATCGGGATCTCCAATCGATACGGGATGATGTACAGCCGAGATCTAAAACATTCCACTCAAAAGATCTACCCGTCTTAGATCTAGATATCTTTCAGGGTTGGAAATAGTTTGTTGGAATTGATATCGTTTGGCTGGAAAGAAATATTGAGCTAAGTTTTCGCAGCCGCTAATAATTCGAAAGCGAGGCATTGAGACGAATTGTAAGCCGAGGGTGACAATGCGGGGCCCCATGTTACTGGCTTATCTCGTGAGCAGCGCAACCGTTCTCACAACAGTATACGCACATGGAACCGCACCCGGGAAAACGCCGCAATTCCAAATCCTCCCCTCGCTACGGAAACAGGCGGAATTGGTCGACGGATGGACAAAAGAGCGCAAAGCGCTGATCCCCGGATTGCTTCGGAAATACGGTGTCGACGCGTGGCTAGTATGTTCCCTATCTCTCTCCATTGGCCAGTCCTAACGCGATCTCCAGATGAGTCAGCGCGAATATGCCGAGGATACCGTGTTCTGGGCTCTCAAGGAAGCTACACAGTTCTCCGCCAGGAGGCGCACGACTCATCTCTTCCTCGCGGATCCGGTGGATGGGATCGCGTCGTCGTACTCTTGGATTGAGAATACGGATGCCGTGTGGACGGATTTGCGGAAGATATTAACGGCGCAGAAGCCGGAGTCTATTGCGCTTAATACACACTCGGAACTTGCGTTCTCGGGGGGATTGCACGCCGGTGAATTTGATGCGATAGTACGAGGAATTGGTGAGGAATGGAAAGATAAATTCGTCCTAGAACCATTGCTAGGTATCGAGTTCGTCGCGACGATGGTAAAGGATAGGCTATCGTGGTACCGCAAGATGATGGAAACCGCGTGGGCGATTATCGAGGAGGGGTTTAGCGAGAAGATCATCACGCCGGGGAAGTCTACTAGTTGGGTAAGTCGACGCATGTCAGATTTCAGGTGCGCGCGCCGAGTGGTAGGGCGCTTGGGCTAATCATGTCGATCTTGTAGGATATCGAATGGTGGATGCGAGAGAGGATCCAATCTCTGAATTACACTACCTGGTTCCAACCTAGTGTTTTTATTCTTACGGGCGATGGATGGCCTGCAGCGACGGATAAGTCGCCTACAATGGATGACCCGAGGGCTCCGGATCGTCCGATTGAGTGTGGTGATTTGATTCACACGGATTTTGGCGTATCTGCTCTTGGATTGAACACCGATACTCAGCATATTGGGTATGTCTTGTACCCCGGAGAGACGGAAGCCGACGTACCTAAGGGTATGATTAAGGGTTTAAAGAAGGTCAATCGGTTACAAGATATAGTCAAGAGTAACATGAAAGTTGGATTGACTGGTAATGAGATCCTGAAAGCATCGTTGAAGCAAGCACATAGCGAAGGCATTGAGGGTAAGATCTACTGCCATGCTACAGGCGAATGGGGACATTCAGCAGGAACAGTAATTGGTATGATCTCGCGTCTTATACCGTGTTCGGCTATTATTTTGCTGACTTCTTACAGGCATGACGAACTTGCAAGACAAAGTTCCGGTACTTGGGGACCTTCCACTACTTAAGGATACATATTATAGCATTGAGCTGTTCGCGGAACATTTTGTTCCTGAGATTAATCGTACCATTGTATTTCCTCAAGAAGAGGATGTATACTGGGATGATGCGACGAAGAGCTGGGAGTGGGTATATGGAAGACAGGAAGAGCTTTTGCTTATTCGGACCCCCGCGGAAGACGCACCAGCAGAGTTGTGAGACACAATCATGGGATTTACAAGTCGCACCCCGTTGGTGGGATAATAGCCTACATTTTGTAGATGTAATACATGTACATGAAATCGGGGGCCATTCACTCATACACAGTAAACATAGCCCATACAACAGGTCCGACGAGTAAGAAAAGGATGTTTTGGGGCTTAGGCTATGACGTGCCCTCTCCCGCTCACCCTCGGAAGAGACGCGGACATCGTTAAATGATGCGTTGACAGGGGAGCTTTATATCCGACTAGGTGATTACTTCGCAGCCACTCCGGCAACGGATTCGGTGAGCTTGTAGTTTAAAGAAAGGGATAAAAGCTTGGCTGTTCCAAAATATTAGGCCGTTATCCAATGAAGTAGAAGTGTGGCTGTTCGGACAACCAAATGAACGGTGCGGGATTGCGGCTGATGATGCAATTGCGCTTTTGTTGGATTGAAGCCGGAGTGTGGGATTTCCGCTATACTGCAGGTGAGACAGAAAAAAGGAAGAAAATACAAAAAACAACACGAAATTCCGAGACTCGGGGCGGGCGGCGGTTTCAAACTGTTGATACATTCTGCAGCGTTTTGGACTGTGGCGTCTTTGTTGCCCGAATAACCCACCTAATCCATTAGTAGAACACCCCATATCTCTGTATCTATTATCGAGGGGGTTATGATTTAGGATGACGAAACAAGCGCCTCTTCCCATGGCCATTAAAGGTAATAGTATACCCTGTATGGGCGCGTGGATTGGGGGTCTAGGGGTAAAGGGCGAATATATAGCTCGTTGATAAGACCCTGAGGGTATTAGACAAGAGACACACGTTGAAAAAGAGCGAAACGACGAAAGGATCCCGTTCAGCCCCCTCGAAACAAGTCTAGATTAGGCCTTGTTCTTCCTTCTTTTAGTAGCGGGTTGCCCAATTGGACGATGCCGAGCGCTTGTAGATACCCAACGCGGGGCAAGATCGACAAATGGCATCGTGACATATGCGAACGATGTGTCGTTTATCATTTGTATTCGATGAAGATAGCCTTAAAAATTGGGCATATGAAGTAATAACTAGGGTTCAAGTAAGGGTGATTATTTGTGTATGATTCAGATTGTTCATCTGCGTAATGCTCTGTAGAGATGGAATGGCTGGATGGTAATAAGAGGGAAGAGATGAAAGTGCAATTATGCACCATCTATCGTATCACCTAGTCTTATAATGTACTAATAAGTGAGTCGATATTGTTCCACAACATCTATCTGATGTCCGGGGTAGATGTGTTCCGACACTTTCATCTCTGTCATAGTTTAGGTATGGTATTGAAGGTCAACAATAGGTTGGTGCCGCCCGTTCCCCCCAACGCGTTGAGGTCATATTAGCTTGAGTTACCGATTAGGGGGGGATGATCCAGCCACTTTGTAACACGGGAGTATCCGCAATTATTGGCATTGGAAGGATGGAAGAATGATTTCGTGCTGTTGGGGAAGCATGTGTAATAGGTTAACCTCGGGAGTTTCGTTTACTTGCGAATGATGATTGATGAATGGGAATTGAGAGACGAGGAAGTTGTAGTTTATAAGTTTAGTCGAAATGATGATCCAAGTCTTTTATGGGTGAAGCTCTGCTGGGATTTACGGGTTTGTACCTTCGTACTTATAAATTGACTGTAAGGTTTCGATGCTCTAGTTGGACAAAGATTTAAGCACTCACCCGTATGATGCATAGCTCTTTCGATTGGTGAATAATATGATGTACAAGCCGGGTACGTGACACCCCTCATTCCATTGTACGTTCGGAATGGTACCTTATCAAGTATCTTATTAAAAACCGATGATGTATTGTCCCGTCTTCTTCCGTTTGGATTTGTGTTGCGTTTTTAATATTCGCTGTATCAAATAAAATGTTTCTTATTTGCTCATGAAGAGGGAAGAAGAAATCGCGTCCCAGGTTATCATCTTTCATTCTTCCAGTGATCTTAACTAATATATGTTGAGAATAATGTCAAATGGGTTGCGATTCGTTTCTCACTAAATTCGTATTTGAGCTTCGGAAGTTGCGTAGTTTATTATAAATAAGTTGATACAGCCAGTCTCATCTCCATCTTTTTATTAACAGATTCGCCTCCCATCCTTCATCCACACAAGAATTTCTGCCGTGCGTCAAGATAGATGCATGTTGACGAACTGTAAGGGGCCGAGAAGCGCAATTCCCGGCAACAACCATCCTCCGAACTTATGACGTTTTATAATTCAAGATTTTTTGCGACGAGTCCAAAAATAGGTAACAAGTTAAAAAAGGGCTAGGCAAGCTGGCAAGTACCTGCCTAAGATAGCTACACGCCAGAAGGTACAAGAGTTTATTCCACTAGACTGTTACCTAACTCACAGTACATATATACAAGTACGAATTAGCTTGGTGGTGGTGTAACTGGAATAACTCCTCCAGGCGCAGATGTACCTAACTTAATGTACTTATCCTACTCACCTAACGCTTCCTAATAATAAATCTTGGCCCAGCTTGGAAAAAAAACATCTCCCCTCACTCCTCTTGACAATCAATCGCATCTAACAATTGTCATGCCATCATAATTTATTTTTTTACTTTTTTTTTATACTTCTCTTCAAGCATAGTTGGGGTCTACTGCTTTATTTTTTTTACGATCGCATCAACGATAGCTATCGATTCGAAAATATCGATAGTGAATTCTTTTTTATTTCGACCGGTCAAGAAGGAAGAAAAATAAGAAGGGGGGGACATAAGGCGTGCTACACTATATCGTTATATCGTGTTGTCTCGCATTGATCGCATCGCATCGCATCGCATTGTTTCGCATTCTTAATAATTCCTACTCCTACTCTCCGCCGTCACCTGCGAATGCGACCGCCACCATAACCTCTTCCACTTTCTTCGACATTAACTCCCTCCACCATTTTTGCATCGCATCGCATCGTATCGCATCAAATTTTGCAACTCGTACCATTCGAGTAATCTAATTCCCACCTGAAAGCGCGCTTAGCCGTTTCCGAGCTGTTCCATACCGAAGACTTTGTGTTACCCAGTCTCTACCCAAGAACCTGCGAACACAGCTTAGACCACCAAACCTACCGAGCGCGAACGGTACATCGGTTTGCGACAGTGCGCTACTTATATTTTTATTCGACTCGACTCGACACAATGAACGGCGCAAGCGACGCGAGAGACCCATCTTCGGCAGCAGGAGGTGGTCCGCCATCCCCTTCGAGCACAGTCCCCTTAATGGCCGGCGCGAACGGTAACGGCACAAACCCAACGACCACAAACCTCGCCAGCCCGACATTATTAAATAAAAAGAGGAAGAAGGAAGGATTAAAACCTATCATCACGACGGAAGGACCGGTTCCTGGGTAAGAATATTATTTTATTTTGGCATGATTCTTTCAAGTTATTTTGTTCTGTTTTGCATTTTCTCGAGTTGTCTTGCTTCTGTGTCTTCTCTCCATGTCTTCTGTTTCTTTTACCCCTACCTACTGCATACATATGCACACCACCTTGCAGCTCACAATTCATTGTTGGGTTGCACGAGTTTTGGGGTGTAAAAATGTATGCATATAGGTCACCTACTTGACATATTACAGCCAGCCAGCACAAGCAAAGCAAAGCAAGCATTTGGAGTGAGATCCTTTTTTTTCTGAGATGCCCAGCGGGAAACCTTGGAAATATCCACAGGATGGAGCCCATGACGAAAGCGACAAGGTCATGAACGGAAACCAAGAGAAATATTCCGACCTAAACCAATGATGCAGCGACTCAGCAATTCTGCAACTAAGACGGCGGTGGCTGTTCGTCATTTTTATTGTTTTAGGCATTCATTGAGGCGATAATATTTTGGGTTGCCTTATTTCTATTCCTCACTCATCAGGAGATCATATGCCATTTTATCGATCTATCTAACTATACATACGTATCCACGTATTTACATCGTCTCACGGTGTATCGTATGGTTAGGTAGGAGCAAAGTAGGCTTATACCGAACAAGCCAGCCGAGTGCATTACCTACTCCTACCTGTACCTGCCTACCCTATCATTTGCTCTAGCGGGGCTGAGCCGAGCCGACCTTTCAGTTGAGAATTGAGTTGCACTGGTCACTCCGGTCATTCAATCACTGGCTACTTCCTTCCCTCCTCTAACCCCCCCCCTTGTCCCCTTATTGTTATTCCTCCCCCTGGAAACGGTCAAGCGCTACACCAGCTGCGGAGTCACTGGCTACCTACCTAGTAACTGATAGAGGGGTTGGAAGGAGGGGTGATGAACTCAAAATCCCCTTGGACCTTCCTAGACCTCCCTGAACTTCCCTGTACCTAAAGGCCCTGAGGCCCCTGGAGACCCTGTCAGGATCGGCGACTCGACCGAAAAAGAAAGCTTGGAGCTCCCCCAAATTGTTCTGATGTTTTGAACTTTTAGCGCCCACAGCTTCTCTTTTCTCTTTCACCGTGCACCGTGCAACCCATGCAACCCGGTTCTCTCTCCACCATTCCCAGGTCGTTCGTCTTACAGCATCACAGCATTACAGCATTCCCCATCAAGTCTTTCTACATATTACAACATTACATATATACATCATCCCTCCCGTACAGCAAGTTTAACGATTTTTTTTAAAGATTATTATTTGACTGGAGGACCTGACTGGAACCACAAAAGGGGGGAGGGGTGAATGATTGAAATTTATTACCACCTCTCACGAGCAAGCGCATCATTCGACGACACAACTCTTCCATTCTTTTTGATCTTATCCCATCCATCATCAATTCACTGCTTTGCCTCAAAACCTGACTGGGGCTGAGTCTAGAGTTGAGCCGAGTTGATATCGTGCTGCGATTTATCGCTCACTTTCTATTACGACTTCATTTTTTTCCCTCCCGCCTCGCCTTTATCTAAGCCCAAGAAAGCTCATTATTATTTACAATCTCGGCGGCTACTTTGTTTCCCATTGTCGCATTTTTATTTCGGGTATTGGCTACGCGTCTTTTGCCTTCACTTTCGTCGGTGCATCTCGTCCACGTTCCCTTGGCATTTCTTATATGGTTCCCCCTCCACTATAGCAATTGTGGAATACGCGGTTACGATCTCTACTCAGCTACACAACCCCCTTACCTCCTTCACTCTTTGTGCCTCTTCTTACACCGGATGAGAGCACAATATAGTGGGCGCAATGGCTTCTATGAAAAAAAGGTTATTACTACTTATCATCTACTAATCCACCCACTACAACAAAACTACCAAAAACAAAACTACCAAATAATTCCTGTGGCTTGGAACACCCCGCGGCTTTGACTATTATTTTCACCCCCCACAGCCCGCCACCGTCAAATCACGGCGACTAGTCTGCCTATTTGCCTACTTGTCTGTGGTCCTTCCCCCCCTTGTCCTAGGTTAGGTACCTAGGCAAGGCATCTTGATAGGGTTTTCCCCCCTAGGCCCGTCTTTTATTGGCAATCCTGATTTCGGACCGTCAGGTCACACAGCCAGGTCTTTACCTAGTCAGCCAGTCAGGAGGACCACGAGCTTGCCGCATCCCGCCACATTACTCATCTAACCCCTTCGGCTTTTTGCTCTGCTCTGTTCTGCTTTGCTTGCTTGCTTGCGCTGGTTGCAACTAATTCCTTTTTTACAATTCTTGTTGCTCGCTTCGTATTTATTTAGTCGCGCTATCACCGCTCGTGTACACCTATATCTATTTTTGTTGAGTATGGTTGCTGACCTTCATCCTTTTATACAGACCGCCGCATCTATCCGGCACCATGAACCAACATTCCCCCACATCGTCCTCCGGTCCTGAAGATGCCGCCGAAAACACAGCTGATGAAGAAGATTCCGAAGATTACTGCAAAGGCGGATATCATCCTGTCCAGATTGGCGAAAAGTTTAAAGACGGTAAATATACGGTGGTGCGAAAATTAGGATGGGGCCATTTCTCGACTGTCTGGTTGTCGCGCGATAACACGAACGGTAAGCACGTCGCGTTAAAAGTCGTGCGATCAGCTAGCCATTACACCGAGACCGCAATCGACGAAATCAAGTTACTCCAGCGAATCGTCCAAGCGAACCCTAACCATCCGGGCCGAAAATACGTCGTCAGCTTGCTCGATTCATTCGAACATAAGGGTCCGAATGGAGTGCACGTCTGCATGGTGTTCGAAGTACTCGGAGAGAATTTGCTAGGCTTGATCAAGAAGTGGCAGCATAGGGGCATCCCTCGAGATCTTGTCATGCAGATCGCGAAGCAGGTTCTGATGGGCTTGGATTACCTGCACCGAGAATGTGGTATTATCCACACCGATCTCAAACCGGAAAACGTCTTAATAGAGATTGGCGATGTCGAGCAGGTGGTCAAGAAAGTGGTAAAGAATGATAACTCGGACAAGGAGAACAACAGGAATGGGAGACGTAGGAGACGAACCCTTATCACTGGCAGTCAACCTTTACCGTCACCCCTAAACGCGAGCTTCAATCGCGACAATCTATTCCCATCCCCGAAGTCTCACAGCAGTCTAAACGCCATGCTCCATGACGGTATGTCCCTACAATTAGCTTCCCATATTTTACACTTCAATTATGGAATTGCGCAATGTGCTAACGTTTTCCTATTACAGCGGCGACGCCGAGTTCGTCCACTAGTGATAAGCAGGGGCAAAGGGAAAAGACCGCGTGAGTAGAAGTCCATGAGATAGTTGTGTGGCGCCATGTTGATCATGTTTGCTGATTTGTTTCGCTCTATAGTGACCTTCTAACAAGGGAGGTGTCTGGTATATCCCTCGAGAAAACATCGACTGGTGGTACAGCATCGACTGGGGAAAAGAGGAAGAGGAAACGAAGGGGCCCGATCATTAACGTCAAGATTGCGGATTTGGGCAATGCTTGCTGGGTGTCTCATCACTTTACAAACGATATCCAGACAAGGCAATATAGGTCCCCGGAGGTTATCCTAGGTGCTAAGTGGGGTGCTAGCACGGACGTCTGGAGTATGGCGGCAATGGTAAGTTATACCCATTCGTTTGAAACGGTTCTCTAAAATTATGGATTGAAGACTAATCTTGCGCGGCCGGTATTTAGGTGTTCGAATTAATTACCGGTGATTACCTTTTCGATCCTCAGTCCGGGACCAAATACGGCAAAGACGACGATCATATCGCACAGATTATCGAGCTCCTTGGTCCCTTCCCGAAAGAGCTCTGGAAGACTGGTCGCTGGTCGCAGGAAATTTTCAATAAGAGAGGAGAACTTAGAAATATCCATCGCCTGCGACACTGGGCATTACCTGACGTCCTTCGTGAGAAATACCATTTTAAGGATTTGAAGGACTTACCCGCGAAGGAACGAGAGGAGAAGGAGAGGATTCGCAGGGAACGAGCAGAAGCAAAGGCCAAGGCTAAGATGGAGGCGAGGAAAAATGGCGAAGATGAAGATGCTGTGGAGGATCTCTTCCCCGAGGACGAGCCGGCTCTCGAATACCAACCATCAGAAGTATCCGAATTCCTCTTGCCGATGCTCGAGCTGTTACCCGAGAGACGTGCCAACGCCGGTGGCATGGCGAATCATCCGTGGTTGGATGACACCCCTGGTATGGAGGACATAAAGCTTGAGGGACTCGTACCGGGAAGTAGGGGTGAGGGGATTGAAGGCTGGGCTGGCGAAGTTAAGAAACGGTAGGAGTCTTCGTGCCTATCACTGGCTTTCGGCGATGATAATGACTATGACGGTAGTAATGACCCTCAGAGTTAAACTATGGAGATAACCTCCCAAGATAAGATCGGTCCTTTCGCTGAGGAAATAGGAAAGAGAAAGAAAGAATCTAGCATAGAACGGGCTTTCGATCAAAACGATTTATGATTCCGAATACGGGAGCAGGAGTGAAGACACGACAACAAAAATCTTCCAGGAGTAATAGTTTATTCTAGTAGAACCCGTGGTTTTCTTCACTTTTTTTTTCATCCTCTTTCTTTTCATCGCCCGTTTTAATTTTCCCCGAATGAATGATCCATACCCCCATGAGTAATAAGCACCGTGATAAGAACTGAGGATAAATGTACCTATATCTTTGCATTCTAGCTCTACTGTAGTATTATGAATTTGCTGTGTACTTGGGTAGAAAGGTTGAAGTTGGCGAAGAAAAGAGACTGACTTTGTTTGGTTTATTTTCATATGCGGATGCTCCCTAATTTACGTATGAATGATCACTCATGAAGGGATAAAGCTTTTACCCCCGAATACATCACGGTGACCTCGAATCACTTGCTATTTCTACTTGTTGTATGCGTGAAGATATCCGAATTTCAATTTGCGGAGAGAAATGCGTGTTACACGAATTATCTCTGGTGATCTTTAGCGTAGAGCGTGTCACAGGCGAAAATCGATGATAGAAACAGTGCAGTCTATTCGTATGACCCTCGCAGGCACTATCACAATTTGAAACTATGTGTACCGCCTATCTGATAAATCGAGTTGTACGATATTGTGTCTTGTTGTAGTACACCACCCGAGTCCTCCTATGAAAGCAAAGCATAATCACTGCGGTAGCCACTGCTTTTTGATCAACTATCTTTTTCAGCGAAGAATCAACCTATTAACCCGAACTCCGAGTGCATGTGTAACACTAAGAACCCACCACCAAACGATCGAAAATACTCGTAGATATACACCATGATGAAAAGAATTTAGAGCCACTAGCCCTTCTTTTTTCCCTTTTGGGTCATCTTGCGGAATGCTTCGATACCGCTCTGGCCGATCGGTCGGTGATCTTGAGCGGTAGAAGGATCGAAGGTGCTGCGCGGTGCGATCGAGTAGGTAGATGGAGTGCCCGCAATACGGGCGCGGCTGATCTCTCTCGCAGGCGCGAGAATACGAGCTCGTTCGGCCTCGGCGATGCTCTGAGGGGTGTGGCGTTGGTTTAGCGTTAGTTGACTGCTGGCGGTAGCTTGTCGGATTTTCGCTGCTCTGTTTGCACTTGGTTAGCGACAATGTATTTAGTGGAATATAGGGTAAAACGTACTGGTAATCAAAGTCTCGTGTCTCGACGTGGCGCTTCTTGTAATCGTCGGTGCGCTTTAGAATAGGTCTGCTCCACTCTCCCAACAGACGCTCGGCCATTCGCTTAATACCCATCTCGGGCTTCTTGCTCTTGGTGTAGAACAGAACGACCTTTCCGATGCCGCTTGATCGTAGCGTCTCCTTTTCTATCGGTAGGCGCATTAGGGCTTGGAAGATATCGCGTTGGATGTTGTAGGCGGGTAGAGAACCGTCGTTCAGGGGCTCTAGGAAGAACTTCACGTGTTGTAAGAAGTTCGTGTCAGGGTCGACAACGACTGCTTGGTTGTTGTTGCGATTAAGAAGCGTCATCACCTCGGGAAGGAGCTTAAGCTTGTGTAGGGCTGGTTGGCCTGCCTCTCGTGCTTGGTTATCCGCCTGACAAGCGTTCTCCATACGAACTTTCAAGTCAGCGATTCGCTCGTCCAATTCATCTTCCAGATCCTAAATCCATCCATGTTAGAAAACGTAATCCACCAGATTCTTGACTCTAGATTGAACGTAGATTGAACGTACTACTTCATCCTTCTTCTTACGCCTGGAACCCTTGGGCTTCGTCTGGTTTCTGGCCGCGCGCTCGATAGCTCGGCGCCGTCGTTCCTCAGGAGTCAAGTTTTCCTCGATCTCGTGCTCGGATTCTTGCTCTGGAGCATCCGCGCCGGGAGCCTTGCGAACTCGCTTAGTGTGAAGAATCTCGCCATCCGCACCATCATTATCATCGTCGCGTGCTCGCTTCTTCGCGCGTCGTCCTTCCTTAGGTTTCTTCGTAGCCGTTCCCTTTCGTCTTCCAGCCTTCAGTGTACGTGCCGCGTCCTCATCGATGACCTGGGGCTCGGGGCGCTTTTCGTCGATACGAGCAGTGTTAGGATCGTAATCATCGAATTGATCTTCGTCGATTTCGGATAGAGCGTCGGAATCCTTGTCTGAATCGTCGGCGCGGGCGATATCATAGTCACCTAGTCCCTGTTCATCCTCGTCGCGTGCGTTTCGGGCTGGAGAGCCTGCGGCTGAGTCTGCGTCCGACATTTCGGGTCGGAGTAAGGTGGAAAGGACCAAGGACAGAGGGGAAATGGTTTGAATGAGCGGGTTGGAATAGTGAATTGGCTGGAATTATCTTTACTGGCCTAATTGCCTGCAGAAGGAGCAGGAAAAAAAGAACAATGAAAAAACAAGCTGACTCAGGTAGAAATAATAAATACGAAGACAACCATAAAATAGGCTTTCTCGCGCCTGATTCAGAGTTCCAGGTGATCAAAGTTAGATGAAGAAGAAAAGGTGTTGAAAGTAGGAGAAATAATTCAATAATCAGTCAGAATAAAAAGATAAAGTTAAAGGTAAGTTACTAGACGCAGCAAATCGAAAGAGCAGGGGGTGGTCACAGTCTACATGGTCCGTGCAGTACGTTGGAGGTACCCACATTTTAACATGCTTGGCTACAGATGATTACCTAATTCGCAGTGTTTCCTTGTCTTGTGTTACCTGAATCGTGTTTTAATTTTTTGTTTACTTTATCGCTGACGGTTGCTAGCAGGAACTGCATTTTCCAATCAGCCTCTCTCCCTCAAAACCCGAACAAGAGAAAAACGTGGAAAATAACGGGTAGCCAAATCGAAGCTCACCCCAATCTTTTTCCCTACTCAGCCATTCGTTTTTAATTCATTAATCAGTTTCTCCGCCGGAAAATCGCACCGTTGTATATTTTCTGGTGGATAATTCATCGATTGAGGCCGAATGGAGCGACGAACCTATGAATCTCCCATGGACTGGGAATACCAGAATAATGGTCCGATAGACCCTTCAAGTCCGTTTGTGCAGTCTGCGAAACGAATGCAAACTAAAAGTACAAACACTCCCTATTTTCCTTTTGTTCTTCTGGCTTTTTACTGCTGTCGGATATGTCTGCGCTGTAGCATCATGAATCAGCCTGAAGAAAGAGAAGGCTAACATTGCGGTTCTTCTAGATACCTTCGGCTCTTCAACTACCAACGGCAACAGTCGTAGCATTTTTGGTAGCAATCCCTTCCAGCGCACTCAAAGCACGCCCTCTCCTTCTAAGCCTTTGCCTCCAACGCCGCCGCACCAACCGTCCATTTTCTCTACGTCTAATCTTCAAAGAACGACCACCGCTCCGCCCTTCCGAAACCCTGCCTTCACAACCCCCAGGAAGCCCTTCGAAGTCGATACATTATCAGAATACTCGGCCGCCGAATCTAGTCCAGCCGCTACTGACGTCTCGGACTATCCCGATACGCCCGAAAACGATCAATACGACCTTACGCGCATGACCATTACACCATCGACCATGAATAGGAACAAAGCGCTATCATCTAAGAAGACTCCCGGAAAAGGCGAGATCTCTAAGACTGTCTTCTCTACACGAGACAAAGTGCGCAAGAGGAAGCGTTATAATGCAGATAAGGACATTAGCGGTTACCGTCTACCGTATCTCCAGCCGGACGAACGCGACGAGTCAGATTATGAGTCTGACGAGAGCACGTTCGAGCCTGGTAAACCCCGCAAGGATCAAACGAGGCGCAACAATGACAACTGGTTCGGAAGATTTCTAGCTACTTTGCAGCGACATCCGTATGCCCCTAGTATCCTGGGCTATTGGTTGCAATTCGGATTCAACCTATTCTGTGTATCAGCCACATGTTGGGTTGGATGGGCGGTCATCAATGGATTGCGACAAGATTTCTCTACTGAGAGACAAGCATTAAGGGCCGATATCCTAGCTGAGATTGACAAGTGCAAAAGCGACTATCTCACGAACAAATGTTCGCCTATCGAGAAACGACTTCCAGCAATGTACCAACTATGCGACCAGTGGTATGACTGTATGCACCAAAATCCAGACAACGTCAAGCAGATATCAAGCAGTGCGAAGGAGATGGCCAAAATACTCAGCGAGATCGTTGACACTCTATCTTATAAGACTATAGTAAGTAGACTTTATAATAATGAGTGCGACAGGTCAAAGATGTGGACAGCTAACCTATTCTCAGATAATATTGGTTCTCTTGTTCTCTATTTTTATCTTCAGTGGGAGGTCTCTATACAAGAGCGCAAATGCTTTTACGGATATTCCCCAATCCCATTCTGCAGCCCCGTTTCCATCGCAACATGCAGTCGATCAACACATGAGGCCCCCGTCGCAACAAATATACTGGCAAGCACTACCACCTCAGACCCCTCGACACACGAATAACCGGCACCTACTTGCAAACGATGTCACCCCTGACACTGACGACGGACCGACGAGATTCCAGTCTCTTCCACCCCCCGAAACACCAACCACACGAAGAAGTCCGACTAAGGGTGATAGGGGCAGAAGCCCTACGAAGAGTAGGAGTCCGGCCAAACGATATTAATTTAATGGGGAAATGGATTGTATAGTAGTACTAAAGAGCGAGCACTTTTGGTGTTCATGTTGGCTGGCTATCGGTCATGGTCCCGAGTCGAATGAGTGGTGCGATTTATTCCATCAATACTAGAAGGACAGCATACATCTTGAGAGTGACGCAAGCATACATAATAACGAATGTTCAATACTATCCAATTATGAAGCGCCTTACATATAATCTAACCGCGTTGACTTGAATTGGAATCATCTACTCGCCGACTACCCACAGTTTCTAACATCTCAATATCTTGAATTGCGTCGACGTTATTGCTAGAAATCATCTGATAATGAGTTCTTTCGAAAAGGGTTCATCCTAGCTAAAAGGAAACATCATACATAAAGCCTCTTCAGCAGACTAGACTGCTGTACGTAATAGTATCGGTATCGCTGTTCCTGGATTATCCAGGTTGTAAGAAGTTAACTAGGCGTGTTAGCGTGGGTGTTCAAGTGTAGAATCTAACTCTAATCCAAAGGCATCACACTTAAAAAGACTAAACGTAACCCAACGACGTCATAAGCTGCCATAGTAATTAAGAAGATCTCAAGATGCTAGTAACTCGAGTTCTATGTTACATAAGGTAAAAGAAAGAACAAGTGGAGATGGAATTACCTAGGTACCAATCTCGACCTGCTGTAAAGTGCTGTAGTGGCCCTACTTCGTCATCAAGAAGTCAATAACAATAGGAACCTCCGTCATAGGATCATGTTTGCATTTCCATTCCTATGTTTTTTCCGATGCGCAAATAGGTACGTTTAAAGGAATTTTGGTTAGACACGTAAGCAGATAGGATACATGTACTCTTTCACGAAAGCTGCTGATCATAAGAAAGACCTATAAAGCTCGGAGCGCACCCCGAAAGCCGGAATTTCCCTATCATGATTGGCCTGATTGCTTCTAAGTATCAACTAAAAAAAAAAAAAATCCCCGAGTTTTTAGGGTATTGATTTGCTATATGATTCACATTATAGCATTTGCCAACATTGTCCAGCAATGAACAGGAGCAAGTAGAACGACGAATTGGGCTATTTTAGTGCCCTCCTCATAAGTTAATTCATTGGGTCGAGCGATGATTGGCCAGGATCTCCGCAAGCTGGATTGGCTCTCTTAAGATCTTGATCTCGTATGGAATTATGACGTACTTCTGAGATGAAGCCGATTCCAATTTACCAGGTAACTCGACTTTTATGGGATTTTTAGGACGATATCCTATACTTTTTACCTAAGGAGTGAAACGACAAGTAGATACACTCAAATACAACTTACATGTCTGTTTGCTAAGATATACTGCTCTTGATTATTGTCTTTGTACTTGCAAATACTTAGGACGTGATTCGCATATGTGCCTAATCCAGTCGCCATCATTCCCGTTTTAGCTTAGGTGCGCAACTAAGCTGAATACCCAGTAGCATGAATGGTATAACTGTACACCTGTGTATCATATAAGCCTCCTGGTACTCGACTAAATAAGTTGCTTCCCTAAGTTACTGATATTCGTGGATTGGATTTTGAATTTGCGTACCTATCTCCAGATGCGATTTTGAAGGGGGGAGCATTTGTTCCCTTAGCTCCACTTGTGTGCAACATTAAACCTCTTCCGGCTATTCAATTAGAACTTAGGGGAGCCTAAAGAAGCTAGAATAGAGTTGTCAGTTTGGCCTTAAACTCCACTATAGAACTTCAAGTATACCGCCTGTATCTTCGCCTTCTAGAAGGTAGCGAAGGTAGCTACGTATGGTGTCAAGATACTCGCCAGTACATACCTAACTGCTTACCAAATTTAACAGATTTGCATCGAAACCCCACCAACCCCTCCACTTTCTCTCCTCTAAGGCTATCCGAGTACCTCCATAAATTTGATATTGAAGATGGATATTTGATATTGACATAAAACTTCTTACATTTACCATATGCTCGTCAGTCTTTCTTATGTTTTTGCCTAAATATTCTTGTATCGTTTATTCAAGTTGAATCAAGACATGAAATCTATTCTAAGACAGAAATTGTTATCCATACATGTACCTACCTAGGTAGGCATCTTAACTATGTAAGTTCAATGTTACATACAGCCAAGGGCGTCCGGCATGGAAGATACGTGTAACTAGGTACCGGCGTATGTACAGGAAGCCCCTTCCGGTCTGTTACACAGGAAGTGTCGGGATCTCGAAAGTACATGCATTGTACTTATACTTGTGGAAGGTTCGAACCTGGCAGCCTGGGCAGCCTGGGTAGGTGCTATGCAAACGAACTAGCGCAAAAGCTCAAGTGCTGTCATCCTTGACACCCAAACCCAAAACCTCGATAAGAGCTTGAATTTTAGACGGCGCTCTTCTTTTTACATATCAGAATCCACGATACATGTTTACTCTTTCCTACACATACATATATCTTCACATCTTACGCATTCTACACTCCCTACGCGCTACATTAAATAAGAATATTTACGTAGCATAGCATCAATAATCCTATTACAATACTCTCACTTGACCAATCAAGAATACATGTCAGGTTCTTATTAAACTGCCCCGCGTGTTTCTCCGTCCGTTCCTTACACAAGCTGGATCGCCGTGCCAGGTAGGAAAAAAAGCAAGAAAAAAAGCAAAAAACAGCAAAAGAAAAGAGATTTCACCTAAAAACTCGCAAACACTTGTTCCCCTTACCAAATTGGCCAATTCAGGCACGCCTTCTTCCGAGGTAGCTCGCATTAGCGACGCGCCTCTTCGCCATTCCTTATCGTCGGCTGGCGTTAGAAGGCGTGTCTATGCGGACGTACCTCTACCCCTACTCCGAGCATGCCCTACCGGCCCTAAACTATTATAATGGAGGGGGAGCCAGACAGCGGACCCTCCACTGGCCAAACATCCTCGTCATCCAAACCTACACCAAAACATGAAGCCTCGGCGACAACTTCTGGCAATTCCGGCGCGGGCGGTGCCTCTAACACACAGCTTTCCAAAAGAAGGAGAGGTCTCGGTGTCGTTACTCCCAATGCGTGTACCGAATGTCGAAAGAAGCGCGCCAAATGCGACGGCCAAAAACCCTGCGGTCGGTGCAAATCGCAGAAAGACGTCGAATGCATATACGAGATTCCTGTGCGACAGTCGAAAGAGAATTTGCGCCACGAAATCGAAGCCTTGCGGCGCCAACAACGCCAGAGCGATTCCGTCTTTTCTGCCCTTGTCCGCCCCGAATTAGTTGAAGAAGTCCTACAGAGGCTGCGCCAAGGACAATCCGTCGAGGGAATCTCGGAATGGTTGGGTGGTACTTCTCTACCTGCTGCGGGAGGCGCACTGCCCGGATTCGCAAGACCGAACGAACCTAGAGGTGGAGTGACATTGCCTCCTCTCTCAACATATGGTGGAACACTTGCTGGTCCGGGAGGTTACAACACTATGGGAATGAGCCCCGCGACTGCCCAGACACACGGTATGAATCAAGAGTTCGACCCTAACAGCCCTTGGAATTTCTCGTCGCACAGCCAGACCGTGTCAACCCGCAGCGACTCTCATCCCGATATCATGCAATGGACGGCGGAAGCCCCTCCTCGTTCGCGAGTCGGTTTGTGGCTACAGGATCAGTCATCGCCGGCAACAGAAGGAGCCCGATATCGTGGGGTAGACCAAGTGCTTGCGCCAATAGATTCTCCGGAGATGAAGGTCCCACCCGAGTCGTGGACTGCCGTGACATCAGATGGTAGTCTGGTATCGCATCTTCTGGCACTTTATTTCTGTTGGGAATATCCAACATTCGCATCCCTCAGCAAAGAGCATTTCCTGAGAGATTTTCGGGACGGCCGGGAACGATATTGCTCACCGATACTGGTAAATGCGTTGCTAGCTCTGGGCTGTCGATTCTCCACCCAACCCAACACGAGAGCAAACCCAAACGACCCACGCACAGCAGGTGATCATTTTTTCAAGGAGTCTTTGAGGCTCTTCTACCGAGAACAGGAGCATCACAATTTAACCACTATTCAAGCCTTGGGGATAATGTCCATTCGGGAAGCGAGTTGTGGGAGAGATTCCGAGTCTTGGTACTACGCGGGGCAAAGTATACGCTTAGCTATCGAAATGGGACTACATCGCCTTCAAAACGATGGCGATGAAGACGAGCTTGCCGTGCAAGCTGCAACATTCTGGGGCGCTTTTGCTCTCGATCAGTAAGCATGCTATCAGTTGTTTTAATGTACTTTTCTAACATATTAAAGCGCATGGTCACTAGCGACTGGCTCTTTGCCGCAATGCTCCTGTTTTCCGCATTTGCCGCCCAAGCCTGCTATCATTGATGATATAGAGGCATCCCTGTGGGTGCCATATACTGATGATGGTAAGTAATTTGAATAAACACCGCCTTGGTTGAATTCTGAGCTAGTCTGGAGATATTGGATGTCATCTGATTGATTGTACAGGAGCTCCTCTTCAGAGATCTTGTGAGCAACCTTCCAACGTTAGATCCGTTTATAAGTGCTTCTGTGAGCTCAGCGAGCTTGTCCACCAATCATTATACGTTCTCCACTCCCCCGGAAAACCCGTCACGAGTCGGGATCTACTCAGCATTTATACGCAATACCTTAATTGGTATGATAGGATTCCTGAAGTCCTACGATTAGGGCATAATTTCACACCTGCTGTCCTTTTCGCTCAGTGAGTATTGTTATGATATATCTATACTGCAATCTTTGACTTATCAGTTTGTTAGTATGTATTATCACTTCGCCATTCTACTCCTTTTCCGACCCCTTATAAAATTACGAATCATTGGCTCCAGTATACTTCCTCGCGATGTTTGCGCTCAGGCTGCAGATGCTATTCAAGGCCTCCTCCGTTCGTACTCCCAGCTATACACCCTCCGCCGTACGCCATCGTTTGTGCCATACTTTGTACTTACATCCTCCATCATGCATCTTGCTGTGGGCGCGGAGGCTTCCAAGGGACAGTCCACCTCGCCGACAGAATTATCTAATCCTCTGACGGTTAAGCCCGAAGATAGCGAAGTGGAGCACGGAACCAGGCGATTATCTTCTAGCCATAGGGACGATGCCGAACCGACATCACCATCCAGTACGATTACCGCGAAATTGAGTCCGAGAGTTGCTGGAGCTTTAAGCCAGGGGATTGCACACTTGACGGAAATGGCACCATGCCATCATTTCGCACACCAGGCGCTAAACATATTACAATACCTTGCCAAGAAGTGGAACATCGAAGTAGATATCCCACCTAGCACCGGCGTCTCGCAAGAAATCGACAATTCAGTTCGGCCAACGACTAGTAGCCTCAATTTTTTCTCGCCAAACGTGAACGAGGAGGATTTCCTTTGCGCATGGGGCACTCGCGATGTCGGCGGCCCCGGAGGCGCGCAGAGAAGACATTCATCACCAACTCCACAAGCCCATGTTGGTCGTGGAGAAAAGATGGAAGGGATAATTGAAGAAAGCAGAATGAGAGAAGCAGCAGAACAAGATCCAGTGCCTAGTTTTGCACCCGGAAGCGGTGTTGGTCCGATGGCGCACAGTGCCAAAAGCTTGGAAAACCCACTCTTTTGGCCGTTCCCCATGCAAGGCCGTCCTATGTTGCCAGAGGGTAAAGAACTCGAAAAAGCCGGATTCCGCCCTTTATAGGTAGTTTCGGCGGGGACCTCGATGAGTTGAAACTACGGTGAATGAGGACTAAGACGTTGGTTAGGCCTGTCTTATCGACTTCTGGATTGAAATCCCGATGTCGGCTTTGTAGACACGCCAGTCATACCTCTCTTGTCTTCGAACATCGTGTGTTCTGGATTTTCCTAATGGATACTAATCAGTGGAGCACACCCTGGAGCGACCAAGGGACGTGGATATGACAGTATAGACTTACAGAAGAAATCTCGGCACCAGGGCTGGCGGAAAATAGGCGTGCTTTTCGCGATACAGGGAATTTTGGGTGTTCTATGTGATGACGGTAAACAAAATTATCACGATGGGAGAAATTAAAAACGCGAGATGATACCCCTAGCATACGAATGCGCTTGTCTTGAGCTTCGCTCTCGGGATTGATTGGGACTTGTAACTCGAAAGCACCTCTCTAGGTTGCTTTTACATAGGCAATGATGCTATGAATATGAAATGAAGAAAAGACAAGACGTACGGATCATCATGCTCCACATACATGGGGATCTGTAACTCATTACGATTTTCTCACCAATCCAGATTACAGGTCTGTTCATCCCTCTTGAGCGGCCTGGGCTTCCAGCTAACTATGAATGGTTACCCAAGTCATGCCACGTGAAGTGAATGCATTGCTAGTTCTATCAATAAGTTATTTTTGTTTCAACAGCAGAAGTCTCAGCTTGGATATTCGCGGTGGGTCAATTGTTTCCCACTTACATACGAAGCATTGAGGTCCACCACAGAATCCATCGCAGTTTTTAAGAAAACCATCATGATCTATGATCTAGGCACTTGAAGCCGAATAACGAGTTTCGCGATATCCGATATAAAAAAAAGTCGCTGCCTAAGCTAAGTTACTATGCGACGACAAGCTCAAAATATCACTTCCCTAATTGACCAATTAAAAATTGTAGATCTAAATGGTAGATCGTTTGGCTAGGGAGTATAGCCTACCTAGTCATAAAGGCGTGGCAAGTCAGTTAGACCTAGCTGGGGGGGATGATATAATTATTAATTCCAATAATGGAATATGTATGGCCTTTTGTTGGGTTTGAATTTATTCTCAGTATCATAAATTCAGATGCCTGATTGCCGTTAAATCCCACAAGATTTCCAAGAATACTTGCTACTCGTACGTCAGTAGGAGGATCGCTTTCTTGACTGCGCAAAACTTTTTAACTAACTCCTTTCGATACAATCAAAAGGCCAAGGATGACCAGGAATAGAATTAGGGTTTTGGGAGCCGCGAGATCAGTTTGGGTGGGCAGGCAAGGGATGTTTCAACCCGCTGAGAATGGAGAAATGGATGAATGCGTGATTCTTTTCCCCCGACTCTCCTTCTCGGGCATATATTCACGACTTGTTTACCATGCCCGGTCCCGTATGGTGCTGCGCCTATATTTAACGGGTACGTAATCGATGTTATGTTGAGGTTAGAGAACCTCTTAGAATCGTCGCTTTAGTACTAATTTTTACACAAATTTCGGAATGCGCGCTCGATCAATTTGTCTCTACCTACCTAGGTAGGAGTTGAATTCTTGCTGTCCTAGCACTAGACGATACCAAGCTGGGTCCTGGCCTACATTTTATCTCGATGCCTACGAGGGATCTTCGCTGCGCGCTATTTGGGGTGGCCGTTGGGGACGGCGCGTGTCAGCTAATCGAAGCTGACACCCCCTGTTCGACCCGATCTCACCAAGTTCCCCCCAGAATCCATGATATCCTCTATGATTGGTTCAATGGGAATTCAATTGTTAAATCGGGTGCTGCAAAGGAACTCGCACCAGTTGCTAAATCGAGTATGGGCCACGAGTGTCCACACCCCCTGTTGAGGCTAACGACGATCCGCGGTACCGGGCCATGCCATGTCACTTTCCATGTGCGCCGTCCTAGACGATCACTAAACCAACTCTTTTCCACCATCCCACTATTCCACTATCAACAAGAATCCCTGCCTTTGGGGGCTAAGATCACGTAGATGACTATTCTGCGACTCACGCCGAATGTTTATGTAGATCAACCCTAACCAATCCTGCCGTTCAGATCTATGGGTCCTTTACGCCTCAGCCCTATATCCATCATTAGAATGAAACACTTCCCCATAGATAGGAACGATAATGCTCGGGCTCATTAGGGGAATAACACGGTGGGGGTAATTCTTAACTCGGGACCGGTAATGGTATAGCGAACTTACAGATATCATGGTCCGATATTGGAAGACCATGTTATTATAAGCGGAGTAGCACATGAGCGCCGTGAATGGGGCTCATATCCTGACATTCTCTATTTAGAGAATAGAGAACTTACTTAAAGAACAACCGCCCTTGATAAGTATTCACGGACCATGATGTCCAAAACCACAGCGTTATTTATTTTCTGACGACTAGCCCACTAAATCGCAGCAGCAATTTTTCATGAAAACTCATTGTTACTCCCAGACAACATGTCGAGTTCGCCTTCAACCATAAGAGTAGCCATAATTGGCGGTGGTTTAGCCGGTGCGGCAGTTCTGCGCGGGCTTCTGCGATATCCTCACATTGTTGTCGATATGTATGAATGTCGACCTGCGTTCAGAGAAGAAGGACCAGCGCTGGGATTCACCACAAGCACGCAAGATATTCTAGCTGCCATCGACCCTGACTTGCAGAGGTGTTTAGACCGCGCCGGGGCCGTTCTCACCACAACCGAAACACGATTGGCTAGTGGTCCTCATATTGGAAGAGAGATAGACATCAACGGTCTTGGAGAACGGTGTAAGAAAAATGTCGACCGCCAGGCTTTTCTAAATGAGATGCTCCGCGGTATGCCTCCGCGCATGATGCATCCTGGTACGCGGATATCGTCTGTGACGGAGCTGGGTCCTGGTCAAGGACTAATGCTGCATTTCGCGGATGGGTCCCAGAAGAAATATGATATTGTCGTGGGTGCCGATGGTACCCATGGTTTCACACGGCGACTTGTTCTCGGTTCCGATGAGTTCTTGTCCAACGCGTATCCCACGGGGTTCTGGAGGGTGTCTATCAAAGTGCCCCTAAGAAGGGCACAGCGAGCTATGGGTTCGCAGTATTCGGATCCGAGGAACCCACGTCAAGTTACCTGGATCGGAGACGGGACCGCCATGATCCATGAGTTGCTCGATAATAGTAGAGAGGCACAGATCGTCGTCTACGGTAGGACGGATGAGGCAACGGAGGAAAATGGAGCTTCGCAGTCTTCTTGGGCCAGGCTTTTTACGCCGGATGAGTTCCAGGAGATATTTTCTACTAACCGGGTTCCGATGTGTCATGGGATGGTTGATGTAAGTAATTTTCCCACTCAAGGAGCTGCGAAGTGTTCAGATACTAACTGAGATCTTGTCTATAGCTTATACAGAGCGTTTATACCGTCCAAATGGCTGCTATATGTCAGTTGGAACACAGGCCGGCGCCGACTTTCGTAAGTAGCAACATATGTCTGATCGGGGATTCGGCGCATAGTATGTTACCATTCCAAGATGCCAGTGTCAGCATCGCGCTTGAGGAAGCACTTATTCTTAGTACTCTCCTCGGCCGATTGCCATCAAAAGAGGCAATTCCGGCTGCTCTACAGGCTTATGACCATGTGTGCCGACCGCGTGCTGAACAAGCCGCCGAGTCCAGCGCCGAGACCGGGTTCCTTGTCACAGGCCGGGCAACGGGCGTCGGACTCGACGCTAACTTACTCCAGCAGCATTTGTGGCATAAATATGAGTTCCTGCTTGACGGGACTACCGATGAGCGAAGAACTGCTGCTACTATGGTTATGGACCAACTAATGGGAGTTGAGTCGGGATGGGCATAATGACATGCCTTTCCCTCATTCACTACTCTCGCTTTTTATTGAAACACTCTTTTCCGGAATTGGGATTTAACACGGCGGGGAGGAACGCGTCTTTCATTTATCATGCATAGCGATGGTTTGGGTAAGCATTTTGGCTGGGCGTATACGAATGGAAATTTGATGACTTGATTATTGTGACGCTTGTTAACGCGATGACTATGTTCTACTGTACCTACCTTACGTTCATTTACGATTAGACATAGAATGGATATTTTACTGTGTTTTGCTACGACGAAGCCCAATTTTCCATAATTATTGAGTCTGTATTGAGAAATGGGACTAGTACTACTGGGTATCTGGGCTAGCAACTGTCAGCGACAACAGCAACGGCGATTCTCAAAACTTGGCCGATACAATTTGAAATTGGAATAATTCTAGATACTTGCGATTATATTATGGTGGCGTCTATAGCCGCGCTGACTTGTTTAATTGATTGCGGTTCGCATCGGATTCGAGTACTGAAGATTGTAGGCATGATGTATTATGATGCGCCTGCGTATCCGGCAAAATAGGTCGCCGGCCAATGAAGACTACCATATATCAATACCCCACGAACCTCTACGAGATAGTAGTGGCTAGTATGATATTAATAATAAAAGTTAATTGCTACTTCATAATCTAATTATAAGATATAGCCGGCACTTGGTTGGGATATGATGGAAGACTCCTCTTTATTTTAGGTAAACTGGTACAATAGGACGATCTGTCTTTGCTTGTCCCATTTTTCGAAGCGAAGCCAATTTCAATCCACTCATACTGGTATTCTGACATAGGTCACGATGTTTTGGTCTGCTCTATTGTCCGTCGCGGCGCTTGCCGAGGCCTTGCCGCAGACAACTCCGATAAAGGGTCCCGGAGATAACAGTTTAGTTCGATTCGGATGTAGTCAGGTTGTTATCGAGAGACTCGATCCGTAAGTCTTACCTACGTTTCGTGAGACGGGTTTTGAAATAGGTATATCTAATTTTCTTCTAGTCTTGTCAATCCCGGACTCAACCCATCTCCACACCTTCACCAGGTTCGTCGCAAGACCTAAAACGCTTTAAAACAATCAGTTTCACTAACTAATACTATAAAGATCGTGGGAGGAGTACGTAACTACGCGGGAAATTCTACTCCCTATCTAACTAATTTCTATAGAACGCTTTCAACGCTTCGATCCCCACCACGGACGTCTCTAGTCTCGCTACTTGTACTACTTGCACATTCAGCGAAGACTTTTCAAACTACTGGACCGCGAATTTGTACTTCAAGGCCCGAAATGGTACCTACAAGCGCGTCCCTCAGATCCCGAATCGATTCTTCGATGGGGAACAGGGTGGTGTTACAATTTATTACCTCTCACCGGGTAAGAAGAAGGTCACCGCTTTCAAACCCGTAAGAATTACAATGTATCATCAAAACCTACCTTAATTACTGAAATTAGTATCCAGGGTTTTCGCATGCTAGTCGGAGACTCTATGCGACGTGAGAAGAAGGGCTCGGGATTGAAGTCTCAGAGCTGTTTCCGCTGCTTCACCGGTCCGGATTTCAAGGGTGACGACTATTCGCCATGCGCCGACCCCAAGTTGGATACCGAGACATTCCCTTCGGGCCCGTGTCTAGGCGGTATCCGATCGAACATTCACTTCCCGACGTAAGAAATAGACAAGTTCCGTAGACCTGGTGAATATGCTGACGGGACTTAGCTGCTGGGATGGAGAACGCTTGGACACTCCGAATCATCAAGATCACGTAGCATACCCTGTGACCGGTCCCTCATCGTTTGCTACGACCGGCGAGTGCCCGTCTACCCATCCGATCAAGATCCCGCAGTTGATGCTTGAGGTAAGTTGTCATAAGGCCTAACTTGCCCCCTTTCCCTCCTTGTGTAACACGGACTCCGATCCGATCGACATTAGCCGAAAAACCAATATCGGAATAAGCTCCGATACAACTTGTTCTCTGAGCGAATATTAATTCGATTACTTTAGATTGTTTGGGACACGACTGCATTTAACGACCCCAATGACTGGCCCGAAGACGGCTCGCAGCCATTTTATCTTAGCACGGGCGACAAGTAAGTTCACATCAAAATATCCTCACGTTCTAGACCACATTACTAAGACCTAGCTAGTACTGGTTATGGCCAGCACGCGGACTACGTTTTTGGATGGAAGGATGATGCACTCCAAAGACTGATGGATGGTGCATGCTTTGGTAACACATGCGAGGGTGTCAAGACGCAAGAATTTACCGAAGCGAACAAGTGCTCTGTGCCGAACACTGTTGATGAGGTTACCGAAGGATGTAAGTTTCCCATGCATGAGTTAATAGAACGCAATTCTAACACCAAGCAGGGCTCGAGCAGCTTCCTGGAGACGGAAGCGGGGCTTAAAGGCGGTCTGCGAGCAAGCATTGATCTCGATGGAGAATTAGATATGCTAGATCTGATAGGTAGCCTCTAGAGATCTACGATCTCCTTGTGGTACAATAATAATGCGTCGAATGTTCGTTACATTCCGACATCCCTATAAATTGTCCCTGAAGCCTATTTGAGTGCAGCCCCTTTATAGACCCCACCCTCCACCATACCTACGATGCTACCTACCTAGGACCTAGATGAAGCCATGAGTGCAGCATGAACGCAGGTAATCCAGGTAAAAAGTAGAAGCGATCTATAATATTATATCGGGCAGGTTCTCGGGTAGAGTCGAGTGCTTCGAACCTCATAACAAGAATTGCTGTAGTTACGAGGCGGCATTCGGTTGATTCCCCTGCCGCTGAAAATTCCGGCACACCACTCATTTATAATTAGCAATTTAACCAATATAGTGTCGCCACCTATTATATCAGGACGCCTGATTAAATCATAAGGTTATTTCGATAATATTCAGAATACCGTCTATTTTTCTAGACCGATACACGATGGATCATTCAACAAACTGCAAACGTCACCATCATTCGCTAACCAGGTTTATATAGACGGTAGTTGAATAGCAACCAGATAGGAAAAAGAAAACTTCAATAGCGTCAAATTAACCCCATTCAGTCGCTTTGTAGGGTATTACTAAGAGTGTATGTTCCCATGATTAGGTATTTTCCGACTAAACCTCAAATCGATCATGTAGGTACGGAGTAGTTCCCATTGGGGAATGTAAGGTCCCTTGGTTCAATGCGACACCATGTTACCCAGCTCATAGCAACATGGTATCCGGAATCCCATAGCCGACGAGAAACCACAGACGTGGATCTTTTGCCGAATTTAAAAATCCAAGATTCCGTCCAGCGCGTTCAGCTAGGGGCGAATGGGCGAGTCCAGAAACCCTAGATTCAACTGACTATCTTTAAATGAATGGTGCTTCCTCCCATAGTAGTTTAGACAATGGGACTAGCTTACACGTGTACTTCGTAAATAGTTGGAAAATATCCCCATACTAGCCATTGCCGTGATGCCTTCATGCTACTCCAAGCAAGGTTCCCCGCAGTCTGTACGGAATGCCATGCGAGATGTGTGGTAGACTAACCCCAGACTCCACCACTCCCGGAGCTGATCCCTCTAAACGTACTCCAATAATTCAAGGGGCATTATATGAACGTCTTGGAGATACCCTGCTATTGTTATGGTTATAAGTCGTGTTGACTGCCACCCAAGAAAAAAAAGTTGATGTCCCCCAACCGCCAACCTTTCGCGTACTCATAGAAAAGTTCTTCATCATGGGTCTCGGAGTATTGGAAGATAAACATCTGGCTCACGTCCCTGGGACAGCCCTTCTCACAGATGTTATCGGTTCGGATAACCTTCACCATCATGGCAAACTCAACACATCAACTCTACGCCATGGAAAAGGCAAGGATTCGGATATTTTGCTGGTACCACAACCGAGTAACAGTCCGAATGATCCTTTGAATTGGCCTTTATGGAAGAAGGATCTCATGTTGTTTTTCATCTGCATCGATACTGCAGTAGTAGGAGCATGGGTGAGTTTCCCCCCGTAATGAGATCGCGCTACTATTGTACTCAGGCTAATCACACGTTGTCATCAACAGGGTCCCATGATCTCGCCTGGTTACGTCCAAATGGCCGCTCAGTTTGGCCTATCTTACAATACTCTTAACGCCCAGCTCGGATATGGTGTCCTAGTCATTGGTTTATCATGCTTCTTCACAAATTCGATGGCCGTGGTTTGGGGACGAAGACCTGTTTTCCTTCTTGGAAACTTGCTGCTGTTCATTAGTAGCATTGGTGGATATTATGCGAACTCTTTCGGCAGTTTACTTGGATTCCGACTCTTAGGTTGTATTGGAATGTCTCCATTTGAAGTGTAAGTGCCAAGGCGATGCTCATAGAAATGAAAGCAGGTGCTGATTTACTTTTTCCAGGTTGGTTACCACTACCATTGCGGATATTTACTTCGTTCACCAACGTGGAGTCCGACTCGCAGCTTGGGGTCTCTGCCTATCGATCGGTGTCGGAGGCGGCACAATTATCTCTGGTTATATCATCGAAGGATTGGGTTGGAATTGGACATACGGTATCTGCGCGATCATGTTCGGCGTCTGGATAGTCGTTCTCTTCCTTTTCTGCCCCGAAACCGCATATAAAAGAGATGCTTCTCTAAACATCGACCTTGGCACAGGACAAGATAATGCGGATAAGCTGGTCGGAGAGGAAATTACCAAGAACAAAGCAGGGACCGAGTCGCCTGGAGCAGAAAACGTCGAAGTTGAAGTCATCGAACGTGCTCCGACAAGCGGTACATGGTCGGAAGAGAAGCACAGTTACTGGCACGATTTGAAGATCTACCACGGAAGGGTATCCGACGATCCATTTTGGAAGGTTCTCACTCGACCCTTACTAATGCTCGTATTCCCGCAAGTCCTCTTCTCCTTCTTTGCATATGGTCTTACAACCTCCTGGCTGGTTGTGGTCGGTAGCGTATTAGCTCAATTGTTTACGGCCCCTCCCTACAACTTTACCGTCTCCGGCGTTGGCCTCGTTTCGATTGCTTCGCTTATAGGTGCAATTGTCGGTGCTTTCATATCCGGCCCCATCGCTGATTGGATCATCAAGACTATGTCTAGGAGGAATAACGGTATATATGAGCCTGAGTTCCGACTCGTTCTTATCGTGATCACATTCTTGCTAGGAGGCATGTCATTCTTCGGGTTTGGTTGGTCGCTTCAACAACAGGATCCTTGGATCGCCCCTGTGATCTTCTATGGCTTGCAGTATTTCAGTGTGGGATTCATGAGCATTGCCGTGTATGGTTACCTCACGGACTGCCATCGCGACAAGGCTCCGGAAGCTTTTGCCGCGATCAACCTGAGAAATATCTACTCATTCGGCATGAACTACTTTATTTCAGATTGGATAAGCAGCCAGGGCCCGAAGGAAGTGTTCTTGATCATTGGTGGTATCCACGTCTTTATCTGCCTGTGCGCGATTCCGATGTACATCTTCGGAAAGAGATGCAGGAGTTGGACGAGTCGGGTGAAGCTATTTGAGAAGGTCATGCAGGCATGAGCATCTGAAATGAGTACGGAAGTGTGGAAGAGCTAAGTTGTAGACGATAGAGGGACACGCAAGATACGCAGTGTAGTGAAGTAGCAGTGTGCATGATTTATTAACAGATAGTTCAACACATTTATGAAGCATTGAGTTCTGCTTCTAATGCATCAGCCATGTCCCCTAGTGTGTTGAATTTCCAGTCGTAAATTTCCTTCTCCCTATTACCCATAATTGCCCCTGGCCTCTCGATCCACACTGATTTTATTGCCATGGTTCGTGCTGGATGATGATCATGAAACTGACTCTGTGCGGTCTGTAACACCTGTGCCTTTTCAACACCGAACTTTTCTTTCACGGCTTTGAGCATGTACTCAAAGTTCTTAGGGTTTGGCTTATAGGAGCCGACATCCTGGGCCGTGATCACCAGATCAAATGGGAATCCTTTTAGCGGGCCAGAATTGGTTAGACCAAACGAGACACGATCAATGTTGGAGAGCACAACTAGCTTGTAATGCTTAGCTAGTCGGTGCAACGCGTCGACAGTATCCGGGAATGCCGGCCAATCGCGTACGGAATTACCGAAAGCTCTCGACTCTTCTTCAGTTGGTGGTGCTAGTCCTAGCTTTTGCGCCACTCGCCCGTAAATCTTAGTTAAGAGCTGAGAGTACGGCATATCAGGAGTTTCTTGTTGCTGCTTGACCTCAAATTCGTGGTAGGTCTCTAGTAGTTGCAGGCGGGTGATGTCCGTGCGATTATTTGAATCGAGGAGAGGTTGGAGAGCTGACAATATGCCAGTTTCATAGTCTATCAAGGTGCCGTAGACATCGAAAGAGAGGAGGCGATAATCTTTCAAGTTTGCCATGGTAATTGTTGACTTGGCAATTATCTAGCTAATATGAGGATGAAAATGGGCAATTGAAGTTGCGGTTATGGTTTCTACGCCGTCTTGAACTTCTCGTTATATCCGCAGTCAAATAATCACACGATATTCCGATAAACTGAACAGCTTCAATCGGCGGGGCTGGGAGAATGACGTAGTTGACAAGAAGGGCGCGCCTTTAGTAGCATCACGAACTTCTTCGGTCGCCGGTGGGGTAATTATTTGGGTGGGTACGTATCGACGCCGATAGAAACTCAAAAACCGTTTCGGCATTGCTCCGAAAATCTCATGTAAATGGAAAGAACTTTCTTCGCAACTGCTCTTTCGGAGATTTCTATCGGATCCCTATCCGTCGCTACTTCTCCGATCATGTGATTATATCGGCTAGCTACCGCCACTGACATCAATTCCGACGGAGGTCTCCATTAGAAACGTTCTTTCCTCTTCTTTAATCGGAACACATCCGTCGGAACGATCCGTAATATCAACATTCAACACATATTCTACGGCGGAATAACACGACACCAATGGACACATCCTGATTCTATAATATCGCCATGAAAGCTGCGAGGTATTCCACCTCTCGGCAAAAGGCTTGTCAACAGTGTTCAGCAGCGAAGGCCAAGTGCGACCGCAAGGCAGGATGCTGTGCTAGATGTTCTTTACGTGGGTTATCATGTTCTTATCCTCAGGCTCAATCACCGGATAGATCCGAACAAAACACAAGAAATAATAGCGAAAGAGGGTTACACAACGCCTTTTCCACTCCGAACACTCTCTCTACACCCAGTGGTTTGATTCCAAGTCTCGAACGCGAGACACCTGCCGGGACCGACGAAACTCAGAATTCAATAGCCGATTTAACTCAAGCTATTACCTGCGCTAGCCCAACAAATGCATCCTCGGAGACATTCATAGAAGACCAGACTCTGGTCGGCGCAAGGCCCGACGCTACGAGCCGTTTGTCCAGAAGATTGGAATCCCTCGACTTTTCTGACCTTGAGCTCTTTAGCCCGATTAATGTGGACGATATAAGTAATCGCTGGTTGAATTCATACATTCCTGTCCCTGGGCAGAAGGTTAAAGATTATCCCGCTACTATCACGGCTTTCATTTACCGGATTCTAAATTCTTATGCTGCCACTGCCGTGCGTGGCCGTGGAGCCCCGCCATTCATACACTCTTCGCAGGTTTTACCAACTTCAACAAGACCACCACTTTCTACTTGCTTGAGTTTAGTTCGGATTTGCGAAAACCCCTTACCGGGCAGTGAGATCGTCGCATCCGACGTGCTAGGGAGAGAGATGAACAATCTCTATGAGCAAAATGCGATGTATGATGATGTGACTCAATTGGCAGCTTTTCAAGCATACCTGATTTACGCCATGGTACTATTTTTCAAGCTCAACCAAGTTTCAAATGCACCTCTCCGACAGGTAATGATGAATCTTCAGCAACTTGCATGTTCAAGTAGCCGAGGAGGGCTCATGTGCATGGCAGAACAACAACGCGCTCGCCCCAGATGGGAAGCTTGGATTGTTGCCGAATCAAAGCGCCGCACATTATTCACGATGTACCTTTTTGACAGCGTGCTTTCTGCTCAAGATGGTCTTCAAACGTTCCTTGGTACTGAACTACAGGGCCTTTTCTCTTCATCAAACAAAATTCTATGGAGGGCTCAATCGCGACTCGAGTGGGAAACGGCCTACAACATCCACCTAGCGGATTGGCCAGAGGGTGATTTTCGCATTGATGAGCTTTGGCCAATTCCAGCGGGCCTTGATGACTCTGAGATTGTCGAAAGACGCAGAAGGGTAGACCGGTGGCTTGAGGATGTTGACGAGTTCGGAACGATGCTCTATGCAGTCACTAGTTGCACACACGGTGGTTGATTTCGGAGCTAACCGATCGTCCGCCACGAAGAATGAGATCAACACCACCACCACCATAATGCAGTTGGCGGCGCTTATATATAGAACTAGGACTTCTCTAGTGCCTTCAATGCATCTTCTATGGAAATTACCCTCAAATTCATTTTCGCTAAAAGGGAATCCAACATCACTCGTGCATATTCCGGATGCTGGCTAGGCGGCAATTCCAACACATTATCCGAGATGACGAAAATATTATAGTCGAAGTCGAAAAGTCGATATACAGTACTCATAACGACGCCAGATAGACTCAATCCGGACTACGACGGTTTCTATTAGCCTGATTCACTGGAATGGGATTTCCGACATACCAAGATGACCGTATCGATATTCTGCGCCCTTAAGATTTGCTCAAGGCTGTTGCCCGCACCGGCATACCATCTCGTCTTCTGGAGCACGATATCTTTTTCGTCGGTGGTGAAGTTAGGCGCTATTTGCACCGCATCGGATTTTGCGGCGAAAGAGCCGAAGCCCTCAAGAAGTTTGCCGAAAGGAGCGGTTTTTGCTAGCTCGGGTTCGCCAGAGTTGAAGAAGAGAGTGGTGAAAATGGTTAGAGGTCGGGATTCCTTCTTGTGCACAGCATCATTCCAGCGAGAACAATTAGAAATGAATTCCCGTCCGTTGGTTGTATCCTTTACGGCGTTTATGAGTACTGTCATCAAGTCCAAGTTGAGAACGGCATAATTCTTGCCGAAGGTCAAAGTTTCTTCGACTTCTTGGTGCGTGGTAACCATTGTGGGAGCTGTGGCGACTAGGATTCAAACGAACTGCTCTTCCAATCTTCTAATTCTAACGATGGTCTTGCATTCGTATCTGCAATACGAAAATGTTTGGGTTGCTAATTATCGTTACCCCTTGCTGACTCTCAAATCCGGTGACATAGCGGAGTTCCGAATTCGACGGGCTACAGCACCCTGTAATTAGGGCGGGTCGCCCCCGGAGCTCAGCTCTCAACTCCGCTAAATTTCACATTACTCAACTCCGGCCGGGAACAGTGAAACTATATGAAAGACAACGTACTCCCTTACATCAGTCTATATCCAGCTATCATAGTCAAACTCGTAGAATAATTATTTCAACTCAAGATAAAAATGCCCACCGAGGAAGAAAACGCAGGAAATCAAAATGCCAAACCATCGGAATCACCACCGACACCAGAAGAACCTTACAGTATTTTCGATAAGAGGCAGAAAGCCTTGATCATTCTCATTGTATCCACTGCTGCAACTTGTAAGTCCACACCCATAGCAAAAATATTCACATGCCTGACCAGCTCATATAAACAGTCTCCGCTTTCGCCTCAAATATTTATTTTCCTGCGCTTCCTACCATTGCGCAAGATCTTGATGTCTCGGTAGAACTTGTCAACCTCACAGTAACGTCATACCTTATTTTTCAAGGTATTGCGCCTAGTCTTTGGGGTCCCATATCGGACGTCAGGGGACGCCGTGTTGCCTACTGCTGCACATTCTTAGTATTCCTAGGCGCATGTATCGGCCTTGCGGAAGCGAAGAACTATGCTACTTTGATTGTGCTGCGATGCCTACAAAGTACCGGGAGCGCAAGCACAATTGCTATCGGATCCGGCGTCATCGGAGATATCACCACCCGTGCTGATCGTGGAGGGTACATGGGAATTTTCCAAGCCGGATTGCTTGTTCCTCTCGCAATTGGTCCGGTCATCGGGGGTGCCTTAGCAGGATCTTTGGGATGGAGGGCAATATTCTGGTTTTTGACTATTTACAGCGCCGTCTTCCTGGTTCTTTTGATCTTCCTTCTTCCCGAAACTTTGAGGTCTATTGTTGCGAACGGATGCAGAACGCCCAAGAATCCAATCGGCAGCTATCCTCTACGCACCTATCAAAAGACCACTAAAGTACACTGGAATCCGGAAGCCTCTACATCACAACCTGCCGCGAGAAAGCGCATAGATGTCACTGGGCCGTTTCGTATCCTCATTAGCAAATACGCAGCGCCAATTATCCTCTTTCTAGCCATTTACTATGCAGTCTGGCAAATGAGCATCACGGCCATGTCCTCCCTTTTCGCAGACCGTTACGGTCTCAATGAAACCCAAATTGGTCTAACATTCATTGCCAATGGTGCGGGATCTATGATAGGCACACTCATCACAGGCAAGATACTTGACATTGACTATCGTCGCGTTAAGGTTGCACACGAAGCTCAGGAAACTCGAACGATCCAAACGGAACTTGAAGCAGGTGGCAGCCCAGCTCGGTCTACTATAAACTCAGAGGACAACTTTCCCCTAGAAAAAGCGCGCCTTCGGCTTATCCCGCTTTTCTCCTGTTTTCAGTGCCTATCTATTATTCTATTCGGTTGGACGATTCAGTATCCCGACCGCGTTCACATCGCCGTACCCATCGTGTCCACATTTATTACAGGCTGGACCGCTGTGTCGACCCAGTCTGCCGTCATGACTTATTTAGTGGATATCTTCTCTGACCGGAGTGCTGCGGCGAGCGCAAGTCTGAACCTCGCCAGATGCTTGTTCGCTGCTGGTGGTACAAGCTTCATTATGCCTATGGTGAATGGTATTGGTGTCGGGTTAGCTTTCACGATTTGCGCCATCGTTCAAGCTGTCGCGCTTTTGGGTGTGGCCGTCCAATGGAGATTTGCTGGTGCATGGAGGGAAGCGGAAAGGGTTAAAAGTCAAGCAAGCCAGGAAAGCCAGGGCTAGACAGCGAGCAAGAAAAACAAAACACTACTGGCAACCTCATCAAGAGGGGGAATATAAAACTCGGGGTTCTATCATACTCCTTTTTAATAATACTTTAGAATTCACTATTGGTCGGCGATTGTATGAGTATTATAGAATTAAGTAATGCTAGTGAAGGAATATGGAATAAAATAATGAGCGCCGGCGCGTCGTCGTCTCCGGTTCTAACGACAAAGTTACATTCCCTCTTTTCTATTACCCCCCGAACGTATACCCAAGTTACCATACCCATCCTGAAAACGCCAACCCGTCGTCGCTATGAGCTTCGAAAAGTTGAAAAATACCCGGCGAAATGCCTATCATTCATTTCCCATTTCCGCTGCTCTTCGCGAAAATATCATCAAACGCCTTGATTTGGTCTCGCGCTTTATCCTCGCGACTCTTCGTACTGTCGCTTGACTTTGAGAACCCAGAGCAACGTTCGGTGACAGTCGCATCAGCGCGGAGGTATTGCTGAAGCATGTATGACTGGGTGGATTGTGATTGACTAAAATTCCTATCAGTTGAGGAATATCCAATGAACTTTCCTCGGTCGTGGATACATACCCATTACCTCCCATGGAAGTGTCGTAGTTGGTTGTGTTGGAAGACATAGTAGTCTAAGTCGTATAGACAAGTACGATATCGGCTTGCAGTGTCAAGTTTGAGGCTTTAATAGCAGATGAATGTAGATGAGATATCAAGTAGATTGGTAGATTGATATTGATCTTGGGAATGAACATTCAATTCTCTTGGAAGTCATCGTCTTAATATACACCTTCGAACTGCCCGCCCATCGACAGAAAGAATTCAAATCGACTTGAGACGAGACTTTCTGCATATCATACCTGATAATTCCCCCATCATAGCTAAAATCCAAATCAGAAGCTGAATGAAACCTGGTGTTTCGTTGAGCCGCTTTCAGATTTTGGCTTCGACCTTAATGTCCGCGGCGACGGAAGTCAAAATAGTACCCCAAACTTCCACCAGCGCCGGGCTTGTGTCACCGGGTGATTTTCTGCCTAACAGACTCGTATAATTCATAATTGACTACACAGCCACTTCATGTATCAACATGAAATTTAAGGCGCAGATTTCTAATTCTGGGAGACAGGAAATGATGGTTGACAGAATCTGAAATAAAATCTGATCCAAAACCTGCGATTAGTACCAAGGTACCCAAGAGGGAGCCTGTAAAAACAAAACCTGAAAAGAAAATCTGACGACAAAATCGGGGATATTTTATTCTTGTAAACGGTCGAAAATGACTACCTAATTCCCTGTCTTCTTGGAAATCATTATATAAAAGCATATATAACTCTCATAATGCAGATATTGAAGTAATGCAAAGAAGCAGTACATACTCCCGTCCGGGTTCTCTGCGACGGTAAGCTGACACGGTCGAGATTTCTCTCCTCCTATGACGGGGGAGGCGCTCGGTCCGCCTATTATCTTTCCTGTTTCAGCTCTTCCCTTGAGTGAAAAGCGCAGAATTCGGCCATTCCATTCCCCATCCACTACACACTCCGCATCCCTCAGCTATGGCGGCAACTGACATATTGATCGGATATGCAGTTTCTGCATCAATCTTCTATGTAAGGAACATAATATTTTTAAATCCTACTAGTCCTACGCTGCTAATAAATCGATTTCATAGGTTATCGTCTCGGTAAGCTATCGCTTACTGCTTCATCCACTCCGCAAATACCCTGGGCCTTTCATCGCCAAGTTGTCAGATGCGTATGAAGGTTACTTTGCAGCGGCTCGCCGGTTACACTTAAAAACATACCAAGATCATATCAAGTACGGTACGATTAAGTGGTGAATCCTATTGATAAGAATGAGTAAGTTATTAATAAGTCATATAGGTCCAATTGTAAGGCACGGTCCGAATAAGCTGCTGTTCAATAGTGTTACAGCTCTACGAGGTGTGTTCTAGTTAAAGAAAACATTAACACGTCAAAACTCAAACAAAAACAGATATCTACCAGAACGATCGTGTTGTTAAAGCTTCCATCTACCGGGCTTCGCAAGTCCAACCCGACAAGTACAACGTATTCAACTCTAGAGATAAGAGTATACATAGAACCAAGAGGAGACTAGTGGGCCAGGCGCTCTCTGATCATTCACTTCGGCAATTTGAACCTACATTGCTAGAAGAGGTTGACAAGTTTCTGAATGTGTTACTACGAGCATCGAAGAACTCGAGCCCAGTTAATATGACACCCACCAGTCGCCATCTCGGATTGGATGCTATCGGGCAGCTAGGCTTCGGATACGACCTCAAGATGCAATCTGAAGAGGAAAATCGCTTCTTGATGAATGGATTGGTGCTTGCTGGGATGCGTATCAATACTTGCATGAGTTTCCCACTGCTCATACATCTCCGGTTGGACCTTCTTGCTTCACTTATTCCTAATAGCATTCGAACCCGTCTCCTAGCCGTCGTAGAGAAGATGATTGCCACGCGCCTTGCTCAGCCGGTGGATGCGAAACATGACCTTCTATCTTTCATTGTCCCGAAGCTGGAGACCGACTTCAAGGATGTTAAAAAGGGCGATCTTTGGCCGGAAGCCGTGTTTTTCTTTGGAGCCGGTACGCATTCGCCCCCCTTTTACATCCCCTTCGATTCATATTCACATTTTATAGGTGGCGATACTACGGCTACTGCCATGGCTGGCGCATTCTTTTATTTGTCGCGCAATCTGGACTGTTACGAAAAGCTTGCTGCGGAGGTCAGGTCTACTTTCGCATCAGCCGACGAAATCCGAAGCGGCCGGCAACTCGCAAGCTGCCGATATCTTCGGGCGTGCATCGACGAGGCATTGCGCATGTCTTCACCCGTTTCTGCCACTCCATGGCGCGAAAAAGACCCCAAGGACGAACAGAGTCAGCCGCTAGTGATAGACGGCCAGACAATCCCTCAGGGTACATTAGTGGGGGTAAATATTTACAGTCTTCATCATAATGAGGAATATTTCCCTAATCCCTTCAAATATCAACCTGGGAGATGGCTCGTGGAAGATCATAACGCGAAAGCGGCTTTTAACCCCTTTTCAACTGGGCCTCGTGTATGCGCGGGCAAGTCCCTAGCCTACACCGAGCTCAGTCTTGTTTTGGCGAAAACGTTGTGGTATTTTGATTTTGAGCCAGCGCCAGGGCAATTGGGTAAGATCGGAGAAGGGACTCGTGGAAGAACGGATGGGAGAGGGAGGAAGGACGAATTTCAACTTTATGATATTTTTGGTTCATATCATGATGGACCTTATTTGGTATTTAGATCTAGAGCTCAGTACCACCAGGAATTGGATACGAACGGTTTTAATTGAAAATTATTTCATGACGAAATCATCAATGTTTCATATCAAATTCTACAAAAACCATGAACATGAGACTATTTACCAACTCAAGATCACAGCTTAGAATGAACTTCTGATTTTGAACCAATACAAGCTTCATTCAATTGCCATAAGTCTATTTACTTCAGTCCCGAAATTTCGGAGTTTGAGCTTCATAATTTCCTATCTCAGCAATGCTTATCTCCTTGTGCGAATAGGCGACGCTTCAATGGACTCTCGGGGTTCAGACGCCAGTGGACAGGGGCAGATTGAATTACGACGGGTTCGAGGGGTTCCCCATATCTTACAGGACCGGGTTTCGATCGTAGCGCTAAGCCATTCACCAAGACATGGAGATAATTCTCTCGGCACCATGGTAAAACCGAATGGTCGCTTCAATTTCGTATAAAGATATCGTTATGTAGTTGTTTTTACGGATATCATATGGGATTTACGTACTTGCATATTAAAAACTCGTTGGTTGTTGACTTAAGTGTCTCAAAATGGTCAAATCGAACGAAGTCGTCAAGGCCAATGAGCACTTCGCCAGCCAGCGCGTCGAGGGCGTTGTTTGCGTATTCGCTGGAGCAACAAATGGAATTGGTGCGCGAACACTCGAACGTTCGGTATCTCTATTCCAGAGTGCGACATTTTACATACTAGGACGTTCTTCTGCGCGCTTCGAGCGAGATCAGCGCCCGGTCTTAGACTCACTAAAGACCCCGGGGTGTCGCATCGTATTTATCGAAACTGAGGTTTCGCTGATTGCTGCTGTTGATGCGGCGAGTAGCCAGATCGCAGCGGCAGAGTCAAAGGTGGATTACTTATTCATGAGTATGGGCACGGGCGTACCTTTTGGAGGAGCTGAATGTATGTCTCTATTCTCTTGTTACCTATCCATTCCTAGTTCTAATTACTTGCAGATACCTCAGAGGGCCTCGAAGTATGCTTCGCATTATCATATTACTCACGCGCACGGCTCCTATCAAACTTACTCCCACTCCTCCGCCAAGCACCAAACCCGCGTGTCCTCTGTGTCCTAAACGGCGGTCGGGAAAAACTGATTGACGAAACAGACCTTGGGCTCGAAAAGCCGGGGGCTTGGTCTGTAAGGGGCGCCATCAAGCACAACACAGTCCTCATGAGCATAGCGCTAGATCGATTCGCCGCCGACGAGGGCAATTCGCACATCACATTCCTGCACAATTTCCCAGGTTTGGTGCGAACCGATAATCCGCGGAAGAAAAATCCGACCGGCTTATTAGGACTTTTGCTTCGGTTCGTCAATAAGTTCATTGTGACATTTGCGCAGTTCTTAGTTGGTATGTCGTCAAAAGAAGCGGGTGAGAGACAAGCATATCACTTGACAAGCAACACGTATGGTCCTGGATCGTGGCGCATTTCCTTGAAGGGTGATGTTGTGCCCGATAATGCGGCACTAAAGCATTATAGGGAAGCTGGCTGGATGGATAAATTTTGGGAGTTCACGGTGCGTACCTGGGATAGGGCATTAGCTCAGAGTAGTGGTGGTGTGTCAAAGTAGAGAGAGGGAGGTTTACATATTTGGAGAACCAGAATTACCCCGTTGTTTCTTTCTTGTTCTTACGTCCTCCCTTTCGTACTCTTTCGGTACCACTCATCGTCTTGCTCCGGACGTGGTAAAATGCATCCCACTTTCAATGGCTCCTCTCTCTTCCCAGCATTATATGCGTCAAAGATCGAATAACGGTTTCAATTGTATGCCAGATACATCTCATCCTCATTAATCGTAGTCCGTTGTTCTGTTTCTCCAGAAGACGCCTCATTGTTGCTGTGAGCCCAAAAATTGGCGTTGTGCATCTCCTCGCGAATCCGTACCCAGGCCATCCAGCGGCAAAGGCCGCAAGGCTCATGAGAAGGCTTCCTCCTTATATCATTGTACAGGCCATCGGTACACTTTCCATGGGCGGCAGCTAAGTCCCCAGTCGCGCGACTTGCATTCGTGGCCTCGTCGCAAGGACGTTGATAAATGATATGTGTATACATGGTCTTCGCGCACCCTGGGCACATTATGTAAAAGATAAGATCGGTGCACATGTTGCTGGATTTTCGAAGGACATCCAATTTGCTGGTAACAAGGTGACGTGGTACCCGTAATCCCTAAATGTGAATGTGTAGATGGAAGCCTGCGTATTGTACGAGGACGAGAATCCGTTTACCGTTTACGTGTGACTGAGTCTATATCGGTTGGTTCTGATCTGGCTTCCCTGCGAATCTATGGGAGATGAGACTCGCAGTAGGCTGTTAGATGCTTATTATCAATAAGCTTCGATGAAAAATAAGTAATGTTGCCGTGTAACGAATAATTTATATGAAACTACAGTAGATGCGTATTTAAATTGACGATGTTGGTGCATAACGGGACGAGGTGAACTCAAGGAACGACATAGAACAAACAAACCCACGTTAGACCATATTGTACTACTCGCTTCCAGAACTATTGCGAACCAACAAGGCGATTATTCTCACGACAAGGAGATTGGAAACCTTGTTATTTGCAAGACAATACGACAGAAACAACCGCTAGCGCGTTATTGTCCGGACGGGACATGTCCATTCGCAAGCATAAACAGCTTGGTTTATCGTAAATGGAGCTTATGAACGCCTGTGGTTAGTATTATGTAAAGAGTAGCTTCGTAATTTTTTGGAATTTCGAAAATCTATATCCTGGATAAGTCGCTAATGCTAATCTCTAATGCTATCACGTATGCAAGGATATATACAACACATACCTAGATGTTGCCAATTCTAGTGACCTGCAGCGCTGTAGATGTTATCATATACAGTGGCAAGCCAGCCTTCGACGGGACCGGCTCTTGCCACTATTCCCAATCCACCAGCAGCCCATAATGCTGCAACAGTCACAGCGACACCTTGGACGCCCCACCAGGCCCGGCGGCGACTCCTGCGCAGCCGCTTGTCGATGGTGGTCTTCTTCCAATTGGCGGGTGGGGTGAGATTGAACCACTTAGCCCAACCCCAAACCATATGACCTACGCCAACGGATAATAAGAGCGAATATGCGATCCATGGAGGTAGTGGGTGACGCGCAAAGCCGTGTGAAACGAATTGCAGCCCAATATTGGAGCTATCTCCATCAACGACGAGAGGAAGAACACGATTCATACCCACATGGGAAGCAAGTAGTCCTACGAAGAGATACCCAGAAGCGGAAATGTAGCTCAAGGGTGGCCATATATGTTTGTAGGAGAAAGACGAGGCGTTTGGATGGTTAACAGGCCACACGCCAGGAGTCGCGCCGCCGTATCTCGTCAAGTTTTGCCGCCGCCGGAGTAATCGTATAGCAACGCCGGAGGTAATATGAGCGACAACGGGGAGAGTGATTAACAAAGGTTCGGTGAAGCGAGTCTGGTAAAGTTCGCGTGCCATAAGAAGAAAAGGTTCGGAGTATGGCACGGATTGGTATACGAGAGGAAATATAGAAGTATTGGCGATATGTAGACCGGCGAAGAAGGAGAATGTGTAGGAAGAGTAACGTTGAATTCGTGATACTGACATCGGTGGTTAGTAAAGCCAGCGATCTGATTGGTGGTGGTGGGGAGGGAAGAAAAAAAAAAATAGCAATCATACAGTAGAATATTGGACCACGACCACTACCACTAAGACCCAAAGTAGAAGTAGAAGTTGATGATGTTGATGTTGATTTTAAAGTACGGCTTGAGGTTTGCGATGCATCATCTTCTGGTAAAGGCGGAAGCTCTTTGTCGTAGATTGACGCATTATCTATAGGAGAGGGATCCAGCTGGAGCAAGGATACTAATGTCTCTTCCGATGCCTTTGGATGTAAGGTACGATGATCGGGCGCCATTGGCCTCCGATTTTTGTTTGTCGCAGTGTAGAATTCGAGGTCAGGTAAGAATATGAAGATATTTTTTTTTGGAAATTGAAGTTGAAATTGGGAAGTTTCGAGTCGTCAAGTCGTCATGCTAAAAAGTTGAAGGTTTGGGCGACAAGGTAAGTACTGCGCTGGCGTCGGCGTTTGACGTCAAAACTTTAGCTGCACCTGCACCTGCACCTACACCTGTATGTGCCCCGCGATAGCTCGAAGCTTCCTGTTCTCTCTTCTACAACACATTTTCGATTTAACATCGAAACTCAATTTCCAAGCTTTAGCGTTAGAGCATAATCTTCGATTTTAATCTCCGCCGAACAGTTCCTCCAATTAGTTTTCATAAGCTCAATACGTCGTCATAACCGTCAATATGCCTCCGGTAAGTAATCCAAGCTCCAATCGAGCAGCTTTCGCAGCCATGGCTACCACCTACATGTAGGCAGGTAGGCAGGTAGGCACAGCATCTAATATTTCCAAAACGAATAGCGACACCAGACGTTACCTCCCGCCCAAACATCTTCGGCGCGCGCCGCCCTACAATCCTTCTACTGCGAATTATGTTCCAAGGGTTACTCGCGAATGAACGATTACGAAGCACACCTAGGCAGCTACGACCATAGCCATCGTCAGCGTATGAAGGACATGAAGCAGATGGTAAAAGACCCGACAGCAGGAGCGCGTGCGCGAAAAGCCGAAGCAAAAGCAGACGGTCTTATCAGCATCAAACTCGGTGGTGAGCCGAACCCCAGTGGTACGAGCGGTGGTAGCGGAGGGTTCAAGAAGGGAGGGTTTAAAAAGTCTGGGTTCAAGAGTGCGTTTACGCCCATCGGCGGAGCACCAAATGACGAGAACAAAGCAAAAGAGGCGGACGCATACAATACAAATAATAGTAAGGAAGAGAAGCCGATATTGAAAGACCTAAACGCAGAAAGCGACACGGAAGACGAAGGATACGAAGTCTACAATCCACGATTTCCTACCGATTGAAGCGTTTCCGAAGAATATTAATTGCAAATGAAGAGACGGACCATAGATGGCGCGTCGCAACAATGTACACAACGTAAGATCCGCCATCAGATACCTAGGTATATAACCTTTCGCATCTGGCCTTATAAGAGGACGAACCAGTCGAACTATCGCGTCGTGGGATTAGGTCTACCCTACTGCTGTACGATCCAGTTGCTGGGTCATCACGCGTCACGGCTAAATATTGCAGAAACGTATTCATCGGCAACGTTAGCAAGATTCCAAGCTTGCGAGTCACAGGAGTAGTCACTGACGAGCTTATCACCATCCATAAAAGCTCCTCTGGAGGTCGAATGAAATGAAATAATTCGTAATTAGATATTGATGGAAATGATCACATCGCAGCACAGATCGAACGTAAAGGGTTTACAACTCGTAAAATAATTGCATCTTAAAAATACTCCTTTGATAGTTACATTGTCGCCTTGCCTGTTTCCAGCGTCGTATCAATTCAAATCGAAAAATCGGGCTCCCATCCGCATCACTTCAATAGCTGCTAATACATCTTCCTCGCCTCGTTCCTCCAGGGATCGACGGTGACGAAAATGAGTTCTCGAAGAGATGGGGTTCCAAAAATTCCCATCCCGGCCGAAGCCAAGACGGAGCGGTCAGTAAATAGTTTTCAACTAGCAAAAACACGCACTCGGATTGCTCCTCACTGTGACGCGTAAAGCCCGTGCACTAAGATGAGGAAGAAAAGAGAAGAAAAGGTGTAAAATTTAGGCCGGCAGCCAGCTGTTAAGTATTATTGCAAAGGCGGTGTGCAGAATCAGCCAGAATTCTGCCGTGTGGGGCCCTGCTGCCTAAGGTTTTTTACACTGTACCTGCCTTTGTATTTTTCACAACGAAATTCTTTGTCGGGACCAATCATTGAATTCCATTTTGAATAAGGGACCCACCCATCTACAAACATTGTTGCTTATTCATATTTCTTGAGAAAGGTGTACATGATATTTCATTGGACTAATTAGGGTACCAACAGCAATGTTTTACCAGAAAGAAATCATAGCAAGGGATTTGATGGGCAAGCACTTTCTCAGCAGCGAATTGATTTACGTAACTCATCTAAAATTATACTTTTTCCTCGCCTGCTCTTCGATAAATGACGGCCATACATAATATAGGTGATGTGCGATACCATAAGGAAACCATGGTACTACAACGTTCCCTCTCACTCGTCGATCCACCGAGTCCATACATCTTTTCGCGACATAATCTAGTCCAAGTCCTCGTTTGTTTGGGCCTGCTTCACGGGTCGACGGATCTGCATCAACAGCCGAGGCACGGAAGTTTCCCTCGATAGTCGCTGGTAGTACAAACGTAAAAGCAATCTTCGGATGTTCAATCGCCAAGGATTGGAACAAGAGTAATGACGAAGCCTTCGTAGCTCCGTAAAGCGCACGGGTTGGTGCCGGAACCACAGCAGCGACAGATGATATTAATAAGATAGACGGTGAAATTGAACTGCGTGTGAGCATGGGGACGAAAGTCAACGCCGCGACCAGAGGTCCGTAGACATTTCCTTGTGTTGCGCGTGTGGCAATATCCAAGGCGTTTTGTATACCAGTTTCGCTTGCGTCACCATCCTTTCCGGGCTCGACACCAGCGAGACTCATCACAGGCTGCACGGCAGAGACACCAGCACAAACATAGAGCGAATCCAAACCACCCCACTTCATTTCTATCTCCTCTCTCACACTGCACATATCTCGAGCATTGCTGAAATCAGCCGCTACCCAAAAACAGTTCTTCCCGCACTCCGTAGCTAATTCGGATAGCTGTTCCTTGCGACGAGCAACAATGCACACCTTGGCGCCACGGGCTGCATAATGCTTTGCTACGCTCCGCCCAAGTCCGCTAGAAGCTCCTATAACTAGAACACGCTCTTCAGTAGGACGGATGTTTTTCCGTCTCCTTGGGGTTCGGGGGACGCGCGACACGAAATAGAGAGTAGTGGCTAAGGCGAGAATTGCTGTCCCTGCCAGAGGCACAGAGTCGAGCGGCGAAGTCCAGGTTGACATGCTTCAACGAGCTAAAGGATTTATTTGGGTGGGTCCCAGGGGAATGTAATTGGTGGGTTATCTCCCAGTATACGTCCTCTTTTGCTGTCGGGTTGGAGATGCTAGCGATCATAAAATCTAGAGCTTTAAACAGCTATCGAAGCTTATCCGTGAAGGTTTCGATCACTTAAAAAGGTTTACGCTCTACCTAAATAGGTGCCTACCTACCCAGGTGTCCCCACATCTAGGGATATCGCGCCTTCAGCTATGGAGGGGCGATGGCGGGGGTCTTCTAGCAGCTATCTAGGCAGCTACACCCATTGTATCATACCTGCTAGATTATGTACTGTACCTACCTAAATCTTCCCCACTTACACCTTCAATCTTCTGTTCTCATCGACAACAACATTGAAATCTGACGACAACGACAAATACGTCCAACTTCAGTTTCTAATCTCAATCCTGCTTGTAATAGCAGCAATTCCACACCACTAAAATTCTTTCGAACATACACACTTACAGCCCGATTCTATAATCGCTTTCAATCATGCCCTTATTACATCTCCCCAGTGAGCTACTACTACAAATAATGGGACATCTTCGCGATTCCCAAGATGTTGAATCCCTTCGGTCCGCCGCGCGTACGTGTCAGATACTTCGCGGAGCGGCAGAGGTGTATCTGTATTCCACCGCTGAATTCACCACTTTATCACGCCTATATCGATTCTCGGATGCTATCCGCGCCCAACCCAAGAGGAAGGACTACCTACAAGATCTTAAGTTATTATATTCTACTCGTAGATATAATCCTGGCGAAGGACCCTCTCCGCCTGATCTTACCTCGCTCCCGAACTTGGTTACTTTCGTTTCTGAGAGCCCCGAATGCCAACCTATGTCAACTAAAGGAACCCATTGGAATCAATTTATGGATTCTTATATGCGCGCGTTTGAGCAGGCATCCCTTCTAAATGATTCGCTTCAGATGTCAAAGCCTCTCAAAAATCTGAGATCTAGTACGTCTTATACTTCGTTATACATACAAAATCATTCAAGATCACTAATACGCATAGTTACCCTTCATTGGTCATCGTCCACTGACCGTTATTGGGACATAACCCCTGCATGTGCCCTCTTCCTACTACCCCAGCTCGACTTTCTTGAAATATCATGTGCAAGAGTCGGGCAAGTGCCACTCAAATGGGATGCGGGTCAACTCGAACAATTCCGTGGCCAAACTCGATTGAGGACCTTGACGTTCACCGAATGCGTTGTTTCTGTTGAAGCTCTACATACAATTCTGTCGTTCCCAAGAGCATTAACACGTCTTGCTCTATGCGAAAAATACTACCATAACCTAGAAATAGGAGACCGGTTTGCGATCGACTATCCCGGAGAACTCAACCGTGCACTAGCTCAACAAGCTGGGAGCCTCGAACATCTCCAACTCTTCCGTAACGACTCGTATTCGGGAAACGCAGGCACCTTAGCTCTCTCTCTTTCGAACTTTTCGGCACTTTTGTATCTTCAACTTGGTCCATTCCTACGACCGCGCCCCCACGACACCGATCCCTTCGCCTACACCATAGAGGCGCCAGTACCCCCAGCATTGACGACACTACGCCTTGACGAGTATATGATTTTTATGTTAGAAGATCGGCGTACCGAAAAAGTTCTCTCAGACTTGTTAGTTAGCGACCTATTGGTCAATGCCGAAACTCGTCAAAAACTGTTCACACTTGATGTCTCACTTCAGCACCTTCCCCGGATCGTAGCTCGCGGTCGGTTCCATGGCCAGGACGCGCGACCAATAGTCAGGAAGCTTGTGAGCGACTTCGAAAAGCGATTCCAGCAGTGCCAAGAGGCTTCGCTACGTTCTCACCTTGGAACAAGCGCCGAAACAAATTCCGAACAGCCATTCGAGAACCGGTTTTCTTCGCACTTGCGGGTGCTTACGAATAAGCCGCGGCATTTGATACCACCATTCCTTCATAATGAAGGGCTACCGCGATATATCGTTCGGTACGATTCGGCATACCCAGACAGATTTCTTACTGATCCTTACGTCGCCGATCCCATTCCTCCCGATAGAGACACTAGCAGTAGTGACGACGACGACGATGACGACATGGATGTCGCTTTCACCGATGCCGACCCTCTTGCTTAAATCTCCCTCTACAACATGATGTTGGGCTTATGGTGGCGTACTGACGGTTATGTGACTAAATATCAACCCTGTAAACTATTAACATGTTCCACAAGCTAAAAGCCAGGCGCATTCTTGCAATCCACAGGACAACAAAACTGGTTCTAGTTCCATTTAGATATCTAACGACGAGCTCTGCAAACTATTTATACCCGGAGAGATGCACCATTAACGTCGGGATTAGCTCGCCTTTTTAGACGCATTCTCGCCCCAAGGATGAGAAATAATGCGTCTATAATTCTACTAGCGAAAAAGTATCCAGAACAATACAAATTTCGAACTTTTCTACAATCCCCTCTAGAGTTGATTGATTCCTCTATGGAGACATGGCAATGGGCCAAATGCTACTTTCTTGGTTTAACCCATGAGAAGTTCTTCACGCTCGCTTCCTTCAAGTTCTAGCTGCTAAATATTTAGATATGCATCCAATCCCGCCCTCACTCCTCATGTTGAGCGCCCGGTTTCTCAATTGCAGCGAGTCTACGAATGCTTTTATATCCTCGGAATTTCCTCGCGGGGAGTTTTTCTTCGAACTATTCACAAGAAAATATCAGTCCAATGTTTTCACTCGATCAAACTGATTACGGAGGCAACACTTACCATTTCGTCGATTTCTTCCAATGTTCGTCCTGCATATCATATGATTAGCGATCCGCATTTGACACAAGACATCCACACGCATCAAACAGATGGCAGATAGCCAAAACTCAAGAGCTTGATATGATTTACCTTGAACTTCGGGTAAGAAGAAGTATACCCATATTCCGGCCACAATGGAACTGGGGAACCAGATATAACCGTATCTCGGGCCCCAGTTTAGAGAGTCCGGGTTGATAAAATCTATAACACTCGACATTAGCTTCAAGAACTGGAAGATTTGCTTCAGGAAAAGTCGGCTCAGTGTACCAATCTAACTTACAGGGTGCGGTAAACGTAGTAAGCCATGCGGCAAAAAATGCCACCGCCGCTGCTAAGCCGAACGTATAGCTACGGAGTCGTTGAGACGGAAGCTCTCCACCGCTCAACCACGCGTAAGTCGCAACCATTCCCTGTGAAATTATCGTCAGTACCAAGTGGTTGCATCAATAAAAAGGGCTTCTCACATTATAGCTCATCATGTAAAGGCATGACAGGGCCACAAGTACCTCGCCAGTAGCTTTTGCGCCAGGGTTCTTGTCGTACACAATGGCAACAATCAACTGAAGAATACCACATATACCAAGACCGCTCATTAGAAGTACACGGCGACGGCCATAGCGCACTACGATCAAGGAATTTAGGACGATGGCGAACAGTCCAATTGCGCTTAGAACACATCCCATCGCGAAAGGGTTCGCTACCTTGGCCATTGTAAAGAAGTATGCCTTGTATGCTAGTAATGATCGGTGTTAGTGGCGACCCAAAGGATATAAGTTGGAGAAAAAATCTTACAGATGATGAACATGGATCCTGTGGCAGCTTGCAAAGTCACACCACAGACGGCGAGAATTGTACGTCTCCTGTCGATAGGGTTCTTGAACATATCCAATACGCTGACCTGACTACCCATTTCACGCTCCTTATCAATCGCTGCTTTTATTTCCGCGACTTCAATATCGACTGGAGTGCCGGTCGGTCTAAGCCACGCCAAAGCCTTCTGGCCTTCTTCGATCCGGTCTTGTAAAATTAACCAACGAGGAGATTCAGGTATGAAGAAAAGGCCTATCGTTAGGAAAAGTGGTACGATATAAATGATTCCTAATGGAATCAGATAAGCCGATCGGTCTGGTCGTGATGCAGTTGCCCAATCCACAATGGTGCCAATCAGTGTACCCTAACGAACCAAATCAGAACTCTTTCTTTAGAAAATGTCAGCTAGAGATGCGGCTAACTTACGAATGATGTGCAGAATTGGAACGCAGATAGGAAGAGTCCACGATACTTGGCGGGGCTACTCTCCTGGATGAAGAGTTGAGAGAAAGTCATGAAGTACCCATTGGCCAATCCGTTCAATAGGCGTCCGACATACAATGCGTTGATATCGGTAGTAGTCATCATGATAACATTGGATACAACACAACCTAGGCAAGCCATCCATAAACAAGCCTTGCGACCAAACTTGGCAGCTACCAAACCTGCTGTCGCAGAGCTGACGAAGGCGCCGAGAGTCATTAACGACGTGATAAGCTGCTGTCGTACTGTCGAAATATTCCACCCGATTGAGGTATTCGGAGCTGGATGGCCATAAATCTGTTCAAGTCTCGTTAGCGAATGTTGAATTACGATACATTCACGATGATCTATATAATAGACGTACTTTCAGGAACCCCGGCATTGCCTGCAGACCTCCTATCAATCCAAAGTCAACACCATATTGGAATGGCGATAAAACCATGAGGCCGCATGCTACGAAGCATCGCCAATGGGCGCGAATCGTTTCATCGTCTTTAATCGCCATTTTCCTTTCCCCGGCGCGACGTACGTATGGAAAGCTATGGCGTGCTGAGTACTGGATAGAAAATTCTAGCTGAGACGATGCGACACCCAGCTACCATAATGAACAGATACGATGTAGTATTTACGTTCGCACGAGAGGATGGCAACCCTGCAATTGCCGATGAATCTAGGGCCTCTCCAAGGATGCCAAGGAATACTCATATCGTTAGCTAGTCCGCTACCCCATTACCCCAGGATTGGGGACAGCGAGGGCCACGGCCGGTAATACGGATTACACAGCGAAGCTCTCCACACTCTCCACATAGTAGATAGGGGGTAACCTGGTAATCTAGACCCATTCAGGCTGTTGTGGTGTTTCAATATTACCGCTTTTGAGAAGGCCCTAACTTATCCGCGCTGGCGATTGGGTACCGGGGAGAGTAGCGGCTCAACCTAGTAGGTACGACCTGCGGGGTTCCTCGTTGCTTAGGGGTCCAGGCGTAGTTATTAGAACGTATATAGAATAGACTAAGGGAGTTTTGGGATAACTAGTTGATCGTAGTTCTTGTTTTACATACCTTGGTATACGGGATATGACTTTGTAGAAACTACCTAGGTAGGAGGCTCTATCGCTAAGTAGTAGTGCGGCTCTGGGAGCTGGATAATTGGTATTCACATGGCAACCTTTCTTTATTATATATTCTAGTCCCATATACGATTGTGTAGTCGGGGAATTCGCGTTGCCATTTCGAAAGCTTTATAGAGATATGAGTTATTGCAGTTGTTGAGCATATGACGGTATCTAAGAAGGAGCATTGGCGTTAACGTGAATGAAGAGTTTACTAAAGAGATTCGAAGTCGAGCACCAACGTCAATACTGAGGTTAAGTGTGATAGGTCGAATCAATTACTACTCTAAGCACGAAAAGCACCTCCCTTAACCATGAAGATTATTCATTCACGTTACGCATGTTCGCGTTACGTTTACTCTAAGTGCAATAGCAGTAACAGCATTCTATTAGTCATATACTATAATTATGACTGTTCCCTCTTATATCACATGTGTTTGGTGATGATATAATCATATAAGAAGCTTGTAAAAGGGGATTGCTACGATTAGGACTCACATGGGAGCATGGCCTTTTACTTATATACTGCTCTGTTCGGGGCTAGGCCTACGTATTCACGACTTTAAACACATTTTTCTGCGGTATAGACGTGGACAATTCTTTTAGATGAAGATACAATACATATTTCACAACTAAAAAATAACAGGCATGAACTGCCTAACATAATGGGCTAGGGTCATATGAACTACTTCGCCTGCCTAGTCGGTCTGTATATAGTCGCGACAAGATAATCGATACCATGTAACCGATTCACTATCCAAAATATACAAAGCTCTCATATATAAAAAGTAAAGACTAAATAATTGATACTACCTGATCAATTATTTTTATTAAAATGGCATCGGGCTCCAGAAGGGTAGGGAGTAACGATTCACTAATCGGTGCCTTTTTAAGGCACCGGACCAATTTCCGGCGTAAGTATAGGAAGTCGCGATTAACAAACGTAGACTGCAGGGAGTAGCTTACCTAGATTAAGCGATAACACGCGCCTACCTGATATAAAGAAAGTTAAAAACGCGCCTACCTGCCGCGTTATCCCAAATACGGCGCTCCGTTTCCACGCGCAGCTTCCTAAGTAGTAGCCAACCAGCCCGTAATTTCCATCGCTACGCTGTCTCTTCTATTTTCGTATCGCCGTCTTCATTTTTCTCTTCTTTCGAAACGCCGAACCCATAGAAATTTTAATCAATCGGCGACCATGTCGGAGAGCCACGCCGACTCAGACGCAACGGCGGGTAAGATTGCCCCTATCTATTTAGATGCATCACGCCGATTATCTTCTAACATGCCTACTATTTATAGGTAGACTCCCTGGCCTACGCCGCAGCACTTTCTCAATGCTACTGCCATTGTGAATGGTAAGATTTCCTCAACTTATAGATAAATCGGCGCTAATTCGAAGCTATTCAGAAGTACTAGCCGGCCAACGGGAGACAGAGGACTCTGGGGCCGCTGTTGCCGCCGCCACCGCCGCCGTCGCCCTTGCCATTCCTGCCGCTACCGCCGGCGCGAACGGCGGCCTGTCGAATGCGACTTGTGCTAATTCACCACGACCTCGACAAAGAATCTAGCAGAACATAAGAGGTATAACCACGTGGGTGTGGATTGTTTGTGGCCGGGCTGTGGATATACACGCCCCGACAGAGGTCGAGATAAGATTCCACTTATCTCAAGTACACGGCGGTCAGGTACCGACACAAAAGAGTAGGAAGTATCGTTGTCCTTGGCCGGGCTGTGGTCACCCCTTCAACCACCGCCCCGGAGCAATCCGACACTTGTATTTCCACAACTCGGATTTAATGAATGCGGGCCAAAGTTCGGAGTAGGGTTTTTTCTTTCCTTTTTTTTCTTTTTCAGTAGAGGGTTATTGAGGTTCTAAGGGTTTGAGATAGGGGCTGAGGATATTCTCCCCCTATTCATAGTTTTTTGTTGTTGCAAAATGTTATTGCTTGTGGACTTCTGTGTTGATGACCTACCCCTGAGCATCGTGCTGACAGTTGCTGGCAGCTGGTACTAGCCGTTACACGGAGCACCAAGTGGAGAATGATAGATCGGATTCTCCGTGCGCAAAGTGATTTCTCTCTTTCTACAACAATTGGAACGTTGTAATGCCTTCTCTTGTGAAAATTTATTCATTTCAGCCCTTCAATCATCACCCGTCGGAACATGATAATGTATAATCCTTCATCCATGTTTCAGAGCTACGGTTTGATTTCCAACTTTTCCGACCCGTTAAAATGTCATCAGCGAGTGTCCCAGACCAACCAATATCCAGCCTATTGACAGTGATTATCACCACATCACCAACTCCTTCAGCCCCTTTAACAGATCTCATATCGGCGATATTGTCGTCCTTTCGCAGCCACTGTGGCGACTTATTATCTTGTCGAGTAATTGTCGTCTTAGATACCTACGAACGTATCGCACCCCAAGCGCGGTTAAAGAAAGGCCAGGTTACCCCAGAAGGAGCAAAGACATTTGAGCTCTATAAGCAAAATGTTAAGGAGCTTATCCTAAAGGAATTTGACCAGGAAAATGGTGAACAAAGCTTGGACTACAGTCAAGGTGAAGCTGAATTTGGCTTCAGCAATGTGGAGACCAATACCGCTCCATTGTCAATATTACAGACGGTTGACGGCCGAGTCACCTTTATAGAACCATCGAAGCGATTGGGTTTTGGGCTAGGCGTACGCTCCGCGCTGAGACTGGCTGCGACGCCATTTGTGTGGGTACAACAGCACGATTGGCCTCTAGTTTCCAATATTCCATTACAACCCTTGTTGGATATTATGAAGTCGACCGAAGGCGATGAAAGCATGCCAGTGAGATATGTCTGTCTTCCGTCCGTACGCTTATTGTCGTATGCGGAGTCGGCCCATGTCGAACAATTCCCCGTGCTGAGGGGGTTGACTTTATCTCTCAAGCGTAATTTCGTGACGCAGTCTGGTGCTGATGTTCCCTTGACGCCTATGTTCTTCTGGCACGACAAGCCGCATCTGGCATCCACCGAACATTACTTGCGTCGGATTTTTCCAACACGCCTTTCCATATTGCGAGGTGGGTTTATCGAGGATACCATCGGGCATCGGGCCAGGAATCAAATGAAGGAGGGCAATTGGGCCAAGTGGGCTACTTGGCTATATTATCCCGATAATGGACGTAAGTTGTGTCTGCGACATCTTCAAGGACGTACTTGGGAAGGCGTCGAAAAGGAGTCGGAGAAGAAAGCGTATTGGGCGATGCAGAATGCAATGCGAAATGTCGATGAACTTGGCCAGGCAGCCCAGGCTTAGTTGGTTCATTTACGCCCTAATTCTCTCGAGTATCGTCTCATCGATCGATCGTCCAAGGGTGTAAAGTCGATACCTAGATATTGTGAGTAGAACCTGCGTGGGATTGGGCGATAACAATGGGGATCAGATTTCTGGCAAAAGAGGGAGTGAGCAGTTAACGGTTTTATTATATATCCAACCATGCCTCATATTTTTACCCATTTCTTCGAACCGTTTTTCGCCATATCGCTTATTGCGCTCGCATGTACGCGCTCAGCTGAAGATCGCAAGGGATCTACGTGGCTTAAGACGTACGAATCTTGGTAATACATCCCTTTATTCCTTGCGCCTTTCCTCCCACTTTCACCTAACTCCGCCTCACTACCCGTCCTGCTGTGCGTGGTGTCCCTCGTTAGTTCGTCCTCGTCGTCCTCCATGTATCGTGTCTCCCTCGTAATATTAACTTCCTGCGTCACAAATATTTTCCCCCAGTTCATGCTACTGATGACTGGCCAAAAGATAGGGACGCTCGCGCAAACGCTAGCGGCATCGATTTCAAGGACTGCTAAGATGATGCTGATCGGGCCGTACCAGGTCGGATCTCGGGTCGGCCAAGATGCCACTTGATGGTCGATAATCGTTATTAATCTCCAAACTGCAAATACCAAAACGCTTTACAAAATGTGTTAGCGACCTCATCCAGCGGAAAATTCCCACCGGGAATATCTATGACTTACAAGATGCCCATAGAAATGAGACCGACCACCCGTACGCGGGCGCAGTTGGTTGTGCCGTCTTTAAACAATAACGGTAGTGGGATGACTAGTACCAGAATGTCCAGTACCATATTAGATGCGGCATGGCTCTCGAATGTGGCGACGAAAGGTCGGATATATTGCGAGCCGTATCCATAACATAATGGGCCTCCACCATTCCAAAAGTCGTGAACAGGAATGCACGGCGCCCAGGCCAAAAAAGAATATGCAATGCCCCAGAGCGCCGTGAACACGACCAGGAAAATTAGGAATCGGCGGAGTATTACCGCTCGCTCGAAAACTCGGAGATATTGTAATAAGAGCGCCTCTTTAATTAGCGCTGTTGCGGTTACGTATGTGGCGTTTGCAATGTAGAAGGTCTTTAGAAAGCTTTTCCCCTGCCATTCCTCGAGCTGTAAAAAATGCTTGCCGAGTCCAAATGTTACTGCACAGCATACTGCTATCGACCCAGCCGTGACCATAAACTTATCGTGCGAATGATGTTAGTAGATATTCCTCATCGGACGTTAGGTATGCTCATGATGTGCACAACCACCACTTACTAGATAGAGTACCACACATAAATCATCCCAACCAGGTGCGCGGACGACCCTGAGTCGCACATATAATCGAAGACAAACGCAAACCCACGAAAATATCTGCAATTTTAGAAATGGTAAGAATGAATTTTTCTTATACATCTCATTATAAATGAGATCGCGGTCAATCAAATGGGTATGGAACGTACCAAACACGCTATAACTACCCCCCAGATCAGGTCCGGCCTGTTTGATATAGGCTCCGGCTCATCAAAATTGTCGGTTGACCACCGGAACCCCGACATCGTTTCTTGCACCACTATAAATTCGGAGGGGGAAAATCCGCGAGGTCTCGATTTGACAGACCTCACGCGGAGTGTCGAAAACGTATTGAGTGAAAACACGGCATCGACATCGGTGGCGGCGAATAGAGATTTCCTCACAAAGCATCTACAGACGAACCTCACCACAAGAAAAGATAAGGAGCATCACTAACCGAAAAAGACGTTTCAAAGGCAAAAGCGTAGAAATTAAGAAAAAAAGAGACCCGACGATGAGGGATGCAAATGCTTGGTCATACTTTTATTATTACGGATTACATGCTGCAATGGCCCGTCAGCGAGTGGGATTTGAGACGCTGCGTGGGGACCATGTCAACTGTGGAATCCTTCAAAAATACATAGTTGGTGGTCACCCCGAACTGAAGAGTCTGAACTCATAACACCACACTACCTACCAGCCTACTAACAGGCCTACATACAACTTGCATGCCTGGGTTGTTATCTAGCCTATCGCAACTATACATACCCGGGTACGTACCACTATGGAGTCTGTGAAATGAAAGGAATGCAAGGTTGGATGGAACTTACCGTTGCAGTACCGATAAGGTTGTGCCAGGCTTCGGGCAACCCCTGATGGCAGTCATCGTATACATACATAGTAGCACGCGCTAGGTATACACATCTATCTCCGTACATGACATGACATGCCGTACCATACCATTGGCCCATACCTTAGTGTATCTACTTGGTGTACACTAGTGTATTATGTTCCTACACGTGCGTGGCAAAGAATCTTACTGCTGTGTTAGTAGCCTAGTTCCAAAACCTGAAGGCCTGCTTAAACGGTGGTGCAAGCTGGAATGGGCAGTGCTGACCGCGCATCGGTAACCTAGTGTTACATCGGCAAGTCTTCTCGAACATGGTGTTCTCGGCTTTCTGGGGGCGATGGGCTAGGGTAGGGCAACATATTCCGATGTGGAAATCAAGGCTTTAAAACTCCCGATATGTGTAACGATCTATTGGTTCGCCTTCGGCTTCTTCGAAGAAACGAAGAATAATAGTGTGTCTGAATACCGAGACTACTAAATTCACTATCGGACCCTCCTGTATGTATATATAGAACGGAGCTGAGGATAAGTGCAAAATCACCGAGGAGGGGGAAAAGAAGCCAATCTTCGGACGGCTGCCGCTACAACCAATCCCTGCTTCACAACCACGGTGTTGTTAATTTAGGATTCCTGTTGCATAAGACGCGTACACCCCATGGTACCCCTATACGATTCGGAATAACTATTATGCCCCCATTTCGGGTCTTCTAATGGCCAGCCTGCTTGATAATATCGGGCTTAGCGTGGTGGTCTGTGGGGGAATGGAATCAAGGAAGCATTTGGATTTGTTACGACCGCGCCATCCGACTACAAATCAAGATTCTACAACCAGGATGTTTTGACAGGCTAGAATCTGACAAGGATCGTAACATCCATATGTTACCATGCAGGCACATCGGGTACTCCGTTCTTCCTCGTGGTAAATACAAGAATACATGCTTACATACACTCATCTCATACACACTGCCTTATTGCTGGCGCCATGACCTCTTACTTTCAATCAGGACCTTGCTGAATGTTTTATTATCTACCTAAAAACTTGAAACCGCTAAGAGTTTGCATATCTTATCCATATTCCGTAAGCTTGGTATAATAAGAGCGTAGATCATATAATGACCAATAATATGCAAGTAATTCGAATACAAAAGACCCCTCGATTTTTTTCTGGGTCATGTCCACGCCTCTTCAGCTATTTAATTATTTAAGAATACGCTGTGCTCCTCTTTACAAGTCACAAAGAATAACCTGTTTTTCAAAATGAAGCTAGATATTAGCGAAGCGATGTCCTAACAGCATAGAACACCAGTACGATGTGATAGTCTGAGTCAGACACGAATATGGATTAACTATTGACTCTTTCCCAATCAAATGTAACCCAAAGAGTGAGTTCAGCTTTAGGTAATAAATCCTATTAAGGCCTCAAGCTCCGAACCAGTAGAACCTGTGACGACAAAGCCACGATCGGCTGCTACTGCGCGATGCAGCCGCCCGCGAATGGACACCGAGAAATTGAATCAATTGTCTCTTGAATCCTTTCAAACCTAATACTTACTACGAAGCTTCAACGTCGGTTTCTTGCACGCCAGGTATACCTACGAGGTATAGATAGACAAGCGCCTTTACGTCAACACTCAAAACCAAAGTGGTTATTGAAGATTTTACAACAGTGATTATCCGAAGCCCTCGATTCCCTATCGGCTTCGAAGACGATAAAATCAACTTGAAGCTAAAAACATTCCGGGAATATCCACGTGCGCTCATGGCAATAATCCTGGTTTAGCTTACTATACACTATTCTCGCAGTACGATACCCCATTTCCAACACGTGGGAATATACAAACGAATTACCCTTTTAGGAAAATGCTGGAGATGCAGGTACTCTATACTAAGCGAGAAAGTAAGCTGTCCAATAATCGAAGTGCGAAGGATTTTGAGCCTAGTCATGTTATAGCATGTTAACCAGATGCATAACCCGCCTCCTATTCTGGTATCCCTTGCTATCATGCGAGATTAGAGATGTGCTTGTAAGATAAAAGAGATCTCGAGGTTATACATAGATCTATAAAATAGCGACACCACAAAGAGAAGGTAAGTTGCGCTTGATTTTAAATACCAGAGCAGGCGCAGCCGAAATAGCTATCATGACAAGTCCCCCAATGTCGTGGTAAGTGGCGTTGCTTATAGGTACCCGAAGGTCCTAATCGCAAGCCACTCAGATTTTAGTATCAAAACATCGTCGCTTCTAGAAGCCCATCCCCTGATTCACCAGTGGTTACCTAGGTACTTTGCTTACCTAGGTACCTATGTAGGTACTTTAGGGTTAGGAAAAGGTGATTCTTCAGGTCTACAGGCGCCTCAAGCGATGCTTAGAGAGGTGGTATTATTCCTGGTAAGTTGTCTACTACATTAAACTCAAGAAACGTCATATCATTAACATGATCTAGGGATATCAGGAACGAAAGGTCAAGTTCAAAGCGATACGTAGCATACTAAGTGAAATTTTTCAATCTCAAAGTATTGCAAAATTGGTTCTTGTTTGCCCGTGATACTTCGTTAAAATTATTCCCCTATATACACCCCTATCTCCCTATGTACCTAAGTACGCAGCAGATACCTAGCTGCGTAAACGAGGATACATCCGTTTCAATATTTCAACAGCACGCCAGCAGTAGTAATATTTCTTGCTTCAAATGAAATCGGAAGAACTATTGGACCTTGCTCACAATAAAATCTACTGCATCAGGGGCTAGGTCATGATATTCATGATGGGCGTCCGTCACAATTAGTGTTCCCTCGCAGACCTTATCACCGTCGTGACACAGGATCAGAGTTTTGCTCGCATCGAAATTCGGGACCTGCCCTCCGTCCTGCGCTTTTTGCGTGTCTCCAAATGTCACGGCTGCGTAAATGAGGTTTTTAACACTAGTCGACGCAGACTCGACCGATCGGTGCACCAGGGCAGCTCCTTGGCTATAGCCCGACACGACGAGTTTCGATGAAGGACATTGCGTGGCTGCTTTCGTGATCAGCGCTCGCATGTTGTCTGCATCTTCGGGGTCGCAACCGCCATCTCGGAGATTGTCGATTAGCAGTGCTGGGTAGTCAACGCCCTGCGCGGCCACAACGTCTGCGCCTAATGCTGCTTTGAGCTGGTCTACGGTTTGCGGCCCTGGATCATCGCCCTAGTATAGGGGATTAGACCTGTGGTTATTATGACATGTAGGAAGTCATTACAAAAATAATCTAGGAGGGAAGGCGACTGACAATATTGCCATCCTGGGTAGTACCACGAGCGTAGATGAAGATAACATCTCGACAACCACCATCTAGGAATTCATTCTCCGTCGTGCCGGCCGATTGGCGCCCTCGAATACCGGATGCTTTACTCCCGGATTGCTGCTGCTTGAGTTTCGCAATGGTACTCTCGGAATAGTCTAAGGTCAACGGGCGGGCGGCCACTGACGCCACCAACACGGCAGAGACAAGCGGGGACGAAAACTTCATGGTGCTGTTGACGATACGGGCTAACCAACGCTGCAGGAATTAACAAGTTTGTCTCTTTTAATTACACCGTTGCTAGTAGTCATATGTGCCTCATGGAATGCCATTTTGACTAGTTGACATCTAGTCTTATATACCACTGGCTGCCAGCTCAACCGAGGCTTTTCGATAATTTTACTACTAGACATTATACCGCTGATGCGCTCAAAGTTGAGATGCATTCAATGACCTTCCTAGATGGATATATTGGCCGGTGGCGTACTTGGAAGCATTTCGTAAAATGGCTATATTGATTCACCACGTGCATCATGGGGACGACAATAGCGCTCCCGATTCGAGAAATCCACCATCCCCAACCCAGAAGGTAGCAATGTTGCGGCAGTACAGCGGCTCGGCCCCAAAGTTTCCGGAGAGATGGCTTCAAATTCTAGCCTATTATAGGGAGTTGAAGCGCATATACTGAGGGGTACTAAGCCTCTAAATTTCTTCTATGCTGCAGAATTCATTCCGAGTCACATTTAAAAAGGTGCTCCAAAGGACCAATCCGCTATCAGGTATTACCCAGGGGGTCGTATACTGGTCCTATAGAAGCTGTATGTATTCCCGCCGCTTACGTTCGTATATCTCGTATATTACTAGTATCTAGTAGTTCCTAACCTCAAGCGGGAAGTTCACAAACGATGCGATATTGTTTTATTAGGTAGCATAGCCACTCAAAGGGAGATCAAAACAAATCCATCGCATTGTGAAGACTGATTCTTCGTCAGGTACTATGTGACTACTTATTGGGCGTGTATGACTGCCGCCTCAATCGCAAACCGGAGCGATCTACTTAGGCTTCATTTGTGTATCTTCGCCATCTTTATATATCGCCGAGTCACTGCTACTAATAAGCAGCTTTTGCTAGATTAGAAGCTCCCAAAGTGAAATTCTTCTTGGCGTGGTACCAAACCACTTCGACACTAGGTGTATTGTTCGCGAGCGCGTCGATTCGTAGCTCGATATCTCGGATGACGTCGCTATCCTTAATGACATCGTTTCTCATGTTACGGTAAGCGCCTTCCTTCGGAACATAAATCCACTTCTTGATTTGAGTGGTGAATATTTCGACGGTCGGCTTCACATCGCTGGCAATGATGAGTCGCAGATTTTTCGGGGATACTGTTTCCTTGTGTAGCTTAGGGTTCTCGAACCAGTCGGGGATGACTTCGTCTTTCACAATCGCCAGGGCTTGTCGGATCGCGTAGAAGTCGGCAACCTCCTTTCTTGCGGAGGTCAAACATATTGGTCCGGAATAGTTGTACTTAGACCCCTCACCGAAGTAAACACCTCGTCCTGCTATGTCGGTGCCTTTTCCATTGGCTATAGCACCGTCGATACTGACTACTAAGGATCGTTGATTCAGACTATTCTTGGTGGCTTCGCGGGGTGGTATGGTATTGTGCCAAGGGTGAGAGTAATAGTCCCGGCAAGCAACTCGTTTCAACCATGTAAGTTGACATATCTTGCAATAAGTACACACTAAATGCATCTCGTTGCTATAAGAACTACTAGGCGGTACCTTGAATCTAACGAAACGTAGATCTCGAAATCGGTCCCGGATTTTGATTCCTTGAACTTGCTCATCGTACATTGGGACTAGAAGAGGGTACCAACCAGCATTCACCGCGATGCAATCCTCGGTTCTGCTGTCTGGGTAGGTGGATAAGATTTTAAGGAGTTGATAGTCTGGACGCTTGGTTGACCAGGAGAATAGGAGTTTTGAAGGGTGCGCAATGAATAATTTAGCACCTTGTGCTACTTCGGGCAAATCATCTGGCGAGGCGCTCTCGCAATTGAAGAGGCAAAGAGGACAGATAGGGCGGTCGTGCTGGCGGCACCCATTGCGCGGGACGACATTCCCTTGAGGCATCGTTGTAAGGTAAGTGGCCTCTTTACAGGGAACGTTAGAAATTGCCTTGGAATTTAGTGAACGCAGGGTTGTTAAGAGTTATTTCGGGAGGTCGTTCGGAGGAAAGAATAAGGGCAAGGGCATCAATCTAGAACTAAGGGGACTTACAAAGTTATGGACGTTTGAGTGACTTATCACCAGCAAGAAACGGTGGTCCGTAAAAAGAACAGGTGCTGAGGAAACTGCTCTTCGGATTTCTTGGTTGCACGGGGTAACAGCAATTGGAAACAAGATGGTTGCCGGCGACGGGCGACTAGGACCGCTTGCCATAAGGCAATTCTATGGCTAGTATGGTGGCGGGCGTCGGCGGTGACTTCTTTAGGAATAATCATAGAACTGAAAGGATGAGCTCCGGTTTCTTAAGGTGTACGATCATACCTGCTCGGGCGGGTAGGTAGGTGCTTCACTTAATAGGAAGGTTCCGCTCAAATATCGCCTGAATGCGATGAATGGGTGCGTATTTGGGGGACGAGCTATGTATTGGGTAGTATGGATATGTTTGATGGATAGCACATACACGCGTTATACGTAGATCGGGATTTGATGGCAGTTGCTTCGTTGGCAGCAAAGGGTCATACCCCTTTTCTGTGACAGGCCTACTCTTACCTCTCATTCTGGCTCTTATACTGTTTGCTCCTGCTTGCCGCTTGTCTAGCATAGGTCTCTGCGTCTCGATCTCCGGAGTGTTAATATTGAGGACACCAAAATTTGGTGGCGGAAAAACATATCATGATTGGGCTTGTCTGAAAGGATGGATACAGCATATGGAGACAGGCCGTAAATAAGTAGTATATTATGACAATACATGAATTATGGCACCATTCGTGACGTTTTATTGCGAAGTCTGAGACTCGATCGTCTCTCTTCACCGTCGGTATCGTGGACACCCTCGCTATCATCTTCGACTTTCACTATGTCGCTGGATAGGTCACTATCCCTATCCTCGGCTCTCGAGTCGACATTTAATTTATTTGACGACCCAAGTACTTCTCGGATGATCTTCTTGCCCTCATCTATTTCTCCATTTAATGTTCCACAGGACATACATTTCCACGTCCCTAAATCTGCTAGAGACTTTGTTCCTGGAGGTGCTTGACCATTAACAAGACGGCATTTTTTGCATATTAGTACCATGCGATTCTTCGGGGCCATCTCGTCTTCGCCGAGCATAAGATCCATGATGCGGTCGTACCAACGGGGTGGACCCGGGTGCACGTCGTACTGGGGGTAAGGATGGGGAAGAGGTCCAGCATTAGGGGCGAACTCTTCTGTGTATTGTTGAACTGGTGAAGACACGTGCCGACGCGGCAAAGGGTTGGGACCTAGGTGATGTTGGGCGGCGTCTGGAGCAGCAAGATAAGGCGGTCTTTGAATGTTGGCGGTTGGTGGGGGAGGTATGTTGATTCTTCCGCCTGGCGATTCGGGAGCTGTACTTGGTCGACCATTCTTGTCGGGTGCTCTTAATTGTTGATCATGGCCTTGACCGCTCCCGTCTTGCTTCTTCGCCTGGTTTCGCTTTTCTCCTGATCCTCCATATTTCTCGAGTAACTCTAGGGTGGAGTCGTATTTGGTAGCATCCTTCAACTTTTGAATCGTTTTCGTGCGATCGGTTTTGTAGTCCTTTAGGCGAGATTCTACCGTTTCGATGCGAAAGCTGAAGTAGGCATTCGTCAGAGTTCTTATAAGATAGATTCTAAATTGTATCATTTGCGTTAGTAAATCTCCTTTATAGAACGGGATCTGGAAGAGTAACCACCTACAATACAGGGCCACCGGCTACTCCAGTCCACTCCCACGGGCCAAGATTCTTCCACCCTACTACTAGGGTCAAGACGATAGCATATACAAGGTAGGCGAAAGCGAGGTAGAGGGTCCAGAGTACTTTGATTCGGCGAGAGTTGGATCGTAGTCGATCGAGTTGTGCTTGGGTATTCGATATTTTGTTGGAAAGGGTTGAGAGTGTCTTCTCAAAGGAAGAAGGGGAAGAGTCATCGCCCTATTGGTGTTGAGGACGTAGTTAGTTAGTAATTTTTCTTTTATCTGTACGTAGCTGTACATATATACGGGGTCGCATCTCTCCTTTAACATACCTTCCAAGGCCAAAGAGACACCATAATTTCGGTATGAAGACGGGTCTACCGTCTATGGATCATGGCGGGTTGTGATGAAAGGAAATAAGTCGCGGCGATGGTAGTAGTAATAATAATGATTGTAGAGGATACCTGTCCAAAGATGAATAAATGAATAAATACTAGGCAAATAAATAGAGGTGGACAAAAGAGAGATAGGTTTGATTGTGACAGGAAGTGTAGCAGTGACTATAATACCCTATTGCAAGGGAATTCTAAAGAGGTACTGCCACTATTCAAGGTCAGGCGAGCTGGGCGTTGAGACCTGATGACAGATGTGACGACATGACAGGTGAAGCAATTAAAGAAGCTAACGAGAGAAATTCATTGGCTGTCGAAGTTATGTGCAGGTTACGAAATAGGTACATACGTAGCACCTGTCAAGGTTTGGATAGAGGTCTCCACTGTATCCACTGTATCCACCTATTATACCTTGCGAAACGCACAAGAGACGGATTACATAATGAAACTTTAGCTCTTCAACACGCAAGCCTGTCTTCTGATTGGTCCCAAATTTGAGACGCCGACCGGAAGGAACATTTAACAGTTAACATAGATACGCAGCGCAGCGACCACCGAGCCTCGAATGGTTGAAGTTAGATAACTCTAATACTTGTATTAGCTGTACTTAATTTAGGAAAACCTACAAGAAACAACTTCAACTTTCAGCTTCTTCATTTTCACTTTTATTTGTATTATTGATTCATTTCGTTTGTCCATTTTACCACGCCAAAATAAATCAGTTTTGCATGGTATTCCACTCTAGTCTTCTCCAACTCGCATGGCTGCGATATTCGCTTCTAGCTCCTTAATTGTCGCATCCATCATCGACGCCTTGGAAGGTGGTTCATTCAAGCCACCATGTTTTCCGTACGTTTACTTTTTCGAAATCGAATACATATAAAGGTATCTGGCTTCTTACTATATACTTTACGCAGAGAATAAAAGGTGCTATCGATCGGAGCATTGCCGAAGAGCAGGCTCGCCAACGCGTCGCGGCTGAGCAGAGGTCTAATTCCCCCTCCGCTTCTGGTCAACGCCCACGATCCGTTTCGAGAACGAATAGCACCAACTCGCCCGCTAGGAGGAAGACTAAGAGGCCGAGTCAAGATCAAACAAATGGTGACGGTGCTACAAATCCCGACCCAGCCGTCTTCGAAGCCGCCTTCGTACTTGACGATGAAGATGCCGATGCTACATCAGGGCTACCAGAAAAGCCTGGCAGAGATGCCGTAGTAAACAACGAGAAAGATGGTGGTGGCGACGCAACCGAGCAGAACGGCGAAACTCAGGATCAGTCAAATAATACCCTGGACGAGAAACCTAAGGATGCACTATCCCCTGCGCCGGCGGAGCTTCCACCTCATGTGAAGACTAAGCTCAGAAAATTAGAAAAATTGGAGGCCACATATCCAGGTAATTCATTTGCGCCTAGGGATTCATCCACCAGCCACTAACATATTCTATTCTTTCCGCAGAGCTACTACGATCATACCGAATTGCGCACGGCCGGGCCACTTCGATCGAACCTTTCGAACGGGCCTTACGTGAGAGTACCCCTCTAACTACTATAAAAGATCCGGCTGCCCTCGTCGAATACCTGAATCAGGTAAATCTAAAAGGCGACATGGTCATGGAGGAATTTAAGCGCGTCTCGGCCGAAAAAGACAGCTTCAAAAAGAAGTTTGAAGATGCAGACAAAGAACTAGTCGCTCTGAGAGAGGAAGCTGCTTCTCTGAGAGCCGCCAAGGTCAAAGAGGCACCAGCGCGAATAGGTAACGAGACAGAGGTGGTTTCGGAGGAGAAGAAGGCCGAAGACGACACGAAGCAAGCGACCTCACCTTCCACAAGCAAATCACCTGTCTCTTCCATATTAGGCGTTTTCTCCCCAAAGCAGAAACCGACGGTCGTCGACGAGCCTGGCGAGGATATGTTTTCTTATGATGACGAGATTCCCCAACTTCAAGCCGAAGTCACGTCGAAGTCTGAAGAGATTGCTAAGCTTACGTCTGATATTGGCAACTTGAAGGAAGAACTGGCGGTAGCCAAGGAGAATAGCACCGGTTTAGTGGAAAGTCTCGAGAAGGCTACGAGAGAACTGAACGAAACCCGAGATAAGGCCGCTGTTCAGGATTCGATGAAGACCCAATTGGATGCCAGAGACCACGAAATCAAATCTCTCACCGAGAAGCTAGAACAAGCTCAGTCGCAACTACGAAGCTTGGAGGCTAAGCTGGAGGAAGAAACGTCGAAGGCGGCGTCTGCCGCAAAAGACCAGGAATCGAAGCTTGAGAGCTCAACTGTCAAGAATACGGAGCTGAGCGCGGAGGTAGAGAAGCTAGGTGTAGCAAAGTCTTTGTTCGAAACAAAAGTACGCGATCTCACCAGCGAGATTGACTTACTGAAGAAGTCAAAATCTGAGAGCGAGGCGAAACTCGAACAACTAAACAAACAGATTCAATCCACCACAAAACCGCCACCAACACCTACTTCAGGATCACTAGCGGTCCCCTCAACTACGCCTGCAACCGGAGGATCCAAAAAGAAGAACAAGAAAAAGAAGAAGGCTGGTGCCGCGGTCGATACCGTGGAAACAGCTACAAGCGAGACTTCCGAGCAGGCTCCGCCATCTCCACTCGAAAGTCCTGAGACCGAGGCTCTCAAATCCGAAGTAGCCAAATTAAAGGATGAAATCACCCAGAAGGATACCCAGATTGAGCGATTATCCAAGCAGAGGAAATCCGAGGAGGACCTCCAAGATGAGCTCGAAAATGTGCGGGACAGTTTCCTTGAAATTGGGCGTAGCCACGTTGAGGCTAAAGAGAAGATCAAGAATCTGGAATCTGAAAAGAGAGTATTGAATTCTCGAATTGCAGAGCTTGAGAAAGAGATTGCTACTTTTACAACCAACACTGAAGCCAGTTCCAGGTTGCAAACCGATTTCGATTCCATGAAAGCTGAGTTTGACGAATTAAAGATTAAATCTCAAACTTTACAGTCAGATTTAGGTGCTGCCCAACAGCTGGCCCAGAGCCGCTACAAGGACCTTACAGATCTGCGCGAAGTTCTTACTAAGGCACAGCCTGAGCTCAGAAGTTTACGACAGGAATCTGCTCTCCTGAAAACCACCAAGGAAGAGTTAGCTTCTAAGCAAAATGAGATCCGTACACTCGAGAAACGCGAGAAAGATCTTAAGGCTGAAGTTGCTAGAGTTCAGCGACTAGGATCTGAGCGTGAATCCGAGGCGAAGCTACTTAATGATAGATTGGCCGCCGAAAAGACGTCGCGGGCTAGACTTGAGGACGAGAAACGTGTGGCTGGTAGAGACTATCGCCGTGCTGAAGCCGAGAAAATAGAATTTTCCGCCAAAGCTGAGAAGGCTGGTCGCGAACTAGAATCTCTCCAGTCCGAACTTACAACGCTTCGCCCTAAGGTGAAGCAACTTGAGGATGAGGTTGCAAGGCTAAAGAAAGAGAAGAATGCCGTTAGAGAAGAAGTGGAGCTAAAGACACAGCAGTATAATAATGCCCAAGGTCTCCTAAGCTCCATGCGCGACCAAACTGCAGAGCTATCTATTCAACTCAAAGAAGCCCAAGGTCAAACAGAGTCCCTAGAAGAGGAGCTGGCAGAAGTACAGAAGCATCTTTCCGAGAGGACGCGCGAAGGCGAAACAATGCGCCGCATGTTAGCAGACGTCGACGAGCGAGCGGATGCGAAGGTACGGGATATGCGCGCGCGAATGGAAGCAGCCGTTGAAGAGCGCGATCGGATTGAGGATGAGTTATCCACCCTTGCTCGACGCCGCGCTCGAGAATCTGAGGAATTGAAGGGCAAGGTTCGTGAGCTCGAACGTGATATTCGAACGCTTTCTAGCGAGAAGGACGAGTTAGAGGCCCACGAGAAAGAATGGCGTCGCCGGCGCGAAGAACTTGAGCAGGTTGAAGAAAAGGCAACTGCCGAAGTAGACGATATGCGCGCGGCGGTTACCAATCTGCGATCAGCTCTAGACGCCTCCGAACAACAAGTCCGCGACGTAGAGAAGCAGCGCGCGGATCTGCGGAAACTGTTGGACGAGACTAGGGGACATTACGAAAGGGTTAACAAGGAACTGAAGAACCTCAAGGCTAGGTTCAATGGCAGTGGTGGTAGTACACCAAATGTCGCGAGCAGTGGAAGATCTAGTATGGATTCTACTCGTAGCGGTATGAGCGGGACTACCGTCACAACAGGTTCGACCGGTCCAGATACGATGTACCTGAAGACCATCCTTCTCCAGTTCCTTGAGGTGAAAGATGAGAAAGTACGGTCGCAACTAGTACCAGTGCTAGGGAAACTGTTGAGGTTCGATCGGTAAGTCGTCTATAATTCCGAAAGGGTTTCCTTATTTTAGCAATACCCTCAACTAATCGATTTAGTAATGACGAACAAAAGTGGATGGCTGCTGTCCAGCATTTATCGAGGCCAGGCAGATAGAAGAATAACGGCAGGAATAATATAAACCACCTTGTATCATAGATACTGCATAGCGTGGGAGTCCATGGAACTGTATAATAAACTACGAGGATTTTTGGCTATGTAATCTATATTGTACCTTTTTCATGTCCATATCCTCGACTTAGGCTTAGTTGAAAATTTGGTTACATATCTATGTTATTCACAGAGTTGAGGACCACAACAATGAATCTGGTAAACAGGTACGTGGAATAATGCCCAGTCCTATTCGACACTCTTACCTAGTAGCTAATCTTATGCAATATTCCTTCCTTTGATGACTACCTTGGTGTGTACCGACACTCTGGAGCCCCGGAATTTAGCCTGAAAGGATCCATAATATGAGATCTGGGGCTCTGCAAGATGCTATGCATATAATATAGAATTGATACTAAGTAATTATTTCGTGAACTTCACCTGCTGACGAAGACAGCAACCACGGTCGGGGGTTCATCTACAATATTTGCCCTTCACTACGCCGTGTATGTGGTCCAGGCTTTTCATTGCAACTAAGCAAGACCGGGTCGCCGGGACGCGTGTATTGTCACGCGGCGTTGGACTTCCCCTCCTTCATAAATGAAAGATATTTCTTTATGTTATTAGTTCGATGCCGTTGGTATTGACAGCCATAAGCAAACGACCCAGCCATTAGTAGCGACATATTTTTCGGCACTCTTTTCCTCAATTCCGCCTTGGCGGTTGGGCCGCTTGAGCTTGAGAATATGTTTGAGACTTCGCGATTGGGGTGATCATAGGAAGGATTTGGCTTGGTTTTGTGCTAAGACGCTATTCCAATGTGGCATGAACCCCGACCAGCTTCTGGCCTAGAAGACGGCGCCTTGGCGTCAGCAAAAATGGGCTAGATCCGAGATGCTTTGCGGGATGGTTTATGGCCCATGGGGTAATAACAGACCGAGAAGACCCCAGGTTTCGAGAAGCTCGGGGATTACTCTCGTGGCAACCCCTGTCCTTTTACCCCGGACGGAGCCTGGACCCGTAAACGAAATGCAAACGTAAGAGGTGCTAGACGAGAGTCACGTCAATACCAGCTGCCGACTTTCATTATGTCGGACCAGAACTATATGATCCGGCGGCGCAGCTCGTTTTCTTTCTTGACCTTTATGGCGAAAGGGGTGACAACGAGCGATTAAAAAGTCATCATCGCCCAATTGCTCCTACTCGTTTCGCTCAGGGATATCATCGCCACCTTCACCATTACCCCTACCAATAGTCAACAACAATGGGTGGTGCAGGAGCTACTGGGTCGGGCGCGGCCGATCCTATTATCACACGTCTCGCCGACGAAGACAAGGTCAAATGGTTCAGGAAGCCCAACCTACGATTCCTCTACTTCCTACTCTTCCCTACATGTATGGGAATCGAGTTGACGTCTGGATTTGACTCGCAAATGATCAACGCCTTGCAGATTGTGCCTTCATGGATTTCATGTGAGTTCTAGACCGGTTCCTCAGGTGCCTAATTGCGAATTCACCTCCTTTGCTAACGACAAAATGAAAAGATTTCGGAAACCCTCAGGGATCACTCAAAGGTATTATTGCCGCCGCATATTCGCTTGGCGCTATTCTATCGCTACCATTTATCGGTATCGTAAATGATAAATTTGGCCGTCGATGGTCGATCTTGGGAGGTTCCGTTATCATGGTGATCGGAGCTCTGATCCAGGGATTCTCTGTTAATGGTATGCCCTCGGATAGTTCTTCGTCTCAAAATTTCATGGCCTTACTAATGGACATAATAGCCGGCATGTATGTTGTAGCTCGCCTAATTCTTGGATTTGGCATTCCGACGTGTATCGTCTCTGCTTCATCCCTAATTGGTGAGCTAGCGTACCCGAAGGAACGACCTGTGATGACTTCACTCTTCAACGTATCGTACTTCGTTGGTCAGATTACAGCTGCAGCTATTTGCTTCGGAACCAATAATATTGCAACCAATATGGCGTGGCAGATTCCCTCATGGCTTCAAATGTGTCCGTCATTAGTGCAGATTGCATTCGTCCTGTAAGTCTCAAAATGCTACCCTTATTCATAGCGGTTTTTAATGATCTGATAAGCTTCCTTCCGGAGTCCCCCAGGTGGCTAGTCCAGCAAGATCGAGTAGAGGAGGCCTACGACATCTTGGTCAAATATCACGCGGAAGGCGACCGTGAATCCGAATTTGTTAAGGCCGAATTTGCGCAAATTCAGACAACAATCAGTATCGAACTCGAGCACTCTAAGAGGTCCTGGGCTGATCTGGTGGCCACATCTGGTATGCGTCGACGCATGTTGATTAGTTGCGTAAGTGGATTAATCCCACACCCCTTTAAATCTTCGAAGATTCATCTATCGACTCCTTTTAACCCTCCTTGCTACAGATGTTAGGTCTTTTCACTCAATGGTCCGGCAATACGCTCATCTCATACTATCTCGGAGATCTTCTCGCCATGATTGGCAAAACCGACTCTGTCTTCAAGCAACAAATCAACGTCGCTAGCGCGTGTTGGCAATTGGTCTGCGGTACCTGTGTCGCATTCCTGGTCACGAAGTTCAAACGACGCCAAATGTATCTTGCTTGCACAATTTCCCTATTGTGTGTCTATGTCGCATGGACCATCAGTATGGAGAGGGCCATTACTGGAAAGGAGTCTGGACATCCTAATAATGGGGCGAATATCGCGACGATATTCTGGATTTTTGCCTACTCGCCCTGCTACAACATCGGATATAACGCTCTGACTTATAGTGAGTTATAATTACCTCAGAGCGCATCGTCCTGCAACGGTTACTAACTAGTCATATAGCTTATCTGGTCGAGCTATGGCCCTTTGCTGAACGTTCGCGTGGTATCGCATTCTTCCAGCTATTCGGTCGCATGGCCAGTTTCTTTACCACTTTCGTCAACCCGATAGGTCTCGCGAACGTGAGCTGGCGCTATCTCATCTCCTATTGCTGCTTCCTGGTTTTCGAGATTGCATTCGTCTACTTCATGTTCCCAGAAACCTTTGGCAGAACCTTGGAGGAACTGGCATTCTGTAAGTTGTCCCCAAAGGGGAATTGAGGGTGAAAAGCTGAAGCTAACATATCTGATTTCGTAGTATTTGAAGATAAGGCTCTAGCCGATGAAGCTGTTCACGCCGTTGAAAAGGTAGTTGTACACCACGAGGAGCCGGCTGTTACCAAGGGAGGAAATACCACGACTTCGGAGGTCAAAACAGACGTTTAAAACGCACTACTTGGTGTATTAGTTAAGTTGTAAATAAAACGCTATATGTGTCTCTTAGGGAATGTGCCTACGTTACACGATTATTACTTGATCAATCGTCTAGTATGAACGTCGCTCATAATTGTATATCGCTGATATCCTACTCCATTACCCCTGAGAGATGAACTGAAGGTTGCATACAAGTCTTTTCATACCTAATGATGCTTTGCACATTTCTGCGAAAGGAGCAGTTGGAAAAGCGCGAGCGTAAGTCGATGTTTGTAACCCGATGTTACCGAGCCGAAATCTAGGCATCTCACCCCGAGCGGACTGAAAAGGAATATGAGATAAGCGACGCTCACTTTTACAAATAGCACCCGCTAAGTAAAATTAGTGTCTATACTCTACGACCTCTCTACGGCCTTATCTCCCCACAGCTGAATCCTCCCATACGTAGCAGATCTAACTCCCTTGCCTACCCCGACTTGCCCCCCCCCTGCACGATGCCCCCACTACGTCTTCCAATCCGAAGGCCATGATAACAAATACTACCTCTGAAAGACAACCGTTCCGATACCTATCAAAGTCCTTCAGATATACGAGATAAGCTATAAGTGGGAACTTGGTAGGTAACACGGTCTAGGCGACGAGAGGAGGTCCGAGACATTAGATGGCGGGCTCGTGTGAGCCGATACTAAGCAATTAGCTCACACCGGTACACTCGCAGCTATCATACTTATGTAAGTGGCGTGGATGGCATTACCATGTTAATAAATGTTTGCTTAAATGATTATTTAATCTGCTCCCTGCCGACCTGGGTAGATAAGTATGTAAGATCTGTCGTCCTCACATCGATCCGTGCATCTTGGATGTCCAAAGTCGTTGGTATACGATACCAACATACTCTTATGGGCTATGTTGTCCGTCATTAAGCTTCTACTAACAGCAATTGGTGCTGGGCCTCTCGATGAACCGCCAACCAGTAAACCTGTCAATGTCCCCCTGCATCATGAACAAGAAATTGATGAGGTTAACGCGGAGCAAGCCACTGTTGATACAGAGAAGCATGCAATAAGTAGTGTTCCTGTTGAGACCGGTACCACGACAATTGAAGCTGCCCAAGCCATCTGGGGTAAAAAAGGCCGATGGCTTGTCATCGCTGGGTAAGCTAGGTTCTATAGCCATATTGGTTTCATGGCGCCTGAGATGACCAAGCTAACGTCTGTAGCTTATGCCTGATCATGATCGTGTAGTAGGTTACACCAAAAGTGAGCTTTCGTGAACCGAGTCCACTGATTTTAAACCGAAATAGTGAAATCGACAATAGCACCGTATACATCTACAAAAACTATGCATCGTCTGAGTTTGAGGAACTTTCCAAGATTGCAACCCTGAGCACGGCTGGGACAATCATATTCGCAGTAGCAAAACCGCCCATCGCCAAGTTGTCCAATGTAATAGGTCGCGGCGGCACATATCTCATCGCTATTAGTTTTTACATCCTATCCTACATCGTCATGGCCTCGGCGAAAGCGTTTAACGCTTACGCTGCCGGCTCTATTTTCTACGCGTTTGGTCAATCAGCCACCAACCTGATGAATGATATCGTCATTGCCGACTTGACCACCGCCCGATACCGAGCATTCGGCATTGGCCTTTCGTTCTGGCCTTTTCTGATCACTCCGTGGGTATCCGCCTTCATTGTCGACAGCGTAACAGCACCCTCAGGAATCGGTTGGCGTTGGGGTATTGGTATGCTTGCCATCATTATGCCATTCTGCGCGAGCTTCATCGTTACTACTCTGTTATACTACCAGATCCGAGCAAAGAAAGAGGGACTTGCACCCCGAGCGAAGATATCTGTATACGAATTCTGCTCACAGATCGATCTCGGCGGCGTGATATTATTTAGTGGTGGCCTTGCTCTCTTACTCATTCCAATGACACTCGCTGCTACGACGCCTTCTAGTTGGAAAACGCCATGGATTGATGTGCTAATAGCACTTGGTGCTGTGCTACTGATTATTCTTCCGTTCTACGAGCATTACCTTGCGAAGCATCCTGTGGTGCCCCCTCACTATTTTGCCAATCACACCATATTCTTATGTTGCTTGCTTATAGCGCTGGATAGTGTTGGATTTTCTGCGACGCGTAAGGATATTTTTAGCTTTTCTTTCAATGTATGAAGCTGATAAGTCTTGGGGGTCGCAGATACGTATATCTATGCCTGGGTAACAGTGGCGCGTGGCTTGGACGCTCGCGACGCTACTTTCTTCACCTGTGAGTTCGGACACAAAAGATCTACATTATGAGCCATCGGTACTGATAAACCCAAGATACCAACGGAGTAACACAATGCCTTGTCGGTATTCTTGCCGGATTAGCGATGGCCAAGACCAGGCGCTATAAATGGGTTTGCGTACTTGGCGCGGTCGTACGACTAGTCGGCTACGGCGTTATGCTTCGACTCCGTGGCTCCGAAAATAGCATCGCAGAGATCTTTGTCGTACAACTGATCCAAGGTATCGGAAGCGGTATGGTCAGCTCAACCCTTCTTATCCCAGCACAAGCCGTTGTTTCCCATGCAGAAATGCCACAGATGACTGCGCTAGTTGTCTGTTTCGCCTTCGTAGGGAGTAGTGTAGGGTCATGTATTGCAGGCGGCATCTACACTGGCCTAATAGAGACTCAACTGTGGCGATACTTGGGAAATGGCGCGACCGCGGAAATGGTTGCCGAGTTGGCAAATTCGATTACGGGTGTTGTTCCTGATTGGGGTACGCCCGACCGGATGGCCGTCAATCTTGCGGTGAGTTGCTGTTGACTATCTATCATATTCTGCAACCTGCTGACACGGCAATAGTTCACGGAGGTGATGAAATACATCACCTACTCGGCCGTGGGTACTTCCGCGGCGGCTCTCATCGGATCGCTTCTTATGCCCAATTTTGAATTACCGTAAGTATTTGTGCTTAAAACTCTGCGGAATAGTAGACGTTTGCTAATGAGTTGGTAGTGATAAGAATAATCTCGTGGAATGATGTATGGGGGATGGATAGCGGAGGTGTAGATCGGCAGGAGCCGGTAATATTGGCGGTTTGGGGGGTTATTTTGATGGATTTTTACCACTTGTCTACCTAGCATACCTGGAAGTAAGACATATAGTAAGTAGCCGAAAGAAAGATATAATCAATCGCCTCTTGAGATAACATCATAATATCATGTATACATCATAATTATAGCGCAAGCCTTTGCGGGAAACCCCACCTCGACCCTGTCAATTGGTAAGTTGCCTTTGACAACTCATCCCCAGCTGATATATACACGTCGTCAAATGGGTGGTAGTCCGGCTCACACACCGTGCTAGGCTCTGGGAGAGTACCATTTTGGAAGTAAGCGCGGATATATCCAGCAGTACAGGTTGAAGATGCAGAGAGACTGGTGTGCTGTATGACAAACGTACCTAGATTAGCCTGGTACTCACGAACATGTGGAACTAAGAAACGAATATACTCACGCCGTAAGAGTTCTGTACCAAGACGACTGAGCCTGGGAACCCTTGCGAATTATTCCTTGCGCTGATGAGGGGTGTCACATTGTCAGCTATATTGGCCACATAAAGGATGGGATGGCTCGTGTTGGCTTCAAATGGACCCGTGTATCTCCACTTTGACCTGATAGTCCGGCCGACACAGGCTATCCTGAAAAGGGCGTTGACGTCTCCAGCTGCGGAGCTGATACTCATAAGCTTCTCGACAAAGTCGGCAAAATCTTCGACTGTGTCTTCGATCTGGGGCGAATCGGCACACAGAATCGCGGGGAAAGCATCGGCATTCCCTTCTTCAAACCTTGGGACGTTCGGCGGAATTGCTTCGATCGAGCAAATTGATGGAGTAGAATCTTCTGATTTGACGAATTCGTAAAAGGGTATACCATCTCCATTCTCAAGAGCGTTTAAGACCTTGGCAAAGTTTTTGAACATGAAGATAGGTCTATATAGAGCAGCAGAGATAAGTCGCTTGAGATGCGACCATGTGATCAATTGTGGCATATCCGGCCCCGACTCAGTGGCTGGTACGATGACCGGGCGCTCTCGAATATGCTTCAGTAGGTTTGCTAGACGTTGTTCTATAGCTGCTGGTGATGAAGCGTAGAAATCACAGTTTGAAGGACCAGCTTTATAGCAAAAGTTGTAAAATGCTTCCATAACCTTGTCGGTATCGTGGAGAAAATTGATGTATGAATGTAGATGCCATTCTCGGTAGTCCACGTTACCTACAAAAACTCATTAGTTCTATCGAATTGCTAGTTTCATATTCTTTCTTACCATCGCTCACAAGTCTCTCAACTTTATCAGGATACATCGCAGCGAATACCTAGTTAATGCAACGTTAGCAAGTTCTTATTAAGGGGCTGTGCGTGGAAATGGCAGCTACGAGTATTCGTGTTGCTGACGACCAAATATCATTCAGTCTTGGGGTCTGCAGGCTTACACCGCCCAAAATTGTCCCGTAGCTGAAGCCCCAATACTTCAGCTTTTCCTGGCCTGTTTGGTGTAGGATTTCAAGCAGATCCCTCGCATGCGAGGCGGTGCTTATATGCGACAATAGGCCGGAGCTGTTCATGTTTCGCTCGCAAACCTGAGATAAAGCGGTTGCCCGCGCGAAAGCATCGTAAATAACGCCCGGGTGTGAATCGACCACGCCAACGTCTTGAAGTTCCCAAAGCCGGCTCTTCTCCTCGGAATGCCAACAATCTACTCGTGGGATAGATGCGCCGATACCTCTTGGATCAAAAGAGATGATATCATGGTTTTTACCCGCAATGGTCTATAAAATTATTAAGAAATGGATCTTATGCGAATAATATTAATAGAAGTCGAACCTGCAAAAGAGCACCACGGTTATCAAGCGCATATACACCAGAACCTCCAGGCCCGCCGGGGTTGAAGAAGATAGGTCCTTTATAATCGTCAAGTTCAGTGGCTCTTAGACGCATAACAGCTAAGATAACGCGGTCGTGGGGATCATCGGACGGGTTGAGCCAGTCCATAGGTACATCCAGCCTTGCGCAATCATAGCTGTCATTGTAGCAGCGGTGCCATTGCAAAATCCTACTGGGCTCAATTTCACTCCACTTCCAATCAGTGAAAGTTGCTTTTTCTGGTTTGGAGTTTGTGAAAAGATGATTTATTATGCGTATCCCATTTAGTTGGCAGAGAAATAATGCTAACGAGAGAAACCCAAGTGTAGTGAAGGTTATCGATTTCCAGTTCCCCCATCGCGATAGTCTCTTTACTTGCCCATGTGGGGGTGGGGCATATTGTTTCTCGTGTAACATATAGTATTGCTGTGTCATCGTGAAAAGCAAAAGTGAAGATGTAAAGACATGGCAGAGCTTTGCTTTAGGAAAGAAGGAAATGAAGACAGTGAAACTAGAAGGAGTTTCTTAGATTAGGTATTTTAAATATCTTAGGTCCTAAGGATGCTGCTACTATCTGTCTAATAAGCCTTGAGTCGGGTGAGACCTACCGCTTTAGCGGCACTGCACAAGACCAAGTAAGTGTTTTGAAGGAAGGAACAGTGTGTATCTCCACGTTCTTTTTTTCCCTTGGTTATCGGCACTACCTAATCGTTGACTTCCGGGATCCCTCTTCCTATCTCTTATCAGATGTTGACAGGGATTTTATGCATTCATGGTTACACATAGGTTCATGTTACATACAACCATTATGTACCTAATGCATGGCACCCTGGTCCGTTTATACCAAGGAATCTCCACCCTCAAATTGACAAGAGTTGGCTTTCATTTTACACAATTCTTTAACTACGTTAATCGTTTCAATCTAACTAGAAACAACTTCACCATGAATTCATCGTTTGCTTGTGAACATCGCTCATCCTAGGTAGCGTAAGACTTCTCTAGCGAGTGGTGAGTTATGAACCCAAGATATTTTGCAAACCAATTGTATCTATACTGATTTTCTAGGTACTTTAGTATCAAATCATTTGTTCTAGGTAGGCTAATAGAATTTCATCAAACACGATTTCGTCGCCTGAATTCCTACACTTCCCCCCAACCTCCCATTTCAATCGATTACTTAGGTGGCGCTGCTGTACCACCGTGAGCGCGGATATCATCCGAATCTCCGTCTGATCTTACTGCTGTGTGACGAAAGGGCACCCTCTTGAAACCTGCTTAATTACGGCTAGGTCCGATGCAGCGATCCGTTTGGTGTAGCCCCCATCTACCTAGGCATCTACCAAGGTACCTAGCAGCTCAGGTAGAGTCATCAGTTCAATATCGATCAAAATAACGAGTGTTGTGAATTAAGCAACTACTTTGATTCAATTGATTATTATCGTCTATCTATCGCCTTTATTTCGCGAATTTCGCTTCGACTTTTGTCTCCTAAGACCATCCGACATGATCTCCGACTCCACGACGAAGGCACCCTTTCTCCTGAGAGGATCGACTTGATTTAGAATAAAATCGTCCATATAGTGCTGTGTTCTCTTTTCTACCGGAGCAAGTTCAGCCAACCGGCTCTGACTGGACTCACTGCCTGTTCTACTTGGGCACCTATTCCATCTATTTCCTCGCTCCTCGCTAACAGTTCGCTGGAGTTCGATTGTATCGTGACCATCGGCGGAGAATCGGTTGGACCGCCTATTCATTGTAATAGTAACTTCTCTAGTCACAAATATCTCTTCCAGCCGAGCTTTCAGTGGTGGCCAGAATATCGGAACGGATGCGCAAATACTGGCTATGTTGACTTCCAGCGCCCCAAGAATGATACTGATAGGGCCGTACCACGTCGGATCAAATGTCGGGTTTGTTGCCGCCCTATGTTCCACAATTGTCGCGAGCCGCCATATCGTTAGAGCATTTACACTATCGAAAATCGTCGGTAAGTCAACCATTAGAGAACACTAGAGCTTTTGCTTACGTTGCGCCCATAATAATTAACCCAATCAATCCGAGTTTCGTCCGCCGGACAGCATCCCGTTGGAAATAGAGCGGCACAGGAAGGGCAAACACGATCATGTCTAAGATCGTATTGACCGCAGTGTGGGACACATAGGTCTTGAAGAAGTCGTTGGCGCTCCTGGACCCGAATGCGTAGCACTTCGCCTCTATCTCCAAATTCCAATAGGCCCTAATGGGAAAACAAGGTACCCAGGCCATGAAAGAATAAGTAGCGCCCCAGAGACTAATAACGACCAGCATCACGATACACATTGTTCGCATAATGCCGCCATGGTAAACGCGTAGGTATTGGAATAGGAGAGAAATCTTGATCAAGGTCGCCGATAACGTGTAAGAGGCATTCGTTACATAAAAGACCTAGAGTTTATTGTTAGACAAGTGTCGGACTATCCCGGATACCAGTTTGCCGCCTTCTTACCTTCAAGTAAGATTGCATGTCGCTATAGCTGAGCTTAACAAAATGCGAGCCCAGTCCATATTGGGGAGCTACAAATATGTTAACATTATTCCAGGGATTTGATATCGATATCGACTCTACTAACCAACGCAGAGTGCCACTCCACCGACTAATCCTGTCACCTAATTGAGTAGTGTCAGCTGTGTATCAATCGCTGCTTCGAAAATTCTTCCTTACCAGGTAAAATAAAACGAAGAGATCATCCCAACCCTTAGCACGAATAACATAGAGTCGAATATAAAGACGGTAAAAGACGCAGATTGAGGAAATACACTGATGAATATCGGCATTAGAAATGTTCAGGCCTAGCCGGTGTGATCCCACTCACGAGCATAGAAGCCGAGACAGTTGCAATAACTCCCGGGCGATTCCATGACGGTACCGGGTCGTTGAGGTTGTTGTAGATTCCGATACGGTCTACCAGCAACTCTTCGGCCATGATTAATGATATTCCCCGTAGAGTGTTCAGACTCTAGACATTCTGTACTCGTATGCGACTCGTCGTTATGGTCCCCGAACCCGATGCTTAAAATCCAACCTTGTTCATTTTTCGGACAATGGTCAAAGTCGTCGAAAATTGACCATATTGGCGACAAAATGCCGAGAAATCAGATCGGTGCGGAATTGGCCCCATTTTGAATCTCGATGGGAGTCTTTATCAAGTTTCAACCATACCTTTGCCCCTCTCGCCCCTTTTCTCTTCCCACCTAAAGTACGTGAAGAAAGACTCGCCTGGCCCGGTCCAACATTTCCCAACCAATAGCGTGCATTACCGCCAGGGGTATTCCCTTCCTACACGCTATGATCCCTAAATTACGGGCATGGTAAGGCTGGGGAAACCCACTGTACTGGGTCGCTAGAGCTCTTGGTGCGGCAATACTAGTGTTCACTACGCATTTTCAAGGATCTAGCATCAGGGCTACTCGACTATACCATCCCCGAATCGGAATAAAACCTCACAAATCAGCCCACCGTATCCTGCCAAACGATAACTATATTATTGGGGAATCGCCCACGAACCTCATATAAGAGACTAACAGCTACAAGAGATGCTAGATGCAGAACTACCTTCTGCCATTACCTTATATATCCTGGCTAGTCGCTAATCAGTCCCTTAGATGTCAGGTACCCTTCCATGTCAAGGTCTGAGGTTTAGCATCCTAGCGCCTTTAACATGTATTCAACTTATGTCTAGAAGGCGTCCTTGAATGCGATTGGTTCAACTAACTCCTCAGCGCTGGGACCGCCTGGACTTTCAGCAGCACACTAACCATCCTCATAGGATATTAGAACGTTCGTTCACCAAACTATTGGTATGCTAATATAGCTGACGTTCGTAAGAGAGAAGGGTATGGCTGCTGCGACAGCGATTTTATAATATCGCTGAATTTTTTATAACATGTCCAACTGATCCAATTATAAACATCCCTATTAATAACTTGGTGGTGAGTTTACGCTGGACCTGAAGGTGTCGTGTTATCGTCTACCTACCTTCAAATATCAGTACACCTGTGGAGTTAGGCTCACCACCTGTCATGAGAGTTGGCATACCGATAGCCTAAGATACTGACTAGCGTATGGCATGTAATTCTTCTAATAATATGGTTATAGTATGATTAATCAACGTAAATCTGTCGCCGACAATGCATCATGAGATATCTACCAAGGTATAAGTATCTGACAAAGATTTTCGTGAAATATTGGTGGCAATCAGCTCTGTTGCGGGCTTTGCTTCAGCGAGCAAGAGGAATATTTATTGTTAAGCTAAGGTGATACGAATTCCCATTGGTTCATGGCTGCTTACATTGCGATAGTTTCCCTATATATTCGGTGCGTCTTTCTCAAATAGGGGACACATGAGGCGAAATGTAACCTCGTGATGTTACCACGACTTTCCAGGTAACCGCTTAACCTGTCGACAAGGCGGAAAGCGTGTATGCTGGGATAGGTAGAGTAATATTAGTAATATGTCCATTGGCTAATTCTTCAAAAAGTTGAAAAATTGATTCGATATGTTTGAGTCGTCCTTTCTGATGACGCCATCTTCGCGAGAGTATCATGAGTTGTTCCACTGTTCTTCTAAACAATACGACGATCATTTCTAGTCTCCAAATCTTGCGGTACCTATCCAGAGAGTCAACTAGGGTATTGATCCGTCGGTGACCAAAATATCCATTGAAGATGGTCATTTCCTTGCGGAGCCAAAATCGAAGGGATCCCTTTCTCGACCGCTCCGAAACCTAATGCCATTGAAAATCGATTTACGCACTTGATGATATATCAACTTCGTAACGCACTCACAAATAGTACTTATAGTTATTAATAAGTGTGGATTTTCTCATTGACTTTCCTTCATAAGCTTATTATAGCTGATGGAAATGCCAGAAGCCGATTGGTTGCCTCAAACTACCCCCCTTCCCTCTTCAAGATATGTACCTAGGTATATAAGCATGTCGCTTACGACCGATCTTAATAACAATATTGGCATTAAAGCGAGTAAGACGATAATGGCAGGCTTCCATAAAAGGAAACTCGACGTTGAACTATGAAGATCCACAATATCGCTTAGAACATGACCACCAAGCATGCTTCTACATAAATAAGCCTTCAATTCTTCTCCTGAGTTGAAAATACCATTCCGAAACCAAACACTTCCATCACAGACAAGATTCACACCACCCTTCACCATGAAGACCACCGCTCTCATCAGCTCAGCCCTCCTCTTCGGCGCTAAGAACGTCTTAGCAAACAATGCTATCTCCGACAGCGCATTCTCGCAGAACAGTGGGATTGCTGCCGCCCAAGCTGCTGCTCCGATGTGGTATATGGCCTCCGGAACCTGTATGCCTTCAGCGGCAGAAGATGGCCAGGGCCACCAGACGAACGGTGTAGATACTGACAACTGCAACATCAACAAGTTGGGAAACGGTTGCCCTCCCCAGCCAGCTTGGCAAGGTTCCAACACCTGGTATGGAAATATCCCGGGAGAGCCTTTCGACCATATTCCAACATACTACAACGTTGTGAAATGTGGTAACCAGTGGAAGATCATCTACTACGTATACTTCAAGAAGGATACCGGCCACAAGAGCGATTGGGAAGGAGTTGTGATTGCTTTCAACGACCAAGGTGGTGGAAGCTGGACCCGATCTGACATGGGCATGGAGCAAGGTACGTAACTTTCCAGTTAGTCCCGTCTATACATAGATCACTAACATGGTATTGTAGACGGAAGTCACCCATGGATCAACTGGGGTGATATCAACGACACGTTTGACGGGTGAGTATCCTCCAAGCTCGTCTAACTGAGTTAAATGGAATACTAATCTTGAGGCTTAGCGATGACGATTGGCCGAACTGGGGCCAGAAAAACAGAGACCACGCGAAGGTCTACTTTGGAAAATGGCACCACTCCGCGCACACTGATTGGCACACAACCACTTTCAAGAACACTTGCCCTCCTAACTCTGCTAACGACTTCCGCAACTCCGACTACCAGTTTTGGTCTCGAGACAATTTGCGCCATGTCTCGGTCCTTAACCCTAGCTGGGACTGGGGCAAGGCTGGTTCGCCAGTTAACATCGATGTCTGCTCGTTCTAGACTACGAAAAGGAGCACTGCTTTAATAGATCAAGATTGGAGGAGCAGCAATGGAGGCTTAACTATCGAGTTGGGAGATCTACTGTCATTCCCATGCCACTGAGCCTCTTGAGTATATAGGCCTTGTCCATTCTCATCATCGCCGTTATCTAGCCCCTATTTTCATTCCCTGACCTGCCCCATGTATATAGACTTCACTCCACACCCTTAGATACTTAGCTAGAAAGACTGCTTCAACAGCTGCCCTACTTAGCTAATCGAGAAACTACCCCAATTCGCTGTGCCATTTATCCTAGGTGCAGAGAGGGACTTATAGATGCTGACTTATCTTCTACGGTTGTACCAGTAAGAGGTAGTCATTTATGCTAGGATAAGCCAACTTAGGTTGCCGCGACGAGGCCATGTTGACACGAAACCGAAGTTCAGCTACCTTCATCTCTAGTAGTCTCCTCAATATGGACGACTCCCCCTTTACCATCAACCTCTACCCCACTCCTCCTCGCCAATGTGCTTTCAATACCGAAAAGCGCAGACATCTCCTCTAGTGTCTTGCCTCTCGTTTCCACTAAAAAGATGTTAGTATTAGGTCTAGAAGAAGGTGAACTCATTCTATGCTTACCCATTGCGTATCGCACAAACACAAATGCTACCACACAGATGCAAGAGTAGATGATGTAGAGACCCCAGCCAATAGCTGATGCGATAGGGGGGCTCGCCTGCGCAACCACGTAGCAACTAAGCCATAGGCTCGCAGTCGAGAGCGCGTTACCCTTTGCCCTGTACATGACCGGGAAAATCTCTGTAGCATAAGTCCAACTTCCGACTCCCCAACTTATGTTGAAGAATACGTAGAACAAGTAGGGGAAAGCGACAATTGCGTAGTTCCCATTGTCCCCAGGGTGACCTTCAGCGTGCCATTGTAGGACAGTTATGCCTATCATCGCACAGCACATTCCACAAAGTCCTATCTGCAACCATACCTTGCGGCCCAGGCGGTCGAACAAGAAGATGGGGATCCAAGCGAAGACGAATAAGACAATGCCGACACCTCCCGTAGCGAGATTCGCGGTCTTGGGGTCGGTGATCCCTCCACGTTCGAAGAGTGATGGCTAATAATTCTCAGTATGAGAACACTGATAGAGGAAGTGGGATGCTTACGGTGTAGTAAAGAATTGAATTGGTCCCCGTAATTTGCTGGAAGAATTGCACACCCATTGCGAGTAGCGTGACTCGTAACACTGGCGGCTTGAACATGTCGCCCCATGTCGCTGTAGTCACGGCCTTTTCGAATGCGACTTCTTCAGCTATTTCAGCCATTTGTCGATCAGCAGCCTCATCACCATGAAGTCGAGCAAGTACTTCGCGAGCGCATTGGTGTCTATCTTGCTGCACCAGCCAGCGGGGGCTGGGCGGTACCCAGTACCAACAACCAATTGCTAAAACGACCGCTGGGATAACTTGGATGGCAAGCGGAATGCGCCACCAGTCTGGAGTCTCCAGAAAGTTGAATCCATAATTCAACCAGAAAGCTACTAATTCACCAAAGCACAGAATCATTTGCTCAATTCCAATAATTCGGCCTCTAAGCTTGGCTGGAGCGATCTCAGAAACGTAGAGAGGAACACCACCAGCGCATGTGCCAACACCATATCCTAAAATTACTCGTCCAATTGTAATTGAAGTGATGTTATAGGATGCAGATTGTAGTACAGCGCCGACGACGAAAACAGCACATGCGATGGATAATGTCCGTTCGCGACCGCAGTAGTCGGCAAGGAATCCGATAGACAGTGCGCCTATCAAACATCCAATATCGTAGAGTGAGACTACCGCTCCGGTAACCCAACTGTTGGCCGGCCTCATTAAGGAGTTCCACCTAGCATCCGCTACGATAACGCCCATAACTCCTTGGTCTATTTATGCCCATCGCAATTAGCCTGCGGCTGATGAGTATATTCGGTGCGCCTGAGACTTACCATAGCCAAACAGCAATGCGCCAATGGAGACGAAGGCAGTGAGAAGATAAACATAGCGAAGATTCGCAGAGCGAGTTCCTACTTCGCCGGCCGCCCGACGAATCGGCTTAGTCTGTTTGATGTCGAGCATTTTCAAGGTCTTGGATGCGCCTTTCTAAAGCATAGCGTCGCGAAAAAAAGAGGGAAAAACAAGAAAACTAGTCAAACAAGAGAAAAGAACTATTATATACTCGAAGGTATTTGACAAGGATTACTCCTAAGGGAAAGGGCTTTGCAAGGTAACAAGCGAAGAGATTATCATCTACACCTTGACTCCATGCTAGGTAATCATGGCTATAGCAGTGGAGAACAGAAGCCCCCCCGCCGACTTTGTGGGGGATATGGGGAAGATGCAAGAATTGATCTGGGGTGCTGATCAAAAGAGCTAAATTCCCCGGTAATGATGCTTGACTTACATCCCAATTCTGCTAAGATCAGCGTCCAGTCGAGTATTTTCGCCATATCAAAGCGCCGAAAACTCGAATCCTGACCCCAACGGTAGAACGCCAAGCCAATCAGAAGTCATGATCCTTCACCATTGCCGACAACGGCAGGCTATCGGGTAGGTCAACTTCCTGATGGCTCATCGGATATATCCGACTCCTCTTGCCATCGGAAGTTAAGCCGGAACTTGTGTTACCCTGCGGAGTCCATCCAATATTCATCTTTTTTACACACAGGTCTCCCCTATTCTATTTAGGTAGGTGTAGTCTTGCTCATATCGCATCGAAAGAACCGGCCTTCAATATAAATACAGACTTTTTTATCAACGAGAATTATACACTTTTTTATCTATCTACGTGTAATCATGCCGCATGCTGCAACGCCACCACCCCCTTCAACTCCTCTTTACGTCAACGATGGCTTGTTCGATGAAGACCAAGTCGGCTTCCTCCGACCTTCGTCCCCATCCGAACCCCTAGACGACCTCCGTCAGCGCTTCGAGCGGGATGGCTATCTGTTTCTGAAGGGCCTCATCCCTCGCGATGATGTCCTCAAAGCCAGAGAAGCTTATTTTAATCTTTTAGCCCCCAGCGGAGTTCTTGCTCCGGGGACACTCCCGGTTGAGGGTGTATTTGACGGTAACAAGGACAAGTTGGACTTCCCGGGAATGGTACGTAACCCGAATTAACTGATTCAACTTCTTATTATCCATTGCTAACACCATCATCGTCAGTGCGTAATATTTTAATATTTCGTAACGTACTTCGTGGATGTTGTGCATTCTTGATTGATCGCCAAGACCCATTGGTATCAAGACACCTCACATAGGCTATGAAAAGCTGATGTTCAATAGAGGAGCTGGCTCTACAGATGGCAATGGGCGCCCGCGTGGTGGCATTTTCGTCGACCTCGCTCTGCAAGCCCACGCAGAGCCCTGGTATAAGGACGAGTTCTGCAAACATCCGGCATTGCGCTCCTTCATCGCCAGTCTCACGGGGTGGGGAGAAAATACTCTCGGCCTGACTAGGTCCCTCCTAAGAAACAACACCCCACACAATAAAGCAATTGGCGTGCATTATGACCAGATCTTCCTCCGTCACGGCGAAGATACTAGCATGACTGCATGGGTGCCCATGGGCGATATTTCCTTAGATGGTGGTGGCTTGATCTACTTGGAGAATGGGCACACGCTTGGCCGGGAGTTGGAGAAGGATTTCTATGACCGAGCTAAGCAGACAGGACTGACAGAGGCTGAGGCGAAGGACGCATTCAATAAGAACATGATGAGCGGGGGCTTACTGGCAGACGGTCCAAAAGATTTCGGTAAAGTATACGGACGGAGATGGCTGGTTACGGACTATGAGGCCGGCGATGTCGTGCTGCACACGCCTTATACGGTAAGACTTTGACTCTAGGATTGAGAAAGTCCTAGCTGACGATCATGATAGATCCATGCTTCGACAATCAACAAAGATCCGAAGAATGTTATTCGGCTCGGTACGGACTTAAGATTTGTCAACTCATCTAGGCCGTATGATACAGTTAGTACGATAATCCTCCTTAGGCAAGCATTTTACTAATCGTTCCAATAGCGATGGGTCAATATTTACACCTTTGGGGATGGTGTATAGTATAGAGTAGTCGTAGTTACCTAGGTACGGATTAACCGAACACATTATTTCCTTAACTCCGGGGCGTCGTGCGAGTGTCATATATCCACCCAACTGGTTTATGAGATACAAGACCCAATCAGAACAGAGTAAGGCAACTATTAGCAACTACATCCCGGTTTAATTAGTTAATGTACTGCACATGGCAAAAGTACCTAGGTGCCAGGTGCTTACGCCAACCTCAAGTTTTATCTTCATAATAATCGCTTGAAGGAGTATAGTGTAGGAAGGTGTGTCGACCCTAGGAGATAATAGGCTCTCCAAGAACACTAAAGAATATACTGTTGGTTAATATGAACGAGCAGTAATCAGTAGTTCACCGCCATAAAACTGCTATACTCAAGTGGAACTCGCTGATCACTACGTCTACTGGCTACAAGGGTGCGATGTTACGAGAGAAACCCAACACATAATCGCATACACACCAAGAGTGCTTCGCCTTATACACACAGCAAGTACCTGGGTAACCAACTAGAACCACTTTAGAGATGTCAAAAAGAGGAGCCTACTAGGATTGAAGTGGTCTGGTTCCCGCGGAGGCCCGAACCACCATAAGCCAAACTTGAATCCTTTCGCGATCCACTCTTTGCTCTAATCATGGTCGCATCGATTTTAGTACTTAAAGGTAACTCCGGGAGGTGTTGGTGCTGGGGGAACATAGTTGAAAATCATTCCATCAATTCACGATGACGAGCCCCTCGTTCTTAAAAGATGTGCAATGGCCTGCTGGAACTCTAGTCCATTATCCGGAATCCGAGGCCTTCACCAATTCGACAGCACGATGGTCGATATACAAGGCCCCTAGCTTCGCGGCTGTCATTTCACCCCCGGATGAAGAGTCTCTAGTTAGTATTGTAAGGATACCAAGCATAACTATCAAAGATACCAAATAATAACTTGTCATAGGTAAAAGTAGCTAGGGCTGCGAAGATACCCTTCCTGGCTACATCAGGCCGTCACGGATATGGGACGTCGCTCAGCAGGCTGCAGAATGGGTTAGCTATCGACCTTAGCAAGCTGAAATCAGTTAAGATTGATAAAGACTCTTCAACTCTGACGATCGGTGGTGGGGTCCAAAATTGCGATGTGATGGAACCTATTCATGAGGCGGGATATCAACTCCGTATTTCCAAACTATTTTCCGATTTCATTGGAAGTTAACTGACAATTTGAAGCCATTGGTACTAGCACACAGGTTGGGTTGGTCGGTGCAACGCTCGGTGGTGGCATCGGAGCCTATCAAGGTCTCTTCGGCTTAATTACCGATTCGCTTCTTTCAGTGAGACTCGTAACGGCGGATGGCGACGTTGTTGAAGTGTCGGAAAACTCGAACTCGGATCTATTCTGGGGTATTCGCGGCGCCGGATGTAACTTCGGCATTATCACCTCTGCAACGGTATGGAAGCATCACGTCTTGAACCATGGCCACTCGAGCCTCCCTTTTTTTACACGGTCCGATTCAATTGGGAATTTATGACTAATATGCACTTCCACGTATAGTACCGGCTTCATAAACCTGTCAATGCCGCGCAAGTTATGACAGCTGATGTGATCTATCCGGGTAGTATGAAGTCGGCATATTTCGATGTTTTGAGAACATTCGAAAATAATGTGCCAGCAGAACTGGCTATAGTCCCTGTGATTTCATGGGATGCGGCCTCCAATGCGGTATGTACCAGGCGTTTATTGAATGAGTTCGTTGGGATATTGACCACGATTGAAGACTCAAATCATCTCCACGTTCGTCTACAGCGGTCCAGAATCTAAGGGCCGCGAGGTTCTTGCGCCATTCCTCGACCTCAACCCTCCTGTTGTTCGGCTAAGCGTCGTTCCGTTCCATCAGATGCCATATGCAGTGATTTTCGGCATGATATCTACCCTTGAAACCCCAGGCGGCATCCACGACATATTCACTGTCAACGTTCGTAAATTCTCTATTGACACATTCAACTCGGCTTTTGAGAAATTTGATGCGTTCTATAAGGCCAATCCAGATGGACGCTTGAGTGTCGGGATATTCGAGATTTTCCCTACGCAAGCCGTGGCTGCTGTACCAGACGATGCGACGGCATATCCTTGGAGAGATGCGAAAGGCAACTTGTATGTGGACACTTTATGCAACAGTCATAGTTTTGAAAGATACGAACTAACGCGCATTCGCCACGTAGCATGTTCCAAATGATGTGGACGGGTTTAGATAATCCTGTTGAAGAAGCGGCGAATGCTCTTGGTCGGGAGTTGCGCCAAGATTTCGCGGCGACGTCAGGATATGACGACCTATCGGTATACGTGAGCTATGCCTATGGCGACGAGACACGAGAACAAATATTTCGCAAGGATAAGCTACCCCGCCTAGTAGCCCTAAAGAAGAAATGGGATCCGGATAACGTCTTCAGTTATAACAACCAGTTGCCGACGAGGTATCCATAAGTAGGTACCTAGGTAGTTACTGGCTCCTTACGGATGATGTCGACTGGGAATCATACTAGCAGCTCATAGAGTAAAAGGTTGAATGAATGAATGCCGCTATTTTGGCATAACTAGCAAAATTTCGAAGATATTATCCTGTAACGAATTGGTGCATATATTCGTAGTATACTTAGGTACAGTAATAGTGTACATAACACAAAGCACTTGATGTACCTAAGTCGAGTCGCGAATTGGCTTCTATTTACGCCATCGAAGCGGGCGAGGCTGGAGATTATCTGAATACCGCTTAAATCCTTCACAATCTCCCGTCAGTTCTTAAATGGTGTTTAAATGCTCCTTTGTAGCCCATTACCCGTTGCTGTAGGGGCTGGTGCGTTAGGTTCGCCGGTTGTAGCGGAATGATGTGTCGAAGCAGGCCGTTCTGCATCGGAAACTCCTTTGCGTTCCCATTCTCGTCGTGCCAACATATCATCTACATTTCGAACGTCTTGTTTCCCTTTTTCTGCAATAGTTCTGTTCTTTAACTGAGATGATTGGGTCTCCGGGTGATTCTTGTTGTCGAATGCTTGGTCGGTGGCATCGAGTACTTCCCCGCGGATCGCGTCTCCCACGCCGCGGATACCTTTGATGCCGGTCTTGACGTCTTCGACAATTTTCGACATGATTGTAATTAAATTAGAGTTGAAAGGATTGATAAATTTCTTTCCGTGAGCTTAATGAGTACATAAAGAGAAGAGAATGGTGATAAATATATAAACGGCAAAGATAATGGTGAGTGATGTATGACGTATTATGCATGTCATTCTGATCTTTTAGGGTGCCCCACGTAGCTACCCGCCTAGAAAATAGGCATGCGGGGTACTTGGATAGGCGGGACAGGCAGGTAGACAGGTACCTATCGCATCGTAGATTCCTTGGGTTTCCAAGGTTCTAAACCATAGATTCTACTACCTAGATCTGATGTCATGATTGGTCAAAACTATAATGGCCATGTGGGATGGTTACCGTAGGTGTGGTTACGACCCCCGAAAAAAAGTGGAAAGTTCATTAAGTGCCGGAACTTACGCCTCGACGCATTAGTTAGACAATTAGACAATATCACCATTCTTCACTTAAGGATGCATGTATGAAAAGAAGACTTTTTAAAAAGAGATCCCCTGTGATTTTTCCTGTGATTGTAATCAATCAACTACTTGTGCCTAGTTCATCGCAAACCATCCATACGATATAGATCAAAGGAAAGTCGAGTTCTCATCCCGAATAACCACTGTAAATCCGCCTCAATACGCCATTCTGTCTGCAAGTATGAGGCTATGTAGGCATAACCTTAGTCGACAACACCCTCACCATCATCCTCTTCTTCCTCCCCCCCCTCTTCCTTCATGGCAGCAACTGGCTTCTTAGCCTCAGAGGCTTCGTTCTTGACGGAGGCTTTGGCAGCGGTAGACTTCTTGCCACGGGTTCGCTTAGGAGGACTAGCGGGGGCGGCGGCGTCACTATCGTCGCCGGTGGTGTCGCCAGCCTTTCTCTTGCGGGGTGTCTTGGGCTTAGCCTTGGGAGCTCGCTTGGCAGGAGCCTTGGTGGGGGTAGAAGTACTCTCGCCATTGTCGTCACCCTCGGCCGTGGAAGCAGCGATCTTCTTGCGTACACCTGTCGAGTATGTTAGAATAATATGATTCCGTACTCGTCAGTAGCCTGCCTAATATTTGGCAAGCATAGTATGATACGATATGGCGGTTAAGCATGCAACGCGATAGACATATGATGTATTATTGATACGGAGGAGTATTAACTTACTACTAAGGACGTTACTGACGCTCTTGGGATTGGTGTATCCCGTAAGCTTGGCAAGCTTCTCAAGATCAATCTACGAGAAGAGAATTAGAATATTGTCGCCAAAAAAAAAAAAAAAAAAAAAAAGGCCATTAATCGTTTAGGTGGAAGATAGAGGTCATTAGATACGTACCTCAGGGTTGGTCTTGAAGCACTTCCAGGCCATAGCGAGAACCTGGGTCTCCTTCTCGGTAATATCCTTGGGCGCCATCGTAATAGTAGAGATTGGTCGAGACGAAAAATTGGGATCTAAAGATTGCGGATATTAGAGCGGTGTGTTCCAGGTTTAGAAAATAAAAATAGAAGAGTAGATTCTATTTTGATTTTATCAATACGGGAGGAAAATGTTTACAGGCAGGAGAGTAGGTAGGAAAAAAAGGTGGGTGACGATTTGTGTGTAGGTACAATTTGGGAAGAACCAAGTGTAGCAGGGTAGGTACTTACCTCGTGGAAAGGTATACGCGCTGAAACTATTTTATGGTTATGGTAAGGACAGAGAATGTTTAAGGAAGGAATAATAGAAAGTTGAAATCTACTCGGTCAATGTGATGGATATGCTTTTTTTTTTTTTTTTTTGAAATGTCTGGTTTCTATGGCGTTCGTGAGTTGACCGTGAATTGTTGAACGTGATAGGGCGAGTTTCTATGGGCAACAACGCGGTTATTAATCCCTGTCAGTTAAACTATTCACCACCTATCAGTTGTTCCCCTCATACAACCCGCACTTGATCAACACAGAAAATGCAAAGGTAGGCCATCAAGTATTAGAAAATATAGGCTGGACTTCTAGCCTTCTTAATATCCATTACTACCTGAATGTCCAGGTATTTACCATGTTAGTTAGACAAACGATACAATGTAAAAATACCAAACCCTCTATAGGTATCTTATGAGTTTGTATTTCATCTTGATTTTAGGAGCATTACCCTAGCACCTAGGTATTCCTTGCATCGTGACTCCAAGGCCGTGGCATCACACCTGCAATGCGCATCTTGGTTATCCCTGCTAAACACCGTTTATGAGTTTTTTTCTTGCTCGCCAACATCGAAACTTGCCCATTTATTGTATTTGTTGAATTTGTTGCATTCTCGTTCGTAATCGTTGTTCTTCCTCATCAAGTTCTGCCAACTCCATCAACCGCGTTCTTCTCGCTTCTAACTTCGCTTGCTCGGCTATTAAATATGCCATTTCCTGTTGTGTTTGGGAACTCTCCGTACCGGCTACAGACCTAGAAATTCCTGCGGTTCCAGACATCTCGGCGGCTGTCGGGGCACTGGTAACTGAATTATGGCCACCAGGAGGTATAGTAGCGGAGAAATCGACACCGGGACTGGCTTGCGACGATGGCGATTTACCTGAAAATGTGGGATCCTGTAGGCGCACGAACCCCACTACAGAAGGTGTTCCTTGACTTTGGGTTAGGTGAGATCCCCTGACTGCAGTATCACCTAATTCGGTAGGCTGGGGGACGGGAGAGTAATAGACCACAGCGCCAGTTTTTGGGTCGATATATGATGCGTATCCTGAATACGGAGATTGGGGATACCCTTGGCCTTGCTGTCCCGGACCTGACATCGGTGGATACTGGTGGGCTGAAGGTTGTGGCATAGCCGGCGACTGCCCGACGGCACCTGAGCCATCCGCTCGCTTTCTACGATATCGCAAGATGAAGAAGATCGCCAATCCAATACCCAAAAGACCAAGCAAGCCGACACCGACACCAATTCCAACTTGAGCACCGGTAGATAACCCGTTCTCGCCATCTTCTGAGTCTGACGATATTACCGTTACTGTTGCGCTAGATGATGATTCGGTCCTCGTCGTGCCACTATGAACTGCCGAAGTTCCCGCGAGTATTAAACCAGGCGTCAAGGGATGCGTCTCTAGGATGGAAAGGTCGCTCTCGGCCCATCTTATTTGAATCATCACTTGTGCATATGATAAATCGGTGTTTGTCGCATAGTAATTCCATTCATCTGGGGCGCAGGAATAATCGCTATATACAATTAGGTATTGTTGAAACAATATGGACTACCATCAACTACATACCTCATGACACAAAGCACAGCAGTTTCGGTAGACTCGACGGGTGGACCCTGGCCGTAACGCGAACAACCGATCGTAAATCCACTCGGACAGATAGCAGGTGAGTAATAGTACGTTTCGAAGTAACTCGCATACCCAGGCGGAGCGCATTTCGTATGTGACGTCCAAAACAGATCGATATCGGTCGTAGAACGAGTGGAAACTGGAAAACAGCCTTCCGAAGCTGTCCATACGGTAGTTAGTGCAGCGACGGGAGGGGTTCCATCATGATCGAGAGAGGTTGCTCGCACCGCGAGGGCCGTCGGCATAGCGGTTATAGTAAGTGGTGCGAGTCCCATTGTTGTTCTGATTATTGATCTAAATAAATGAGTGACAGTCTACAATTTAGCGGCTCGAAAAGTATTTGACCTGACAATCTTTCCACACACCCGTGTCACGGAAATAACTCAGACTGCCAGTCACAAAAGGAGGGAACTAAGGATAAGAAGGGGTGAAGGAAGATAGATATGACCCCTATACACACATCGCATGACTCCCAAAGGTAATTCTCTCTCATTTGACCTTTTCTATCACCTCACCGTCCCAAGATCATCTAGCGGAGTCTCATCAGAGCGCCCAAGGCTCGTGTTCTCTTGGCGTATAACCATGATAGAATTGGAACCAATGGCGATGATACTAAAACACAAGGGTAGGGCTCAATGTAGCTGCAAAGGTACTTTCTTCCTTGCACTAAACTTCGAATTTGGGTTAGCCATGCTTGGGACGTTGACGCGCCTTGTAGCTCATCTCAATTCGTCAGGGATCTTAAGAGTCTAGAATGTTGAGAAATTTTCAGGTTCTAGGCAGGGCAGGCAGGGGTAGCATTTCAGCTCGAAACCGAAGCACGAAATTAAGCGAGACGGGCGAGAGAGTGGGGATCATCGTCAAGATCATCTCAGCTTCGGAAAATTAAAGCTGCTTACTCTATCGTGATGGCGAGTCTTATGTCTGAAGGTATTTGAATGACTAGTCGTACCTTCAGATACAAGTCTGCTCGAGATACTATCCAAGCAGACCTTGGTAGATGGCATTGTGACGACTTGTATAGGTAGAAAACTGGTCATCGTTCTTTGTATTGACAAGCTTGGCCTTTCTGTAGGGCTCGAGAGGGACCAGACTGCCAGATTAGCGAGTGTAAGCACCTATATATATGGGTAATAAGTACCCATCACCGCCGCAAAATTGGGGAACTCTGTCGCATCTTCAGCTGTAGGAGCACCAACAGTTTTTATCCCATATCTCTGCAGGTTGCACAAGTCCCTGATTTAGTTTACCATATTGATCTTATTTCGACTATTAGGTATAAGTAATAGATCCTCGTGGAGATCATTAATTCTACCAAACAACGCGCACCATCCCGACTTTGTGCCCGATTAGTATATAAATAGAGATTTAACCCGACTGCTGTTAGACGTATCGGTTCCCTCTATTCTTCCGCCCATTCCCTCAATTGCAACTCTTGCTTGCTTTATTTGGGTTTCCCGGATTGTGTGTAATCGTAGGCGCGCTCAGGTACCTTGCGCTCCGCTGCGACTTCCTCCGCGCTGGCTGGGATGCGCTCCGACGCCGAAGGGTAATCGACGCTTCCCTTACCTCTTGTGCCTTTCTCTACTCCCTCGGGTAGATCAGCCCCCTTCTGACGGACAGTGTCGCCCACGCTGGCCCCAACGCCTTCCAGGCCAGCATGCTCCTTCTTTCGTCGTCCTTGATTGTCACCATGTAACTCCGCCCCCGTTTGTCCCTGAATTGGCTTACCCAAGCCAGTATGGACTGCTTGGGACGTGGTTCCGCCAAGTGTATCAGTGGGATTGGTTAATCGTTGGGCTTCGACATTTGGAGCCTCAGCCGGAGTTTCGCCTTCGGGTCGCGGTTGAAACGTGTGTTCCCGTGGAGCAGTACCCGGAGCGTGCTGTTCTATGTGAAATTCTGGGACGGCCTCATTGCCAACCTTGACACCAGGCTTATGGCCGGTAGTGGTCAGGGGCTCTGAGGGTGGCACGCGGCTATGAAATTCGCCCTGGTGGGCCATGGATTCGGTGTTTCTAGTTGCTGACATTGTAATGTTTTTCTAGCTGTTGTATTTGAATGGTCGGTGCAGCGAGTAGATTTACTATACAACTAAGACCAATTGGTTGAAGAGACGAGTTGATAGTGTATAGGTAGGAAATAAGAAACGAATTTGCTTAGACTTGAAAGCTATATATCAATTCGACCGTCAGACTTCGCCTTTCTATGATGTCAAATGGAATCCAGGAACGAAATGGAATCGAAGCAATAAAGATAGGATTTCGCGAGTTGACGTCACAAATCTGCAATAAGGAGAAGAAAGGGGAAATAGATAAACTCTGACTTATGGGACGTGTGATACGTTATTGCGTTTGCACCTTCCACTGCGCTTCTGTTTTTGACGTGATGACAACATCATCGGAGGTTTTGCTGCGGGCTGCCGTGTTGTATCTACGATCGGTCGACTTGTGTTACCATCCATTATCACGGAGTTGTAGGCATTCTTATGCTCCTGTCTGTATGGTCGACGTTGATACGCACATACGAAATAAAATATATAATTAATCCGCAATTAAGAATTTTGTCTGTTCGAGTTTGCTTTAATAGTATGCAGAATTAATAGGGTACATGTTTATATAGTAGGTGTAGGTACTGACGTCATCCATGGGAATGGCTACAGGTACGTACTGTGAATAGGGCTGATTATCGCAATGCGACGTCAACTTGCCAGCTTGGCTTCAGAATGATACCCCTCCAAGGATCTTAATTGTAAACCCAATGTAAATGTAAATAAACCGAGTTCTACGACTCCGATCTTTGGGGAATGTGAAGGGGAGTGTCTAATGGAAGATTGAGTGCCCTTTAATTCTGGTTGCCCTGTGCAAATGCAGAGAAAGATACGGTTGATCAGCCAACCACCGATCTACAATTAATCGCGGCTAGCATTATCAACTCTAGATTGGAGCCTTTAAACTTTTAATGCTTTGGCTTAATGGTAATTGTTGGGAAGTTAAGGAAGACCTAGACTTAGTTTATAAAAACAATATCGATGCATATACCAACGTAAAGAGATATATATATTTGATATCGCTATATACAAGCTTCTTTCAAGAGGAAATTGTCCGTTGGATTCAAGTACCTTGGCCTATATTTCTCACTATCCTCGGCTGTTTCAGGTCGCTTGCTACCTGCTAGTAATGGCATTGGCGGGTCGATCGGCGGTTGCTGGGCCGAATCGTGGTGGATACCCTGAAAGATGAGCCAATCAACTCCAACTGCATCTTGAACACGCCTAACTGTATATGTTAGGAGCTAAAGCTTAATTTGGTTAGAATTGGCTGTTGTATCGTGATTTCATGGTATTGTGTACCCCACACGCAGGAACCGGACAGGGGTTCTGGTAGGCTTTGTAGGCTACTCCGGCGATTTGGTCAGCTTTCTTGTAGAGGGGAAAAGCAAAAGTTGGAGGTGCTGCCGTCAGCGCCTACACAATACGAATAATCTACCTACAGTACCTAGATAGGTAGGTACTTCTAGGTAGGCGCTATGTAAATACGAGACCATCCTACAAACTTGGAAACGTTACAATTACCATGCCTATTTCCTGCTATTTCCTTCACTACTTGCTTACGAATGTGGATATATCACCTGGATTATTCTCTCTAATTTATTTACCTAGTTACATTTGCACAATTTATGTGCGACAAGAGAATTATAGTAGAACCGACGGCGCATGTTACTGACGACAGAGCCTCCACCGGATCACTTGGCACAGCCTCGGAGGTTCATCACCTGTTTACATATGAATGGATGAGAGAAAAAATTAAAGGTAGCAAGGGGGGTTAGATTGATTGTTCAGTGGTTAAGACCGGTGCGCCGGGTATCTACCTCATCTATCTATTTCTAGATTAGGTTTGGATCTGCATTAGTCTCAAACGCTCAGCATTCCCACATCGTCCCTCATCGCTCGTTGTTCGGACTACTTGCTGCATAACAAACCACCACTACCTATTATCATTCTCAGCTTTTACATCGAAATTGTTTAGTCCCTTCTTCGGCCAACTTAGTGTGCTTTACTGCCACTACCGCTAAAAGCAAACTTGGTCAACACTATATACCTACACTACGGAAACTGAACCTGGTATGTAACGAAGCTCAGCCCATCCCATCCCATCGTATGTATATATCACTTCCTCGTATTGGATTTACTAACTTCTCACATACACATACGTATGTAGTTTAAGGGAATTCCAGGTATGTAAGAGAGGATACATACATTTTCAGTATATGTTTATACCAAATGTTTATTCTTCACGTTTATGTTTATGCCAATGTTAAACATACCATATTACATCACATCGCATCATTTTACCTTTCCAATTAACCAGGTACTCCATGCAATTGCCTACATCCACATCCACATCTACATATTATCTACATCTACATCCTATGTATCCATATATCTATTTACGTACCAATTGTTCGTATTCTTTGGCTCTTTCTGTACTTCTTGGTCTAACATGTGTAGCCCGTTACTGACCCACATCCAATACAGTTCATACAAAGTAGTGGTTACCTAAAATCGGTCCCTTCTTCAAAGTCCCAGGTCCTTGTTTAAGGGGGGTCCCCTGCCTCCTTTCACCTTTGTCCCCCCCCTTCTCAGCCTCTGAAACCATGAGCCGACGCTACTCCTTCGACTCTGACCCGGGCGAACGCGCCCCCCTCGACAACTCAAACATCCCATACTCTCACCAAGCGCATTCGAGTCAACAGTACAATTCTCCTTCCCATTCTACCACATCACCAACCCGACAACCTCCTTTCTACCAAGACGACCCATCATCGTCCTCCGAATCGTATCGACATCCAACACTTCCCTCGCCCACGAGAGCAGCACCGCCAAGTCACCCCGGTGCCCACCCCGACTCAGCATTTAATAGGTTACGCCAGAATAGAAGATATAGTGGAGGTGCCGGAAGGTTTGCTACAGCCGCTGGAGTTGGAGCCGAAGGTATCTATACTACAGCCGAGGAGTCGTCTTCTTCGGGGCCTATCCCACCACCCCATCAAGAGAATAGTATATCTACTTGGGGACGCGAGGCCCCCCAGGCTAACGTCACACCTGGTGCCGACAATTTCAGTGAGGCTGCTGCCGGTGGTATGTCAGGTCTCGCCATGAGTGTTGCTGAGAGGAACGCACGCGAAAGCGGCCTGGAAGCCATGAGGCAAACTCAAGATTACCAACACCAGCAATCCCTATCCCCAGCGGCCTATCAACGCCCGCCGCCACCACCACAACAACAACAACAACCCTACGATGACCCTCAAAGTTACGCCTATGATCGTGGCTACGACATGTCGCCGGGTTATGGCCCCGGCCCCAGTCCCTACGGCCAGCCTGGCCATGGATACATTTCATCACCTAACCTGCTCCCCGCTGGAGCAGCAGCCATGTCGCATTCCGGACGAGGGACGCCTACCCGAAGTATGAATAGCTATTCCAGTGATCCATTTCGGGATCCCCACATGGCCTACGGACAAAGGATGGATCCTGGACTTGGCCAGTTCAATCCGAACGATATCGATGATGACGGCGACGAGGGACTAGAATATCGACGCTCTGCTCGCAACAGCATATTGAGCCTTGGTGGTTCCAGCGGTCGAGGCGGTAATGGCGCTGTAGCCGGTGCCGCAGGCGCCGCAGCGGCTGGCGGTGTTATGGGCGGGTTGATGAGTAGAAATCGAAATAGTGGTATCAATTATGACCCAGTACAGAATACTAGTTCAGCGGGTCAGCTCGGCGGTCCAAGTGAGTTTCAGACGGGCGCTCAGTCGGAGAAGCCTTCCGAGTGGTTATCGAGTCAAAAGAGCAGCCGAAAGAAGTGGACATGGTTCATACTAATCGTCGTCGGTCTTCTCATCGCCGGAGGCATAGCAGGAGGCGTTGTCGGTGGAATATTAGCTAACAAGAACAAAAGTAAAAGTAGTAGTAGCGCCGACGGCGTTCAATCGGCCGATTCGGATACTGCTACGAATGGAGATCTAGACATCAATTCGGCCGAGATCAAAGCATTAATGAACAATCCCAACCTACACAAAGTCTTTCCTGGCGTCGACTACACACCCATCAATGTTCAATTTCCGGACTGCCTTAAGAACCCGCCATCTCAGAACAATGTCACCCGAGACGTAGCCGTCCTTTCGCAATTGACCAACACGATTCGACTCTATGGCACCGATTGCAATCAGACCGAAATGACGATTCACGCGCTGAAGCAGTTGAAGCTCGAAGATGACATTAAAATCTGGCTTGGCGTTTGGCAGGACAACAACGACACTACGAACAAACGTCAGCTAAGTAGGATGTGGAATATCTTGGACGAGTATGGGGCCGACCCATTCAAGGGATTGATCATTGGCAACGAGATCCTGTTTCGTAAGCAGATGACGGCCACGGAGCTTAGTGACCTCCTTGATTCGGTGAGGTCTAACTTGACTGATCACAAGTGGAATCTTCCAGTCGCCACCAGCGATCTCGGCGATAATTGGGATTCGCAGCTAGCACAAATTAGCGACTACATCATGGGCAACATTCATCCCTTTTTCGCCGGTGTTAATGCCAAGGATGCTGCCTCTTGGACGTGGTCATTCTGGCACAACAAGGCGGAAGGGTTCTTCAAGACTGACAATGAGAAGAATGTTATCTCCGAGATTGGCTGGCCGACGAAGGGTGGTACGGATTGCGGCGACGATTCTGTTACCGATTGTCCCAATGGATCGGTAGCCGGAATCGACGAGTTGAATACCCTGATGGAGGGCTGGGTCTGTCAAGCTCTCGCGAATGGGACCAACTACTTCTGGTTCGAAATGTTCGATGAACCTTGGAAGATTAGCTTCGATACTCCCGGTAAAGAATGGGAAGACCAATGGGGCATCATGGATGTTAATAGGAACCTGAAGGATGGCGTCAAGATTCCCGACTGTGGAGGCAAGACGGTGTAGACAGCTCCAAGGCTTACTCGGTCTTCGAGCTGGGTTCTTGTCCGAGTGCCATGGATCGTCGATTTTATAATACGCGACAATCAGTATGGGCTACAACATGGTTGGATTAATGCGACACCCTTTTACGGTTTTCTTAAGGACACGAGAACCGATGAATGGTCGTATTTGTAACGTCGACTGTACTAGTATAGCTGAGATTTGTGCGAGACACGATCCCGGAGCAAAGAGGGCTAGTTTTAGTATGAGGGTGTATCGTTCTTGTTTACGGTTATTGGTTTATCGGTATGATTCCCGGCGCTAAGGGGCCAAGCGACTAAAGCATTAGAACATGAACGGAAGACATGGCTAAGTGGTAGAGATGACACGACGGAAGCACATTAATAGCATTACGGCATATTACACCTCTATTATTCTCTGGAGTTTTGGGAGGCCCTTGGTTTTGTATATATTATGATGGGCGCGTTAAAAGTCCAACGTACAGACTATTAGATAGGCCGGGCGAGTCCCTCTTCCTACTTATAATAGGCGGATGGGTACCGCGCCCGGAATTGGATTGGATTGACCTTACTAATCGTGGACTTGTCCATTGTATTACATACCTGGGTAGGCAGGTATATGGTGAATCCAGATGTTTATATCGTGCCATATTTTAGATTGAAGAATTACCTAGGTATGGCTTAACGCCATCGGAACATCGCACCTAATGCTATTAAATATACGAATAGTGGGACAGTATTTCCATATAACGCTCTATGGGTGGCCATACATATTTTTATCTACGAAACATGGTCAACACCAATTATAGTACACGATACCTTCACATATGACAATTTATACATTAGAGCCATTAAAAGGCATAATATTTAAAAATTTTATTTAAAGCATTCTACCTTACCCTTTAGCATGATAGGGTTGGTTGTGTCTTGAGCCTTCCCTATAATTACGAGGGTTCTTACTTGAGGTGACTCGAGCTCGAGTGGTCTACGAAGGTCACGTAAAACTATGCAGAATTAAGTGCAGTGCTTCTTAAGATACTCCAGTGACGCCAATTCCTCTGCCTTAATGGTATTGTATCCTTCGTTAATACGGCTCCGTAGTGCTGCTTTAGCTTCATCTACGTTTTCCGTAGGTGGAATAACAAACCTCTTACGCTTCTCTAGAAACGGTAGTTGGTTGCGATCTGATTTTCGCTGCGAACTCGGCTGCGACTCGTTATCGCCGAATTCGGCACTGAGATACGGGTTCTGGGTGAATTCAGCGTACGAACTCGGGCTACATACTCCCGGGGGTGGATTCTGGTCGGAGGGGTCCGAAGCAGTGTGAGCTTCACCATCCTCGTCGCCGTAGTTGGAAGTTGTGTCTTCGTCATCACCATCGTTGCTATGATGCTTACCGCTGACTTGCTTCTCTTTTTGTGAGGGAACTGTACCCGCCTTGGTGGCCTCAGTTGTAAGTCCTCGCCGGCTAGCCATACGTCGAAGCTCGGACTTGCCCATAGCACTAGCGAAGCTATGGCTTTTATTCGCGCTTGGGCGTGGAGAGGTGGAGGAATCTGTGAAGGAAGACATTTCGAGTCGCGGGAGAGGTTGATTGCCTAATCTGGGGAGTTACGATTTCAGGGTGGCCAGGCTATTCAATAGAACTGACGAACCGTATCGATATAAGGACCACAAACCTCTCTCTCTCAAAGAAGACAATTCCAACATATGGTCATATGAAAGTAAGTTAGTCGGCCCACCTGTAGGAAGATCTTACTTCAATATTCAGTTGTAAGCCCGTAGTGTAGAAGAGCTTGACTACAACTAACGGGACAATAGTGAATTGCCTGGTATTTGTATCCAAGCTCGACTGATATGAGAAATGCTATGTAGCTTGACATTGGCATTGTGACGAGACAATGCTAAAAGCAACAAGGCCATCGTACATAAGGCAATAATCATGTATAATAATGGAACAAAGGGAAATAGCAATGACAATTGTGTAGGACGAAAGAATGAGATCTAGAATGTTTAATGTATTGGTGGGGTATAAATGTATAAATGTACAACTGTGTAAAAGTGGCCAGTGACGTCACATGACTTGGCGTCATTCTGGTGTGACCCCAGAATAAAGCATCAACAACGGGAAGGATCGATACGATATGGTTACACAGCATTGTTACCCCATCGTTACTCCGAAAGTTAATGCTGATTATTCCTCCCCCCCTCTTCTCTTTTCCCCCTTCCACTTACAACATCTCACAATTACATGTAACCCTTTACAACTACCTAATCTCCATATCGAAACATATCTCCTAAATCCGAGATGGCTACTCCAACGAGACGCAAACGCAAGACTCATCCTGTCGCACAATACAATGACGATGATGGCGAACTTAATGATTATTTCTATCCAGAGAAACATGAGAGTCCAAGTCCAAGCAAGAAGAAGAAGAAAGAGATCGAGTCTAAGGAAATAAGATTGAGAAGGTCGGATTCCACCTACATTTACCTAATATTAAATTCAATTATATATATATATGTAGCTTAATATCTATTTATACCTATATCGCTAACATTAATTCGCCTCTAGGTTCCGTCCTAAACCACCCCAGGACTTCTACGTCATATATGAGCGAGCAACATCGCAGAGGTTTGTCTTACCCCCTAGTAGTGTCTAATATCTATAAGACAATATTTATAAGTTAGGTGGCTGACTAGACCCCGCTGTAGGTTCTACGTCCTCGGGAGAACTCGTAGTGGGGCGGCTGAATGCCCTGAGGAATCTGTTGAGTTGATAGGTTCTACTGGGAATATCTACGTTGTTCACGTCGCGCAGCAACCTACGTGTACCTGCCCCCACTCCCAGAGTGGCCACCAATGCAAGCATGTCATATACGTTAGTTACTCCCCACAGTTGCATGTAATTAACCGATGCGCTTTGGTCATGCCTAGCTAATTATTTGAATACCTACCTATATATAGGTTTTATCGAGGGTTCTTCGTGCACGCTTTGAGCTTGTTTATCAGCTCGCCTTGCTTACAACCGAGCTTCAAGAGATCTTTGAGAATGCCCCTCCAATCGAGGCAAACTCAAAGACGAAACACGACAAGAACCGAAAACCGATAGAAGGCGACTGCCCCATCTGTTTCACGCCTTTCGAAGATGCCGAGGACATCATTTATTGTCGCGCCACCTGTGGTCAGAATATTCACAAGGAATGCTTCGAGACGTGGGCCGCTACTAAGCGTAAGAGCGGCCATGATCGGGTTACTTGTCCTATGTGCCGAACTACTTGGCAAGGCGACGATGATATGGTCCAGAAGATTAAGAATACAGGCATCATTGGTAGTGATGGCTATGTCAATGTTGCCGACCAACTTGGTATTAGTCGTGTGCGAGGTAAGACCATTTGTATATCTCTGACTACGTCTATAAGCCAAACTAATTTATTATAGATGATAGTACCTACTACTATAGCTCGCGATACGGTGAACGGTATGGAGGCTGGTGGTAATGCGAAGTATCTGTTCAGATATCAGACCAAGATGGCTGAACACGATTATTATCCAATATTCCGGAATCCGTCCTAGGTTTTCGCCGGCTCTTTCTTCATTGATTTTGCACTGAGTCTTCGGCCTATCATTGCGTCGACAGAAACTGCCATGCACGACATTACCTGGTATCGTATTTTTCAAACAAACGTCCGCGGTCTACCCATCTTGTCGCAATGTTCAGCGGGATGTCAAACCTCACCAAAAATTATGAAATGTGGCTTCATTATTAACATATAGAATCGGTTACATTCATTACTATTCGATGTTCCACTACCTTTATTATCCAAGCCTTGCCGTTGTGATGGTTAATTGAATTGCGCTATGACTTAGCGTCCCACTCCCTAAACATTTGGGTAGGTAACCGACCACAGTCATTAGTCCACTTCAACGCTAATATGAACAATTAGGTCCACGTTGAATCATGAATTCTTTTCGCGCTCGGCCTTCAACTTTTGATCCTCTGCTTCGTCCTTCGGTACCGTTACGAACGTAGGCACCGTGTTTGCATTCAGCTTCCGTAATGCCTAGTTTTGATGTTAGCGACTCATTTACCAATAGCGCCCGTTGGTAGAAAATGAAGTCCTCTCACCCAGAAGGGTCGTTGCCAACTTGCTGTACAAAATAACCACCAACACCATTCGATCGATGCGATCGTCGCATGCCGTACAAAGTGGGATGGTGCAGCGGAAATCGGAAAACTTACTTCGCTAACCACCCCTTCGGGTAATTTATCATTCCATCGGTCTTCAACCTTCTCAACCTTTCCATCTTGTCCAACATGGATGCGAACGACAGAATTGATGGTTTGTCCTGTCTTGATCCCCTTCACGACATATTTGTTCGATAGATTCATTTCAATCGGGTTCCCTGCCGAGGTGACGCTATGACTTTGAATCTGTATCGGATTGAACAAGGCAGGCAACCCATACCACTGTGCGGCAAATTTGTTGTATCCCGTGGCGATCGTGATCGGATCGGTAAAGGTACCGTTAGGAGACCATAGCGACAGGTGCTTGAGCGTCGGGTTACCTTCGAATAGCTGATTTTAATTACCAAGGTGCCTCTCATTAGTTTGGATCGTTCTATGACGCTTTCGAAGACACGTAAATGCCAAACTCACATCCAACACACTGCCTACGAGTACTTTCTGGTGCGATGACAACTCGACTCCTGCGTCCTCGTTGATCGTCGTATTTTTAATATGGATAGATTCAAACGAAGGCGATACTCCTTGCCCACCATTTTGCGTCCCTATCTTGCTTGTCGACATCGTGTTGCTCGGCTGTGCTCTTATCGAATAAATCTGGCTGACCCTCGAGGCTAATCCTTGTGAGCGAATCGCAGATGAAATTCTAGTTGTTCGGACAAGAAACATTTTATGAAATGAAAAGAGACCAGAGAGGTATGTACGACCAGACACTTATCCCATATATGATTTCTTTCTACGTACATAAGATAACTCGGGTTTACGGGCCGAGGCGAATCAACTTCAAAAGCAGTGCAGCACAATCATACCTGAATTGCTTGCGTACAAACCTTAGTCAGCGTTTTCTTCCCGTCATTGATCTCGTCATTGATTCCTCTTCTTGTGCGACATGCATTATCTCTGATCCCTCGTCTTATTTCTTTGACGTCACGATCTTGGATTAGATTGCAAAAAGAAGCGAGGCTTCTGCTTAACTAATCAATAGGTCACTATATTTCTTTTACCTCCTCACACTCACCTAGGTAGACAAGTGTCTTAGCTAGCCCGAATAATTATCTTTCCACGCCACACACATCAAATGCTCACGTATTTCTAACCCACAAATCGTACTAATTATGCCTCTCTTACTGCATAGGCAGCTATGTAGCTATAGGTCTCATCTTTAACTGAAAATTGGCTATGCGCCTTCGTGGAGGCCAATTGCGTCGATAGCTGACCGATTCATACCCCCCCTTTCATTATCAAAGTCCATATACAGCAACATCAAAGCATACCCTCACTACTTCCTTTCTGATTATCTAAACATTATCAGAGCTCGACGGCTTCAGTCTACTACTCGAAGCTCATTAAGTCGTCCTGTCCCTTATCATTGTCGGCCTTGATATTAACCTTGTCGGCTTTTCGGACCTCATCGTCTTCATTCATGGCGTAGGTTCCACTGACCGTACTCGCAAGTTCCCATTCCGGCCCATTAGCTGGGCGTGCTTCCGGGGCGTGGTCATACGCGGCGATTGGAGAACGCGGTTGAGATATCAAACTAGACGCGGTCGTATGCAGTCCTGCATCTAGCGATGAAGTCGCTGTCGTGGTTTCGTTAAGTCTTAGGGAACCCGAGTGTCCGGGAACGCCTCGACCATGTTCGGTTAGAGTATGGGATACAAAACTATAACCAGCATTCCTCGTAGCGTCCTCAGGGCCCCTCGTTCCTACGGAATCGTGACTAATAGCAAGCGAACGCGTTGCTAGAGCCACCTTTCCTATATCTGTCTTATCGGCGAGGTTAAGGTTGTCGTCTTCCTTGGGCGGCGACACTGCCTTTGAAGTGGAGCTCTGCCCAATGTTACGCATTCCGTGATCTAGTGTAACAGGTCGAAAGGTGTCCTGTATCTCTAGAGCCGTTCTGCTGCGAACCTGGCCCGGACTTTTCATTGGAGCTGCCTGTGCCTGGGCATCCATTAACTTCTGCGCGTCGTCCAAGCGAGCATTGAAGGTAGCCCAGGCATAACTTAGGCCGTTACCCGAATACACAAAATTTGAACCTGTAGAACTTTGAGTGGGCTCTCTAGTCACCCCATCACCATACCCAAATCCGGGTCTATAGTTCCGTGGCAATCTACCGGAACCCCTTCGGCCGCCCCTACTGCTCATTGCTGAATCTCCACGGTATCGAGTTCGGTCTACGAATGGTGCAACCCGATTTTGGTCATAATTCAGAGTGATCTCGTCGCTCCCAAGTGCCGTTTCTTCATCTTGGAACTCGTCGTGGGGATATGCGCCACGAAAATCCGGACAGTTACATTCGCACTTCTCGCCACAGACCTGTTGGCATCGATGGCCACAGGGGATTGGTCGTTCGCACGGCTCGCGGCAGATGAGTCTATCATGAGATATCCTAGAAGAGAGTAGAGTCAGCTTGTTATTGCCTGTCGCAGGCGTGATCAAGGGATGGAGAAAATTATTGAGACTCACCAGTGGCATTGAAGCTTGCATGCATGGCGGCAGCTTAATGTTTCTGGACACTTCTGGTCACAGCCGCCGTGGCAGTTAATCCATTCTTCTGGGTGCGACATCCATGTCGTCTTTCCATGGTTCTGACACGAGATTGGTAGACGTTGATCACCACCGAAGCGTCCCTGTCGGAGGAAGACTTCTTGTACCGGTCCCCACATTTCGTACGATTCGTCGCTGGCATACAGTAAATTATCCATATTGCCGAAAATATAGAAACCGCATCGGGCACGGCTAATAGAAACGACACCGCGATTCGGGTCCTGGAGGAAGCCGGCTCTGTGTGGTCCATCTTTACCTTGACTTCTTACTAGCGAAAGGATGACAATATCATTCTCCTCTCCTTGGTAAGAATCTACCGTGAAAACGTTCGTGAAGGGCGCCCATTGCTTTAATTTGCTTTTGATTTGGGCCTGGATTTTCTTCTTCTGTCCCCGGTAAAATGTCAAAACCGTGATTTGACTTGCAGGAACTCCGTTCTGTAAAAGATAGTTGATGAACTGAACTATCATTTCCGCTTCCAAGATATTGTACCGGCTCATATTCTCGTCTAGGCTATCGGTCCAATGATGGTGGAAGAAGAAGGAAGGGAACTGCATACCAGGAATGGGAGGGCGAGAGTCTTTCTTGATTACCACGGGATGGTCCTGTAAAGAAGGATAGAAGGGATTCAACAATTCACGCAGCTCGGGGATCATTCTGCGCTGCATGTTCAGGAAGGTAAAGGGCATCTTGAGATGGACGAGACGTTCGAACATGGACACTCGCATGTAGTACGGGGCCTTCGCTAGGTCGGGTGTATCGCAATGCGGAGCTAGTTGCTGATGATCACCAACGAGGATGAGCTGCTGGAGCGACCCGTATAGAGCCGAAAGAATGTTGGCTTCGCGAGTTTCGGCAGCCTCCTCGATCAACATGGTTCGTGGCTGCAGAGCTGCTAGCAAACCTCGATACTTGCAGAGACCTGTGGTAGTGCACCCGATAATTTCGACCCTCTGGGATTTGATGCATTTGGTGTCTTTGTACCAGCGGTTCACCTTGAGGTTCTTGGCGATGCGTGTATTATCGGCGAGGATGTGGCAAACCGACTTGCGATATGACGATAACAGTTGTCTCTGCCAATACTGGTATACTGCACCGCGATACTTAGGCTCAATATCCCAAAGATTTGACTTTTGAAGCTCGTAATCTATGATGGCGTCGCCTTCGGTGTGGTTTTGAGGGTTTGCGCCTGTTAATATATGTCCGATTGGCAAAAATTTGCCATCTACCCGACCACCCGCTTCATCCTCGTCGACAATACAATCATCCAGGTCCACGTCGTTCTCTTCTCCATCCAAATACAAGCTTTCTTCATCTTCTTCGGTAGCTTCAAAATCGGGGTCCTTCTCTTCCTTTCGCACCGCCTGTATGATCTGGTCCCCCAGCCACTCCGTCAATGAAAGCTCAGTCTGGTCTGTTAGCGATGACGCGTCGATCCAATCTAGGTCATCTCGGAGTGACTCAAGCTGACTCTGAGATATAATACCCATCGATTTAAGAATTTCGGGGTTGATTAGATCACCAGGGAAAATGTCATCTATAGCTTGTTCTAGCGTTGTGACGTTCTTCTTGCGGGCAGATTCGAAAGTCTTGAAGTCCCGATCTGCTCTCTGGTTCCACGAAGCACCAATACGTCGGCGAAGGTTGTACATACTGTAGCGTTTGATTTCCTCATTCTGAGTGCGACCGCCGAGCCGGACTGCCTTAAATCCAAGCCTGATCAATTGGAGCAGGATTTGATCGACAGCGTGGTTCGTCTGGGCCGCGACAATGATGACATTGCTACCCCTCTTCTGGCTTTCGAGGAGAATCTGTAGAGCCTGCACCGAAGTAAATGTCTTTCCGGTTCCCGGAGGACCCTGGACAATGGCAAGCTCTTTGGTGAGGATGCGATGTACAGCGCTAAGTTGGGAGTTGTCCAAATTGGTATACCGTGAGAGCTGATTGTCGAAACCATCAACGATGGAATAGCTCTTAACAGACTCGCGGACCTTCGCCCTCGCCTCTTCTACTTGGGCAGCAGTCATGGAGGAAGCGTCCGGGACGTGGTGGACCAATGAGCGAATGTCCATTTCGGGATCTTCTTCGACATATTGTGCGGTAAGATCACATTTATCCGCCTGGACCAGGTATTTGTCCAGCGGAGTATCGGTGTTGGCGACATGTTGGAGGCCGACCATGCTGTGGCGGACAGCCTCGAAGTAACCAAAGCGAGTCTCGATCATTACGAGTTCCTCATCGGGATCAATAACGGCGTCGTCGAGGTTAGCCCATTGGAAGTGGACCGTCGGCGGATTCTGGTCGAGGCCATCTCGGATACGACGGTCGGAGATGATCGCGGGCATACAGATAGTAGAAAAACAATCTTTCGCCGTCGAAATTGCTACGAGAGTTCCCACAGTGAGGCGGTGGGATTGAGCCCAACGAATCTTCTTGCCGGATCTCTTTGCGGAGAATTGAACTTGGCACATAGGGCCGAGGCGAGTCATAAGATATCCTCTGACGAAGACCTGTAGAGGGAGATCGGTGAGAAAAGACGAGGTTTCAGCATGAAAAGTGTTACTTACTTTGGTGTAAATACACGTTTCTTGATCATCTTTCATAGATAGATCCTTCTTGAATTTGTCGATGGAATGCCGCAGCATAGTAATGGCCTCCTCTCTCTGGAGGCGATAGTGGGTCTCTAGGTAAGTATTCTTGCTCTTCCAGGGTACTTCCCAGGTGTTTGGCAAGAGATGGCAGATCTCTGCGAACTGCTGAGGGTCGTCCCAGTCGGGATTAAGATCGCGGCTAGTAGGCAACTCTGGATAGCTTAGCCATTCCTGACCAGGCCGAGGAGATGGAGGTTCAAAATTGACGTGATGTTTGATAATTTCCAACTCATCCTAATGGCATATATTAGTATTTGGTTGTAGCAGTAAAGAAGTATTTGGTCAGAGTTGGGAAAACTTACCTGAGTTTCGACACCATCGAAGTTGTCGAAGTCGGCCATGGTTGGTTGATTGGACTACCTCCGAGCGAAGGCGTGTTACAAGTTCTGGCTTTATGTTAGTTATTTCAATTAAATATTTTGAAAGGCTTGGTGGGAAGTAAGAGTATATACATTGTTGGTGGGGAGATGAGCCGGGAGAGGGAAGATGATACCTGTAGCGGGAATGGGAAGAGGCAAATATATTGGAGGGGGAAAAAAATAACAAGGGAAAATTTAAAGGTTATGGTGAGAAATACCATCCACTGTCAGAAATATGCCCTACTGGGGAACCCGGATAGATATTCAGGTGGATAGGATATCAAACGTACCTGATCTGCGAATGTCGGGATGGATTGGTTGGAAATTTAGCAACATGGACGTACCCAAAGGAAGGATATAGAGTAGGTCCACGAGAACTCAATGCCAAGGTATAGGTGTTGAGAGGTAGGTACGCGTAGATAAACGCGTCTATGTTGTTGTACCCGTAATTTGAACATGTAGACGCGAAGGTCGCTATGGAGATATCGTCGGAAGCTTCAATTCAATTTAACCTAGAAACGACCCGTTGTTGTTATGTGTATCGTGTATCGTGTATCGAGAACATTGAGAACATTGATGTAGGTATCTACATATGTAGGTAGGATGGGATGTTGATTCAGTAGAAACCAGCGCACATTAAAATACACTACCTAGGCACGACACTGCGAGGGGTAGTTACCTCTCTGGACATGCAGCTGATAATAAAACTCAATTACAACATTGAATACTCTAAATATCTAGAAGGCACCTACCTACGTGCACCTACCTACACATAGGTACCCAGTAGATAAACTTCTAACCTTAAGGATAGCAGAGTGACACAAGACTGTACATTGATGTGTATTCCTTAAAGTTGCATGTAGTGCATGCATGTACATGGAATAATCCTATTGGTACCATTAATTCATCACACTTACTGCCCCTTTCTTTCTCACTGTCTAAAACAAGACATCATTATCAAACAGACATTTCAATGTTAGCTCACGCCGTTTGCTGGCAGCTAACAGACATGCTTTATCAAACAAGAGTGTTCCAAGATTGTAGGTATGTATGTCTCTACCTAGGTAGTATCCACACTGCTACACGCGGGTTTGCTTCAACTATCAAGCAGATAACATACCTAGGTAGTCTATGATATTGTGATAATTATATCATTGCTTCACCCCAACTTGGAGGTCTATTCTCCAACTCCGTTCCCCATTTAGATTCTTCATCCCCCAAAGCCAATTCCATTGTCCATCCGTCATGGAAAAATGTGTGACCGATCCAAGACTTCGACCACGGCTTCCCATTAACGGTGACATTCTGTATATATATGTTCTCGTAGTCGGCATCAAATCCAACCGTTTTGATCTGTGCGGTTTTCCCCGTTAAAGGACTCGTTATGTTAACTTCTTGAAAGAACGGCGCCGAAATTAAATACACGTCTTGTCCGGCGATGGGAAACAAACCTATCATTCCAAATACCACGAAAGCGCCCATGGAGCCGGAATCATCATTCCCTGGCAAGCCCCCGTAGGTTGTGTTGAATGAAGATGGAATGTACGTGTGTAATCGCTTGGTTGATAACCCAGGACGCCCCGCATAGTGGTACAGATATACTGTTGAGAACACGGGCTCATTGGAAATATCCGCAAGCCCCGATGTATGAAAGAAGTCAAGGCGATTAATAAATAAATCTTCAGCCCCCATCAATCCTATCAAGGTTGACATCGATTGCGGCACAAGGCTGTAAAATGATTAGATTAGGTAATGCTTTGGCATGTATGAAATGGTACTTACAATTGGTACTGCCATACACTTCCCGACGTTAAAGTTAGCAGGTATTCAGCACTCTCAACAGACGGTGTAGGAAAGAGGTGGAGGGGAATGTCGGGTTAGAAGGGAGAAAAATATAGGGCTTCCAATACTAACCTAGCCTCGAATGTTTCACTGGGATTGGTAGTGAGCGAGCAGAAACTCGCAAGTGCTGAACATGCTATCGGGTCTTGATATCCCCAGGTACCATTCTGATACTTGGGTTGAAAGAATCCCGTGAATCCTGTATCGTTCCCATTGATCACAGAATTCTGCTCCGCTTTCCATAAATACTGCCAATTGGCACTCCTCGAAACGTATTTATCGTACAAGTTATCTCGTCCAAGCCCTTGAGCCAGCACAGCTAGACAATAATCTTCATACGCGTATTCGAGAGTCCTTGAAATACTGCGCGAGTTTGTCCCAAACCCGACCGGATCGAAATCCAGATATGGAATATACGAGAGATTTTTCCAGCTCTGCAAACCACCTCGGCCATGGTATGCCCACTCCAGTGGTTCGACCTCGGCATCTTGGATAATTGCCTCGAGTGCCAGTTCCCAGTCAACTCCGGTCAGATTTTTCACGTAAGCGTCGACAAGTACAACATCCGCATTCGAGCCTCCCTATGCCACAATGTAAGCTTTAGTGTTGTGAGAGAAAATTAATCACAATCAAAAAACATCCAATGGATATGGTTTCCTTACCTGGGTCCATCCACTGCTTAATGACCTATGTGTGGTGCCTACAGTTAGTTATATGGGCGCTGAGATCCTCCAAACTCGAGACAGGTTAAAATCTTACATATGACAATCAGGCAGCCAGCCCTCGTGCTTGTAGATATCCAACAGTGAATTTACCACTAACATAGTTCCAATTAGTTGTCACTGTCCACTATAGGCCCCCAATTAAGAAAATAAAAAGCAAAAGGGAATGTGGGGTGTTGGTGGGGGAAGGGTAGGGAAGACAGGATTCATCTTGTACTCACTCTGCGTCTGGGCAGCTGGGTCCAGAATCGTGAGAAGAGGATGCTGAACACGAAACGCATCCCATATACAGTAAAAAGAATCAAAGTATGGTATTCCACTATTCCAATATGGATTTTCATCGGTATAGTTTTGAGGAGATATCATGGTCCGGTAAAGCCCGCTCCAAAAGCTGGTTTGGAAATCCTCGCTGGCGCCACCAGGATTAATCGACACTGGACTGAGCTTCAAGCGCCACGCATCCTCCGTCTCAGTTACGAGCCTGTCAAAATCATCAAGCGGCTCGGGAATTTCGTCCGTTGCTCGTTGGCAAGCCTGATCCGCGCTGATGAAACTAACCCCCACTCTAGCGGTCAGGGTATTATTCACCAAGCTGTCAAATCTAGCCCATGCGCCAGCCTCTAAATAAAAGAGATTGAAGCCACGCGTGACAAATAATTCTTTCGGTTCTGTCCCTCCGCGGTTATTGACCCATACGCCATTATCGAAAATTTCGCCGCCAAAGAAGTCGACACAAAAATGCATCACGTATGATCCAGCCCCGAAACTTGGGAGGAACGTTCCATTTCCCTTAAATCGCCCATTCGTTGGGTCTACAAGGACGGTGGCGTTTTGACGACTTTGCCATAGGTCCGTCAGGTCAAGTAAAACCAAAGGATGGCTATCGCCGTCGCTATCTCCAGCAGGGAATTCAAATCTGTATAAGGCCGCATGCTCGCTGGAGGTCATAGTCGCCTTAACACCAGAAGCTAATTCAACCGCGAAGTAGCCTGGGCGGGCGACCACCGAGTCGTTCACATATTGCGTAGCTCTTTCACCAATGAGGAAGTTACAATTATTTACTTCATCCCCGGGGCATATCTGTGGAAGTAAAGGGAAATTTCCTAGGCTCGGATTGCCGCCTGTACCACTGTCGTGTACTGCCGAGAAGCCCGTGACACCTGAACCGTCTGTCGAAAATCCTCCCGTATTCTGACCATTTACATCCGCGACTGGCTTCGCTAGAGCGTATGGTCCTAGAATTCATACTTTTAACAATTGCTCTTCTATAGATATGCTGTGAACTCACTCGTAGCACCTGCGAATACGTTTCCACCGTTATTGCTACCGATGAGAGGGTCAACAAATTGGAGCACATCAGCACCGAACACCGTTAGAGGAAATATGAGGGGCGCGAGAAGAACCAGCGCCAGTTGCGGGGTTGTCCAGAGACGGAATTGCCAATGTGCCATGGCAAATAACGAGGGTTCCTTTAGTATAATCCTTATAATTATAGGTAGGCCGGAATGCCTCTTAAGAAAATAGACGTTAGGAGAGAAAGAGAAGGGGGCGCATCAATCCCATTCTGAGAATAGGTAGCATCGTAACTGGTTGATAGATTGCGGTAGAGCGCATTGCGACCTTACCTTCCTAAAAGAGTGAGTGATCTATTATCGCGGAAAGATCCCCGATCCCTTTGTTGATCATCCTGTTCTTTCTACCAATATAATGGTTGCTTGGAACATTCCAGGGTGGCGTTCCGGCACGTATTGCTGTAGAAATAAAGGGGAAATTATAGAGTGTTCGTGAGCCGCCAAAGAACCACATACACAATACCTTGGTAAAGGATATTGATGATAAAATCAAATGGGTGAAATCGCTGGATAGAGAGCGAGAAATAAAAAATAGTACCCATAAATTCGGGGGCTGAGACATGCATGCGCATCTACAGATGTACTTGAGTCTTCCCTAAGAGCGCTATAATTCCTTAAGTTGTAGGGACATAACAAGCCTAACAGGACTTGGAAATAGTACATCCAGGGCTCTATTGAATCACAATACAGCACCTATACACATACCTAAGTATACAACACTGCATGCCATACAAGATCTACTTGGGTGCCTGTATATCTAATAAGATGGTATCAATATTATATTCCGATTCTAAGACTAGATTATAACGAACTAGCGTTATTATATTAGAAATATACGGTCAATTTATACCAAGAGTTGTTACATGTCCGACCAGAACTCCGCACTCAACGACGTCATCGTTATCTTCTACGTCGAAACATGAGCAAGGATATTGCCGTTCATATGATGAACCGCAAAATATTATTTCAATCAGATACGATATAATATTATTTTACTATAAAAACCAATGCTACTTCGGCTATTTATGGGACGATAGCAACTAAATATGAATGCTTCCCAAGCGACGGCGGAAACAGCTTACCTCCTTCATACCAAGATACACCCGACATCCTATTACTGATCGACACACTTGTAGGGATAATAGAAGCCTTACAAAGTCCCAACAGAACCGAATATTCAATTCTTCCCTAGGTAATACTATTATAGCATTTGAACGAAGAACTCCTAGCATCACTAGCCTCATTACTAACTAACCTATCTTTTACTTTAGGTAGGTATGTGTATACTTATCGTAACTAATATAGCATCGGGTAAGAAGTGCGTCTTCTTATTGGCCCAATTCCTACATACATTATCCCTCCATGACGAATATCCCATGTAAGTTTTGGCCTTCTTCTTACATTAGGGAACGGAAAAGAAAAAAAAAGTTTGCTAGAAGAAAGATGGCGTGGAGAAGATCACCCTGTCATGACTCTGGATCTAAGGTGCATAACTACACCAACGATTTCGTAACGCAATGATCACGACATACTGAACTTGTTGTCTGCCCCTCCTGGTAACTACTCCCGGGCAACAAAGCAATTCTACTCTGTAGACACCACACCGCGTAATACTCTCCGTCGACTATGACGCCGTCAAGTCGAGTCAGTACGTACAAGACTAAAGTACGTATGTTGCTTTGGGTGGGAGCAAATCTTTGAATCGTCATGGTAAAGCCGAGGGATTAAACAGTCGTCTTGTTCGCGACTGTATCATGTATAAATCTCCCAATTCTTTTGCTCTTATGTCCTTACGCTTGGAATATCACTTTCAATCGCATTATCTAGTGATCCAATAACCACCATGGTGCATCACACAGTTCTGGCGGCTACCGGTGTCTTAGCATACTTCGTGCTACCTTCTTTAGCCGTTCCTTTCGTCTCTGATGCTACAACCACATTTCATTACAATGCGACTACTACAGCTTCAGTTGTTCCCGTTACAAATGTGACGTCTCATGGCCGTTACACTGGCCCACCGCCCACCACCACCGGCGCTCTTTCCACAACGGTCACGGCTTCAAGTATCCCAGCCAGGCCACCGGAGGCGTTTAAGTCTCAATACCCGGCGGACGGCAAACTCCACCAGCCCCAGCCCGCTCCCTACACACCCGGAGGTGGTTTGGGGACTAATGGTTCGGAGCCGGTCTATCGTGTTATAAGTGATTTTGATTACGAGTCCGTTGCGCTAGCCTTATATCAAGAATGGATTGAGCTTGATCTATTCCACTGGGGACTCGCCACATTCTCCACGGATGATTTTGAGGCCGCCGGACTGAACGCCGAAGATCGATTCCTACTTGAGTTCATGGCCGACCAAGAAGTTGGCCATGCGACGGCCTTGACCAACATGCTTGGTAGTGCGGCGCCGGTTCAATGCACTTATAACTATCCAGTGTCGGATGTGCGAGAGTTCATCGATTTTAATCAAAAACTGACTCGATGGGGGGAATCTGGCGTTTATGGATTCATAAACCACCTAGACTCTCGCGAAACAGCTCAGATCCTTCTACAATCTATTTCCACGGAAGCAAGGCAACAGATGATTTTTCGTCAGTTCGAAGGTCTCTTCCCAATGCCGGTTTGGTTCGAAATAGGCATTCCACAGTCCTGGGCGTGGACCTTATTGGCCCCGTACATCTCATCATGCCCTTCTAATCAGACTCGTTTGATTTGGCAGAATTTCCCCCCTCTGCAGATCTACAACCAGCCTAATCCGGCACGTGTTAACGGCTCCAATGTGTGGAATGAGACCACGAGCCGGTATGCGAGTTCTCTCAGCACTGCAAATCTTACCATTGCGGACGATTGCCTACATGCTGCCGCCGGCGCAAATTGTAGCCCGGCCATCACTCATAATAGATCCGTGCCGTTGTCCTATCCAGGTCGCCAAGTCTTTCTCCAATGGGATCCTCCCGGACGTCTTACAGGACCAAATAATAGTTACGTTACCAGCACTAGCGCTGGAACCCCTAGGTTTGCGGCTTGGATCTCTCAACTTAACGTCACTTATACCCCTTTACGTGATATTAGGAACAACACTGCTTTTACCATCCAGCCGAACACTACTACCTACGAAGGCGATCCTGCTTTGAACGGCACAATCTTCCTAGCCATCACAGATGAAAATTTATTTGTGACACCATTTAACTTGTCACAAATTAACCCTCATGTGAATGCGTTGGCCATCTACCAGGCTGGCTAGGTATTTATAGGGGACTGTACAATGAGTGAGGAATCGGCTGGATTGTGGGGTATAGAGATTTATTGTATTGCAATGCGATAAGATGGCTAGTAACAGTATCCCGAAATATGTAAATCGAACCCTATTAGCTCGGATAATACTACCGGGATAATCTCAATTAAATAATTTGTGATACTCTTGTTTAAGATGTCGACGAGTTAGTTGTATGGATACCCAGGTATCTACCTACCTGGGTACACGTAATCAGGTTACCCTCTCAATGCGCCCGTTGAATAATATCATGATATTTCAATATCATATTCAATCGAACCCTTCTCTCCTCAATAGCCCATACCATTACACCGTTTCCATAACTTTGGGTATCAATATCGTATAACATTTTAAAATAAGTCACTCATCCACCCTAAGAGATGCCAGAATCCATTATAAGCCAGCATGCTACTAATTCGTCTCCTCTCGACCATCTAACTTGAACTCGTTGATGTTCATGCGTGCTTTATCGCGGAGGCTGAAGTGCCATAGCTCACGTTATAATATACAATGCGTGGACGGAGCGTTTGGGAAGGTAGGGTAATCATTGTGGAGGGACATTGATTTCGTATCCAATGAGCACCTCAGTGGTTGTCCCCTCCCAACCCCGGTTTCCGGCAGCGGATAGCATGAAACGGCTAGAGGGATCGATATAAAGGCTAGATATAACACCCGCGCGGGGGGGGCCAGGAACAATGAGAAACGGTGGTGGCGAGTGTTTGGATGCGTGTTCCGAGCGCAGGTCGTAGAGCCGAAGGATATCGTGAGATGCACAAACTAGATGTCGTCCATTGACCATGGATCGAACGCAGCTAACCGGGCCACTACCGCCGGGAAACTTGAAGACCCGTTCCGGTTGCCAGCCAACACGTCCTCCCCTTGCTTTCTGTATATTGAATTCCTCTACGGTGCCGTTTCTTCGGCCGGCGTATATCCAATTTCCGTCCGGGCTCCAACACGCGCCCATACACCAAGGGGGAACACCGGGCCTATTACCGATACGCGCCACGGGATTCGGCATACGCCTATCCCAAATTCGTAGGGTTCCATCCATAGATGCGGAAAGGAAAGTGCTGTCTGATGTCTGAGTCATGTCGTAATGCGCCGGCGCTGATGTGGTTGCGAACACGGTGGATGGCGACTGGGGTGCTTGCCCTTGAGCATTGTAGGCTGTCGATTGATGCGCGCTCGTTGGCTCCTGTTGGAACGAATTGGCACTGATGGAGAAATCTGGCAAATGAGGCAAGGACGAAGATTCGTGGCCACCCTCGAAGGATGCAGATGTATCCCCTCCGAAAAGGGTAGGATCTTGCTGGCTTGGGTCAGGAAGGGGTTGGATAGCTGGTGCTTGACCCGAATCGGGCTCGAAGGCTTGGCCGGACATATCGTAATCACTCATCGTGATATCAGCGTTCTGAGTTGAATCTTGTCTCATAGCTCTAGAAAATTCATTATCATCTTCCCCTCCGAATGCTCCCATGCCGTCATTGTCACCGAAGAGATCAGAGCCGCCTGTCGGGCTACCTCCAAACAAGCTATCGTGCGCGGGACTTCCTTGGCCATCAACTAGACCGTCTCTACCATTGGGCGCCTGGCTAGCGGTCCCATTGACGCCTATGCCATTTATGCCGTTGTTCAAATCTATGCCAAACCCACCATCGCCTTCGAATTTCAAATCGTCATCGATACCGGGGTGGTCATTATTACCGAACAGTGTGTCGCTTGGGATGTCCTCTTCGCCAGCCTCCGGGGGAATCGGCGCTCCTCCCATCGGCCGAATCTCAATAGCGGATATTTGCCCACCGCTTCCGTCAAATTGACGTGTCACCTGTCCCGTATTGAGATCCCAATCGAATATGTTCTTGTCCCAGCTCCCGCTAAGCACGCTCTTTTCGTCGGGAGAAAGTGTCAACACGCTAACGGCATTGGTATGTTTTTTGAGGCAAGTAATCCGTTTCCCCTCGTCATGGCGTACGCTCTGAAGGTTAATACCGCCACTCTCAAGGCCAGATAAGAGCCAAAGAGCTTGCGAATGGACCGCTAGGCTATATACGGGACTCAGAACCAAGTCTTCCTGTCGCACGGGAGTTGGTTGGGGTTCCGCATTCTCCCAATACGACATCAAGACTCCGGCCTTAGTGACGGAGTCAACAAACGGGTGTCTTTGCGCGACAGTCAACAGGGTCTTGCCATTGATCGTGGCGGGTCCATCGTACTTCCTGATATAGCCATCACTCCCGCCGGTCATCCAATATCGCAGGTCAGGGGTAATAGCTATCGCATTGACGCTCGTAGCCATAGGTGCTGCCATGGTGGGGACTATATCGTACGTGGCCGCGCTGAGGGCTTCTGGACGGACGCGAGGCTTCCACTTGGGGGTCGCGAGAGGGCCTGGGGTAGCTGAGGTTCGAGTGACAGCTGGGTTTGGCAATCCATTCGGTTGCCGATGATCTTGGGTGTCGTCTTCGTCTTCGTGTTCATGATCGTGCTGATCAGGCTCTTCCTCCTCCTCCTCTTCATTCTCGTTGTCATTCTCATTCTCGTTATCATCTTCATCATGGTCCGGGTTTTCGTTTTCGTCGTCTCCGTCTACGTCGGGGTCGGGGTCGGCATCCGGATCTTGATCGTGGATATTAAGATCGTCTTCATGCTCGTTCTCGGAACTCGCATTGGAGTCTCGGTCGAAGTCGTCCATTATCCTTTTCCCTTAGATGGTGCAGTGCTCGAAGAGATCATCCTTTGTTCCTCAATTGACAGGTCGCAAACGCACAGGAAGGGGAACGCTATTTGTATTGTCGCGGTATGAAGGAAATTATCTTTCTTTTATTCTCTCACTATGGGCGTAAAATTTGGATTAATTAATTCGATTTTGATGATAAAGAATAAAGGGTATAGAATAAAGGGTATGGATAATAGTATGTAGGTATGTGAGAAGAAATGTTAGAAACACAAGTAACAAATGATAATAAATATCGATAGCTATGGGTAGCTTCCGTAGAGGTGGGCACTTTGTAGCCAGCGGGGAAATAGTTTTGACTTCAGCGCTATACCAGATCCGGAAAGTATTGGAAACTCTTCTTAATAGTACCTACCTAGGTAGGTAGTCGAACCTACAATCTTCATTGCTGTAAATAGATAATATATTTTTATATTTTATCTAATTTATACTCCAGTTTATATCTAAGCAAAAAACACAAATCGACAACTCACTTCTCTTTTTTTCATAATAGCTTACCTGGAAACTGTTGGAAATATCTATTTTTATGAGGTAAATTAGATGTATGTTGCAAACCCCCATCAGGTACCCAAGAAGTACCTAAATACATGAATATAGGTACGTGATGGGAACATTGGATGTTGGACGCAAGCGCAACAAAGGATTCTAACCCAGTGCTGGAATTTTTAGCAACACCAAAATTGATCCAGGTACCCACCTCGTGAACATTTCGGAAACGGAGCAAAAACTACGACAACAGAATCAATTTACATCAAAACTATAACAAAAATAAGAAAACTACAAAAGAAAACTATAAAACAAAACTATAAAACAAAACTAACTCCAGATGTCTCTAGGTATACAACTATGCCTATTTGTGTTGATTATAGGTATAATTTAGTATAGGTACCTACCTAGTTGCTTAGGTAGATGAAATAAGATAGTATACCTACATATATGTACTCTGATTCCGATTGTCGAACCGTCATTCATGATTGAATACGGATGCCCCGCTACTGGTATTGATTAGCCACGTTGCGACCAGATCGCATTGGTGTCCGTGGGCCTAGGGCCACGACCTCGATCTTCCTGTGATCGTGTACGTAGTAATTGTCGTTCATGCGAACGTATTGTTAGGACCAGATTTGTCGCAACTTGCTGTTTCTTCGCCAACGCAATAACAGTATCCTCATCGTCTTGCTGCCTCTTTCCTAGTAATGACATTGTAGTTTTGTCTTTGTCATCTAGGATTACGATTGGTGTATTTTTGCTACTGCCTAGAGGTTTGCCACTCGGTACAGTTGTGCTTTCGTCCTGGATTACGATTGCTGTCGCTTTGCTACTGCCTTCACTCAAACCCGTGTGTCCTGAGCTTCTCGATACAGCCCGCCTCATGACCGGTTTTTCGGGATTATCCGCTGTGAAATCCTTTAACGGTTCCAGTGCTGGCCCGGCCATGGCCTCCCCATCATATTCAGAAATAGTGTTTACCATTTCCACGGCGACTCGTGCGTTATATTCCATATGTTTGACAGCCGCGTACGCATTGTAACCAACCATTTCCCAACGCACAAATTCAGGGTTGATCCATCCGTTCAGGTCATTCCACAGTATCTCGGGATTCTTCCCATGTACATATATTTCCATAATTCGATCCATGATTTGTTTAGCCGACCAGTATGTGCGGTAACCACAAGACCAGTTATCGCTTTGCCAGGGCGCCCAAGTGTTTTGTATCTGATAATTCGGCTCAAATGAGAACTCAAGCTCGTGACTGTTAACCTTGGCTTCGAGGAAAGCTCTTATTCTTTGGTGGATCATCGTACTTCTCACAAGAGCGCTGTGATCTCTCCAAGAGTCGACAACACTAACTTGTACAACGCGTCCCCATCTGTTTCCAGTCGGTCTCGGTGTCTTGTCTTTCACGCCCTTTGCTGCAACCGGGTAGGGTTCCATGGCCTTGCGGATGATTACCAATTGCCAATGGCTCTGATTAACACAGATTGGCCATACCGTATATTCGGTCATTGAGAAACCTCTAAAGAATTTCGCATTCTTCTTCCCTAGGGTACTCACGAGCTCATGGTCGGTTGCGTTAAATAATTGAAAAGTGGTATCTGGTATGTGGATTCGTTCGGAAACCCGCTTTGGGAGACTGTCGCGATACACCCCAAGGGCCTTTTCAATGGCATCACCGATGAGCCATGCATCATTGCTACTTTGGAGATTATTAAGGCCTTGTAACTCCGGGTATCCATTTTCGGGCTCTTGTACATTGATGTCATTATCCAAATGATTAGTTGGACATTCACCCAACCCCGGGCCCTGGGTCCCGCAAAGGACGAGGGCTGGTACATAATCTGGCATGTTGTATATCTCTTCACTCTGAACTGACTGAAGGGGAAAAGAGAGAAAGGTTCTTGCCGGAAGACGGTAGAATTAGGTAAAGCGGAAATCGATCTTTACGTCGTGACGCTGGTTTTTATAAAAACGTTGTCGTCTAGAGTATGTTATGTGCCTACAGTAATCTTTGGAGATTCTTAGCAATTAATCATCGGATTTATGGGCAGGCGAAATATGGTTCGGAGCAGGCCAGATCTATTAAGTATTTGGCCTACCTCTCGATGCCATTGAAGCTTGGGACTCGTGTTTGTAAACAAAGGTGAATGTATAATTCACACGTCATTGTATCGCACCGAACCAGAGCTCTGTAAATGCAACGGGCTAAAGACTATGTTAAAATACAGTAATAAGTTCCGACTTGCTGTCATCGTGTCTTTGTCCGGAGAAACGTGCCATGAGAACAAGATGACGCTACCTTAGAATATAGACACTAATGTATAGAAGTAAGTAATCAATGTATATATTCTAGTGGTAACGGAGTTGTTGGGTTGGATTAAGAGAGAGAGGGCAAGAAAAGAGGATGTGCCGGTACATATATGTATGTTGTAGGCCAAAGCTACCATAGGCTTCGAGGTAGCAACCATAGAATGTAAGAGGAATAAAATAAGACCTAGTATTTTTGAATTGACAATTCCGATTTACTTTAAAATGTTCAATGTCGGGAAGCAATATTTTTAGTTGTGTTCTGCAAATCCGATATTCGTGTAAGAATTTGTGAGATAAATGGGGGACTCTCTGAGATACATCTATTGTACTGTCGAGGTATACAAGTACTTGTGGATATGGTATGGGTGTGTACCCAGGTACCCAGGCAGGTGTCCCATCGCCATTGCCATCACAATAAGAAGATTAATGATTAAGATTAGAGATTATGTAGGCATTCGAATGATTAGACCGATTACGGACTAGGTCAACTTCCAAGACCTTTTTCCATTTGACCATTTCGGGACCAACCTAGAACTAACTTGCATTAACTGCATTCGTCTCGTCTGCGCATCGGGGCATCTGGGCGTCTGGGCTGAGCATCTACTGTACCTTACCTAGGTACACAGCGATATGTTAGAGGGTATCCCACAGGTATCCCATCCGTCAGATCCGACGCGCGCCTCGCCTTGCCTTGCTCTGCCTTACCTTACCTCGAACGACTTCTTACCCATCCATAAAATGTTATTCCCACATTTATCAGCTTCGTCAGAGGTTGATGAACTACCACTGGCCGAATTGGCTGGCTAGTTAGTTGGCTGGTTTCTTTCTTAACCACCTAATTGATACCTACATCTAGGTACTTACCACAAATTGCTTATCCAGCTTGAAAGAGAAAGGAGAAGAGGCGGGAAAAAAAAAAAGAAAGTCGAATTTCCGAAGACGATTTATACGCTTTCAGATGCTTACCAACATCCACAACCGCGGCATCGTGTCGGCTTTCTTAGGCTTCTTGGTGTGTTACACTCTGATCGCCGCCTATCTGCGAACCAAATGCTATCGTGATCCATCGTCGCTCTTCTTTAACCCCGAATACGCTCGCGTCTTGACCTATTCTTCTTTCCGCAAAGCGCAAGCCCATAAGTTTGGGGATTTAGCAGCCTTGCACGTCCCGACGAAATGGGCCAACTCGACCGCTCCTGAGTTATGCATCGGCGTCGCATCGGTAAGCCGCAATAAGTTCTCTTACTTAAAAGAAACACTCGGGTCCATACTCGAAGGACTAGACGATCTCGAGAGGCAGCGCATCTACCTCGTCGTCTTTCTCGCCCATACCAACCAATCCCGACATGAAGCTTTCCGTCAACCTTGGCTCCTCAATATGGCCGACAAACTCCCAACCTACCCGGACGATCCCGAAACCACGAGCCTTGTGCGGCAACTCGAGTCCGACGGGAATTACGAAGTCCACGCCCGAAAGCAAAAGATTGACTATTCCGTGCTCTTGGACGAATGCGCTAAGGTCAATCCCAAATATACCATGACTTTGGAAGACGATGTGATCGCATTGGATGGCTGGTATCACCGGGCTCTCAGCGCCCTACAGACCGCCATGAAGAAGACCCGTGAGCTTGGTCGAAATGACTGTATGGCCCATAAATTCCGTCCCGCGAGTTGCCATCGTGATCTTCCCGTCCCACTGACTAACTTGTCTTTCTTTTAGTTCTCTACCTGCGCGTGTTTTATGACGGACGACTTCTCGGCTGGAACAGCGAAGAATGGCCGTTGTATGTCGAGTCTAGCATTGCGGTTTTGATCGTCGAGATAACCATCTTAGTGGCCCTTCGCTGGCGCGTCGCCGCTATGCGCAAAGCTCTGACGCTCTCAGTTATCTTCATCCTCTGTGGCGTGTGTACTCCTATGCTGATCGGCCTTTTCTTCGCAGCCGGCCGTAATTGCATGCTCCCAATCACACCAGGTGTCCACCTCATGCATCAGTATGGATGTTGTGCGCAGGGGCTTGTATTCCCTCAACGTCAGGTTGTCAACCACTTGCTTCCCTTGTATCGCGATACCCAAGATAATCACGCCGCTGTCGATACGTTCCTTGAGGACTGGGCTAATAGCCACGATAGCCTGCGCTGGGCCGTTACGCCGGTTCTGATCCAACATGTCGGTGGGAAGAGTTCGCATGGCGCGGGTGATCAAGAGTCTGGTTTGCTCACTGACGATATGCCTTTCGACTATTCTTTCGAGACAAATGACCCGATCAAGCTCGCTAAGGAGCATCGGGCTTGGGTTGCGCAGATGTCGGAACGAAGCACGAAATAACAATAGAACAAAAAGAAAATATACACTAATTTGCTTTCATCGAAACATGACCGGCGATGTTTTGAAAATAATGTTTTAAGGGATGCGTATAGACGTGTATATATTATTGGCTGGGGAATTGTTATTACCTAGGTAGGTAGCTAGGGATGGGGGAGAAATGTGGTCTTCCGACAGGAAATTATGATTGATGAAAGTACCCACGTTGATCGGCGCTGTCGTAGGTTCACCGTAAAACCATGCAATAACGTGGTCCCCAGATGGAAACGTCACCGAAATTGAATCGGGTATTACCTAGACCGATAATCATTATACATATGCAGTCTTGCCGCCCCATTCCATAGGCTGATAGACCGAGTCGCTATGGCATCCTACCCGGCCTTGCAGCGATTGGACTTTGATACCCCAATACCTTACTCGAGAGATCTCGAGGGATCTTGAGTAGGCGACACCAGACTTGAGTTTGAATACCGAGGTATACTACCCAATAATCCTTGTTTGAGGGTATATTAAATTTTATTCGTTTCCTATAATACATTAGATAATCATCCTACCTAAGGAGGCAACATGACACGAGATTTCTACAGTGAACCTACAGTAGGTAGGTATGTGTCATATCAAAACAACAAACAGCGCTCCGCAGGCCGCTTTCGGAATTCGGGGTATTATGAGCAACACGGAAACTGATAGTTGATCATTCATGCGCGAAATATATCAGAGATCACTCTGGCGTTTAGAGGGGGGTGGCTTATATTCGATTTGATAAGAGCCAAACATAAGATGAGGATCATGGCATGAGGACGCTATTTAAATTGCCGAGGGGGTTCATGTCTCATTCTGTCGCCTCCAATGGATAGTGGTACTTGAAAAGGTAGTATATCCTTGATCCTCAGGGAATCCGATTTTGTCGCATAGTCCACTCAGCTTCGTGAGACCAACCCAGTCTAAATGATTATGGTCGAGGCATCTACCTAGCGTTAATGGATACCTACGGCTCATAACATATGAATGAAAAGTAGTAAAGGGAAAATAGTACTCACTCTTCCCAAACCTCTTGAGGGGTTCCAACAAACACTGCAGGAGCATAATTGGCAATGGCTTGCGCGTAGATATCCTTGTATAAGTGAATACCAAAAACCAATGTCGATGAGCGTACCTGTTCGAACCCTTCCGGGGAATCGACGACCTCATATCCTAAGCTGTGGATGAAGGCTTTATCCGACGAGTTGAAAAGTGGCTCCTGAAATACGCAACGAATTCCGTGAGAACTGCCACGCTGTAGCTCGTTAACCATACACCGAAAGGCGGCGAGCTGTACATGGGCCCTTCTTTTGACTTCCCAAGAACCATCCTTGGGGTCGAAGGACCCTAAGCCAAAACATATGGCTTCGGTGACATTAGAGATGCCTACGCGGGATGCGATGATTTCTTGTAATTGGCGACAACATATAGAAACTTCCCATTGTTTCGCAATTTGTCGATGTTCCCTCTCGATGTCCGAAACAGACAGAAATGATAACCTTGACGTTAATTCGTAGGGGTTAGAATTATGATTTGGAGAAGTGATGTATTGAGATGCGTTAAAATGTCGTTTTCCTTTACGTCGAACCCTGGTCCATTCCTCTTTCGGGTCGGCTCTCTGTCTATTATCATCATCATGGTTTTGGGGGGTAGATGCCATAGCCGGAGGAGAGAAAAAAAGGAGAAAGAAAGAAAGTAAGTGAAATGAAATGCTAAGGTTATAAATTGGGAATGATGTATTATGGCTAAAACCCCATGTGATATAAAGTTGTTCCGGTTTGTCTTGGGAGTTTAAATTGACATGAGAATTCAATGTTGTATGAAAATCGCGATAACTACCTAGGTACATACCTACATATGTAGGTACCTATACTTTTTTTAGTAGGGCTATTATAAACTTTAGAGTCAGATCCACAAGCCACGCGACGAGCGTCAGCACCAACAACACTAAACTTTGAATTTCTTGATGCCTTAGGGCTTCATGTAGGTCCCAAGGTAATGTGTGCTAGTAACCTAATCCAACCAAAACATGAAAAACCTCGACTTAATTATTTTAACTATGCCATCATTGTTTTAATAATTTAATGTATGGTTTGTTTCATGCTACCCAAATTGCTGAACTACGAATTAGATATGCTTCATTCAAAACTACCTAGGTATGTATAGAAAGACCCGATGTTACTGTCCCTTTCGCAATTTGGAATTTGGAATTTATTTACGCCGGTCGTTGAAATAAATGGCTTTATTGAAGGATAGAAAAAAAAGAAAAAACCTCCGGAATGCCGAGACCAGGATGGTGAGCAAATACATATGTACCATCATAGTAAAGCCAAGCCTGGTGCCGAGATGCGGTGGGCATAAAATCAAAACCGCCTGGACACCCATCTAGGTCTATCAAGCAGCACAGAGAGTGCCTGGTATGGTGTTATGAATGGTCCCTGGGGGCAGGAAATGGTTGCACAAGTTATCCCAAAAATAATCCCTTACATACCTAGGTGCGTCTACTTAGACACCTCCAGGGCTATGATCGTTTACTTATAGGTAGGTCAGGTACTGTACTGTAGGACGGGTTGGGGTCCTCGCGATGTCAAATCGTAAATATCGCCGCTGAGATTGGGGATTGGAGGGGAATGGAGGGGAAGGGAACACCCTTCCCGAAAGTGGATATTTCAACATCTCACGGGCGCTTAGATTCTTCATTCTTACTGGTCCTTCGTTGCTGGTATGGTCTTGACCCCTGTCTCGTGCAGTGCCGGTCCGCTCTACCAACTTCTTTTTTGTCACCAACCACAGCCTTTTTCAAAGGCCACCTTGAACAAATAGAGAGAGCCCTTGCAACTGTGATCCCGGAATGTCCCTACCGTATATCGATTCTATTGGTTGCATTCCTGCAAATCACTGTTAACCCTCATTGAACGAGCGACTCGCTTTGCCTCTTAAACACCATCCCATTGGCCATATCCGATCGGTTACAGGGGATAGCTTCTTCGGCTGCACGTCGTGCACATCATCCAGCCCTTCTCACTGGACAGCTCGACCCAAAATGGCGCCCATCTCTCCTGACCCTTGGCTTCTAGGGCGGGGAGCCGTCGATGGGGGTATTAGCCACGCCATGCCATGCAGGTGCTTCAAGGTTAGCAGTTGAGCGGATAGATTGTGCAGTTATCACTCCCACTCGACAGTACCTAATAATGGCTCCCTCTGCCCTACAACTGCTTCTTCATTTCTCTCCATCCCTTCCCCATTCGCAGCCCCATAGTGCCCTAGCATTCCCAGAGGATAGACACCTGCCATACGGCCATTACTAGTTGCCGTCGGCATCACAATCATTAAGCCATCAATTCAACCATTACCAGAGCTTACTTGGAAAGAGTTATAGGAATTGCGGCTGGGAAGGGAATCGATTACACACACACACCAACGCCTTCTGCGATCTTTTGTTGCTAGCCCTCTCATATACCGGTGTCATTGTTACCGTGCTGCCGTTGGGTGTTTTCGCGCATTGCGAGTTTTTCATCATCTAGACGGTCGCTGTGCGACGCAAAGATCTTACATACGAAATTTTACGGCGTCGCGTGTCAACAAAATCAAATAACCAAACATTATGCTCTCCTCAATATTAATAGCCGTGGTCGCCTCGACATTGGCAACAGCACATACAGTCATTACTTATCCAGGATGGCGAGGAGATAATCTTATTCAGAATTCGTCATTCCCATATGGCATGCAATGGACTTATCCATGTGAGTAGATTTTTTTGCGGATGTTCTGGATTCGGATTTACCGATACCTCCCCTCCTACACGATACTCGTCCCTGACGCGCAACTAAATATGAAGGAAGTCGGCTAATATATTTGTCAAAAGGTGGCGGCATACCATTAACAACAAATAGGTCGTATTGGCCGACTACCGGTGGTGCTGTCGCATTTCAACCAGGTTGGTTTCAAGGACATCAGACTGCGTTCCTCTACATAAATCTCGGCTTTGGGACCGATGGCCCAGATCACGGGCCGGCGAACATGTCCTTTCCGATGATTTCTCCCTTTCAACTTCTCGGTCCTTCAAAAGGCCCATATCCCGGTACCGTCTGCTTGCCGCAAGTCCCACTACCGACCAATATGTCCTTTAATGCCGGGGATAACGCGACGATACAAGTTGTCGAGATAGCGCAACACGGAGCTGCCCTATTTTCGGTTAGTCCTCTCCTTTTTTTATTTCTATTTCCCTCGTGGTAGGTCGTATCATATAGACTGACCGCTATCTATTTCAGTGTGCCGACATCACATTCGCCGAACCGGGCGACGAGAGAATCGCTAAGGTCAACGAATCCAATTGTTTTAATAGTACGGACCTCGGTTTCGCTGAGATCTACACCATTACAACACAAGAGATCGGTGCCGCAGCCAACATGACGACCAGCAGCGCAGCTAGTTTCTGGTACCGGACTTCTTCCGCTTGGAGCTGGCTAGGCTTCCTGCCCGTGACCATGTGTTCTCTATGGTTCTTGTTATAGATTCCAATGGAACATCCCAAGCCGCGATGACGAGACGATGGGAATGGTTAGGGTAACGAAGTTTCTTTTTTTGAGTCGATCACTGTATCTATATATACCACTTAGCATCTCGAATTGGCGTATAAGGCGAATGAATGGGTGCTTTTGTCTGGGCGCTGATAAGCGGATGGCTGGGCCTTATAATTATGGGAATAAAGGAGAGATTCGAGTCTCCTTTCTAGGTAGCTATACTACCTATCATCCCTCGGCGGATGTTCCATAGAATATTAACATACCTAGGTAGCTTTGAGATTTTTGGAAAAAAATTCAATGGGTACCAAGATAACCCGTGTATGAATGCAATACGTCCCCACGAAAAGCTGCTACGTAACGTCCGTGACTAATTCGTTAATGCCTATGTTGAAACACGACCTTGGGCGTATCTGAATTACTTGGTTGCACTTAAGTGGTGTGCCTTATACGTATATAGGAGCGTGGGTTTTGCACGTCGGTTGGTGACGCAACTCGTCAGAAGAGGCGCTTAAGGCATGCTCCAGAAGCCCCTGAAACTGGCATATCACTCATTCAAGATACGCTACACATAGGTATGTAGCTACGATATCGCACTGTATTAGTTACGTCGGTGGCTAGCAAGTAGGGACTTAGGCCACACCCTCCAATCTCCCTATTTCAAGGGTGGCAAGGAGCAGATCCGATTATCCACGAGTATTCAACTCACTTGCCCCCTATCACCAAAACAATTACCCCGTATAAGAACTTATTGTAGTGGGAACGAATAGTAGTGCTAGTTATCATTAATAAGCCAGACTGAAATCCTATGCGGTACAACGTTTTGATACGGGACACAACCCTACTCAATTGCACGAGCAATGGATTTAGACCCCTCTGGTATTGCATGTGATGAGTTTTCATTGGCCTTTGGATGGTATTAGAGTGTGGTGTACTAGCTATGTCATGAATGGTTACAAGGTAGCCGGGGTTCCGCGGATCGCTGCGGGTTGGGTCTTGCTGCCGAACTCCTAACACTTTTCCCGAGAGACGGGAGTCTTGTGTACTAAGAGATATCAACGTTGATACCCGATCGTCTGGCGCAGCCAAGTTAATGACTCGCGCGACAGATCACACTTATCTATGGGGCAAGACGCCATATGAAATCGATCACCTCAATAGCGCCAAACATTCGTCCGCTATCTCCTTCACTCTTGCCTCTGAAACACGGTCTTTACTTAACGTTATAGGCGAAGATAGGCTCTTCGCTTCGGGAGTAGTCTTGCCAATCACGGTGATGAGAGTACCCGCAGCGACGAGTGCCCTGAACACGACTTCTCCTTCAGTTTGTTTCTGGAGAATTCGAGCTAGCGCTGTTAGCAAACGGACTTGTACGTTTGTAGACACTCTTCCGGGCTCCCTAGATGCTAGTACAGCAAAGTTGATCATCACTGTTGTCAACGCAATGAGCAGGTTGCGATTGTAAGGACCGATCGCAGACTCGCCGCCGATACCTAGCACCCGATCGATGAATGACACGACATGAAGGCCCTCTGAAGGCTGTGAGAAGAGTTTTCGACCTTCGGCAGATTTGAATAGATTGGCAATTGTCCGAGCCGCCATCATAGCATAATTCTCGTTGGGTTGCCCGCCGATTGGTACACCCTCTAGGGCAGCAGATATAACTAGCTGTATTGGGCTGTCAAATTTCGAGGATTTGTACTTAGAAGTGGCTGGTGACGTTGCTATGCATCGTAGTAAGTCGAGAGGTGCTAGCCGATCCGAGTAATCCCATTGTGTGCACATCATGGCGACTAGATTGACCGAGGCTTCATCCGTCATGGGTTGGTTCGTTTCCACTTTTTGCTTGACTCCCGATAGTACCTCTTGGGCCGGTGGGTTTAAAGAATGATCCTTGCGACCTGCGGCTACTAAAGCAGAATTGACACTGAGGATCTTTTTGAATATAGCTAAAAATATGCTGTTAGCGTTCGATTCTAAGGCAATATAATGGCCGTATTCACTATGTACTCACGCTCATATTTTGCGGCAGTAATATCGAGATACTCTCGTTGTGGAAGAGCTTTGGTCCTGGAATCGCAGAGGCTATCACCAGGCCGGTATCGCGATTCAGTGCCATACGGGTCCGGTCCGCTTGGGCCTTCCGCACCCTGCCCAATCGTGGTTCCTTGCGTGTTGGCAACGATGAACTGTGCAACCTGATCTAGGAAGTTCTGGGAAAGTTCGTTGTCGTCGATGAACTTCTGAGCTCGGGTGTATGGATTCTCGGAGAGGTTAAATGGTAGCTTCAATGACGGCTGACCTTCTTCGATGGCCACGTCGAAAACGTAATCGTATGACTGGCCGTTATATTCTACTTTACGTCCGCTGCTGCCCACCGCGTCGACGACTGTGCCTACGTTGATCCATTGCTGCTGACCCATTGACCATTGGTGGGCTGTAACGGAACCGTCCTCTTCTATTATCATCTGTACTTGTCCTTCCTTGGTTCCTGACTTGTTCTTTAGGAAGTCGGGTCCGGGAAGCTTCTCCTTGTTTACCCCGCCAACTTGCTGCTGCGGTATGGAGGATGATTTTACGGATTCATCGAATTGCGCTAGAGTGTCCGGACTGGCCAAACGTTCTGGGCTGCGAGAGAAAATGCGAATAACGCCATCGCTGGCTCCTGACACTATGTCTCCATTCTCGGAGCAGACAGAGACGGACCAGACTGATATGGCAGGGTGGGTAATGGTCTGAATACATTCGGCACCTCTCCATATGCGGACTGTTCGATCTTCTCCAGAACTGACTAGTTCGCCGGAAGGTAAAGTAGCGAGGGCGTAAATGAAGCTTTCATGACCATGAAGCTCACCAACCATTTGGCCGCTCAATTTCCACAGGCGAATAACTCCGTCGTTGCTGGCACTTGCGAAATCAGCACCGCTCGGGTGGCCTTTTGGAACCTGACAGAGAGCTCGGATGACGTCAGAAGTGTAGATGGTGGATTTAGGTTGAACCTCGCCGCCAACGACGGATCGGAGATCATAGATACGGATATTTTTGTCGGCAGAGGCGGTAATTACGGTTGTTTCGTCTAGTGGGAGAACATCCCATACTGCTTCCTCATGCCCGGCTAGGATAGCTTCTGTCTCCCATTTATTGATGCTCCAGATTCTCGCGGTTTTGTCCCAGCTTCCCGACACGATATACTTTCCGCCGGGAATAGCGGCTAAGGCACAGACATTGCGGGCGTGACCGATGAGAAGGCGTTCGGCATTGTCTGAGGGGGATGAAGTAGCTTTTCTGACGTCGATGATTGTGTCGGTACCGGCGGCGATGACGAGGCCGTCTGGATGATCTGACGAAGGTGGTAAATATGTTAAACTATTATAAAACTCGGATCCCTGGGTAGTGACGGAGGGCTCATAAGTCGGTGGGGATGTATTGGTTTGGTTCCAGGCGCGGACGGTGCAATCTCTGGCGGCAGAGAGGATGAGATTTGGGGCAGCGAAGTAGACGTGTCGAACCTAGAAAAAAGGCGTTGAGATGTTAGATATATATTCTTATTCCTTGAGAAAGGGAGAAAGCTAGGGAGTATAGTGGAGGAGCAGCATACATCAGCGCTATGGCCGACAAGCTGCACAGACAGCTTGAAATCGGCCATGCCGTGACCGAGAAGTTATAGACGTCGACGACTTTGCTGGGTATCGAATGGGTGCTTTCGGAGTTGATTTATGTCGTGTGATGTGGAAATCAATATGAAGTTCTTGGGACCTTTCTCAATGTGTGGAATATGCGTGCGATCCGATGTTGTATAAAAGAAGTAGTTTGTAAGAGTCGTTGAAGTAGCTACATATACCTAAGGAACTCAGTTGCTGAGGTCTTTCTAGTTGAACTTGAACTCCAGCGCTATTACCCAACAGCGGCAGGTAGGTGTATGCTGAATCTAAGGTGGGAAAGTGGGGTTAGAGCGTAAAATGTCTAGTGCGGGGTGATTACCTATATTTCTAGGTGCATCCATGGATCTACATGTATCTACTACCCACCCTTCGGTGTTCTCAACACGACGCTTAGGTAAGTACCGCCCCTGGGCTCCAAGCCATATTATGTATGAGGTAAGCGTGGTAAAATAAGACCCACACAAATATCAAATGCTAAGGTACCTAGGTACATTGTTGCATTCGTGAAGTTCGTTAATTGAATTTCCCATTCATTCCAAACTTTGAACGAACTTCCACAATTCTTTTTTTTCCCTTCTTCTCCCAATCTTTCAAACTTTCAACAACTCTTCGTCTCCTCCGTCTCTCATTCTAAATTGGAACCTTGCGCTTCAGTCGCGTTGTTCTTTGGGTTCTAATATTCTACCTTTAGTTCACTTTGGAGACCGTTGTAGCTCGCCTACGTCCGAACTCGAACTTGACCTGCGCTGATCCAAATACCTTCCCCCAGTCCCCCGTCCTTTAATGAATGCGATTCTGCTTCAGCCGCCCTTTTGCGATTCCAATATTACGACCATTTTACGACTAGTCACGAGCATCCGGTTCTCTCTCCTCTCGTATTCCTTGTAATCCTACTACTCCGTCGCTTTATTTCCTACTTGATTTTTTTTTTTTTTTTTTTTTTTTAACCGACCTGGCCTTTGCCCACGAGGATACTTGCCGACTTATATCGTGTCCACCAATAATCTCTACCATCATCCTAGTTTCTATTCGGTGATAGAGACATATCAGTCATTCCGCTGTAGGAAATACGTGCCACGGCTTGGGTTGCTTAGAAATATTCGTCCTTCCAATCCCCGACTGTGCTTGCACAAGAGACGCCGTAGACCTCCCATCCGACATTCATTCTCCCCGGCACGTAGCTTAATACTAGTATCGACCCTCATTAACAATGGCTACTCCCGAAGCCCAACGACAATACGTCCCGTTGACTTGTCACGGCCATTCGCGCCCCGTTCCACATATCAGCTTTTCCCCGTTGGAGAAGGATGACATGTATTGGTTGATATCGGCTTGTAAAGGTGCGTATTTGTATTGGTGTCATTGTCTTGCGATCAAAGCTGATCCTCCGTTTACTATAGACGGTAACCCCATGCTTCGAGATGGTCAAACTGGCGACTGGATCGGTACATTCATAGGCCATAAAGGTGCAGTTTGGCAGGCCAGGCTCAGCCCCGACGCATCGACTGCTGCTACGGCATCTGCAGATTTCACCGCGTAAGTTTTGTCATTATAATTTGGCTGCAGTGGTCTCGTGCTTCTAGTAGGCTAATCTTAAAAAACAGGAAGATATGGGATACCCATACCGGCGAGCTCTTATTCACCCTCCAACACGATCATATCGTACGCGCAGTTGCTTACCCGCCGGATAATTCCGACCTCGTCGCTACTGGTGGTATGGAAAAGAAGCTTCGCATTTTCGACTTGACCGAGATGAAGCCTAAGTCCGCGCCTGAAGCTGCCGCAAACGGTAGCAGTGCTGACGCTGCCGTTGTATCGTCTACTATTCAAGCCTCTTCAGCCTTCGAGATCGGGGCTGGCATCCATACTGGTTCGATTAAGTTCATTGTCTGGACTAAGGATCCCAATATCTTGATTACGGCATCCGACAACACTCTACGTTGGTTCGACTTGCCTACTCGGAGTGTTGTGAAGCAGGAAGTCTTGGACGGAGAAATTGGGTCCTGCGAATTCTCTGCGTTGGCCCCCGAATACAGCTCCAAGACGGATATTGGTGAAGGACTGCCGGTCCTGGCAGTAGCTGCCGGCAAGTCTATATACTTCTGGGGCGGCTTTCGCGCCATGGACGAGTTGAAGCGTTCGAAGATGAATTACAAGGTGGCTAGCGTTGCTGTGGACCCCAAGGGTAGGAGGATTGTGGTTGGTGAAGATATTCCAGCTACTTGGGCGAGAGTTTACCGATGGGACGATGATGCTGAGATAGGTTTGTGCTATTTCGTATACGTAGCATTTCACTCTCCGATGCTAACTACTTTCTAGATATCCATAAAGGTCATCATGGACCCGTCTGGTCTGTTGCCTTTTCACCGGATGGGAAGCTGTACGCCACCGGCTCCGAGGACGGAACTATCAAGATGTGGAAGAATTGCGAGGGATTCTATGGCCTTTGGCGTGGAGGTGCTAATGTAGCAACCGAACGAAGTGCCGAATAGTATGGTGCACCTCATCGACGAACTTCAACCAATTCTAGCCGAAATAGTACGGATATATCGACGGATTCCTCTAGAGGTACACTGTGAGCGGCATAGCCCGACACATTAGAGAAAATACCGTCCAACCGAACAATTGGGCACAATGCCCCAAGGGGCTTATGAGTACAAAAGCATGCATCAAATAAGGGGTATCTTTAGGGGTCTTGGACCACGAATAGATGAGTTACCCGGGTCATGTCCACTAATTAATTACCTTATACTTATGAGGTGTATGAGGATGACATTCAAGCAGAGAACCGTTGTATCATATTCCCTAGAAAGAGGTATAGATGTGAAAATAGAACCAGAGCAGTCTACGAGTATATACTCATAATAATGCAATGCGGGGTTTTTTTTCCATGTCTCCGGCGGCCTTACGACTGTGATGAGTAGGCGATAACTGTGACTACGATACCATTCGATTTGTCGCCATACAATTTGAGCTTTATCCCTTCCAGATGGCTGCGACATGATGTTAAATAATGCTTAGGTAAATATGCGTATATATCTAGTAGTTTGGAACAAGCGGCGGTATTCTGGATGCGCCTCAAGCAAGCACTGCAGGGGGCGAACGTCTATTCAGTGGATCGAAGCCTGCTTTGCTTCTCGTGATCCCTCAAGCTATGAATCGAAGTCGCGATACACCAGTCATCTAGGTAAGTCAAAAGTTTGAAAATACACCACAAAGAGTAGACGCAGGGAACCAAGTCAATTATTTTAAATATGTACTCAAGAGGTGGAAGATTCGTGTGATTCTGTTGCATAGGAATGGATTTTAACTAACGAGAGTTTACCATGTTAGGACATACGCCGTCTTGGGCAATTCGAAATAATTAGCCACGGCGATATGTGAATATGATAATAAATGCGGTCTTTTGGGGGAACTCTGAAGATTTAGTCCTTGGATGGCTTCAATGGGGTGGATGTCTAATAAACACATGTTGCCATGATGTTGTGTGCATACCTAGGTACGTATATATCTCAGGATGTCAAGGTAGACGGACGGGTATTACTCGTACGGGTTTTTATGGGTAGGAAGATACGTATTACCCTTGACGCTTGATATGCTGCGTGCATCTTGAGCCATTTGCGTGGAAGTAGCTGCGCGTCTACTTGGGTGATGGAGAGGTGTAAGTCTGAATTAATTCCAGGTTGGGCAGACACTTACCTGGTCTATCTACAAGGAAGTGATGCCACTCCAGTTTTGAAGCGGGTGTATTCTACGTACTAATTCGTTCAAGGGAAAGAACATTAAACGAACGCGTATACCTGATAAACTTAAAGCTCGCGCGACTTTTCGTTTACTCCATGTTTTGGCGGTTGCAACTGCTAGCTGTGACGCGCGCAGGCCTTCCACCTGCATCACCAGCAACTACTACCCATTGACCACGCCTTCCACCAAAGCTCTCGGCGTTCCGTACCTGAATTTAAGTCCAGCCCAGGTCTTCTTTTTATCGGCGACGATACTTTCATCCACTCGAATAGTTTTGTGGCATAAACAACTCTAATGTGTTGATGAGGTTCGTTATCCTGGATTCTTCTCCTATTTCACTCCTTTGCGTTTGCCGTCCTTGTTACATCGTCGCATCATCGCATCGTCGTACCATCGAATCGTTCCAATTTCTAACTCGAAGACAGACGATTATTCCAAATAGTCATTCTATTGCAAGAGTCATTTCAATTTGAATCATCATGTCGCCTGACGTGCAAAGAAAGCCCCGCAAGAACCCATCCGAATATTCCACCAACCCAAACACTCAGCGCGCCCGTATTCGCAAAGCAGGACTCTCCGAGTATCAACGCCAGCTTGAACAAGCTAAAGCATCTGATTCCAAGGCAGTCACACGTGCTTGGAAAATTCGAGCCGAAACCAATGCATTCAAGGTTGCAACAAAGGATCAACAGGAAGCAGTTCTGGAAAGCGTCGAGCAGGAAGTTCTAGAGCGTCGTCGGCAGAAGGGGTTGGATGCTGGTACTAAAATGTCGCGTTTCATGGAGAAAGTCGGCAGTTCCAATAATGGCAATGCGGTTGCATCTCCTGGTTCTGCGCCCTTGGCATCTCAGAGTCCCGTCGCTTCAGCCAATGTTGGCACTGGTATCAGCGAACTCGTCGTTTTTGGTCCCCATCCCGGGCCTCCCGCCACTTTCGAATCTTTCCTAGGTTATCAGGTAAGCAATGTCTGATATATGCCCCTTCCCGAACCCCGACCTAATCTCATATGCTGAACGCGAGTTGCGAACACGAACACTGACTAATAGCAATAGGAGACGCCCATTTTTTCTACGCGGCACAACATCGGCGACGGTAGCGGTATTGATAACTATAACGACCGCCCTGGACCTATTCCTACCATAGACCGTGCTGAATCGCTCCAGATTCGCGAAGCTAATATTCATAACCCCTTCCTGCCCAATCGCGAGTCACATCATGGTTACATGAATCCCCAGCAAGGTCTCATTCCAGTATCGAACAACATTCAATTTCAACAGGACTTAGCTGCTGCCGGAACAACCAACGCGGGACTCGAAGCCGATCTCAATTTGAATCGTGATCGAATCGAAGACCTGAAGCATCAGATCAACGTCTTGAATCGTGATCTGGCTATCGCTCAGTCAAATATCGCCGCTCTAGAGACTCGCATGGGTCTAATGAATAGCATCATGGCTACTTGTGGTGATGCAGATGGCTGTCGTCGGATCGCAGCAGGGTTCCAAGTTATTGCCGACTTTGCTGTCGGGGTTGCCACCACACTGGACCATAGTAATGGTACATCGGATGCCGAGCGGGATAGCGGTGTTGAAAGCACACCTTGAACCGGATTATATGCGCCTTCAAAACCTTACCTCCTACGCCCCCGTGGGTTTGATTTATGTTTCTTCAGTTGAGATACCTAATGTCTTTTTCGGCATTATTGCAACGACTTTGTTCTATGGGTTAGAATTATGATAGTTACGTCTACTATGAGGGTGGATGTTATAACATGCTGAACGAATTGTTTGGGCTACCATTTGCATGGGATCTGTCTATTTATGTCCTGTCTCCTCTTGAAAAGGCACAGGACTAAACTTCATACGAGCTTGGAGGACTGAGTGCAGGGTATCTACTCATGTACATGGCTTGCCAATGATACTTTGTCTGTTGTGCTCTGTATGATTTGGTCATAAATGAACTTCGTATTGTCGAATGTATCTCGTTTGGTGCGTCGCAACTTGGTTCTTATCGGGCAGAGATGGTTGTAAATTCGTCATTGAAAGCCACACAGATGAATCAAATGCTGATAGACACGATTGCCTTCGCAAGTCTGGCGTATTAGTGTTCCAATGTGCTTGTGAGTCGATCTGGAGGTATAGTGGCACTGGCGTCGATATTGCAAGGGCCTACCTAGGTAGTTATGCAGGAACAAGAGACGGGGCTTAGACTTGTATCTCTATCCTCATAACCTCATTGTATGGTGCATCATTACAGGGATTCCTTTTGGTAGCTGTAACGTTGTGAACGGAGCTATAATAAATTAATTCGGCTTTTTCATTAGGTAGCAATCGAGTTGAAAATATTTTGATAGAAATATCTATATGGGAGCTGTTGCTGAAAGTTGTTTCTAACGACTCGTCTTGGTAATGCTGGTGTGTAAAAATCCAGTGATGGAGACCTCGGCATTTCGCGTTCGAGTCTTCTGAAGAGGATAACAGTTGATAGACATTAGACCGTGAATCGTGTGCCTTGACATATTACGGTATCTTATGGGTGGAGGGAAATCTTAAACCCCCAAAATACAAGAACGACCTATTTCACCTTTCGCCTCCCTCGCAGCTCCGTGATTGTTCGGAAAACCCTTTGTTAGTACCCAGAGAGAGTTAAGATACAATATACACTAGCCTAGCTTGTGTATAAGTTCGGGGACTGAGACCTAGGGCCATGATTCAGCCGCAAAGCAAGGCGGGCTGAATCAGGGGTCACACGTTGGCAGTATATAAAAATTGGGCTTGTTGTGAAGAAGGGAACTTTTTCCACGCGTTGAAATCGGAAGTAAGTGACAGGGAATATAAGAAATTGATTCAAAAGGGGTTTAGGCCTGGATGAGACCAGCCGAATGAAACCCAAGAATGGTATGCAGGGGGAGTTCCAGACATCTGAAGCGGGGCAACAAGATGTTTTGATGGTGTTTTAAGTCAACACTTGTCCAGGTATCTACGTTCTCGGCACCCAATTCACACCGTAACGATCCAATCACGAGTGGAATTGAATTGTCCCTGTCACCCTCGTATCACGGAGCTCACGGCTCGAACCGGAACTAATGTAGACGTACCTAGGTGCTTGGAGGTGGGTGTTAGCTACATATTATTAAAGCGAACTGCAGGGTGAGAAATCTGCCAGGCGATCTATGTGATTACTTATCTTAGATGGAATCTCATATGTGAACTCAGCTGCTCATCTATTCGCTTAGCTATGTATGCTGGCGGACGCGAGGCATAGAGTATTTAACCTCGCATCCGGATCCCTTCAATACTCACACTGTCGTTTTCATTGCCAATGGCGCTGGCGAAAGCGACTCTCAACCAACGCGCAACTTTTGGGGACGACCTCTCGGAACTGACAACTGTTTTTGTCCCCTCATGTCCCATTACATGGTTATTGACCGCGACAAAATTACCGTCGCAATTTCCCGCCTTTCCTCCCATAGGTCCTGCTTCGTGCGATCCTCCAGCATGGACAAATTACCTCGCGCAGAGGGGATTCGGATATTACTCACCAGCTATTTGCCCAAACGGTTTCTCCGTTGCCTGCACCGTCAACGATGAAAGGAGTAGCGAAGGGTTTCCCGCCATAAAGGCAGGTGAAACTGCAATGTATTGTGTACCGAGGTAGGATTAAGTGTCCAAAGCCTCTTCGTAGCCATTGACTTAACACGAATTAAAAAATAGTGGATTTACATGCACATCAGACACTACTGATTTCCGTGGTGGGATTTGGGGGTTTACCAGAACGGCATCGACAACTGGTGCTTCTGTTACTGTAGGCCCCGCAATACAGATTCGTTGGCGTCAAGAAGACTTGAGCAATCTTGCTACAGATCCCTTGATTCCTGGTCCATTGCCAACTAGGGTCGGCTCAAGCCAGATTGGGATTACCACCACGACGACGGAACAAGAGCCTGATCCTATTACAACAAGCTCCAGGTCTAGTGCGTCGCCGGCTAGTTCAACTGCGACCCCTAATAAGACAGATGTATCGACAAGTACGACACCAACTCCGTCATTCAACCCGGTGGACACCAGCACATCTACCCTGTCCGAAGTTACACCTACTACAAGTAGTGGAAGTGCTTCAAATCAGACATCTTCAGGATCTAGTGCGCCTAGCATTGCGTCAAGTACTAGCATAGCAGCTATGGCACTTTCGGGGACCTTGATAGCCATCATATTAGGGATACTAGCGGTTACAGTTTACCGTCGATATCGCCGATATCGTGCTGGGGAGATACAGTCACTCCTTCCCTTGAGAGCCCGGAATTGGTTCAATCAATTTGTAGGAAAATACCTTAGCTGGTTTCCTTCACGTCGGAATGGCTCGAGCTATCCAACAAAGAAGCCAGACGCTGAACTAGAAGCCAGTGGCCCAACACCTGAGCTGGGGGGTGGGGATATGTTAGGAACGAAGGAGAACCCGGCGGAGCTGGCTGGAAGTAGTGTACGGAATAGTTGGATGTCACAAGTATCACGGATCTTTACGATAAAATCGAAAAAGGATGTGTCGTCGGTTTGATGGCGATACATACTCCGAAGAAAGGTTTTTGTTCTTTTGGTGGGTAAATAGAGTCAAAACACGGGAAATGATACCTAGGTGCTTGTATGTTATTAGAACTTTGCACGAGTAGGATCTCAATACAGGGGGAATATACATGTATTACTACTCAATCGGCATATATTATGCAGATATCTGTAATTGTGGAATTCATTTACGTTAGCAGTTCTAGAAGAAAAGGCAAGGCGATGGATTAAGTAGACTCGGCAGGCCATGTCCCATTTGCTAATAGCCACCGGATCCCATGGAATTAGGGGTTGAGACCCATTTCCGAGGCGATACTCTCCACAAAAGCGTCCAGTGCCCTTGAAGGAGGCCGAATCCCTTCAGGGCGGGGCTCATCGTGCGTAATGCCTTCACTGCTCTTGTCAGTTACTTAGCCCCATCTCTCCCAATCGGTATCGACCGCCTAGCGTATGGAACGTAACGTATCCCAAAATATAGTCGTTTAAAACCTGTCTTTCTAATTCCCTATCCTCGAAGACGACGCATATACGATGGAATGCACTGAGAGTTTCGGTAATGACGTCTTTCAAAAATTCACGAACGTTTTTGCCTTCTTGTTGGGCTGCACGGTGTATGTAGTTGGCATCTTCACCTGCCACTTCTTCTTTGTAAAATCTAGAACGTACGGATTAGTTAACAAATGACTCACTGGCCTGGGACGTACTCACGACAATATATCATTTGCGAGACAGAAAAACTTGGACAAGTCGGGTACCACTTCGACATAACTTGAGAAATCCGGGAACAAACCCTTTGGAAATGTAAAATATGCGTATGCGTCCCCGACACCAGTTTTACTGCGAATATACCATGGAAAGTTTCGGCTTCCCTTCGTCGGGATTAAACTGAGGAATTCGGATCTTGATTCTAGAATACATGCGTTTAGGAAGTCAAGTGACGACGCAATAATGAAGTTGGCTATAATGGGCTCCCAATATTTGAAGGTGGAACGCAGCAACTCGGCCCAGTTCTCAAGAACGCACGTTGGTTGATGCTCACCAGCCGCGAACCGTTCATGAAATCGTTCGTAATCGGCGAGTTGGTGAGATGCAGTGTCATCGATAACAATGGCTACCCATGTATATATACCAACATATATTTGAACATCGAGAGGATGGTTTGGTAGGCACGCCTATCAATTGTTATTTCGAAATCTTCAATTATAAGATATTTTAGTTGATGAAATACTATAGCGTATAAACCTCCCACCTCGAGGCAACTGTGAGAATGAGTGCCTTTCGCATGGGGAATACCCGTTTCGGCAGCTCGCTCGTGAAGTTTGGACCAGTATACCTCCTTGTCGATTCGGGTTGGTTTTTCATAACCTAAGTCCTTCACGAAAGACTTAATCAGTGGACGGAGGAAAGACTCGAGCTTTTGCGTATCTTCGAAATGTGAAGCTGGTTCGCGTCCAAACCGAGGGAGTTGAGGTTGCTCTTGGACTGGACTTGTAAGTTGATTCATGATTAAATTTGTGTACTCTTAACTTAGGTAGCCAACTGGGTTTGTTCCGATGGAGGCATGGCTGGTAGAGGGAGTGTGACAGACTCTTATTTATACTTTAAACAATATGTGATCGTTGACCCAAAACAGGTTCGGAGTGCCGGGCGGATGTGGAGTAACTGCCGGAGGAGTGGAGTACCAATGTCGGACCTATATCAAAACCGGGTACTACGAGGGTGGACATGCTGGAGATGCTTGGATCGGTCTATGGCGTCTATCTTCTACAGAAGATACCCCCACTATACGCTGTAATATGGTTGCGCCACTTATAATAAATTCTTACATGCGTTCAAGATACTACACTCGGACGACCTGATAGGAATTCGAGGTACCACCGTTGACGGGATACCTTAAAGGACCAAACTTGTATACCACGGGCGCATTCCAAGGCCTTAAACTTTACGAAAGGGTATTGGAGGAAGGGAATTTACGACTTGTACTATGGCGCTGATATATTCAAAACGCGCGCCCTATTAAGGCAACTATACTTGGAATTGACGATCGGAATGCTGGGAGAAGTCCCTTAACTTCCAAGGTTGTAATGGCCGTGGTACCTACACAAATAAGATCGTCTACATATGGTCACTTACGATGTTTACTTTACCCCATCAATATTTACATGAATATGTTGTATATTACACGAATTATCTCGGCACATTACCAATCCCCGTGGAAACCTCTTCATAAATACGGAAATGCTGTTTTCAAATATGTGTGCATGTGCCCACTCGTGGTTTGTTGAGCTCATACGTTCATTCAGCTGGCATTACACGTTTCTCACTATGGAGCCAATGTTGCTTGATGCCGATATCCATAAAAGGGTTGAAGACGAGTTTAACTCGCAGCAGCTGAAAGGTATGTATGCCGAGACGTTTTTCTTTGCCTTATTAGATCAGCTTACTCAGGCATACACTTAGGAGTAAAAAATATTTTACCACTGCTTTTATATTTGGATTTGAGATGTCTCGTGAGACATTCTTCATGTCCGGCAACCCAATATGTGGACCGGATTCGACCGGGTGAAATGCTGACACCGTAGGGTAGTATCGTCACTTGCTCGGTTTTCGGGATTCTCTTACGGAATTCTTTGGTTCAAAGGGATTTTATAATGAAACTGAGGTCTCGTGGAATGCGTGAAAACTTTTACCATTGTCCTGACGGCGAGTTCAGCTCTAGCTAAAACGCCATTTACATCTGCCAAGACCGCAAAATTCCTATTATTCATCCTTAATCCGATATGAAACTCAGACCATAGGCTCCGCTAACGGGCAGCTAGGTTGATTTCTTTTTGAAAGTACGTGGAGAACCGAACACCACCCTGCCGTGGCTGTTAGAGGTAGGGGGTGACCAAACTGAGTGAACGGGATAGATAACTGAAAGGGTGGAGCACACTCTAGAAGCCGCATATTTCGATCCATTCAGAATGCTAGTAAATACCATCATGTGAGGGGTAGTGTAGTACGGTCCGTTAATCATGGCTTGAAATATTTTCGGAGTTTCTCTTCGGATACCAGCTTTGGTGGCTTTTATTCTATGCAAGCAACCTTGACATCGTCAGAAATGAAATAGTGCACCCTAGTCCATGTTAGTGCCACAGAACCTACCTGAGAGGCGCGTAACACGGCCCTTAGCAATCTCGTATCCGGGGAAGTTGTGCTGTCCGAAGGCGAGTTAAAGGATGGTAAGCGGCTCAGTATATACCTGCACCCCATTTTGACAGGAGATGTGACAGTTTATGTGGTTGATTATATAGATGGCAGATATATGAACCGTGTTGCGCGCATGGGCTGACCTGGAATTGTTCCCCTCAAGTTGTGCCTAGGTAGAACTTCGCGGTGCTGTTGCCAGGACTAGTATCCTTGTCCAAGTGCTTCAGATAAGGCGTCAACCAAGCAGGTACTCGCCAATTAACCCAAAAGCTATAGCGAAACCAGGCACCCAGAAGCCCATGGAGAACCATCGATAACAGCTGGTTTCGCTATTCAACTCCACTCTGTATATCATAAGACCTATGTATACTATACTGCTCCCTTCAGCAATGATAAAATATAACAAACCGAGATCAGAGAGAACTCCACAACAGTGAAGTAATACAGCCATACAACCCAGAAGCGACCACAGGAAAGACTTCAGATGATGTCTAAATAGGACAGCGGTGCTTTTGAGGCCGAGCCTGAGATCCTCAGGAACGTCGATGTGCGCATAAATTGTGTCGTAAATCACGGTCCAAATAGTACAGGCTAGCACAAGACACATCCTGGGCCGGCTGTCCCAAGGTTGCTTCAGACCCAAGCTCGCGCTTCCCGTTACCACACCCCAGGCCAGACAAAATCCAAGGACCACTTGAGGCAAGTAGGTATGTCTTTTGGCATATGGGTAATATGTAGCCGTTAAAACCGACGGGACCGCGCTCATAGCCGCAGCTGGAGGCAGCAATAATAAGAAACTCGCTGCCATTAGAGCCTGCGCCACTGTGAACACAAATGCCGCCTTGGTGGTGATGGCGCCCCTAGCAATAGGTCGATTCTTGGTGCGTTCCATCTTCCTGTCGAGGGGCACGTCTACAATATCGTCCCAGGCGTGAGCTGCATTGGAATAGAAGAAGCTTCCCCCGAGAAGCAGTATACACACATAGACGACGTCTTGAATACGGTAGTCGTGTCTGTGTACGATAGCCGTATGCATTACTCCATAGAAATGAGGGAGGTAGACAAGCAGCACTGGTGCTGCAAAATTGAGGCGTGAGAGTTGAATGTACGGACGCCATTTTGTAGGTATGTAGTCCACCCAGCTTGGCCGGTCACCCCCAGCATATAGAATTGCGGAATCCTTCTCCAAGTTGCTAGAATTGGGCCGAATCCCCCCGTTTGCCTGCTTTGCATCCATATCGTGATCTCGACTGAGCAGGAAACGGATGTTCCGACCCCGGGAGGCACGTGTTAAGGATTTAAAAAGGGTAGTCCTATTGCAACTTAAAGTGTGCTACTTGTCCCCGAGCTGGATGTGCGCGTCCGAATACTCATCAGCTAGGAGAGCCGCGTTATGTCTAAGGAGTAGGTACTTACCCTTTTTATCTTTCTCGTTGAGCATAATCCCACATACCTCAATAAGTAATTTACCTAGTTAAGCGCATGAAGCCTTGGTAACCCTATGATATACGGTCTCCTAGGACTGAATTATGAAAAGGAAGGACGGTTCCGGTACTCGAGTAGTTTCAATACTACCCCCTTAGAACCGCAGAGGCCTATAAGACGTTGTGATACCTCATATATAAAGTTCTTTATGTACCCGTGAGTGCCTTATTTATAACAACACATACAAGCGTTACGTGTTGGTCGTAATATTTACAAATAGTACCCGATATGGTAGATAGTCCTACTGTTAAAAGACCGACTCAGGGGTAGGAGTTACCTCATTTGTTACATTTGGATTGGTGTTAACATATTGTTGGTTACCACTATTAAGAGGCTGGTGGTTAGAATATCCATTGCGATATTCACTCGAGGACCATCAGGTTATACAGTATGCAGGACCACCAACACGAGAAATGCTAGGAATAGTATAGTCGTACAGAGCCGAGAAGGATCGGGAGATCTCTTATCACCATACGAAATCCCCACCACCGACACAAGGATAAAGGAGTTCTTTGTGTAAAGGGGTTCCTTGTGCGTACATATGCGCAATAACAGTTTTTTTTAACCCATATAGTTAGTCTTATTGCGAGAGGATTAAGATAGCCAGGTTGAGAGAAACGTAGATACTAGTAGGATTCCCTTCCGCCATGAACAAAGAGGGAGATTAAGGCTCTTGGGTCCCTAAAGATTGTCACATAGGAGGCATCAATAATCTTCTACTCGCTGCAGAGAGAACCCCTGCTTAGGCAGATAAGACGTAGGGTTGCCCATATGTGTAACTAGGCCTCTTTTAGTAGTTTATTGCGACCGCTTTGCTGTTGTCATCCCCGATCCGACATGATAGACTTCGTGACAACTTCCTACGCCGAATGAGACACAAGGCATTTCTAGGTACCAACTGTTGCATTAGGACATGTAGGGCTGTGACCAACCACCTAAATACTTTGTATCGCAGTAATTTTGTGTCACCCACCAAATTCGGGTAGGTATCGGGTAGCTGTTGGGTTGTGTTACCCAAAAGTGTGTCGGAGCTGTACGGTGGGGGCCATATTATGGGAGACTGCGCGAATAAAATAAATTAATCGGAAGCCACAGTGTACCCAGTGTCACCCTTAATGTTTTACATTTTCATTTCACTTACCGCTAGTTTACTAGATTGTACCATGTGGTTATGTTTATTTTATTTCTACGCCTACGTTTCCTTGATTTTGTTTGCGCCAACATGCACGCATAGGAGGCATCCGGCGTAACGTAAAAACCTGTATACGTAGACTGCTCTTGAATATGAGCTGAGGGCGTAGTACATATATTGTTGGGTGGAGAGGGGATATGCTGACAAATGGATCTGGTGGCGTTGAAAGTCTTAAAATGTATTCTAAATTTTGAGTTACACAGTTATAAAATAATTTACCAATCCCGTTGGGATCCCCCTTGTTCCTGGAGTTCGATATTGGAATCGCGAAGCATAACAAATTGGCCTCGTCTCGATGATGTTTGGGAATCAACCAATTTTGTTTGTTCCCCATTACTGTTAACATATATCCCACTAGACTCCGTCCTAAAACTCATCCCTTTATAGTAACGTTCCTTGATACTCGAAACAAGCTGTCGGAAAGCTGGTAGTGACGTTCCAACCAAGGCAATCGTTGGTTCGCATGTTGCCGGAATCCAGAAAGTCCGTCCGTACGAGTCATATTGTCCGGGGACATACAATGATAACTGGTATTTCCAGACTAGAACATGATAGGTCAATTCAAATTTTCAGATAAAGCAATACCAATCAATATAGTAAAAGCTTACATGGCGAATCCGGGGGTACTAGATTCCACGGTTAGTCTCTTTCCTGTTTCGCGTTGCCCGGGGATGATTCTGAGTCTGAACTACACTTGCGGAGATTGTGCAACGGGTAGGGATAGGTATACTAGAATAGCTGATACGAAGCTTTGGATATCACTCACCAACATGAACCCACTCGACAATAGAAACACCAAGTTTGTAGGCTGCGACAACGCTGGCACTACTCAAAATTAGATGTCTAAACGATATAGCACGATGCAAAGATAACGTACGCCGCACCCACAATAAATATCGCTATAGCTTTGATCTTTTTTGCACGGTCCAACTGAACCTTCCACAAGGGGTAGGCTGGAAATGCCATTAAAATGAGATCGAAAGCGAGGCTGACGCTGTAGAGTGTTGTCTGGATGATTGTAAAGTAACCTAGAGAGCAGTAATCTCGCCATACCTGCAGCATCACAAGTCAGCGGTCTCGCCATCTATGGACTGTCTAAACGACTTTAGAGTCTACCCAGGAGCAATGAACACCTAAGAGTTTATAAATGGGAACCTTCATTCTCTCGATGACAATCCGCGGCCAAGAAAACTACTCACAAAAGGCGATGTTTGATTGAAGTCGCGACACACAAATGCAGGGGTAATAGAAAACGCAACGATGTAGATGCCTTGGAGGACGAGAAGAGCCCGTATGATATCACGACTTCGTTTGTCTCCTTGTCCGAAGATTCTCAAGTAGAATAATAGGATGGAAGTCCGAATAGACCCTGACATAGCCGGGTAAAGCCAAATTGACGCCATTTGACCCTAGGAGTATCGTGTTAGCGGAACGCTAGACGCACCTATTTTCTTGGTGTTTGCAACAATACCTGGAGCCACATTGAATATTCGTGGATAGTGATCTCCCAGAGGGGCTTGCCTACGCCAGCGTTGAGGCATAAATAACTCGCCATAGTCATCCAGCTAAGGAATAGAACCTAATCTCAAATGAGCTTCCCTCACCTAAAATTCCAATGGGATTGATATTCGGGGACGTATTTGCGCACTAGTGCTGAAATCATGGCATAATCATCCATCCCAAGGCTTCCGTGGCGATATCTAATAAATAAACGACTCAAAACGCTAGAGGAGCCAACGATACCCATAACAATACAGGCGACCCCAAAGGAATAGACCTTGTGATCATCGTTGACTGTGGTTGGAGGAGGAAGGAGTTTCTCAACTGGCGATGCCATTATAATAACGTAAACTTGACAGTAACGCGAAAGTATTTTTTGGATTCGAGACGACTTGGTAGACTTCGCTCATATAAGTCTCATCCCGTCTACCGGCATCGCCTCCCATTTAGTCGTTGTCGGTTAGTACAGAAAGTCAGCATGTAATTTCTAATTGCATACCGTATTACAACCACCACTGATATCGGTCTTCTATTTCTGAGCTGGTCCGGGTGCATTGTGGAACGCGTTTGGTTGCAATTGAATGGCGTATTGCATACCCCTCCAGCCTACATAGAGTAACACGTCAAAGTAGTATTCGCTCTGGTACCAACATAGGTACCTTATGTTTGTACATACATGGGTACAAGGTAGCGATCGAATCGCGAAATTTGTTATACGGGAAACAATCTTTCAGCGGGAACACAATCCTCTCCCTTTCGTTGGTCTTCGGCCACAGACCAGCAAGCTTATGTAAGGGACTCATATTTCCCACCTGACCTTTGTTAAATACGCCGCTTGCTCGCGATATATCATCTGTTGCGGATAATCTTAAAATCCTCCTCCTTTCCATTACATACCGAAGTTACATAACAAAAACATGGAATACTCGGATTCAGACAGACTCTACAAATTGTAAGCTTGATGCTTTTTATTTCTACATCCCGCACTATTTCTTTGGATGGTCTCATTTAATTAATCCATCGTATATACAGCTTTGATGGAGCTGTGAGCGTCAGGGTTTTCGACAAACCTGAGCATGCTTATTGCTTCGAGGCCTCGTTCCGACCAGACCACCCACTTGCCTCATCACTATTTTCGCGGAAGCCACCCTTACATTTTCATCCCTACCAAGACGAACAAATCAAGGTTCTTTCAGGTCAACTTATAGTCGACGTCGAGGGCCAGGAACATCGATTATCACCGAACGATGCGGAATTACGAGTACGCCGATGGGCTCATCATCGCCTACGCCCTTCAATGGATGATCCGGAAAAAGTAGAGATCAGAGCTCTAGTAACGGGTCAAAAATCATCTCAACTATTCAGAGAAGATGTCCTTTTCCTCGAGAACTGGTATAGGTACCAGGACGACATCGTGATGAACAAGAAAAAGGTAGAGCTACTCCAAATCCTGGCTGTAAGTCACATCTACCCCAAGCGCTTACAAATTGAACGCCAATCTAAGACTTAAAAACTCCAGATGTTCGATGCCGGTGGTACATATCTCTCGTTTCCGACGTGGATCCCATTTGGTAAAACCATCTCGCGAATAACTGGTATAGTCTTGGGCAGGTGGCTCGGTGGTATGTTGGGATATCAGCCCTTCTACCGCGAGTGGTCAACGGATTGGAATCTAGCCTGTCTGAAGATGGAGAGTTCTAATTTTCAAAAGCGTTTCGCAAATAGAGCCAGAACGGAATGAGAAAGTGTCCGGCTAAGGCCTTTCCCCTGACTGTTATTTAATTATAATTCTTAGAGACGGTCGACGAGAGTACTTCCGCGTGGAGTTAGTGTAGCGACTATTCGAGAATTGTATCATTGTTGTAGTATCCTTGAGTTCGGATATGACATGATAATTACTAATCTTTTTCAGCTGATCTTGTTGTTGGGGAGTGGCTATAAGAGTTATATGTATGGTTAATTTGTTGTAGGTACTGGGTGCCAATTGAATTTTTTTATTTATTGAGTAGTTTCATTGGTGAATGAATATACCTAGGTACTTGATTTTGAAATAGCTTGGACCTTTTGTTTCGACCTCTTTGAATGTTATTGGCTGACATTCCGTATCTTAGAGCTGTAAGGAATATTTTGAAAGGTATTTGTGACGAACCTATACCTCAAAGAGGTATAGCCATTGTTGGATTGACTAATCCAGGGTGTCTTAATTTGAAGATAATAATATTAATAATAGGTTAAATGTGACGAACCTATGCCTCGGAGAGGTATAATCATTGCTGGATTGGCTAATCCAGGGTGTCTTGATTTGAAAATAATCATATTAATAATAGGTCAAATAATTAAATACATTTTGTTTGTCAGAGAGGCTTGGAATCTTCTTATTATATCTAAAAGAATAATCTTAAATTAATAATTAAAGAACTATTGAAAAAATAATTAAATATATAGGAAAATATAATAATTATATAGATATTCCCTATTATTACTTTTTTTATAGATAAGGTTAGATATCCTTATCTATATTCATTTATATTATATTTTTTAGATAAAATTAGATGCCCTTATCCATATTTATCCATATTATATATTATATATTCCTATTATTATTATCTTATTTCAATGAAGAAAAAGATTTCTTTTAAGGTCTTATATTCCTGTAAGCATGTATGATTTATAACATTATTTCTCCCTTTTTTAATTTCTTTATCTTTAAAGATTTTCTTTCCTGGTAGATCCTTTTAATATAATTCTTATTATATTTATTAATCCATCTATAAAACATAAACATATTAATCAAAGATAAGATGTCACAAACCACATAGGCCTATAGGGGTGTAAGACCCTGGAGGAAACCTTTTTCCTTGCCGAAGTGGGACAGGAGTACATAACATGTGACATAGATGAATGTGGATAAGGGTATCTAGTCTCATCTAGTGAATGTGATATGGATGAATATAAATGAGTGTATCCAGTCTTATCTAGCAAGTGTAATAGGGGATGAATATGGATGAAGGGATCTAATTTCATCCATAAAGAAGGTAGTAATAGGGAATATCTATATAATTATCACAATTTTCCTATATATTTAATCATTTTTTTATGTTCTTTAGTTATTAATCTAAGATTATCTTTTTGAGAATAGTGAGAGAATTTTAAGCTTCTTTGACAAATAGAATGTATTTAACTACTTAACCTATTACTGATATTGTTATTTTCAAATCAAGAAAACCCTGGATTAGCCAATCCAGCAATGACTATACCTCTCTGAGGCATAGGTTCGTCACATAAGAGCATATAAAGCTTTTAGAATAAATTAATAGAATTAACTTTAATATAAATATCATACCTTATTTATATTATTTTATAATGAACCTATTGTGATGAACCTATGTCTTAGAGAGGTATAGTCGTTACTGGATTGGCTAATCTGGGATTTTCTTGATTTAAAGGTAATAATATTAGTAGTAGGTTAAGTAGTTAAATGTGTTCTGTTTGTCAGAGAGGTTTGGAGTCTTTTTATTATTCTTAAAAGGATAGTCTTAGATTAATAATTAAAGAATGTGAAAAAATGATTAGATATATAGGAGAATTATGGTAATTATATAGATGTTCTTTATTACTGTCTTTTTTATGGATGAGGTTGGATTCCCTCATCTATATTTATCCTTTATTATATTTGTTAGATGAGATTAGATATATTTATCCATACTTATTTATGTCATATTTATTAGATAAGACTGGATACCCTTATCTATATTTATCTATGTTACGTGTTATGCATTTCTGTCTTATTTTGGTAAGGAAAAAGGTTTCTTTTGGGGTCTTATATCTCTATAGGCTTGTATGGTTTGTGACATTATTTCTCCTTTCTTTAGTTCCTTTATCTTTAAAGATCTCTTTTCTTGATAGGTCCTTTTCAATTTAGTTTCTATTATGTTCATTAATTTATTTATAAAGTGTAAATATATTAATTAAGGATAAGAATATGTAAAGTTTTCAGAATGGATTGGCAGGATTGGTTTTAATGTAGATATTATATTATATTCATATTATTTTAACTATAATCTTAAATATGTAATAATAATTGGGGTATTTAAGAAATATAATGAATGTATTTTATATTATTATTAATATGATGGGATGGGTATCCTTATTAATTCCTTTTCCTAACTTAAAAATAAGGAAAAATAATTATTCATTTAAGAATATTAGGCTAAAAAGGCCCTTGAATATCTTCATATTGAAATAATCAAGGCCTTAGCTCATGTTAAATAGCTTAAGCAACAAAAGGAACTATTAAAAAAAAAAGGCCTAAAAATGTTTTAATATGGTTTCCAAAGCCTGGAAGAACTGAAAGAATAGGAATAGTTAGAAAAGGAGTAATGTTTGGTAGGGGAGTAGTAGTACGGCGTTAAGGTGTAAATTAGTGTAGCTTCCGTGATTGATCCCTTCTCCAATTTTTCCCTTAAAGATGTAAACTTTGATTTATCATTATTGATTGATCTAGGTTTTAATAGTAGAAATCCTTAATTAATTTTTGGATCTTCTTATTTATAAGGTATTCTTATGATTCCTAGGTATTATTTTCTTCTAAATAATTAAGCCATTTAATAAAATATTTAATCTAATTATTAATAATCCTAAAATTATGGATGGTTTTGATGTTATATTCTTCTAGGTTTTTTTTTAATTTGATATTTCCTTTAAATTTAGCATCTTTAGATGCTGGTTTAAACATAACAATATAAAATATATTAATTTTTAATTTTATATTTGTTAATAATTATAGTTAATAATTTATTCTTAAAAGGATTTTCTTAATTAAGAAGGGTCCTAGTTTTTTAAAATCTAACTTTTTGCTTAGTCTTTTGATTTAAATCTAAGGTATTTTTAATATAAAATGTTATTTATTTTATAAAAGATAGATCTTATTTCCCTTGTATAGAATTAATCCCTCAATTTTCCTTTTATTATAATATGTTACCATTCTATATTATAAAAATTTGAAACATTACTTAAACTTAACTTATAATATCAGGATTCTAATAGTAAACATTTTTATTTTAGATGATACTATTTCTAATTCTAGGGTAATCTTGTTTATTAATAATTCTTATTCTATATTTGCTTATTGTTTATATAGTGCTTTTTGTGGTGATATCTTGGTGGTGTTGCTAACTGAAATATTGTATAAGGATATAGTAAATGGTAAAAATTCCATTTAATTATCTTATTTATAGTTAATGTAATTCCATAGGTATTGTTCTAGTATCTAATTTAGTTGCTCTGTTTGGCCATTAATCTGAGGATAAGCTGTTGTAAAGAGCTTCTATTTAACCCCTAACCTTTTTATTAAGCCAACCCAAAACTTTGAAGTAAAAAGCTTGTCCCTATCTAAAATAATCCTCCTTAATAACCCATATCTATTAAAAACTTTTTTAATAAATTTAAAAGCTAAATCTTTGGTTATATAAATTTCTTTAAATAATATAAAATATCTATATTTTATGAATTTATCAATGATAATCTATATATTATTATATTTCTCCCTAATTACTGGATGTTATGATTTAGGTAGTTTAATGATGAAATCCCACATAATGGTATCCCATAGTTTATCTGAAACTTTAATAGGTTATAGAAGCCTATATAATTTATATCTGACTTCTTTAACCTTGTTACAAACATTATAATTCAAAATAACCTTTTTGATTATCCCCTTGATTCCTGGAAAGTTATATTTTTCCTGTAATTATGTAATTATCTTAAAGATTCCCAAATATCCATGTAGAAGATGTTTGTATATCTTTTGTACAAATTTTTTTTATAATATTAATGGTATATAGATTTTTCTATTATATAATATTATATCTTCGATAATGAAATCCTATATTGATAAAATGTTCTTAATTTATAAGGCCTTTTTTTTAATCTTTTATTCCCATTTGTATTGTGGCTTAGTCAAATACATTGTTGATAATACTAAGATGTTATCGGGTGTTTCCTGGAATATTACCCTTTTTTTTTTGACCTTTTTGGTATTAAGATCTTTTGGTTTACTGAAAATGTTTGCCTGAATATTCTTTTTTCCTTTAATATAGTGGATTTTAAAGTTAAAATGTGTAAGATCATTTACCTATTATAATTATTTATTATTAAGAATTTTAATAGTTATAAGAAACTTAAGATTGCAATAATCTAAATAGATTTCCAAGGGTTTAGCAGTTCTTGATACCTATGGTCTCCATTCCTTCAATACTTAATAAATAGCCATAAATTCTTGGTTATATATTTTATACCTTACTTTTGGTTTCTTAAAGATTTTGGAAAAATAGGTAATTAGATACCACTTTCTATTATCTTCCAGTTATTCTAATATTACTCCTATTGCTCTGTTCAAGGTATCGGTATATAATCATTTTCTTTTATTTAAGTTAGGTAGCTTTATTATTGGATTTTTTATTATAATCTTTTTTATTTTTTAGAATATCTTTTTTATTTCTTATATCTATTTAAAATCTTTTAGATTTTTGATATATATTATAACTATTATTGGTTCTATAATTTTCTTAAAATCCTTAATTAAAATTCTATTATAGTTATAAAAATTATGGAAGATTTATATTCCTGTGATGGTTTCTGGGGTTGGTCATTCCCTAATCATGGATATTTTAAATTTCTAAATCTTAATTTTTCCTAAAGAAATTATATATCCAAAATAATCAAATTTTTGGATAAAAAAGTCATTCTTATCTAGATCC